TATTCAGTTTAACAACTATGCGAATCGTTTTCTAGTGGGAAAATTTTTACCTATTTGTATAACGTGTATTTTCGGAGTTTTGGCACTTTATAATATAAAAAATATCGCACGTCGTGCACTACCTATAGCCCGACGTGCACTAGAGAAACAATTAACCATTATGGTACTCCTACAAGCTGTTGTCATGCTATTTACAAACATACCGTACATTATTACATATCTGCTTCAAGCGTCACTAGATTTGACTGGTTATCCGGTTATTTTAGCACAAGTTCAATTTGCATTTTCAGTCACTATGTCCTTCCTGTATATGAGTTTTGCTGTGAGTATGAAATATAAAGCTCTCTCTGTCATGAACGTTCTATTTCGATATTTAGACGTCATTCTACATCTATTGTTGGGCATCGAATCGATTTCGTCGGCAATTGAAATACGTCTTATTCGATATTCACTTCAATCGATGCCGTGAACGAACAATTGGAACAAATCAAATCATACCCGTCGTAGCTTAAGCATTCAAAAAGAATGCTTTGAACTCAAATTCGTTTTCGCAAAGATTAACCTTTTCTTTTTCGATATTTGATGTATCTTGTGTTCTTTCTCTCCATCCTTCAATGTTATTCAGAATGAATCATAGTCTTTGAAATAGAAAAATAAATTCAATCTTTACTTGCCATCGCCATCTTTTTTCTCGTTCTGCTCTATGAAAGGAAAAAAGAAAACACTATATGCACCGAATTTTTCTCTTTCTTTTTCTTCGTTCTCCATATTCACGTGTATACCAAATATTTAATTGTAACTCTCTCAATGCCTCTCATTGACTGCTGACTAGTATCATGTGACAAGAGAAATGATTTCTACACATATCGAAGTCCACACGTCTCACAGTTCAAAGAACGATCCGTTATATTAAGTTCGTTCGTCGTACCATGAGTCACGTCTATGTGTTGCAAGAAATATTTCAACATAAGTTTACTTTTTCGTCTTCTTTTAGTTGAATGTATTTATAATGCAAATTTTGTACAAAATCAAAATAAATAAATTCTGGTCACGATGGCTGGTACAATTTTGTCTTATTCTATTGGCTATTTGGATTTACCGTCAAATAAGATCGAACGCTTCAAAGACGGCCTCTGCTTCCACAATTAAGTACAATATAGCACGGGCGAAGTTAGGTCGAAGCTTTTTCTTCGATCTAATACACGATGATCGTTCTTTCAATGATGTCAGTGAACATACAGTTTGTTCACTTATGCATTTCTTCTTCCAAGAAGCTGCTCATAATGGTAAACCGGTTGAATTTTTATCAGGTAACAGTGTCTCTTTTCTTGTTCGGTGTAATTCGATTGACTGGATGCACTTTTAGGAATGTTTGTACTATATGACTCAACTGAACGTGTTTTTACTCAATTAATGATAGCGAAGAATAATCAATTACATAGTGATGAACATCGTTCTGGTTATTTTCGACGTCCTGCGTATTTTTTCATCGATTTACTTAAATTCTTATTTAATTTTTTATTCCAACGACAAACTTCGTTTCACAGACCCTTCATCTATCTACGTGGCGATGAGTCATCACATTTTCATGAACGTGGCAACAAGTATGATCGATGGCATCTCTATCCAGCCTAGTAAAACCTTCAAGTTTTGACTTTCAAAAATATGATCACATACCATCTTTTTAGTGGAATCGACATGGCTCATGGATGTATGCCGAATGGTTTTTCTCATATTTTATTTGGCAAATTAAGAAGTTTAGCGAATAATACAAGTCGCCAATACTCTGGTGATCGAATCTATATCAAACCAGAAGCATCTGGACTGCAACAATTTCCACAGTACCTTGCACGTATGTATATATACTTATCATTATTTGGTGTTTTCAATATAATTCATCGTTTTAGATGCCAATCATTATATTCGGGCTGTTTCATATTCTTTCCTTTGCCGATTTATTGATAATTTCACTCCGAAATTTTGTACACCAACAGGTGCTTTCCATGAATGGGTCGATCGTCGATTGGTGAAAAGATGGACTCAAATATTAGCAAAAATCGAAAGTCTAGCACAAAACGAACGGAGACAAATGCACGATCAAGTTTTTTCAGAAGGAATTCTACAAATCTATCGTCAATCATTATTATTTCCATCATTGCCATACGTGAAAGACTTTCGAATAGAACTCGAACATCGCTATGGATCAGATATTAGTGCACGAAAGGGAAACGAGATTATTTTTACTACTAAACAGTTGCTAAACAGTTCTCCTACATGCACGGACTTCTCCATGAATGATAAGCAACAATGTGTTGAACCTGATGCAATTCAATAATGCTGTGACAAACAAAATCATTGTGTTCGTTTTGTTTAGACAGTTGTATAAATCGGTCTATTTTCATAGAAAAATATAACAGAAATGTGAAACGAAAAAAGAAACCCAAATATTTTGTCAACTAGTGACAGGTACAGATGTTCCACATGTTAACAATTTATTGTATTGGGTTATGATTTTTGAATTAGATGAACGTAAAACAAATGGGAATCTGTATGATTCATAATTATTCCCTTGGTCTTTCGACCATGTTTCAGATAAACAAGGATCATTGATGTTTTTGATATTGATGTACCGGTAGAAATAATAGAACGATGATGATTGAATACTGATCGAAAGAGTTTGATTCTTCATACGCGAGATATGTTGAAACAATAGACTCTGTATTTGATTGTTGTTGAGAGTCACATTCTGTTTCAGCACGGATGGGTCCTGAATGAAACTGTTTCGTAGTTCTTTGTTAATCTCTTCTAATTTCGGACATAACCTTTGACAATCTTCTCGACCACTTCCCTTGTAACGACATGATCGATTGTTTGTCGGTAGAGAAATGCTGGGAAATACACGGACTATATCATAGCACATCGTCGCACTAATATTATCCACAATAATATTATTCCATTCAGCAATCAGACGAATCGAAGTTTCAGGATGAACAATCGAGTGATTTAGCATTCGATTAACATGTAATATACGCATAAAATAATGATTCGCATTCACAGATGACAATGCCGCAAATTGATCGTTATAGCCACCGTTAGACCAACCAAAAGGAATGTAAAATGCATTATGCAATCGTATTCTTGGCTCATAGATCATATCATAGAGACGAGTGCGATAAATACCCCAATCATCAGCTACATCATGAGTTAAATTTTTATGTGTCGGACTCGATGAATTATAAACGATTACATTAAATGCTCGTTGCCACCAATTCGTATAGTAAACACCGTCGTGACGCATCCGAAATGTCCATTTATAAACGATCTTCGTTTCATTCATGTATTTTTGACGTAATTCTTCACTCCGACGTTGACTATGCCACATATAATAAACACCGGGAACTGGCGGATGACTAGGAAAGCGTTTAATCGAAATATCATAAGTATCTTTATATATTTGACGTAAAGTTTCCGGAGGTACATATTCAAAAACATTCGCTTTAACCGCATGACGAAAAAGGACACGTTGATTATCCAAATTCGTGTAGCCTTTGAAATAAGCAAGAGTTGAATTGACTGACAAGTAATTTGCATATTCAGAATTATTCAACTGTTGTTGAAGGTAATTATCATTCGTGTAGGTATGTAAAAATAAATGAACAGTATAAGGACATCCAGCCATTAAATTAATGATATGACTTTCAAAATTGGCACTAAAGCTTCTCGCCGTGCCACTGTACAAAAGAGCCACGTATCCGCGTTTATCTGATTTGAATTTTGAGAACGACAGTGAATCGTCACAGGGAAGAAATTTACCATGATCTGTGAGTCGCTGTAAGAGTTCGGCGACTGTATATACACGAGAATTCATTAGGATAGTAAATAACACGATCCAAAGAAACACGAAGATAGTTATTGCTGTCCACAGTGGAAGAAAAAAACATTTAGAAAAGATTCGTTTCGTGTAGCAATGAGAAGTTTGCATTGTACATCGAATCATATAAATCTAAAATGATAAAACGAAGAATATAGTTTACAACCAGTGAACACGGTGCAAACTACAAGAGACTAGAACAATAATGAAAACTTATACGATGAGCAGATTTCCTCTTTTCTTTCCAAAAAGAAAAATGTTCTTTTATAGCTACATGCTGGAAAGATTTCTGTTTACTTAGGAAAAGGTGCTACTTCTGCTCACGCTGTCATTCATTTTTGACCGATCAATCATGACATGCAAATGAACAATGTGTGATGAAAAAAAGAAACTTTTTTCTTATAGCTTTACTTTTGAAACTCTATCAAAAGCAAATAGAAAAACAAGTACACAAAATTTCTCGAGAAACGATATTTCGGAGAAGTGTGTTGGAATGCTCGACTGTCACGTTGTCGAACTAACTGTAGAATATATTAATTTTGATACCATCACTGAAGCATTCTCCTTTTTCTAGTTCGTCTTTTTCCTATGCAAAAAAATTATATGTCTGTACGCAATTTAATGAACTGTGTCCATGCATGTCTTTCGTTTTTTTGTTATTTTGTCGAGGGTGATAGCAAAAGGTATGTTTATCTACTATGACAGTTCCAAAAACAAATCATTTATGAATGAAATACTCAAGACAATTATTTGTGTTCATAAAATATCATAATGAATATTAAAGAAAAACGAATGTATGTGACTTAGTAACGTCCAATGCTAACTTAGTCATAGTTAGAACATTCTTCGCACTGTCAAATGCCCACTGATTTGTTGCAGATAGTTCTTGTCGATTCCACAGAATTCGACTTGGTGCTCTGTCCATACCATAGATTTTGATGTCTTCCAATTTCACGTCATTGCCCATTTGTGGATACTTGTATGTCCACGGTTCAATAGATAAGCGTCGTGACTTGTAACTGAAAGCAAAATCATTGTAAACGGAGTGTTCGTATGTATCAATCGACTCTCCGTCGTCCCAGAAAAGATTTCCTTGCGCATATTGATTGTTATCTAATGCGACAGTTAAAAAGAGTGGATTTTTACGTGATTGCACTGTGTTCATTGCCGATTGCTGTTGAGGTATGATGGCACCACCACGTAAATATAAGGGGAGAAAATCAAGTGGTGCTGGAACAGTGATATTGCCAAGTGTTTTCATCTCTTCGCCTGTATAAAAGTCATACCATCGTTCACTCGGAGGCAGATACACATATTTTGTACGATGATTCTCGTATATAACTGGAGCAATGAGTAGTGACGAATCCCATAAAAACTGTTCGTCGAGTGACCAACAGTCTGGTATAGTTGGAAATTCATGAGCCATTGAACGCACAACTGTACCACCGGAAACATGTACTCGATGAAACAATGTGTATAAATGTGGTATGAGTGTGTAGCGTAACTCAACTGCGCGACGATTGGATGCTACAGCCGGTGCAGAAAAGACGCCTGGATCCTGATCACGAAACGCGTTCCCTTCATATCCGAACCTAAAGAAGAATATTTTTTGCTGTGGTCTAATAGAGAACTAGCTTACTTGTAGCCGTTATGATTTCTGAAGAAAGGATTAAATGCTCCTAGGATAAATTATTTGAATTAACTCTATGAAAAGTTTAATTTCGCTGTACCTAGTTGCATCCATCGCTGACACATTTCTTCGGTGGTGTCTGCAAAGAAGCCGCATATGTCGGCGCCATTGTATGGTATACCAAATAAATTAAATTCCAACATGCCAATAATGTTGTATTTTAGATGTTTCCAGTCTGCTGTATTGTCTCCTAACCAGTGACCACTAATTGCGCCTGATGAGGGAAATGTTGATCGACTGATAACAATTGATCGTCTGTTCTCGAGAGCACGAGCAACTGGTAGTGTTGCTACTGTTTCTGACCAACCATATAGATTATGTATATCATAATGATTGTACGTTTTTCCACGACCGTCCCTTTGTTCAGAGATCATACATAGAGTCTTGTCGGAAATATAATCACCACATATAGCTGTTTTATAGGGTGGATTATCTAGAATCTCATCTTCAACTGGACATTTCAGATTCCATACTTCTGTTCGATTCCAATTCCATGGTTTGATTCTGTTAGTATCGAAATTAGCTGGCTCGCTAGAACAGCAAGAAAGAATGAAACCATGCAAATTGATATTTATTGCTTATCTTTTACTTCATGTCAATCCAAATACCGTCAAATTTTATTTTCTTGCGATACTCAAGGACTTGTGTTCTCCACCATTCGTTAGTCGATGGATAGAAATAATCAGGAAATGCTGTTTTACCATCAGGCCATACGTATCCGAGAATATTACGATTACCTGTTTCATTAAATTGTAAATTTCGACGTTCAGGCCATTTGATCCAAACGTCAGCCTTTTGGCCTTCTACGAAAGCTGGATAGTTGGGCGCTTCGGAATCAATCGCAGGATCAATCATAGTGATGAACTTCATGTCATTTGAGTGTAACCAATCGATATATTCTGGGATGCCCTGGAAATCAACTGGATTCCAAGTAAAATCAAGTCGATTATGAAAGTAATCAATATCACCATAGCTAAATAATAGAACATGTGGATTACAGTCACAAAGATATTTTACTACATACTGTACATCAATAGGAATACTGGCGTTGAGTGTTCGATACATCGCTGCCTTCATATTATCAAGTGAATTATAACCATATCGGCAGAGTTGAAATCCGAATCCCCAATAGGGAGGAAAATATGGTTTACCAATCACTGATTGATATTGTCGAATGACTTGTTCAGGAGTAGTTCCAGCGAAGACGAAAATATCGAAAATACCTCCAATTGTGCGATAAGTCAGCGTTGCTTGATCATTATCAAATTCGTCGAATTTGTAATCTTGCGCGTTGGAATTAAAAATGAATACACCATATGCTTGTCCGTTGGGTTCGATAACCATGTAGAATGGATGTGTACCATACAAATTTTCGTTTTCTCCTGTTGGCCATTGATCTCGAGCGAAAATTCCATAGCGTTTCGAATCTTTCAAATTGTGTCGAAAAGAAGCGTGCGTATTCTCACCAAAACCTAAACAAAGTGACAACAAATACGGGATATCGTCAAGCGAGAACAGAACAAAACATACCGTAGATATTTCTTGATGGAATGGTAGTTATTATTTGCAAGAATTGATCATCATATATGAAGCCATTAGCAAAGAATGTTGTATCGAATAGGAGAGATTGTGTATCATCTGTGCGCAGAATTCGAAAACCTATTTGTTTGTTGGTCGTTTTTGTCATTTGAAACTGAATTTTAGGTGGAGCAGATGTTGGTGGAACTGACGGTGTCCATTGGAGAGGAACAGGAACCTCGTATCGGTCAGCATTTTCATCTCGAATAGTCATACGAACCATGTCAGGACCAGAGATACTAACCTGGACTTTTAGATTTTCTATGTCATGATTAAACATGGAAAAGCGTGATGATTGTGAAGATAGTCGTCCTAAACTATACACTGTCATAGCATTTGAAATTTGATCAGGTCCTTGTTTAAGTTCGTAGCCACCTTTCTCTTTCGGTATGTAACATGTTGATTTGTCTGCTTGGCTATTCGTATCCCAGACACATCCACGAGCAGTACATAATGACTCGCTTAAGTTTGACGTACGGTTTTTTGTAAGATTAATTTGGCAAAAAGTTCGATGCTCATCATTTTCTGGCGAACAATCAATACGGTATTTAGGATCTGCGTTGACGAAGTCCGGCACTTCAATAATTGGTATATCCTTCTGATTTTGCCGTGCGTTTGTCTCGCTCTTCATTTTTGCCAATGACAAACTTTGAACATGAATAGAACAGCCCAATACTATTCCAACAAGAAGCAGAAGTTTCGTGAAACGATGCATATTGCGCACTGAAAAACAACACAATCATTTCAAATAAGTCAGTTTATAAAACAGGTTTCGTTAGAAACTAGATACTATCTGCAAATATCAGATGTCCGTTTGCTTTTACTCTACTTTGTATCTAATTTATGCTGATATACATATTTACATGAAGCGGAACCTGATCATAGAGGTACCCTGGATAGTATCTCTAATTCTGTCTTGTTGAGACTGATATCAAGAGAATTAGCGTGATATCAATTATTTTTACGCGTTCAAGCAAATTCACTTCGCATGATAAACATGTCAAATCTTTTTCGTTGTACTAAATGTTGAACGCAATGTATAACATTTAATAAAATGTCCCAAGGAGGTGTGTTTCTATTCAAATCACATACGAGCCTGATTACTTGTGCATAAATACGATGAAACGATGGCAAGATTTTTCAATATCGAGAATGTTAATTTATACAAAGCATACACAACCGTTAAATATTGCCTGTTTTTGATATTATCTCAAGAGTGATGGGATTAAGTTTATCAAACATCAACAGATTATCTACATATCTTCTGTTTTTCTATCATCGATCACCTGTTGTGACAATAACAAAATGACGTATATGATTTTTTTTTATAAATACGACTTTTTTTAGTGATACTAAGAAAAAATGTTGAAGATGACAAAATGTTAACATTCATTCTTTCATGCCCTAGATAAGAAAAATGAGAAAAGTAGAAAAAAAGCTTAGTTACTGCCGCGTGATGACAACGCATATTTTATGTTTGTGAAAGACAAATATCATTTGATGTCACGATAAGAATTAAAAATGAGCGAAAAAGAATGTAACCTGATTGCTAGAACGCATGAAGTGTTCGGAACATGTTTAACAGCTGAACGATTGAAAGAAGATTTTCGAAAGCTCGGTGTATCATTTGGTATGACCCTATTAGTGCATTGTTCATTATCAAAAATAGGTTGGATCGCTGGTGGACCAGTCACTGTTATACAAGTACTATTAGATCTACTCGGTCCTCATGGGACACTTATCATGCCATCTCATACTTCTGATAATACGGATCCAAAATATGGATCTAACTCGTTTATACCACCCGAATGGTTTGACGCTATTCGCAAGTCATTGCCTGGTTATCAAGCTGATATAACACCAACATTTAAGATGGGTAAAGTTTCTGAGACATTTCGTCATTGGCCTGGTGTTTTGCGTAGTCAACATCCTTTGTATTCTGTTATTGCTCTCGGTGAAAAAGCAAAACTTATTACCGAACATCATTATGACTCGTGTGGCGAACAATCCCCATTAGCTCGCCTCTATGCTTGTATGGACAATGGCTATGTGCTCTTACTAGGTGTTCAACATAAAAATAACACATCACTACATTTATCAGAATATCGATATCAGATTAACAAAAACAGCGAGAAATCATTTCGATGTAGTGCTGCAATAATGGATTCTGAAACGAATGAACGTCAGTGGATTGAATGGGTGGATTATGATTATCGCGCTGACGATTTTATCGATATTGGCAACGCATTTGATTCCATCGAGGGAAATACAAAGATAGGGAAAGTTGGATTAGCTGAATGCAAACTAATACCACAGCATTTGTTAGTTGATTTCGGTGTTGATTGGATGACTAAGAACAGACGATCATAAACGCTAAGAAAACCGTCGAAATAGATTTAACAATCTTTATTTGTTTGTTACGATCTTCCTATAGATGACTCTTTTCTCTTTTATATTTGTAACTGAAGTTCAAGTTTCTAATTGTCCAATGAATAGTGCTATGGATGCATATAAAAAAATTCATCGCGTATTTAAAAATGTAGTTGATCGAAATGCATACTTTCCACTTTCAATTCTAAATATTGTCATGTTTGTTGTCGTAGAGTGTTGAACTAAAGTACCATAACGTGATGTTACATTCCAGCCAGGCACGTAAACATAAGCGACAGATCCAGCTGGAATTTCAATATTTAGAATGAGATTTACGTCAAATCGATTCCACTCAATTTTTATCCATCCTCTCGTAGTCATATAACTTGCTTTGACAAAAGTAATATTTCGGACGATTGCTGGCTTAATATTCAGAATACGATAGTCGACCGAATTTGCCGTTTGTTATATACCAGCAAGCGAACGCATCAGTCATTCATCTACTGCACCAAACATGAAATGATTCTGGCTAGTTAATTGTTGTCCTCGGGTTAGAACAGGACCAAACCAATCTTCGGTAAGTGACGTGGCACCATGAACGATAGCATAACCATAACTGGGTCTATCGATACGCGAAAGAAACTCATAAACGATATCGTCGTGTCCATAGTGGCTCAACATTCGGAACCAAGATGGCAATGCCACTTCACCACAGGACGTATGGTAGTTACGTTGGCGAATGTCATTGATAAGATGTACAAGAACATTTTCCTGTTCTGAAGGAGATACTGCACCCATCCCTAAGGCAAATACACCGGCTGCTTGACTGCCAGTTGCATAAGTATGAGCATTAGCGTTGAAGAATGTTTTGTGAAAGGCAGATAAGATATTCCAAGCTAATTCTGAATATTTCTCGGCATCCATAGTTTTATTGAGAGCTTTTGCAATGATTGCTTAAACTATTCGGCGATATCCAATATCCATACGTGCCCGTAACTCCAACAGGTGTTGATTGATCGATCGCGTTCCAATCTGCAAGACCATATGAAACAATATTATAATAATAATAATAATATAGAGCTTTTATTAAGGGATAATGTTTTCGAAAAAAAAAAGATCCCATGGCTATGAGCGAACTCGTTCCTGTAGCCCATAAAAAAAAACCAATTTGAAAAGAGAAAAAAGACAACAAATAACAGGTTAAATACCCCGACTAGGCGACAAGGAGAGTAAGAAGGAGGAGAAATAGAAAGGTGTTACGCGAGGATCGATGCGTAGACTGGGATTGATTTTGAGTAATGCTATTGAAAGATATAGCCAACATATGGAAAGTCGTAGTTGGTTGCGTCAGAATTGGTCAACAGGGATAGGACAGGGTATAGTCGAAGAGAGACATTCGGTTATTCTTTATTAGATTTACGATGTATTTGNAAGACTGAATACATTTGTCCACTCTTGTATTACTGCTTTCAAGATGTTTTCTTCGGCTTTCGTTAGACAGTTTACGGGGATGCTAAATGAATAGTTAAGATTTGGATGAGGATTAAAGATCTTCGCTGATGGATTCATACGACGATGGTTGAATGGGGTTTATTTCGAACGACTTTGATATGAAACAATATTATTTTTGTGCGTGTAGTTAGATAATTTAAGAATACAGCCACGTTTGGATAGAATTCTTCCAATAATGCTCGTTCACCATAAGATTGATATAAGTATAAGGGTGATAGAATGACGCTATTTCCCCAATTTGGCTCATCTCTGAAAGCATCATCGAAGATAGGATACTCAGGGGCGATGGAAGAAACCATACCATTACTCAATTGTACTTCAGCTATAGGACGAACAATCGAACATCCATGTGCTTGGACATAAAATACCGTTGAATAGCAGAAACAACTAGATGCGTCTCTTCGAGTCAACCAAACTTCTCTCGATGTGGACAGTCGGTAAATACAGATTGCATATTAATTTGGACAGCACGATTGACTATGGCATGAATACGATTTAGAAGTTCGATAGAACTATTGAATGTACCAGATACGTCGTTATTGACACGCAATGTATAACTTTTCATGTCGGTCATCTGCGGTGCGTATGTCAAGTTTTCCACTTGTACATATCGAAAGCCATGGTATCTACATCAGAATAGTTCGTTAATGATAATTTTTGTTTATCAAAAACTAACAACATACCGAAAAGTTGGAATATATTTTTCAGTACCATTTCCTGAAAAAGTATGACGGTCATAAATTGGTGTTCCCTCAGTAATTTGATTGATTGTTCCATCCTGTTGCAGTATTTCAGCTGGTCGCACCGTTGCTGTTGTGCTACGAGCATCTTTCATAGTGAATTCTGGTCAACCAGCATGACTGACTCCAAAATCAACAACATATGTACCATTACCTTGATCACGAACAGCAATCGCGTTTATATCTTCCACTGATTCAATCGCAGAAAACTCTTGAGCACGACATTTTGCATTAGGATTTGGTATACTCGAAACGTCTGCCATTTTCCATGTTGAATGATGATAGCTTGGTGTATCCCAACCGGGCAATTCCTTCCGGGCATCGTACTCTTCACCATCATACCAACCAGATTCGAGTAATGAACCCGTAACAGTAGTTAACCAATTCGAGTCTGATACAATCGTTTGGTTGCTTTCATTTGTATAAATCAACTGCAATTGTGCAATTAATTTCATCGGATGTGGCATAGTTATGAACTTGTAGTACTGCGGTCTCTTAAGGGTTTCTCTGCTCTGTAGATACCTTTCCCAAAGCTACACCTAAGACATTGTCTCCAGTTTGAAGAACAGGCGTTACATCATAAGTTGAATATTCGAACGTTTTATTCCAATCAAAGTATTCTCGATTCAGAACACCACTGGAAACCAACTTTCCATTAATTGTTACTACAAATTGTCCTAAACCTACTATCCATAATCATGCGCTTGATATCGAATTAGAGCTAGTGAAATATTTGATAAAGTATGGAAATGATGTACTTCCAGTCATATAATGTTTATTTTCGATCCAAACTGCCGGATCCCAATCATATCTATGTCGAAGACCAATTTCAAATACTGATACTTTGCTCCATGCAGAGATATTTTCATCCGTATTCCAGAGACATATTCGCCAATAAACTCTTTCTGTCGACGCTAATCGTGGTCCTGCCCATAGGACTACTGTCGAATTAGATATAACTTTTCCAGAATTCCACAAAGGATTGTAGTTTAAATCTTCTCGCTGACGACCAGATCGAATTTCATAAGCTTGCTGATCTTTACCACGAATATTCTTTGAACTTTGTATACGCCAACTCTGTGTTCGTAGACTGTACGATGACAATCCAACGGACCAACCATCACACAAGGAAATTGTAAATGCAAATCGTAGAAGAAAATGCATTTCAGGATATATATATGTGATGTCAATTTTTGTCTTTTCGAAATATTTTGAAAAAAAAGAGATAAGAAAAACACACCTTGTGCTTATGTAACGATCCTACATCACCATATTGTAAGAAACTGATCTAGTTGAATAATTTTCTTTCCTCTGTAACGTTAGAAACCGTTGTTGTAGTGTGATTCATATGATGAATATAGACAATTTGTAATATATTGAAATTAGAAAAAGAAAGCAAAAATTCACGGAAAAAGGCTGTTAAGGTGATGTTTATGTGAGAAAAATGAATGATAAGATGAAAATTGCAACATAGAGACCATACTGTTTATGTGCTTGATGTACTGCTTGACCATTCGAATATGTGATCATGGTTGGTAGAGCTCGGCGAATATAGATAACGCATATCACGATAAATATTAAGATAGTTATTGCTTGAAATAATGAAACAACCATAACGAATGTATAGGGCGTTGAATGACAATATGTTTGAGTTTGTGTTGGATCGGTATGCTGAATTGTAGATCGAATTGATGTCGACCAGTAAATACCCTATATAAGATTGATGTTCGGACATGATGTAAGAATTTCAAACAAATATACGAACCAGAATTGACCATGCAAAATTAAAGAAAGCAGATATGACTATAATTAATGTACCCATGAATAGTAATAAACTGGACGATGTTTTTCTGCAATAACGATCTGTAAGCACAGCAAAACCTAACTGTAAAGAGACAATCGATTCGAGTCAGCAAAAGCATCATCTTATTGACAAAGAAGTACATACTATACTAAGTGTGACAAAAATACAAAACAACCCACGAAATCCAGATGTGACTAGCCAAATGGGAATTGGTGTTTGTGCTGAACATTGTTTTTTATAAAGAGTGCCAAGACATAATTTAGTAATTGGCAGACTTGCTGTTACAAAAATAATACTCGTAACTACACCAGAAAAACGCAGATTACTGATGGAATCGATTACATTCTGTATGGATGCGATTGGAATGATACCGGTATTTGGAGTTGGTGTTTCCGCCATTTCTTCTACATAAGATGGATGTCACAGGAAGCGACTCTGCATGGAGACCAACAAATATGATATAATGGATGAAAAATAAAAGAAATGGAAAGAAAAGTGTGTTATACTTCAGCAAGTGTAGCATGATGAAAGAAAAAAGAATAAAAAATATTAGAAAATTTTAATAGCATAACATAAAACAATGAACACTTGAAAGAAAGTCACTAGAAGAAAACTCGAGCCAAGATGCTAAAATAAACATACAAAATTCAATGATAGTGCTATTCAAATGAATAAAAGTTTTTTACTTGATAACATATTCTTCATTGTATGAAAACTCCTGATCGCATAAAAGAGAATCACAGACAATGGTTGCTATATTTTTCTTCTAGTACTTTAGCATGAACATTATAATAGAATCGTCATGACTATCAGCTTTCGATGAAATTAGATGAATAAATACTGCGTCATAAAGCCTCGCTCACGCAAGATTAGCATAAGCCAGTTCTTGAATCATCCATTTCAATAGTTTCATGATTGTATAGAATGACAGCTAATCAAATGCGAGAGAGAGAGAGAGAGAGATCCCGAGAAAATAGACATGAAGGATCAAAAGGGAAGAAAGAAAAGCAATTAATTTTATGTGCCACAAAAGAACTCGTAATAATTTAGTACTGCCTTATTGATGTGACAAGAAAAATGCCTCCCGTTTACTCATCTATTGTAGTCGATAAAATACTTCATATTTTCTTGTTCTTTAGGTAATCGATAAAGAAAAAGTGAATACATTGCGACCACAAATTCTGTTTTTATCATCTATTACGATTGTGTGTTCAAACAACGCAGTATCCATTAATATAAAATTAATCTTTTCTCTTCTTGAAAAATAGTCGCATGCCTTAAAAGTAGACGGACACTCATTGAAATTTATTTCTTATTTTTCTGCTCCTTTGAGAACATCTCGTCGCAAAAAAATGTCTTCACCACTACCATCTTCGTCTTCTATTATGACACTAGAAACAATCGTCCAGTCATGGTTTATTCCAGTCGATATTTTTATGATTACGTGCACTATCGTAGCTATTGTACTTTCGGTGATCTTTCTGTGCATTATTATCGTCGATCGGTCATGTCATACAGTACCGATGATGTTAGTTGCTAATTCATGTCTTTCTGTACTTGTATTCGCATGTGTATTGCTCAGCATGTCAATCTTTACATTGGAAAATGATCTCAAAAGAATTGATTATGAAGATTCGCAATGTATTGTTCGGGCTTATTTTGACTATGTGGCTGCTGCTCTAGTAAACTATTCATTTCTAGTGCAAGCACTCTATCGCTACACTGTTGCCGTCTATCCGGCTCGTTTATTTTGGCATTCAGCGAAATCTCAATTGATGATTATTTGTTTCACATGGCTGATTGGAATCACATTCCCATTTGTATTTATTTTCAGTGGAAAAGTTATCTACAACGCGGACAATCAGATATGTCAAACACCTGTGGTACCCTCATTCTACATTGTTTATCCCGCTTCATGTATCTATGGAGTACCTGTGTCGGCAATCATGTTTATTTATTATAAACTGTTGCAGCATGTTCATCGAATGAAATGTCGTGTGGTACCTGTTGCGAAATTATTTCGAGCACAACGACATTTAAAAATGGCTCAACAAATTATGATTGTCGTTGGTATTTTATTAACGATCGGTTTTCCTTATGCATTATTTATTGGTATGACTTTTTTCACTAAGCCACCAAAGTACCACTATCGAATCGCATTTTTATTTGTCGATGTATCATTAGCATTGGTCGTCATTGCTTTGTTTCAATTAACCCAACCAGTGAAATCATTCCTAATGAAAAAACTAACACGGCAGCCTAATACACAAATTGCATTGACATGATCGTATACACTTGTTTAAAAACAACTAAAAGATCGATGTTTTCTATATCATGAATAGACGTCTACAGACAAGACCATCTGTGAATCATTGTTCTTGACTTTTTAGGCATTTAAAATGATAGCAGAAAGGAAAAGGAAACTCTTTCTAACTAATTCAGTCTAGACAAATGCCAAATGTAATTTTAGGGTTGCATTCAGATTTACGAGGGTTGGCCGGAAATTAAATCTAGTTCTTTTCATAATTAATTATAATATAAATTAGCAATTAATTAAGTTCAATGTACTATATAGATATTTATAGTCTTCCATATTCTTCGATTTTTAAAATTCTATTCCGAACTGATTCCGATCAAAATTAAAGAATTTGATGTAATAATGTATGCTTTGATTTATTCGCAATTGAAGAGCGTGTGTGTGCTACTCAACTGATTTAATCAAACAATAGAGAAGTGAACGCACACATAGAGAACAAAATTAATGAAGAAAAATTCTCTAGTGAGTTTCGACATCCTATATTTATCGATGTTATGTTACAACATTGTTGTTGATCTAATCGTATGGCTTCATAGACTAGTGTCATTATCTTTCCATACTTTCCAGTTTCGTATTTCTCACCGTCAAAAGTACCATTAATGCATGGCGTATGTCGTTTGTTTGTCAGCAGAATAATAGCAATGGAACATTTCGGATCAATGACTGTACATGTTCCTGTCCATCCTGTATGACCATATGCTTCCTTGGCCGCATGAAGACCGAACCAGGATAGAGTCTGATTATAGTTCAAACGCCATCCTAGACCGTAGGTTGGATCACGTGAATAGGGTGTCAAAAAAAGTTCTTGAACAGTTTCATTCCAAAACTGTACATTTCCATAAGTACCATTGTTTAACATAACTTGAGTAAGAATAGTCATGTCGTGTAAATTTGAGAATAAACCAGCATGCCCTGAAAGACCATTCATGGAATAGAACGACTTTTCGTCATGAACTTGTCCTTGTAAAACATATCGGCGGACATTCGGAAAATCAATAGTATTATTCCGTGTGTTGCCCTTAAGTTCTGTTGCAGCAAAATCAGTTTTTTGATAATTGAAACCATTCACAGGATTAAATAATGTATGAGTTAGTCCTAATGGTTGGTAGATAGTTGACTTCACGTATTGATCTATTCGCATACCGGTAATATGTTCGATAACGAGACCCAATAGTATATAATCAATGTCTGAATAAAGTGGTATTTGATCATCACCTCTCGGTCGTTGAAAGCCTAATTTTGTTTCGATGATTTCTCCAGTTTTATTCTTATCTTGAGAATATAAATCCGCCGAAACTTTCTTCGGATTGTAAAATTCGACGCTTGAAGCATATCCAGCTGTATGTGTCAATAAATCTTTGATTAGCCTTGCTTCACGACATTCATTTTCTGGATTACAGCCACGATAATAAGGAATATATTTCATAATCGGATCATGAACATTTAACTTTCCTTGATGAACTAAGTGCATTAACGCATAATTCGTTGCGTACATTTTTGTTAATGAAGCCATATCAAACATAGTATCTAGCGCTAACAATTGTGGTTCATCTATTACTGTTCCATTGTCGTCGTACTTCAATTTATAACCATAGACTTTTTGTTTTAATACTTTACCGTTCTGTATCACGCTGAGAGCAACTCCAGGAAAACCTTGTTGAATTTCGTCTTCGATGAATTTATCAAGTATGTCATCATCGAGTCGTATTGAGCTTATTAAATGGTCATTTATGAAAAAAAATGCCAACAGAAGCAATGAAATATTTTGATAAGACTTACAAAACATTTTCACTTTCTATATACTACGATCAGAAAGATTCATGTGTTTCTCTTTATCTTTGCTTTCTATTTTGATAAGATGCAGATTATTTTTTACAAAAACCTTTGAGTATCACATGATTTATGGTAGTAAGTCATTTTGTCATATATTTTTAATGCAAGCAAAAAGTAGTAATGTTATATATCGAAGAAAAATCAAATGTGAAGGTAGAATTTGGCGTCGTTAGCGAACATTTCCACGATGTCTTTCCGGTTGTACGTATTCTAATGGTTGGTCTCCTGAAAGGAAAAAAGTAGATTTAAAATAAAATATTTTATAATGGATCGAGTTTACGTCGAATTAAAGGTAGAGCTTCACCATGGAAATACTTAATCCGATGTTTGGGTGATTTGTTAGAGCAGTTAGCTTGTTTTTGACATGGAATAAGATAATCAGGCAAATCTGTATGACGATACTCTGCCCGATGCACTGGATCATCTTTTTTCAGACAACTTTTATCTTGTGCACATTTCAGAACATTATGCCGTTCGTGTGTCAGGTGAGGTTCCTTTACTTTTCTTGTACATAATTCTGAAAAGCTACAAGGGTGAGAATATTCTTTAATATGCCTCGATGACTTTTGCTGTAAACAATAAACAGAATCGGTGCAAGGTTTCAGTTTTGGAGGAGCCGCGTCATCTACTTCAACTGGCACAACTGCATTAACGTTATTACAGCATAACGCATGACCCACACGATCTAATAGACTGAAAGTCTGATTATTTGACGGTGGTACAATTCGCATAGGTCGAATTCTTTTAATTCGTTTAGTATCAAGCGCATTGGGATCAACATAGGAAACTGGAACAAGATGTCTTTCAAGTAAACTAGATGTATCTATTTTGAAAGTTGTATCGATCGATGGATGCAATTCAGGGATTGGTTCAAAACTAATCGTTAGATTTCGTACAGGAACATCGTGATAGCCAGCACTTAAATGAATATATTCTAGTTTTGATAAATCTAAATCAGATTTACTGAAGCGACATTCAATCTTCTCATGATTATATAGACTATTGGGTCCGGCATGACTTAACGTTACTAGACCTGCTGCATGATCTATCTTTAGACACAGAGTAAAGTAATCATCTGTATTACATCCACGATAGAATGCATTTGATTTCGCTTTGAATTGACTGGTGTTAACATTGTTTGCATGTTGATATGGTGAACCATCATTTAAATAAGAATATGCTTCACGATATTCATTAGTTGTTGTTGTCGTTGACGGCTTCAATGCAATATAGCAAATCAGACAGCGAAGATCGAATTGTTCCTCGTCGGTAATGATCTTTTCATTAGCCAATGTTAACATCATATCACCATTCATGGCTTGCCAATATATATACGTCACTTGATGACCGCTTTCTGATTGANTCTTTGAGGATTTTGTAAAGTATATTTGCATTGACATAATTTACATTGTTCATTCGTTGGTTGATATTCATCTGAAAGATCTGATTTGACGTTGGTGAAGTTAGCACCATATTCGAGTAAAAGCTTCCCATATTCGTTCAGGAATGCGTTCCACGTAGAACTCAATGAGCTCTAACTAGTGGTATGCTCAGTTTTCCCATAACTCGAGTTTTTATTTTTAGACTTCTAATAACGGCAGTACTGATGCGAAAAACCAAAGTTGGGACTAGGTCGCAACTGAGCATACCATTAGATAGAGCTCGCCGAGTTCTACTTGGAACGCTGTTTGGAACGGTTGGAACGCATTCCTAAACGAATATGGAAAGCTTTTACTCGAATATGGTGCTAACTTCACCAACGTATTCATTTATTGTTTGTAAATATAAGTACAAATTTTCTTTCCAATTTTTGTGTAGATGCTATTTTTGTTTCGCTTGCCTAATTCGTATTTGTTTATATTCAATATTCACTTGTTTTTCCTTTTCTTGAGGGTGGTGGATCATTATGTCATCAATGTATCTTTGTTCCATATAGAAACGTTTTAATAGAACTCCTACTGAATAGTAAGAAATTTATTTTTAAAAGTTATCAACAATCACAAATTTTAACATTTCAATCGATACTACCGACATAAAATGTTTTCATTATGTTGAGTAATAACACGCAAAACGATTGTCGTGCTAATTTAAAAATGACTGAAACGAACATCGTTTAAAATGTTATAATTTTAAAAAATATATTTTCGAACAAAAAATTATAAGGATATTTTTTTGTTGCATTTATGAATATGAGTTGGATATATAAGATATAATTTCTGTTCTGAAATAGTGATAAAAAAAGGAATCTGAAGGGAAGTAATATCAAAAACAAATTTAAAGCGTTCAGAAAAAAACTACATTATAGTGATATGGAAAATAATTGACTAATAGTGAAAATGTCGAGTTTAGATCTTCCACCAAAGTGCTGGTACAACAGGTGGCATCCAATCGGATAATGATGTATGAGATTGTCGACATCGATATGATTTTCCTTCGTAGATTACTTGATCTCCTACTGAATATAATTTAAATGGTGTCCATTGAGAAGAAGTGTTTTGATCAGATAGTTGAAACGTTGTTGTTTTAACTTGTTTGGTGGTTGTCATTAATGCTGTTACGATTTCGAGACGCCAAAGTGAACAATCTAACGGTGGCGTCTTATTTCGTGCTGATTTGTGTGTTTTAATACATCGATAGACTTTGCCATTGTACATCACTCGATGCCCTATTTTGTATTGAACTTTGGGTTTCCATGGATAAATTTTTGCAAATGAAGGAGAAGTCAACGTTGGACGCTTTGTTGTTTTTATTAATGGAAGATTATCTTTATTTAATGCATTAAATGTTGCACTAATTAATTCCGCTTGTCGATCAGAACTTAAGTGCCAGAAAAATGCTCCCCCTAATCCATTTTGTTTAATATAATTATTCTTAAAATTTATGGATTCTACATCATCATAATGTTACAGGCATGTACGTATACATGCCTTCACATCCTTCCATTCATCTGCTTCTGTTATCATCATGATACATTCTTTTTCATATTGTTTCGAATAAACAGATTGAGATTCGTCGCTCGAGNTTCACAGTGAATTGCGTGTATACCTTTTGAAACAGCAATGTGTGCTTGCGCAAATGGTTCAAAATTTTTTCGTACAAGAACACGTATATTAGCTGGATTAGATTTCGAATGGCCATGTAATAAACTTTCAATTGATCCATGTCGATTCATGGGTGAATTTGATATATACATGTGTAGTGAAAACCGATGCTCATGCATACATCGTTTCTTTGCTTGTCTCTTCAAACAACTTCATCGAAAATGTATGCCATAGAAAGGAGACTTGTCTATCTCCTCATTTATCATCAATGTTTGATATGATTCGAGACGTCCCGTCGTCGTCAATCATTAGTCGATGATCTTGCGTATATACAAGAGAAACACATGTAATCTTCATCACTGAGGTGATAACAGATGTATACATTTTGCTAGCAACTATCCAAATAAATCGAGCAAAACTTACCAGTGTGTTTAACAAGAATCTCTTTGATTTTTTTTCCACATTTTTTTTCTCTCTGTCTGCTGCTGTTGTTGTTGTAACAGAAGAATCAATCGAATAATTATCTTCCTTTTAACATAACGATAACGATGATATAGACGTATCTAAAAATCTATTTTGAAAATAATATGACATGATAAGTAGTCGCTGGCGTCGTGAGTATGCGAATGCGTCTATTACTACTGCCATTACTCGACGTATACACATATGATTAGAGTTAAACACAAAAGCGAACGAGAATAAAAAAAAGAAAGATGGGGAGCACAAGGAGGGAAAGAAGCGATTTTCATTTTTTTAGCTCTCCGAAGAAGAAAAATGGCTGGTGAAGACGGAGATCCGAGAAGCATCAACACACACGCGCTCGGAAACAAAAAAGCAGGAGAGAATAGGAATAGAAAGAAGAATCTATATACACTATAAGTGAATTTTTACCACCAGACTATGTTAGTCAGTCGATCTACAGATTAGATGATCGAGAAGAATCGAAGAGAAAACTATCGCTTGATTAGAATACCAAATAAAAATATATATGCGTGTGTAATCGTGGATGTGATCGAATGAGAAATGATAAATGCTGTTCAATCGTTTTACTTATATCGTGCACATTGCCACAATAACATAGCACAAATAAGAAGAATGGTAGAATAAGCAATGAGAGAGAGAGAGAGAGAAAAAGAAAAGAGACGAATGAGTAAGTACCTTTTCTTGACTACTCCTATTTTTCTCGTTGGAGAAACCTGTCAAATATATTTATCGTTAACTTGATGATATACAATAAAGGCCTATCTCATAATAACAATTCATTGAAACTGAAGTAAACACTTCATCTACTCATCTTTTCATCCTTCTGCTTAACTGTTTGTCAAGTGATTAGATGAAGGATACCATATGGTTCATAAAGTAGTGTCGAATGTTAAAATCAAGGAGATAAAACGACGTTTTATTTTAGTTAATGACAGGCACGTCATAGAAAACGAGAGAATCTTATGCAATATAAATATGATCATGTTCAATTTCCGGTCAATTCTTTTTCTCTCGCCAGTTTCTTTTTTTGTTCAATTGAAAGTGAAAATACATCTATACCTTGTCGTCGCCGTCGTTGTTGACGTTATTGCATGATGTCTGTATTGAAACAAAGAGAGAGGGAGAGAATTTGTACGTAGATAAGTGGAAAAAAATGGCCGAGAACAAAGCGCTGACCATCGGTTAAAAAGAATATTTAAAAAAAAAGAGAAAGAGAGATGGAAGGTTTAGACTTATGTAATAGGAGAGATGACATCGATTTGATATATGTGTGTACAGATAGAAAATATCGAAAAAGAAATTAATGTTAACCATGTATATGAGATGAAATCAGTTTTATCGAGTGTACGATAAGTATAACATTAATCAGATGAAGTGTGTTCAAGTTAAAGCTTTTTTTTTTAAATCTATTGAATAGAGATAGAGTGAATAAGAATTGATTTATTTGTTAATGTTAGAGAGGGTTAAAGTAAAGCTTTGAATTTCTGTACAAGTTGTTCTTTTACACATTGAAAAGAAAAATAAAAGTCATACAGGATGAGTCGTCAGACTAAGTACAGTTGATTCATCTCTAATGGCATTTTTCGTTCTACGAGCTTTTTGTTGACGTTGCGTTGTTCGTCTTTGAGTCAGCTTATTACATTGTTTCTCAATAATACTATAGATAAATAAGACGGCTATCGCTGTACAGACAAGTAAAACAATGCCACCAAAAAGAATCAAGAAAGATGATTGTTTAATTGTATTGCTTTTGGCGGATGCTTGACTCGTCCATTGTAATTTGTCGGTATGACCTTATCGAAAAGTATGTATTCATTCGATATGAAAAGAATTCTTTGAACATACAATTTGTAAATGTGCTTATGTTGAGTACAGCAATAGCCATCGAAATCCGGCGAGATGTCTTTAGACTAGGTATGAATCGGAACTAGAAAATAGAGATTTAATTCAATTCAAATGACTGCTGCTATCAGCTTACTCGAACGTATTCTTCACTTTGATTGATCAAGTTGATACTAAGTTGATGATAGTTCCATTGCGTATCAACAGCCACATAATTCCATATATAATCCCATTTGTTTTGATTGTGTAAAAGAACATGAAGCCTGGAATCGATGGATGTTTGACTTACTTTAGAATAGAATGTAATATTAATTTCATTGCATGCATTTATCTTTGAACTTTCAACAAAAGATTCATTGTTTATGGGATCTCTTTGACTAATACCGAAGTACTCAACTAAAAAGGAAATCAAAATGAAGGCTAAATCGATCTTTCTCCAATACAATAGGAGAGAAAGAGAGTAATGGAAAAGTAATAACGGTACCTGAATTATTGTACGGCTTGTCATTGAAGAGATCATTACGCAGTTTCCATGGCGGTTGGAAAAACCAGGTACAATATGTTTCATTCAAATGTATTTTCACTAAAATTTTCTCTGCTTTAAGCGATGTTTTAAGAATGACTTGATTTGTTTTTTCTAAGTGTAACAAAACAATAAGAACGAGACACAAGAACAATGATTTCATATCTTAGAGAAACTTGTCGTTACTAGGATAATGATAGAGTGAGAAAAAAAAACAGATAGTGACGAAATTCATGCTCGACTCAAATTTATTCTGAGGATTAGCGAATAAACAACACAAAACATATGCAATCACGCAAACTATCTCCGGTCAAATTTCTTCTTTTGTGCTCTTCTAAAATGAGTATAGTCTAAACACTATCTCTTCTGTTCACAAGATTTTCTATGCTCGCGAAAACCTATAGGTAACGATGCGTCCATGATTAGAATATCATTTTCATGTTTTTCCTACATACTATCACATTTGTCCCTTTCCTTTCCGGCCAAACACGTTTTCTCAGACTAGTGGTCTGGAGAATGGTTGCAGATTTCAATGATTCATTTGAATTGAAAGTGTTGCTCGGGCAGATCAGTGTTGCCATCGATCCGCTGGTTTTCCTCATCGCAACGTGTATTCTATGAATGTGACACATACCTCTTGGTAAATTGTAATAAGCAACATTCATTGATGCTGCCGGACCCACGGGTTCTGCTCAGTCCTTACACGTCTCGCTTTTTTCTCAGCTTCCTTCCAAGGCACAAAAGTAAAGACAATCACAACAAACTGTCTGTCACATCACGAAGGAGAGTTATTTATTACAACTAATACCAAGAGGTAAAGGATCTTGCTAGATCAAAGCACATGTTGCAATGACGAAAAACAGCGGACCGGTGGCAACACCGATCTGCCAGAGCAACACTTTCAATTCCAAACAATCACAAGACACCACACTCCATCTATCTGTGTATTCATGTCATTCGTCTGATGAAATATCTTTGCGTAAGAAGCGAAGAATATCAATCGTGTAAAGACACGGAGGAGAAAACATCGACGAAATCGTGATGTTAGTTATCGCTTCTCGGCCTTTTCGGCTAAGATCAAAGTGTAGTATCTGTTCTCGTCGGTTTGAAAGCCGGCGCTGGTCCCATCGGGGCCAGGCTCTTTCAAGCGGATTTTTGGACATGGGCCAGGATCACCCGAGTTCACTCGGACCTGTGCCACGGATCGTCTCGACACTGCAGTGCCGTCGAGTTCGGTCCACTCTCGTTCCTTCGGGAACGGGAATCATGTAAATAAATGAAAGTAATGGTACAGTTATTGTAATGAGTTGCTAGTTTACTTGGTGAATAAATGACAATACCATGTTCAAAATCGTCGAGTACAACCAAACATTATATCAAGACCGTTGTTCACTGGTCAATCGGTGAACATTATGAAGGGAATTCTGATTCCAGTGTAAAAATTGATAATCAGCTTGGCCTTTTTATCAAGTGCCAGATTGACTAGAATATGCGGCTTAACAAAAATGCACCATTCTGATTTATCGCATCGACGAGCGATGCTTTCGACCAGAAATGAAGAAGAGACTATTAGAATACATCCTCTAAGGAAAACTGACGGAAAAATCTGCACGTTGGAATACAGAGACTTGTACATTCGAAGCAATACAAGGAAGTAAAGCATTATCATGAGCGTTAATGAAAGTGGCTTATGCCATACTTGACTACAAACGAGCCTCAGAAATGGTTGAAATTCTTTCATGACCGAAATGGAATAGACAGCTGTGCCGAAATCACGTCCTCAAATAAGAACAGTTCTTTCACCTGCAGTTATAGAAACATTATCGGAGTTAACGATTTTCTGAAGCAAAGTGCAATCAGTTACACTCTCCACAGCACAAAACGGAAAATATTGCATTGCGTAGCAATTATAAAGATATCATTGGACGATAACCATTTTTTTTATTAGTAATAAATACATTAATCCTCACTAACATTTTATGAATTTCTTTCTCCAGTATTCCGCTTGGACACAGCTTATGCTATGCAGAATATTTCGTGGCTTGATTCGTTCGATAGTATTCATATAAGTGTACCTTTATGAATAGAAAGGGTTGCTCTGGCAGTTCAGTGTTGCCACCGATCCGCACGTTTTCGTCATCGCAACGCGTTTTTTTTTTATCAATGTGATATCTACCTCTTGGTAAGCTTAATAAGCGACTTTCATCCATCTTTATAGTGCCCGACATCTGACTTGTCCTGACACTTTTCACTTCAGCTTACTAAGAGGTGAAATATCGTGCGAGATGAAATTAAATGTTGTGATGACCATATGAAGTAGGTTGGTGATAAAACTGAAGTGTCAGAGCGACACCTTCTAATCAAAGTAATGAAAAAAGTCGCAGCTAGAACTTTGCGCTTACGGCAGGCTAACTATTTGAAATGAATGATAGAAAACATTATTGAGATGAGTCCGAGAACAATAGTCATTGAATTTATTGAAATTATTCAAAATGAAAAACATACAGAGTCAGGTTTTATGAAAATGAAAATGTACAAGCGGTCGAAGTCCAGAAGGAATTTCATCAATTATCTCTTGGATATGGTCAGGAACGGGAAGTGATGAACGTTGTCGCCATGGAATTGTTCGTCGAATTAAAATTGTTGCTTGATCACGTAATGATGCTGGTGAACATTTTGGCCACTGTATATCTTTTGTTGTTCCATACATGTAATCATCGCCTGCTTCGGGATATGCAGAGTAAATGTTAAAAAAGAGAGTACTCATCTAAACGAAACGAAAAGTACAACTTCTGAGTATTACACGTACGTTCGGATGTCAGAACATCGTTGACACACAACGGATACTGTTCAGTACAAATTCATCCAATGAGCATTGTTGAGCAAAGTGACCATGATTCGCTTTTTTGGATCGTTCGAGTATGGTTCTACTGTTTTACAGAGTTTGAACCTTTAAGAATATGTGAGAAAATCGAAGTAAAGAATTTTAATTTTCTACTTTGAGATTCTAATTTATTCAACGTAATATTTATTCAAACGAGCTCTCACGAACGACATCTATGCTTGAGCTAAGTTTGCTTTTAATATTCTCAAGCTAGTGATAAGTAAACACAAATATTTGTACGCTGCACTAAGAAGAAAGCTTCTTCAAAAATATAGTTTATAGGTCGGCATATTACATTTCAAGGCAAATAATTGGAAATAATGCCGAATCACTTGAATTGCCTTCCGAACATATTCGATTTCAATTTCTCACATCGACGACAGAGCAAATATGTTCTGCTACTTGACGGTAAAGATCGTATCGTGGATATAAATAATCTGGTAAAAAGCGATAATGTGAGTTATTTTCTATACATAACATGATGATGATGGTCTCTCGTTCTGCCGTCCTTGCTTGCCTCGTTCTATGCAGTGAGTTTCCTTCGAAATACAAACGAAATCGCTTTCATGATTGCTGTAGTTTTTCTTCCATTGAACGATGGTTTAAAATGCTACTCATGTACAGTTTGCAATGATCCTTTCAATGAAGGCGATATGAAGATAGAAGAAAAGCCTGATAATGAAGGTTACTATTGCACAGTACGTCAATCTTGTTCTATTTCGTTACTATTTGATCATAATCTTGGGTAAAATCTAGAAAATCCATGCTGGAATCGCGGTAAACCGTGGTATATCGAAAAAATGTGATCCAATCCATGTGTTTGGCAAAGGTCAATGGTGCTGTCAAAAAGACCTGTGCAATCACAGCAACAAAATAACATCAACGAGTATCATATTGTTTGCTTTGATAATGACTGTGTCAATGAAGTTTTTCTAATTTCTCTTTTTTTCTATTCAATAAAATTGCATCAATTGGGAAACAACATGTAGGGATTCTATCTACTATGTTCGAAAAGGACGAGTATTCGGCGTCAGACGGTGTCGATGATGGTTTTCTATTTCGAGAAATGAATAAGTTCACTTGATAACCAAGAAATATTCATTTTTTTGTTTATTTTCTTCAATTCCAGCAGATACTGTTCTGTTTTATTGTCGATTAGATTATTTTCGAGATTGAGAGTGATGAGTGTCTGAAAATACATAAAACAATCGATCTCAATGAGCAGACATTCAGTATATCAACTTACGGAATTGTATTGCAAGACGTCGCGTAATAGTTTTACGCCTTTTTCACCAATATTATTGCCTGCTAGATTAAGATTTGTCAAAGTCTATTGAAAGTATATCGAATGACTAAACTAGATCACGAAAGTTTATCCAAACCTTATTATTACGCAATGCATCACAGAGATATCGAACACCTTTATCGTCAATGTGATTACAGCAAAGATTGAGCATAGTAAGTGTCTATATTGAAGCGATTAAAGACAGATTAGAAATAAATGAAAAGAATATTTAATTCACTTTGTTTTGTTGTAACGCACCATTAAGATATTGTATACCTCGCTCGTTAATATCATTGTATCCAAGATCAAGTACGCGAAGAGTCTACGAGAAATACTTCAATGAGGCGAAACGAACTAGTCTGACTTATTTTTATACTTTATTCTTCAGTAAAGCATCGCGTAAATACTGTGCTCCTTCATGTTGTATTCGATTAAAAGCCAAAACTAGTGTAGTGAGCGACTATAACGTTGGATAAAACCTAGTAAATACAATTCAATGTTGTATTCACTTACTGAATTGTGTTGCAACCCATAACTTAAATGTTCAACACCAGTATTTCCGATTTCATTCGAAGTTAATATGAGTGTCTGAAGTGTCTAGAAGCATGTCAATGGGATAACCACAAGAATAAAGTTTGTTTCTTGATTACTCTGTTGTATTGTAATGCATCGCTAAGATATTTAATTCCTTCATCCGGAATTTTTGAGCAATCCAAATTCGATGTAGCGCGATTCTACATTATGCAGTTTAAAAATGTTCGAAACAAAAACATCCATTCGCTTTACTCGATTATTTTGCCAAGTGTCATATCCGCCACTACCAATTTGATTATTTTCCAGATTCAATGTAGTAAGTGCCTATGAAAGAAGACAATCTAAATGGTTTAGGGATCGAAAAACACCTCTCTGTTCTTACGTGGTTGCGCTTCAAAGCATCCTTCAAGCATTTCGCTCCAATTTCTCCAATCTGATTCGAAGAAAGATTGAGTACATTAAGTATCTATATCGAGTAGAAAGAAGTGTCATAATAAAAGTATGTGATTTTTACCGAATTGAATCGTAAAGCTTCACCAAGATACAATGCACCCGTTTCCTTGATGTCATTTGATGCAAGGCTAAGTATGGCAAGCGTCTATCTCATTCAACAGGCAGGAGTATTAACGAAGAAAAGAAAATCAAGTGATCATTACCTTGTTTTGTCTTAGAACAACACTGAGATATTTGGCACCTTCATTTTTGACTTTATTGCAATCAAGATAGAGTTCGGAGAGAGCCTACACAGACGAAAATGCTGGAGCGTCGGAATAGACCTTGCTTTATTTACTGTATTGAGACGTAGAACATCACTGAACTGTTCGATTCCTTCACTAGTAATCTGATTATTTTCTAGATTTAATATTGTCAGCGTCTACAACAAATGTTAACTCTGAGAGAAACACAATGAACTAATTGCACTTGCCGAATTTTGTCTCAAGGTATGACTTAAATTTTGAATGCCTTCATCTTTGATCTGATTTTGTTTTAAATTACAGGATTTAAGTGTCTGAATTGGAGAAAAAAAATAAGCAAAAGTCTTCTTTTGAGTTTGGTAATCTCACAGCGTTGATTAGTAAAGCTTTAGCAAGATATGACACTCCTTCATGACCAATATGGTTGCGTTCGAGAGAAAGCGAGACCAAAGCCTACAAGAATGAACATGAATAGAGAATCCCGTCAATGAATTTCTTGTTTTTACTGTATTCTGTTGTAATGCCTCACTTAGACATTGTGCTCCTTGAACTCCGACATCGTTATCTGTTAAACTCAGGAATGTTAATGTCTATATTGGAAAAAGAAACGATCATTCGAAGAACAACAAAGATTCTATTATTCTTACCGCATTGTGTTTAAGTGCATAACTTAAACATTGCACGCCATTATCGTCGATTTGATTTTGGGAAAGATCAAGCATTGTTAATGCCTGAAGTCAACAAAGGAATATGAATTTCTAAAGAAAAAAACGATGTAGGTTATACGGTGTTCTGTTGCAAAGCATAACTCAATTGTTCAATTCCTTGAATATCAATGTGATTGTTTTTAAGGTTGAGTGTAGTGAGCACCTAGATAGTAGTAAACAAAGATAATATAATAATTAAATGCTGTATTTCAAGTTACTTTATTTTGTATTAGTGCATTGCTCAAATATTTTGTACCGCTGCCTCCGGCTCGATTGTTTTCCAAATTGAGCGAAATAAGTTTCTAGATTTATATTCGTATGGTCAAAACTGATTTTTAGAAATTAAGATAATTTTACTGTATCATCTCGTGATAAACAACAAGCTACGATTTCCATATCTTGATCGATAAGTTCCATGGAACTTAGAGATAGATGGGATTTATTTGGTTTTGCACTAATAATTCTTTCTAATCTTGGGTTACGAAACTGCAATGATGATGATGTTCGAATTGCTGATTCCGATAGAACAGTTGTTGGCTGCAAGGAAAATGATCTAACGTTCTGCATTGGATTTCTTGATCTTAGTTCCATCTCGGAGTGCGTTGACATTGGTTCAGCTGACCGAGAAGTGACAGATAAAAATTGAATATTCTTGTCCGACGCGAATAAACTAGTTGATCCCGGAATACTAAGTATATGTACAGGTTGTAACAATGGATAGATCGAGTCGATTTCTTTGAGGTGAATGATATGAAGATTTTCTTGATGTAAATAATCGATCACTTGAAATGATGTACCAGCCATAAGAAGTAATTCGTCTATTGACGGAAAAAATGAATGTTGACGAATATCTTTTCCTGAATGAGATTCAATGATAAATAATGTTCTTGGACTAGACGGATTCAAATAGTGCTCTGACTGGAAAGTGTTCAACACTGTTGTACATAAAGAAAAGCCCCACCAGACAATTATTTTGCCCATAGGATACTTATGACTCAAATCCTTATTGACACACCGGTAAACAGTCTTGGATATATTTTGTAATCGAAATAATCCATTGAGAAAAAGACGCAAATAGAAATACCATGGTTTTAGCTGTTCTCGATTCGATGAACGCAGAGTACTGTTTAATACATAGTACAAGCATTGGTCACGTGGTTTCCATCCCATAGAATAAAGTATAATGGCGGCAGCTTCGTCATTTGTCAGGCCATTCGGAGGGTGTTTACATCTCTGCTTGGCAATCGAAACATAGTTGTTAATCATTGGAATAAAGCCGATCAATTCATCCGCCGCTATTTCTAACGTAACAAGTGGCATAGACTCATAGCCACTGATCGGTGAAAGGAAATCATGAGGCTCATGTTCGATATCAGCTATGCGCGATTCACGATCTGCTATGATTTCTTCTTGTTCGCTCATATAAGTTTTTGCGTAAAATTCACAGTAAAGAAAAAATGTGTCGTTTGGTCTTGGGTTCTTCTCGGCGCTCTTCAACAACTAAAAAAATAAACAGCTATGACGATTGAATACGATTACTGTAGATATAACAAGAACACGGTCGACGAATTTTGAGTAGAAATTTCTTATTTTGAAACGTTCCATTCTTTTGAGCTAGAATACCGTTAAATCGTGCAAGTTCAGGAGGGTGTACACTGAAGATAATGACAGATGAAAACTGATTTAATCTAATCAGAAGTTTATAGCATAAAAAATGAAATAAGCAATATTATCCCAATGTGCGCGAGTGACATCTACAACTCAAGCCATATTTGTTTTTCCTTAAATTACCTACCTCCAACATACCAATGGCTAAACGATTGATTCGTCTCTTATTCTTTATATTTCTTCTTCTTCAATATGTGTATGTGTACGTCTTTTATTGCAAGGTGAACGAACGATTTGTTGTTTATTTTTCTTTCCTCTCTTTCTTCCGAAGTAATTCGATAAACTATCTTGATGTTATAGATTTTAACCTCACGTTAGTGTTTCTTTTCGAGTTTCTTTTTCTTTCTATGATGAGATAAGACAAAAATCCATTCTGTATGGCAGGTATGAAGACATATGACAAGATATACATCTGTAAATTTCGAAAATATCTATGTATATTCCAGGTGATTGGAGAATCAGTGCCGACGATCGAACAAAGTACGATTCGTACTTTCAAAAATGTAATCCGATCCAAGGTTATGTAACGGGTATGATTTGAAAGATGATAGAATGATAAAACAACTAATCACTGATTCTTCAAGGTGAACAGGCACGCTCGTTCTTTGTTCAATCAGGTTTACCCGCCGATGTTCTTCGTAAAATATGGTAAATCTATCTTTTCATCATCATGAAAATGATCACTCAGTTCTCTGTCTATTTACTAGGGATCTTTCGGATATAACCGCGGATGGCCGGTTAGATAAACGAGAATTTACTATTGCTTGTCATTTAATTGCTTCACAAGTACAATAAAACTGAATATTTTCATCGTTTCCATCGAAAACTGTTCCATTTTCATTTAAGGTTCAGAAAAAAGTTCCACTGCCAGCAACACTACCCCCGACGCTTCTCTCTGACGCCATAATTATAACTGCAAATGGTGCTCTACCGGTCATGTCCGCATTCCCAACATCTATCACTCGTAAGTATTCCACTGTTTGACATAGTTGACTTATAATTGCAAATACTATTTTGACATGAAACTATTCATATTGAAGGGCCACCAGTAAATATCTGGACTGGTAAGATCGATCGATCTGTATTGTACACCTTTGTTAACCCCAATAATGCTTCATCTTATTGTGTCTCTCCATTTCATTGACTGATCATCTTCTTTCTCTTTAGCACCTGGTCAACCACTGGCTGCAAGTCATTTGTTGAAGCCAGCAATCATCCCACCTTCCCCATTAACTCCAGCTAGTCGATCAAAATATCTACAACAATTTCATTCATTAGTCGATGTAACCAAAACCAATGGATTTATGACCGGTTCACAAGCAAAAAATATTCTCCAACAAACAGGTTTATCACAAACGTATCTGCATCAAATTTGGTAAGTATTTCAATCTTTCGGGACAATACAATTTTTCAATGCAATGATTTTCTAGGAATTTAGCTGATATTGATAAAGACGGTCGTTTGACACCTGATGAGTTCGTCGTTGCGATGCATTGTTGTGATATTGTACGTGCTGGTCAAACACTGCCAACACGTTTACCAGACGAATGGTTACAAGGAAACACGATGCCACGCGATCAGACAAGTTCATTGGCAAGGCAGAATGTCAGCCCAGCCTTTGCCAGTCTTCATCAAGATTTGAAAGATACATTTTCGTCGCATATTTCGACGGAAAATCACACAAGCGAGAACGCAGAGACTGAGCGAAGGAATAGTATTGTAACTTATGAAGAGAAACGACAGAAAAATTATGAGGTTTGTTGATCTTCTTTCTCCTGAATCGATCTGTACAATTGTCAATCTAATTTCGTGTCCAGGATGGATTCAAAGAAATAGAACGACGGCGACAAATGTTACGTGAACAGGAAGAACGTGAACAGAAATGCCGTGAAGAGCGCGGTAAGATCTTTCTTTTTGGTTTTGGCAAAAGTCCATGTGAATAACTAATGTGTTTGTAGAACGCAAACGTGAATTAGATTTACAAAAGCAAAAAGAAGAACAAGAGCGTAAAAAACAACTAGAATTTGAACGACAATTAGCACGTCAACAACAGATCGAACAGCAAAGAGAGGAAGAACGAAGAAAACTATTCGAACAACGAGAAGTATGTGTCTGAGTCTATCAAAATTATCTGAATGAAGGCGTTTATTTCAGGCAGCAAGAAAAGAAATGGAAAGGAAAAGTCGTCTGGAATGGGAACGTCAACGTTTACAAGAACTATCAGCACAAAAGTCTCGTCTTCTCGAGCAAATCAATGATGTCAAATCACGTGGTAAAGCTCTTGAATTAGAATTACAAAGTATGGGCGATACCATACAAGCACGTCAGACCAAAATTAATCAAACCAATACAAATATTCAAACGATTGATCAATCGATCGATGATATTCAACGACGTGCCCTACAAGACAAAAATCTTCTCGAAAACGTTGAGCAACAAAAAAAAGAGACAATGATGAAGCTACATCGAATACAAACTGAGAAAGAATCGATCACTTCGTCATTGCAACATTTGAGCCAGTCAAAAGAATTTAGTACGAGGACAAAGAAAAGAAATATAGTATGCACTTATTTTGATTTTTAACGTTCAGGTACTGGAAGTCGAGAATCGGACCAACTGAGATTCGCTCAATTACAACTCGACAATATGAAACAAGAAAACGTTCGATTGGATGAACAAATTGCAACCATGAATCATCAATGTAAACAATATCAAAATCAAATGGAGGTTAGTTTGCATTTTGACAACAAAATATTTACCATACTTGCTTTCTGTGAACGTTAGCAACTTCGTCTTCAATTGAGTCAACTTGAACAAAGTGCTCGAAACCCAAAACCATCAGTGAAGTAATAATTGAGAATTATCTTGATGTCGATCTGTTCTTCTTTCTTTTCCAGTAAAACCATGCCTTCAACAGCTCTCGGTACACCTATTTCTATGTATTCTCTTCGCGCTAACCTATCTTGCTTCATTTTTTCTCAGCTAATTACGATCAATTTCATGCTTCGAATGATTACAATCCTTTACCTTCCTCGATTCCCATTGCTTCTCCGTCAGCTCTTGATGTCGATCCGTTCCAAACAGTGGATCCATTTGCTTCTCAATCTGATCTAGGTTCACCTAGTACGACCGAAACAAACAATGTTTGGTTTCAGTCACCTACAAATGCTGTATCGCCAAATGATCCATTTCTTACCAAGCCAGAGTTTGCATCGCAGGCGCCAAAATCCCTGCCGAAAACCAACGGAAAGCAATCATCAGTGGCTGATCCGTGGGGTAGTGCAAACGTAGCAAATAATAATGGAGCGAGTTGGGACGCATTTAGTACTACGAATTCACCATTTGGCACTACAGCGAATGAGTGGCCACAACCACCACCAACCAAAAATGGGAGTGCATCAACTGGTGAGACGTTCTTGGTAGACAAGATCAAATGATTGTCTGAGCTGCCTTTAGGTACAATTCAATATCGTGCATTGTACGATTATGTACCGGAACGATCCGATGAAATTGCAGTCACTGCTGGAGATATTATAACGGTGAGTTCGTTCAGATCTGCGTTTTTCTTAGCGAATCAACGGGATGATTTTTAGAAAAAACCCTCGGAGGCAAGTTTTCCTTACCCTCTACGGACTTTCGCACGTTCATATTTTTAGAGCATGTTTATCTTTCTATTTATCTTCTTCTTGCGCACGTTCATTATGAATGTTAACAAACTGTAACAAGAGCCATTTTCGTTTCGTTTCAGGTCGATCCAACACAACAACAAGACGAAAATTGGCTCTTCGGAAGAACTGGTAATGGTAAAGAAGGATTCTTTCCAAGTGCATACGCTGAACCTATCTCGTAAGAGACGACAAACTACTATACTTCTATCTAGCTCATTATCTTTTCACAAAGATCTTCCACCTCATCTTCCGCCAATGAAAATAGTATCGATACAACTTCACAGTTAATAGTAAGAGACAAGAGAAACAATAAATAAAGATTTGACTAATGCATTTATAGTCTGGTTCGTGGGCAATGACAGTCGCAGATTATCAGGGCAAAACAGTGGATAAGCATTTATCATTTCAAAAAGGTGAAATGATTCTTGTTCGTGAACAGAAAGATGCCACTTGGTACAGTGGACAATTGAACCAAAAAGTAAATCAGTTTTCTCCTTTTTTGTCACGCACGAAAAAATGCATTGCTTTTATTTTTAGGTCGGTTGGTTTCCGAGAAGTTATGTTCGACCAGCAACTGAAGTCGAAATACAAAATAATAAAAATACTGCCAAGTAAACATTTATTTCATCGAAACATTGCATCTATATGAATCTGTCGTTAGGAACACACCCACGACTCCAAGTTCAACGAATGCATTCGCTCCACCCAACGGTGTATCTTCGAATGGCGATGGTATAGGTAATTCTTGTTTTCTTTCTTCTTTTCGCTAACTGACGAACGCAAAAAAAAGTTGAAAAAGAGGAACAGAGAGAGTCAAATTCTAGTTGATATTTAGCTTTACGTCAAGCACCAAATATACCGATGATTGGTAAGTGTACAATGGATAGAAAACGCATTTTTCTTACATTTTTCAATGGTTACGGATCAACAGAGCAATCTGTTTTCTGTTGAAAATGAATTTTATTGCTTTTTACTCTGCTCATTGTTATAAATAAAATCCAACAGAAATTCTGATATCTTCATTGATTAAGTAACAGCTCTTGATATTTTTGCTTCTTTGTTAAAGTCGAACTAAAGAATGAATATCATTTTGCATGTATTCTTTTGTCTAAAATTTTTCTCATTTCCTTTCAATGTCGATCACGATAGCAAAATCTTAGATTTCTTTCTTTCTATCTATTTAGCTGATGTATATGTATCGATCTATTCATATGAAGCAACGGATCCAGGTGACTTAACCTTTGATGTTAACGAACGTATTACCGTGTTGCAACGTGATGGGGATTGGTGGACAGGAAAGATCGGCAATCGTGTGGGAACCTTTCCCAGTAACTACGTACAAAAAGTTGATAATGTAAATATCAAACAAAAATATTTCCTTTCATATTTACTTGATTTTCGGTTGTTGAAGCCATTGCAAGAAACAGTGACAGCTATCAATTCGTTCCATAGTAAAGAGGAGAATCGATTGTCATTTGAGCGAGGTCAACTCATCTACATAAGGAAAAAAGGTGATAAAGGGTGGTATCAAGGAGAAATTCGAGTAAGAAAGTCAAAAAACATGTTTCACTTATCTATTTGTTCCATTTTAAAGGGCGCAAATCAACCAATACAAGTTGGTTGGTTTCCAGCAAGTTGTGTCCATTTACAAAATGCATCCTCACCATCAACACCTACTGCCACATATCAAAATACTCAAGGTAACTGCTGGAAATCATTCAACATTTTGTTCGTAAACATTTTGTATTAGAATATCCACGTTATGTGGCTAATTTTGCATATGAAGCTCAACAAGATGATGAATTAAGTTTTCCAGCTGATGCCATTCTAGAAATCTTAGATCAAGGCGGTAGTACAGGTTGGTTTAAAGCACGTTATAATAATCAAACTGGTCTCGTTCCATCAACATATGTCAAACCATTGGAAGAATCAACGCCATGTAAGTTGACGAATTGCGAATAATCAGTCGCTTTAATAATCATATTCATTTGAGTTTTCTCATTGAATTAATACGGGTGCGCAGCAAGCGATGTATGTGGATTTGATAGCTTCTTTTTCTAGACAGACTAACCGAGCGGAAGATACTAGAAAAAGCCAGAAAAATAGCAACACGCTTTAATTTTCATTTCAAAATATTTTCTTTGGTTAATTCATTTTCGTCCATATTCTAGGACAATGCTAATCATCAGACTCACAAAATACATCAGATGTTAATGGGATTCCAATGCGTATAGACAATGATATAATGTATTTTCTTCATCTTGAATCGAGCATACGCACGAGTATTTCTTTTTTTCTCAATCCACATACATTCGCATCATTTTACAAAACTCTTTCTTCATCATCATCATCTTCTTCTTCTTCCGTGAGTGTGTGTTTTTGTTCGACTTACTGATCTTATATCTTATCAATTTATATCCGTGTGTTCGATAAATATCTGCTTTATGCAATAATCATCTTTGTGCTTATACCTTTTGGTTCTTTAATTTGTGAAACCTGGTGATAAATTTCCTTCTTTTCCTGTGAATGTAATCATCAATCACTAATATTTTTTTCTGTAAAACCGCATCTCTTCTGTTTTTTTTTGTACCACTATCTCATATATCGAAAGAAATACGAAATATAATTATCTACAAAGACACACCCTTCTTCAAATGGTACCATCCATTCAGAGTATCTCGAAAACTCGATCACAGTCAACAATCGTAATTGCAGACGACTTGAAAGTGATATTGTTTATCTTTGATTTGCTAGGAAAACGTGGCGCTATCGATGACGTCTTTTCTCGACATTTTCCTAATGAATCTTATCTTTTTCATTTAACTTGTTTCTCATTTCGACAGCATCTTTGTGCGCATGTTGAGCAGCATGATTGAATAGTTTCAATCTTTTGAAAATGGTGTTGCCAGGAATAACACTGATTGTTTCTCTTCCAGTTTTAACTGCACCACAACATCTGCCAAGTGATCCTTCACGCGTATCTGCGATTCGAGAATTAATTGAAACTGAACAGCGTTATGTCGATGATTTATTCATTGTTGCGAATGATTTTATAAAACCATTAAATAATGCTCGCATTTTAAGCGATTATGAAATCGAACAAATATTTATCAACTGGATTAGTTTAATTGCATTAAATAGTACTCTACTCAGCGCCTTACAAGAACAAGTCAATTATAAGGAAGATATGTCATCGACAGAAAATGGAGTTCTTATGAGAACACCACGATCAGCATCATTATCAAATATTCAACTAGCGCTCCAAGTGCGTAACTGAGCAAAAAGCCCAGATTGATCGTTAAATTTATTTTCGTTTTAGTTACCATCGAGAAACAGCATATCCGATCGTCATCGTTCGCATACACCGGAAGTTTTGCATTCGCCAACTCTTCGTCGTCTTAAACATTTCAGTGTTCATCACAATCGATCACCTTCAAGCCAAAACTTAGCATTAAAAGGAAATATGGAACATTTGGGTGAGCCCGTGTCTCCACCGTCACCCGTATTTCAGTCATCAGCTTCGATGACAATCAATGAATCGACTAAAATCGGTGATATCCTGTGTCTACATTTACCCAGTATGGTGAACGATTACTTTCAATATTGTAGTCGTCGTGCCCAAGCAAATAAATCGTTTCAAGCAAAATGTGATTCGAATGAACATTTTCGGTCCCAATTACAAATATTTCAGGACAAAACCGGTGGCTTATCATTGAACGGTTTTTTGACAAAACCAATCCAACGTGTTACACGTTATCCGCTATTAATCGAAAAAGTTCTCAAGCATACGTCGGAAAAACATGCAGACTATGCCTCAATCAAGCAAGCGCTAGAATGTGCACGTCAATTAAACGAGCGAATCAACAAGCAGATAAGTGAACAAGAAAGTAGTTCACGATTAGATTGGTTACAACAACACTTAACATTTGGTAGTGATGAGAATTGTTCAGATGGCTATTTATTTGATGAACTATTGAAATTTAATTCATTGAATCGATATCATATTCAACGACAGTTACTTTTACATGGCTTAGTCTTAAAAGTAAGAGTGAAATTATCAGATTTCAAGAAACAAGTATCTTGAATTTTAGGTACCAAGTGGTAAAGAATTATTAGGATTTTTATTTAATGATTTCTTGCTATTTGCAACAATGAAATCATCGAGTAATTGGCAAACTCAATTGTTTGAACGAAGAACAAATTTTCAACTGAAACTTTATCGAATGGTTTGTAGTGATGATTGTTTTTTTTTTGTTGCTGAAATTATCCTTTCTCTGTCAATAGCCGATATTTTTAACTGATATTATCATTGCGAATGATTCACTGCACGATCAATTGACATTTTCAATTACTACAAAAATCCATGATAAACCGTTACAACTTAAAACACAACAAACAAATGTTCGGTAAGAAAATTAGCTCGAATGAACCAACACTAATGTTTACATGTAGAACTCTATGGGTTAAATCCATCAATAATGCTGTGGAAGAATGTCAAGTAGCTGAAAAGTCTATTCTGGCTGATAAAGCTATGTTCACTGTGACAGGTAAAGCGGATTTTTTTTGTTTCAAACGAAAACTTATTCTGATTCAATAGAAAATAAGCGTGATTCTAAAACAGCCGTTGCTCGTCTTCTACTTGTAGTACAAGAAGCACAGGATCTGGTGCCAGCGCCCGTTGCAGCTGAACGACATCGTTCGTATCCAAGATTTGCATCGAGAAAATGATTATGTTTGTATTTTAGGCTCTGTTGATCCATATTGTGAAATAACTATTGGCGCGTTAACATTAAAAACTTCATTTGCTAAACGAACAACTAAACCGAAATGGAATGCACCTATGCAATTTCTTTTATATAATTTAGTTGACGATATCATCCATATCAATATCTTTGACAATGAATTTTTTTCGCCCAATGGTTTGTATTACGTTTGTATGCATATAGAGAAAATACTTGTCATTTCTTTTTGTATTCAGAAAATCTCGGTTCAACATCGATTCATCTAGGTGATCTCCTACCCTGTCCATTAGATAAATTCTTAACTCAACCGTCACTACCATTTACACAGAAACTCTATCTTAATAATGGTGCCTCATTGGTGATCAAATGTACTATTCAACTCCTAACATCGTAATCGTAATGAATGAAAAACGAAACCCAAACATATGTGTCCTCAGTATTTGTGCAATTTATTCTTTTTTTTCTTTTGCGTTTGAATGTATTTTTGTCCAAACAGTGATTTTTCTCCGAAATGTTCCCGAACAACAAAACAACAATCTCACCAAAATGAGCTTCAATCAGCTTATATTGAACAAATCAATTGATATCAATGTCTTATCGACCGGTGATATTCTTGTTATCGAATACAAAATAATGAATTCATGTGTTCAACTTATTCCGTTAATTACACATCTCAATTTCTTTTTGTCTCTATATGCCTATGTACGAATTCTGTCTCATAATGATTAGAATTTTCACCTTGCTTTCATATCTGTGTGTGCGTGCGTGTGTATGTCTGGCAATGTTACTTTTTTTCTTCGATTATACTCATATATACATACGAATATGAAGTTACAGATTTTTCACTGAAGCTTATTTTTATGGTATACATCCACGAGGAAATGGTAGATAGAGACAGACATCACGAATATGATGTTGGTTTGTTAACCATGCCATAGAACTGATCGGGTTGTATCTGGAAGTGAAGAAACGAATCTGTGCGTGTTTTCCTGAAATTTTCATGTTTTTAAGAGTTTTTTCCATTTTTAATGGATAAGAAAGGATATTTACCGGAGTATTTCTTTTCGAATAGATAGAGCTCACCGAGCTCTACCTGAAACAAATGTTATCAGAGTTGGAATACACTCGTGTGCAAGTCTGTTCAAGAAAAGACCAAATTCGTGTCCAATATATCTTACATGATATTATCGTGCATCTGATACATTTTTTGCACCTCATCTAACTTGCGGATAAAATCCAAAATATTCGTATTGATTCAAGTCTGTTTTGTGCTTTACATATGTATTGATTAAGATCACAAACGATAGTTAAAATGATCAATCTAAATAGACTAAAACCATTGTTTTAAACCATATTTCATGTGGAATTGAAACCAGTTGGGTTCTACTGATCCTCAAATGTGGTTCTTTCAGAAAAGAATTACCCAATCTCTCGAATGTGTGTTGCTTGTATTACTTGAAAAGTGTCAACAAGACAAAGTTGGAAGAAAAAAATTTCCAAGTTCTTAAATGAATTCTTATCTTCGTTGTCTGTTTCGAGCGTAGTGGAGTGACTTTTTTAATCAGTGCTTTTCTTATCTTCTTTACTTTCTTTTCGTCTAAGCGTCTGCTTAAGAACCAACAGATAATAAAAATACTTTTCGTCCCCGCAAAAAACTCAAGAAGATAATATTATTATTCGCTGCCTATATAAAAAGAGAAGCGAATTTCTTCATTTTCATAAAAAATCGAATACTGTGAATTTCATTTTATTCAACAAAATGGACACACAACTATCAAAATTAAGTTCCACGACAAGGAAGCATGGTAATCAACCGCGACAACGCATGGTTCAAAACTACCTCTTAGTTTGGATGGATGCCAACATCGATGAAAAGGACCAAGACTGTCACAATACTTTGACGCACTTACGAAGTGTTGTTAATGATGTCTATATATACACTCAAGCAGATACTTGCCTTCAATTCCTCAATAGCATCGGTGGCGAAAAAGCTTTCGTCATCACATCGGGATCTTTTGGTCAACACTTGGTTCCCGACATTCACGACAATCCACAAGTGAATGCCATCTACATCTTCTGTGGCAACAAATCTGAAAATGAAACCTGGACAAAGAACTGGCCAAAAGTCAAAGGCGTCTACACAAATGTCCAAGAAATCTGTGAAGCATTGACCACAGGCGTTAAACAACACAATCAAGACTCCATCGCTATGAGTTTTGTCACCGTAACGGGAGAGGCTTCCAATGAAAATCTCAATCAATTGGAACCCAGCTTTATGTACACGCAAATATTTAAGAAGATTCTCCTCGAAATGGAACACAACAACCAAGCAATCAAAGGCCTAGTCAGTTATTGTCGTCAGCGTTTTCAAGGCAACTTCGCAGAGCAAAGTGCAATCGATGAGTTCGAACGTGAATATCGTCCCGACAAGGCCATTTGGTGGTATACACGCGAGTGTTTTATCTACAAAATGCTTAATCAAGCACTTCGCAGTTTGGATGGCGAAGTCATTATTAACATGGGATTCTTCATCCATGATTTACACAAACAAATACAACATCTACACCAAGAACAGGCCCATAGTTACAAACGAAAACTTTTTCTAGTCTACCGTGGACAGGGACTATCCAGGACGTATTTTGACCAGTTATCGAAAAATGTTGGTGGTCTTTTGTCTTTCAACAACTTTTTATACACCAGTACCAAACAAGAGAAATCTCTTGAGTTTACCTACCGCGCTCTCGATGACCCGGACAAGGTGGGTGTTCTGTTCGTGATTACAATAGATCCGAATATTTCTACAACTCCATTCGCATCGATTGGAGATCTTAGTTACATCGAAAACGAAGCAGAGATCTTGTTTTCCATGCACAGCGTGTTTCGAGTTGGTACAATTCGACAAATGGGTGACGAAAGTAAACTTCACCACGAGGTACAACTTCAGTTGACTGCTGATGACGATCCACAACTGCGTGTGTTAACGGACCGTATTGAAAGTGAAGTTCAAGGTAGTACAGGATGGAAACGTTTGGGTAACTTATTGCTCAAAATAAGACAGTTGGATAAAGCCGAAGAACTGTACACCCTTTTACTGGAAAAAACATCTGATAAGAATGACAGAGCACTCTATTATCATCAACTTGGGTACCTAAAAGATAATCAAGGTGATTATAGAATGGCTATAGAATACTATGAAAAAGCACTTGAAATCAACGAGAAAGCTTTTCCTTCGAATCGCCCTGATTTGGCTATTTCGTACAACAATATCGGTGCGATGTACAAGAACATGGGAGAGTATTCGAAAGCATTTTCATTCTATGTGTTACAGGCATGTACGTATACATGCCTTCACATCCTTCCATTCATCTGCTTCTGTTATCATCATGATACATTCTTTTTCATATCATTTCGAATAAACAGATTGAGATTCGTCGCTCGAGCGAAGACATCGCTAATATTGGTGCCGTGACCCGATTGCTGTCACATTTCCCATCGACAAAAAACAACTTTTACTAATTATTGCTACTGATAACCCACACGATGGATTTTTCTAAATTAAGTAATAGTCAACGACGCTTTGTAGAAGATCATTTATATGGATATACTGATACACGATATCAATGTGTTCGTGCATGGTTTATTGATATTGAAAAGGTGGCTAAAGTAATTCACCTTGTTAATGATTCTGTATTATTACAACTTGCGATTCGAAATTTGCTTGATGAGTCTAAGCAATGGTATACACAAAATCAACATCAGTTAACTACGTGGTCGGATTTTAAGCGAGAAATGATATCGCGCTTTGATAAAGGTTCAAATTCGCATAATATAAATGATCTTTCACAATCGAAAACAGTGATGAGAGAACGTCGACGCAATATTGTATGGCATCCACAACATATTGCATACTATCGTTTATATCACAGTACTACTTCATCTTCTACAAATCATAACAAGAACTTCTCGTTACCTTCCACTTCATTTTTCGAACTAGAACCATCTCAAAATCTGTGGTGTGACGGTACGGAATCGTGGCATATTCACGAGATTAAACCTCAACGTGAATCATTTGCACGAACACAATCTGTAATGATGCTTGTTCCTCCATCACATAGAAATTATTCTATAGAACATAATGCCGAACAACCATTAACAGTCAGCGTTGTTAATCTTTCTCACACATCGACATATTCATCCATTCAATTAAATGACCCAAGGTGGCACGTTCATGAAGCACCATCACAGAATCAGTCATTCGTACATACATCTTCCTCAGAAAAGGTGAACAACGTGCCAGAAATTACTCATTTTCTGGAACATCAACCATCAAAATGTATTCTCAAGTCAAAACTGCACAATAATCGATCTGGTTTAATAATGAAGACTAAAAAATCTCGTTATGCACATTTTTTACGCTTTTGGAAAAACGTATGTCTTTCTCTTTTCTTATCAATTTGGATTTTCGGTACACCATCAAAAGACTTTGGACACTACTCGATAAACAACTTACTATCATCTATACATGACTTTCACGTCTCTAATTGGATCCTATTCATAAAAACATTCTTCGTTAGTCAGTTCAAGTCGTTATTCGTTTATTTGAATCCATTCATCAAAACCATCGCCACTCTTCGTACTCTTGAATCGTTATTACTTTATCCTACTACATGCTGATACTTAACTAAATTAAAATTTTTTCGGGCATTGGACATTCGATTTCTCTTTGGTATTTATATTATGTAACTCGAATTCGAAATTAGTCTTTCAATTATTCTGATCACGTTTGATCGTCGTTACTACACATAATAAATTTTTAACTTCGCGTACTCATTCGTCGTTTTTCTAAAAACTGTATTGTTCGTTACCGTCATCATTCGTTGTTATCATAATTTTGCAACTCGGAATTTATCGAACTATACTCGTCGTACTTTAAATCATTGCTTTCAATTTTTTTCTTTCTCGTCTATCTTCTTCGAATTATTTCTACATGTCGTTATCATAAAATGTATGTACACATTTTTTTTCGTTGGTGAGGAGGTATGTTACAGGCATGTACGTATACATGCCTTCACATCCTTCCATTCATCTGCTTCTGTTATCATCATGATACATTCTTTTTCATATTGTTTCGAATAAACAGATTGAGATTCGTCGCTCGAGCGAAGACATCGCTAATACATAACTAATCCAAATAGCAGTCAATGGATTATAGAGAAATGGAACTTTTGATTCATTATCCCAGTAACGATTATACGATGGTATATAAGATTTTTTCAAATGATCATAATCAAAAACCCCATTTTCCCATGTGCCAGTCGGAAGTTGACTTGATGCTGATTGTGAAAAGCCATCTTGATCTATGTTTGTTACTCCTGAACTAGGTGATTTATGTGTAGGAAAAAAAGTTAATCTTCAAACAGACCTTGCCAACCACGTCCATACAATGGTAAACCTAGAAGAATCTTTTTAGAAGGTACTCCAACTGCAAGATAAGCTTGAATTGCTGCATCACAATTATATTTTGATTTAATGAATGATGGAGCAATATCACTTACTGCCTCACCATCATTTTTATATAATGGAGCATTATGCCCTGTTGTCGCTCTCCAGCCTCCTAAAAACTTTGATGGTTCAATCAAGCAAATCATCAAAATATGTAGAAAGCTCACCATGAAAATCATATGTCATAACATTGATCCAATCAAGATAAGGAATCATACCAGGTAAATCCATATTTGAAATAGTCCTAGTAGTAGCTCCAGCTCTATAAGAATGACAAACATATAATTGTATAAATCTATAGAAAAGGTGTTCAATGACGAACGCTGCAGTTAACAGATAGTTTTTATCAGATACTGCATCTAACTGGTGACGAAGTTCTTTAAGTAAAAAAACATAATTTTGTTTATCTTCAGGGCGACGACTATTAGCTGGTAAACCCCCAGATACTGGATATTCCCTATTATAAGAAGATAGATAAGAATCTTTATTTTTTTAAAATCATACTGTTCTACGTACCAGTCTATATCTATACCATCAAAACCGTATTTTTGAATAAATTCTACACAAGAGGCAGCAAATATTGATCGACTCCGATCACTTACAGCAATATCCGAAAATTTGCCGGATCGTGTCTATATAAAAACCATATAAAATATTTAATAAAAGATAACAATGTTGCAATGATATTTACCCCACCACCAACAGAAATAAGTGTACGCAAATGTGGATATTTTTCTTTGAGTTTAATTAATTGATTAAAATTTCCCTGTAATGATTGGTTACCTATATCACCTTGAAATGGTTTTTTTATATCTGCCCATGGATCTCCAATAGCAATACGTCCGTCCGAACTGATATTAGCAAACGCATAATTTATATGTGTAATTTTCTCTGCTGGTATATCGTTCACAAAATATGAACGACGATAAATGGACCAGGCAACAAAATAAGCAACAATTATTGGACTAGCCACCATTGTTTGTATGCTTCTTCTTTCCTTCGAAAACTATTATAATATTATTTAATTATATGTACGTATGTTCCAGAAGAAAATAACAAGAAAGAAGGATATTTTATGTATGTTATATACGGATGTATAGGCAAATAAATACGCACAACAGAAACAGAAACAAAATCAGAGGGTAAGAGGACATATAGGAACGGAAAGTATTACTATGATATATCATAGAAACTATCCAGATATCTCAAGTATTTCAACTATTTTCGCACCCACCTCGCAGTCTTATTTTGATATTGAATACAAGTTTCAAGTTATATGTGTATATCCGTTTGCTTCGTTTCTATTTCCTAGATCTTTTCTTCTCTGTCGAGGCATCATGAATATGATGTTATACACGTCATTATGGTGCAATCATCTCAGTGAAAACGTCAGACAACCTGACACGATATCCTTTAACATTTCCGCGAAAGAAATACAGCTAACGGCTGTGAAAAAACGAGAGAAGCTTTTTTTCTTTTCTTGCTCGGCTGTCGATCTTTGATAAGAATGCATACGACATGTTTTTCATACAGAGACGAAATCAATATTTGAATATGATAAGAACAAAACAATTCATGACGATGTTTTTGACAAACATATTATATAAAAATTCAGAGCTACCAGAGTCAGCTAACTACAAGAGTAAATTACTTCGATCACTTTCTATCGATGCCAAACGAACGATTAACGAATATTATTTTAATAATCTACATCTTTTCGCAAAATTTTATCGGTGGAAATGCACAAAACATGACACATGCAAATACTACGCGTCTATGTCGTAATAATTGTAAAATGCCATCTTTGTCATTTCAACAGTCCGTCTCAATTCCATCAAACTGCGGCAGTGTTTCATCATTCTATGGTTGTAGAGTGACCATCGATGTTAATTATACACGTCGTACTTATTCCATCTCATTTTCTGCTTATGAAGAAGACACTTTCGAAATGACTTCGGTCGATTATGATTATTCAGTAGATGAAGCATTGTACTTGATGTTCTACCGACGAATATTTACCAACACATTGATTTTTACCTGTCTCACAGATGACTACTGCGCGGATAAATATGTGTCTGTTGTTGTGCAGCAATTAATTGATAGTGAATCGATTCTTCAAGAGCTATTACCGCTCTATTTGGTAAATTCAACGGATAATCGAACAATTACTTGTAAGAACGGTACAGTCGATGAAATAGAATGTTATGGCGGTTTTTGTGAAAGTATAACTGACGGCACAACAATATGGGCCCATCATAGTTGCAATTATCCTAGTGAATTGAGTGTGTTGTCTACAGTGGAGTTAACAAGTATAATGGCATTTTTTAACAGATATCAACCAGAAAATCTCGACAGTAACCATATTAACAACGATAGAGTAACTTTACTATGCAACGTGGATTTGTGTAATAGTGTTGAAACAAGAAACCGTGGCAACCTTATTCTTGACCGATACAATTTAGCAGCGTTTGGTTTTATTAAAAATGATACTACTATAGCAACAACAACAATTGAAATGATTCCATCAACGACTACATCACCGAGTACATATAGCACTGCATCTCCAGAAATATCTAACGCTACCACACGATCTACTACTGTTCTTCCAGCAACACAGTCTCCGACTAGTCAGAATACTTTAACATCGAGTTGTACGACGCCAGAAACATCAGATAACGGTATTTCATATTCGATAGATAGCAGATTTTCTTCTTACCTCAGATGATATCCGAAGATTTTAGATCTCGTTTCTCTTCTCAGCCATTACAGTTTGCTACCGATACGTTTAATTAGTACTCTGACTAACTATACCATCAGCTTTTATAGATCTAGTTTATCTGGTGCTGCTCCTAACATGCTATTCAATCGAGAGATGATTCACGCTTATACTTTCTGAGCACATTCAACATGCCAGTATTTAGTAACATCCTATTTTTTATTTAGCTCTGCAACCATGGCACATCGCACTGATCGTTATTGGCAGCATAGTTCTCGTGGCAATGTTTGTTGTTTCGATATATTTTATTTATCGACATTTCAAATAAAAGAAAACCCAACGAATCATGAGAACTGTAACCTAAGATTTCTTTCGCCGGCACATTTAAATAAAACCAGTCCACAAAGAAACTGGAGAATATGGCGAGAAGCATCGTTGGCTACTGAACTGATTACAAAAACTTATTTATACTCGCAAAATGCGTGATAGCTATCTATAGCGTTAATTTTAGCTTTTATCAACATAGATATCAAATATAAAAATAGACTAGAGTTTACTCTCAAATCAAATAGTCAGACCCTTGCCAGTAGCCCTATAAAAGGAAGCCGTCACTCCTCAGACGCTTTCAAAAGATGTGTCCTTTTGTTTTTCTTTCGATTTTAAGTGTAACATCAGCTTTAGCTGTCAATTCGCTCTCGAAGCTTTTGCAAAAACCAGCTGAAGACAAATGTCACACACTTATGTATCTTTTTATTGTTCTGGATTCATCAGGTAGTGTTGGTGTAACAACATTTGGAGAGGCAAAAAAACGCTAATATACGTATACTCTCAATGGTGGATATCGGACCAAAAAAAGTACAAATATGGCTAATCAACTACGGAAAAGTCGTCGAGACGGCTCTTTCTTATCATAACATTCCCATGGCTGAACTCACCAAAGAGAACCTGATGAGATAAATAAAGGGTATTCGTCATACGAATGGCCCCTGTACTGCAACTGGCGATGCATTACATCACGTCAGGGGAATTTGTAGCAAACATTGTCGATCATTGGGCGAAGGTACATCGAGAGTAGTTTTGGTTCTAACTGATAGATATAGTAATTGTGGTACACGTGTTGCTCCACAATCGGATCTGTTGTTAAGTGTCTCTAGAGCTAGTGTATTTACTATTGGTGTTGGAGGTAGCGTCAACAATGCTGAACTTTTACAAATTGCAAATGAGAAGAAGTACGTTATGCACGTGCAAAGTCACCATGATCTTATATCTACTGTGAACAATATTACTGTATACACGTGTGGTATACCAGCGTTTGTTGTTACAAATGTCGGCGTTCACACTTCAGTTCCTAATAACATCTTCCGATATTATCAAGTTGATACAACTGAATTGCTGGCAAGAAACAGAATTCGTCAAGGTAAGGTCGAAGTATACGCATCAAGATGTTAGCGGTAATTCAAGCAGCTAAACGATTCCATTCTAATTGATATATATTGCTCCTTTTTCTAAATCCCAAGAACTAATTTTTTGTCCCGATCACAAAATAAACTTAACATGCTTCATGCGCATGAATAAATATGATAAAAAAAGTGAAGAGGAAGTCTATCTAATCTTTGTCTAAAATGATCGAGTAGAAATAACCTATAATCTAAATTGAAAGGAAAGGTCATTCCATTTTATTGATTCCTCCCTATTGTATACTTTCATTTCTAGTAGATTTATGCTGCCTATCACTCGTTTATTGTTTCTCACCATCATTCTATCGCTATTCACGTCGACGTGCGGTGATGCAAGTAAGATTAACTTTTTTGCTTATAATTTAATATCTGCTGACCGTATCATCAATTCTACTTAGGTATCACTGCAAGTCAATTGAAAGCGATTATGCCGCGATGCAAGCATCCAGGATATCTAAGTCATATCAATACCGCGATGAACGAGGGCTCGATCAACACTTGCAATCGAAAAGCAGCATTTCTTGCACAAATAGCTCATGAGAGTAGTGAATTACTCTACATGGAAGAACTAGCGTCTGGTGCAGCGTATGAAGGACGAAAAGATCTGGGTAACACAGAAAAAGGTGATGGAAAACGATACAAAGGTCGTGGTCCGATCCAGTTAACCGGTCGCGCTAATTATCGAGCAGCTGGTAAAGCTTTAAATTTAGATTTGATTAATCATCCTGAGAAAGTTAAAACGCCAGAAGTGGGTTTTCGAACAACTGTTTGGTTTTGGACAAAACATAAACTGAATGAACTTGCTGATAAGAAAACGCTTCAATCTTTTCGATTGATTACCCGCCGAATCAACGGAGGAAGAATGGGAGAGGCTGATCGAGAAAAGTACTGGACAAGAGCCAAGAAAGCGCTCGGATGTTGAATCAAAACTAATTATTATAATTAACTCACGTCTAATTGTACCTGCGAACATTTTGTTTCTAATTTTCTTACAAAGAGAATACTTTGAATATTCAAGCATGAAATTTTAATAAATGCGCAACGTATGTATAAGTTCCTATGAATTATCTCGTCATATCAGTCTGATGTTGGTGACCAAGTTTAACCTTTACGTGTGCTTGTTATAAAGTCATAAAAGGTTGAATTCTCATAGTGATGATTTAGTCAAAAACACTGCTGGTGAGACTAAGACCAAAAGGCAGCAATATTAAAAACAGTTAAGTTCGATGGTACAAACGTCTCTCGTTCTCACCCTCAAAATTTGTATTTAGACACTCATTTCATCGATAAATACTTACCGTCTGATGTTATTGTTACTTCTCTGACTAGCACATATTGGGAATTTCACAAATATTTTCTTATTTTTAAGGGATGCATCAGCTATTGTGTTTTATATCAAAACATGTGTATTAAGAAAAAAACATCATATACTTCTAAATCATGTATGAACAAAAAAAACAAGTTTTAATCAGCTTTATTTTCTTGATGTGTCGAATAATCCACAAAAGGTAAACCAAGATAAAATCGAATACGTAAGTGGTCTTGGGGCTTGAATAATTTCTTATTTCCTTCATATTTATTACATTGAATAGATAAACGACGCAAAGCTTCGCCACATACAACTCCAACATAAGCATCAATAGCACATAAAACATGCCACCATGCGTGTAATTGTGGATTAAATGCATTTTTACTATTAAAATACTCACAGAACTGCTGATCAACTAACCAACATATCACAGCTGGTATTAATAAGCCAACGTACCACAAAATTAAGTATTTGACATTTTTCGTATGATGTTGTGTTTGCCGATAGAGGAAAATTAGTTTGACAATTCCGCCTATGACCATTAGAGTAAAATGAGCTTGAAAAACTATGACAAATGTTTTCAGACTATGAATATAACTACACAGGAAACCGTATGCGATTCCAAATACGATCAATACATCTATCGGAGATATATGTTCGCTCGCCAAATGATGTTTATTCATTCGAAAGAGAATAAACCACCAAATAATCATTGAATAGACCATTGGTAGTTCATCTGCCATTTGACCGAAATGTGTTAATGTTCCATGGAAATAAGCAGAACCAAATCCAACTAATCCAAATGAGAAACTAAGCAAAGTAAATCGACGTTCGATTCTGTAATACATACCACGAACGATTAAAATCAATGAAAATAAACACATTAATAAACTTGATATGCAATTCCAGAATTCAGCTATGTAATAAGTAACAACATAATTTCGTTCACACCAATCGATTGAGCTGGTACTTGGCGACCAAAAGCCGATTTTATCATCGAGTTGAGATTCGAAATGTTTAACATCAGATGGATTTTCATGACTTTTCAATAGTGATCGACTATCAATGCCGTTCGCTAAGGAAAGTAGAAGATAACTGACGATAAATATCGACATACTAATTTTCTAATTGGTTCGATTATTGAATGTATGATTTCTAAACGGAAAAATTTATCGATTTCAGTCCTTCTGCTCTTTTATTTCGTGACAACATCGTTATGAATGAAAAAAAAGAATACTTTCTCATACTTACACCGGTGAGAGAAAACATTGCCTTTTCTTTCTATTTACTCACACATTTCATGTGCAACACGTTACCTTATGTCGCCAAATAATAAAGAACGCAAAAAAGTTCGCTTGCATCATCATATGGAAGAGAATAAGCTCATTATTGGTCGGTAGCATGTTATTATTAACGCAGAGGAAAAAGATTCTTCAATATAACGTCGAATGAGTCGATAATTTTATTACGGCTTATATAATCTTAGCAATCGGTCACTGCGCAACTGAAGTTGACGTGCTTGTTTTGATAAAAACCAAAGAATTTCGATTACTATTCACGTTGCTGGACGATCCAGGTGCTCTTTTTGAAACGCGCAGTTACGTTTCTGTATCTGTTCTTTGTCATTGCAATGCGAGTACGAACGAAAGAAAAAAAATGTGACAAACACAACACAAGATTGACGATACTAAACACATCTCTTATATAAATGAGCAAAAAAAAGACCAGATTTTTTTCTTGCATTATTCTTAGAAGTACTTGGCAAGATGCGAAATCATTCTCAGCTCCATGAATTTCTCCTAACAATAAAATGGGCAGTGAGTGTATACATTCGATGGCTTTATGAAAACCTGTTAACACTGATGGGGATAAAATCTGGAAAAACACAATCGTTGAATGTCGAATACGTAGCTCAAACGATTCGAGAACGTCCAAATGGTAGTCAAATAAAAATTCAACGCCATGAACGTAATTCACCATCAAACTCGATACGTCATACTAACACAAGTAGCATCACTAACAAAACATATTCCGTGCATATGGGTTCAGCAAATCTTATTTTATCTATTGATAAATCAGCCAGAACGGTTATATGCGAGCCAGGTGTCACTATGGAAGAATTAGTAGATGCGTTATTAGCATATGATCTCGTGCCTACAGTTGTTCCGGAATTTAAAAATTTAACAGTTGGTGGTATATTAGCTGGAGCTGGTTTGGAAAGTTCAAGTTTTCGGCACGGACAATTTTCTGATTCGTTAATCGAAGCAACATATGTTTTGAGTAACGGAGACTTGATAACATGCAGTCCAACGAAAGATTCTGACCTTTTCTATGGAGCATTATGTTCTTGTGGAACATTTGGATTATTGATTCGTGCAACGTTACGCGTATTAGATATACCGTTTAATTGTTTCGTGCAGTGTAATTATCATTGGACAAAGGAACCAATTGAATTTATCTCGACTCTCGATTATGAGCATTATGAAGTAGATTATATAGATGCAATTGTTTTTTCCGATTATTCGGTTGTTATCACGGGACAACGTATCGATGAATCCTCAATACCAAAAGGCGAACGTATACAGCGATTTTCACGTTCGTGGGATCCTTGGTATTATCAGCATGTGAAAAAGCTTCATGATCGTAGTCGTCAAACTGTAATTTGTGAATATATTCCATTGAAAGATTACTTATTTCGATATGATCGAGGTGCATTCTGGATGGGACATTACCCTCTTTATCCATTCGATGATAAAACCCAACATTTACCATTCTATCTTCGAAAGCTCCTCAATTTAATTCCATTCGGTGGTTACAACATCATAAGTAGAACACTTCTTTCACCTCTCTTTACTACCTCAGCACTCTACCAACGTCTTCATGCATCTTGCGTGTCTCTCATTGCTGATACATTACTTATTCAGGATATTTACATTCCAATATCTCAATCAAAGCAATTCTTAACTTTCTTGCAAACGGGACAGTTGTTTACCGAGAAGGACGAAAGAATAGAACCTATATGGCTTTGTCCAATACGATCAAGTTCCACAGCACAAAAACTAAGTCCTCATTATACTGATAAAGATCAATTATTTATCAATTTTGGTTTATGGTCTCATCAATATCGTTGGCAAACGGGCTCATCCGGCGGAAAGAATGCATCAAAAGTATTAGAAAACGAAGCAAAAAATTTGCGAGGAAGAAAAATGTTATATGCGCTCAGCTTCTATTCTCAAGAGCAATGGTCAACTATTTATGACATGCGATGGTATAGACAGATGAAAAAGAAGTGGGATCCGAGTTATGCTTGGGGAGACGTGTATGACAAAGTCGTACAACAACTGTGAACGAATTATATCACTATGAAGAAGACGTTGTTTTCAGTTTTAGCATTAGTATTGAAATAGAAATCTATTTATATATTGACACATGAATCTTGAATACATGCGATCTTTTATTCATGTAAACAGAAAATCTTTGCATTCTTCCTTCCTCTCTTCTCGCCACATTCGGTAAATAGTTTCTGTTTTTTTTTCTCCAGAGAAATCATACAGAGATAGATAAACGATATACAACGTGATAAAAAGAGCACAACATACTAATTTGTTTTCGACGTAGTTATCATCCTTCTCTGTCTTTAATATGTACAGAAACCGTATCTTATTCTCAATCGTTTTATATTCTTTGCTTCTAAATGACCTTTTAGCGTCAAATTGGGCCGAAAATGGTGATGTTATAATTCTTACAAATGAAAATTTCCATTCGAAAATCCAACAATATGATGTTTTATTGGTCCTGTTTTATGTTAGATGGTGTTCGCACTGTCGTCGAATGCATCCAGATTACGAACAAGCAGCAACGAAGTTATCCAAGAGTCTAGACAATCCAATCTATTTGGCAAAGCTGGATTGTACCAACATTACGGAACCACGATGTTCCAAACGATATAATATTGATGGTTTTCCAACATTACGAATCTATCGATACGGTCAATACCATGACGAAGAATTGAATGCTTTCAATCGAACGACTGACGAGCTAGTCAAAACAATGAAAGCTTTAAAAAGTATGAGCACACAACGAAACATGATCAACACTCAAGCACATGGGATAAAAGATGAAACGAACAAAGGAATGGTGAATAATTTCTATCTATGGTCGCTGATCGGGATATTCTATTATATTCTACGAAAATTTTTCATATAAACATTATTTATCTTAGCATTTACATTTTGAAGCAATCATTGTATTGTAATAAACAAGCTATATTGTAAAATGATTTGAAAACAGATTGTTTTTCAGGCAACAAATCATCTCTTGATTGCGATAGTATTTTCATTCTCTGCAACGTGCTCGTTATTCATGCGTATAAAACCGAAACAGCATAAACAAACGAACAGTAACACTATTACATTTGTTTTCTTATATAAAACAAACGATTTGAAAATCGAATTGCTCATGTCTTTATTAACATCTATTATTGACAAATTCGCTTTATCATGCACTAAAGACAACGAAATCGGTGAGCAAAATCATGATTTGTATGATCTTGTCTTCGATTATTTTATCTCCTCCGATATTGTCGAGCATTTTACTCACGCGATTCGTCAACTTGATACAACATCGCCGCTAGATGAGAGTTCTCAATGGCTATTGATCACTGGTTTTAATGCAGCGATGGACATTGGATATTATGATAATAAACATCGCGACAGGTTCTGTGAGTTTTGGTTACCAAAGTATGAAGTCTTATTGCAAGAATTCATCGAGAGTTTATCATTACATGCAATTAAATATATTTTATCGAGTTTGATTCAAATCCAAATCACGATCGAGAATTTAGCAGAGAATTTTATGAGACAAGAACTAGAATTTTGTAATTTGCAACAGAACAGCGAGTACTTATCCATCATTCAAACGGTTCTGCCGCTGATAATCAAGGAAAATTTCCTTCAAAATTTACACGCTGATGATTATTCGCAAATCGATCTCCGGTGGGATGCGGATGTCGAACAAATGACATCATCATTCATATCTTGGTTGATATTCAAGATTCTGTTAATGTTCACCAATACAGATGGAGATTGTTTCACAATGGTCAAACGCAATTTAGTTATCAAAAACATTCTCTTTGGAGCAGCTCAGCTAATCGATGATCAACATCCGGTGAAACTTGCTCTTCGTGTTATTATTGTTTCGATAATTAATGAAAGTGAAATACAAAATCCAAAAGAAACTATTGATATACTAATTGAAAACATCAAGAAAATCAATTATTTACATGGGAATAAGTCTTCGTTTAGCAACAATGGAGTCTACGATATTGAACTATTGATTGGTCTGAAGGGTATGTTGAGATTTCGTCTTCTAATCTTATGTATTGAGCGTATTTCTCGTAGGTTTTTTACAATACAATCAAGTGCAGAATGTCTTTCTAGAAAAGGAAAATTTGGATTTATTGATTGTATTAGTCGAACCGTTATTTTCACCGGTAGAAATTGAATTCGAGGGAAACGAAAAGATCGATGATGATTTAACACCGAGTAAAGAATCCACTATGAATGCCACTCAAGCTTCAAGTGAAACGACACCAAACGACGATGCTGAACTCAATAGTTTATTAAAAGATATGGCATTGATCGCTCTAGAATGTCTTCATCTAATGTTATTCAATCAAGAAGCAAAGACAATAATCAGAGATCACACTGAATTCGTATTATTTATTCGTGAAATAGAAGCGTATGGAAGAGTTAGAAAGACCATCGACGGTTTCCTCTGGAAGTTAGATGAAGAAGATGAAACTCAAAACGAGGAAGAAAACAATCGATTTGATTTAATGATTAGTTATGATGAGGATCACGATAGTTCATTGGTAGAAAATATTTATAAATATTTAATAGAGCATTATGATTATCGAATTTCATTCGACGAACAATCAATGCCCAGTTCAAGATGTCAGGCCATTGTTGACTCTCAATGTGTGCTTCTATGTGTGTCTGAAACATATAAAAGCGATCCAAACTGTCGAATGGAAGTTGAACATGCACGAAATCGAAACAAACGATTGATTCCTTTCGTTCTTAAGCAAACTATATTTGATGGTTGGCTGGGATCGATTTGTACTAATTCACGTCGTATAGATTCAGTCGAGCATGACTTCGACAAATCTGTTCGCTTGTTGATAGATGAAATTCAACAACAAAGATTAATAGAATTTTTATCTCAATCGAAATCTCAACTTGAACAAATACACATTTCATCGGATACGGATTACAGAGCAATTAGTTCAATTGAATCATGGACGAATCAAGATGTCCAACATTTCCTCTATGACAATAAATTAGATGTAATGGTTTTATTAACCGAACAAATGAATGGCGAAGATCTGCGTCAATTATTTGATAGATGCCAAATAGATGATGACTATTGGGCAGGATTCGATCGATTAAATCAAGAATTAGAGAAACGATTCCAACAGGTATTGCCCATCTCGGTTTATATACGGTTTTTAAATCGAATACGAAAGTATATTACTGTTTCAATGTTTTGAATTTTTCAATTATCATGAAAAAATAAACATGAAATAATTTTAGTTAAAACTTATCAATCTTAGTCGTTGTAGCAATAAAGGACATGACCTCTTCGATGACAATGTTTTTTAGGAGATGAAACAACGACGCATATGATTACAGATAAAAAGCAGCGTTTCAAAGTCATAATAAAAAGAACACTTATCTTCTTTTGTGTCTACTCTTTCGCATCATGATATATTCGTCCGTTACTTGTGCCTTTACTGCATGGTACTTTTTACTAATTTTCCATTCTGCAGCAGGAGCACATGTTTTCTTCTGTGATTTTGAATCAAATTCGACTTGTAGTGTAGAGAATGGCAGTCCTGTTGACCCTCAACCGCCGCCAATTAACTTCACTATTCGATCACCTTCAACACTTACTTATCCTGATCTCGGTCCTTTCTCTGGTCGTTCATTTCTCTATTGGTCGCGTCCTGATGACTATCCATATGCCGACGAATTCAATGGACGAATACATACTCCAAAATTCCATCAAACTGATGGTACAAACATGTGCCTACAATTTACGTATTACATCAAATCGACTGGTACTGACAATGGTACGTGGCTAGATGTATCCACAGGAGGTTGCTATGCTGCGTCCTTATTTTTCATTGAACAAGATAATAGTAACGGATGGCAAACAATGACAGTGCCTTTACACGATGGCAATTGTTCCATTTCACTTTATTTTACAGTGAATCAGAGAACATCGGTCAGAGTAGCAGTAGCACTCGATGAGATCATCGTCGATTGGTGCGATGTGCTAGCACAATCAACTACTACTACTACTCCTCCAATATCTAGCAGTCCAATACAATTCACTTTCTCTACTTCACTCATTGTCACATTTCTTAGCATGATTTTCTTAAAATAAAATCGTCGGTACAGATATCAAATAGGGGCGATCTCTACCATGATAGAATTAAAATTGTAGTTTTTTAATGAACTTTTTTGGAATTCACTGTCCTCTCTATAAAGTACCATCCTACCGATATTTCGAAGTTTTGTATACGCAGCTAACGATCTAACAAAAATATCTCTTCACTATTAATATACGATATACTGTTCTAAAAAGATTATCGATCAAATATGGAACAGGAAGAGTCTAGAAAGATTATGTTCTTTTCAATGAACAAAACCAAAGAAATATCGTTTGTTTTTCTTAAGTTCATGAAAATCGAACTTCGTGTTACTATCGAACGAATTAATTGAGCTTTTTTTAGCTTACCTATCACCTTGTGAAATCGTTAAGTCATTTAATGATCTAAATCAACGTTTCAATTCTCTTATCGCTCGATTTCTTCGTATGGTAAATGTTACAAAACGCGATATTCGTGGTTAAAGAAATATTCCTTACACGTCCAACCGTTCGTAACCGATCTGATATCCAATCATTCAAAGCTACGAATCTTATTTCCAAAACCGTCAGCCACTATCGATCGATATCCTCTTTTTGAAGTGATTCCGTGGATTTATGTTTTCGATGCAGATGCAACCATCTTTTTTCAACATATTCAAACGTATTCCGACGAAAATTTTCGTCAATTGAACTTAAATCTCTTTTCGTTTGATAAAAAGACCGCTGACAACAACGTTGCAATATATCATTATTACAAGATGATTCAATGATTTCACAATTGCACTTTGAAAGTGTCAATCAATATGCTACTAATTAGTTTTCATTCACATCCAAATATGTTGAAAACCAATCGATATTTAAAACATCTGATCATCAAATTACGTCATCCACACGATTTGTTCATTTTAATTGAGAATTTATCGTTGTTGGAATAGCTCAATATTGAAGTCTGCGATGTCGAAAGAAAGGATCTTTACAACTACAATAGTATTCCCAGTAAAACAACCAGTTTATCACCATTCTTTGAAGAATTAACCTCTCAATCATTGAATTTGACTTATCCTCGTTTGTTGCTATTCTTATAAACATTTCAAAAATTCGTTGTATTGTTAACATTGATTATGTTGGTTTATGAACAGCTCGATGATGATGTTCTCCAATCAACGATCATTGCAAACTTACCCAATAACTCAAACAGTTCTAATTTATGCTTCAATTTAACGCAAATGAAGTTCGTAGTATCGATACAGGTAAAGAAGAAACCAATTTTATTTCTGGAAATGATTGTGATCTGTAGGGTTTGGACAAATTAATTTCAGCGTTTCGCTCAGCACCATATAGGTCAACACAATCGATTATGTGATATCGTAATCGAAGTCTTCCATGGATATGGAGAGAATCCAATCCATTCAACGATGAAGCATTGAATTATCGTACGAATACCTCCGGACCACTACGAATGCTAAGAAGTCACAAGTCATTCTTTCTTGCAAATACTGATATTTCACTGAATTTTATGAAATTTATCAAACAAATGTTTATTAATTGGAGCAAACGGATTATTTCGTGACATACATGTAAAATCAACAGTAAAGTTCTTTATGAAGAGCACTCAACCAAGTTGGAAACAGTTGAAATCTTTTGGCTCAACTGATGATTTGGAATATATCGACTTCTCTTTATTAACACCCACCTTTTGTCGTCTGATCGTTGATGGTACGATTGTACATGTTATTAATGGTTATATTTACGAAGATCAACGCTTGGTTTCGATCCGGAAACAAATATCGCATTTGCATATCTTTCGAAACCAGGATGATTATGCTGAAAACGAAACGGAAGAAATGTTTTCAAATTCAAAATTTTATACGAAGGATATTTGGTCTGTACAGTTTTGTCAGTTTTTATTTTACATATTTGATATAGAATAGAAAAAAACTTAAGAACAGCGAAAATGATGATTTCATCGTATTGCGCAATATAATTGAATCAAAATTTGAGATTTATGAACGAATTAACTATTTGTTGAAGTTTCACATAAACAGCTTGTCGTTCAGTACTTGTCGCCGGCCGGATTTCATTGTCTTGAACGTCAATGCCTGGTGACATGCTTAGTGCGAAGATGTCTGAAGCTGGCAGATAGTTTTTCTTCACTAAAAATGTCAGAACTCGATCACCAGAACCAACAACGGACGATATGGAATGAAATTGACATGTATCAACATGCAATTTATTGCCAGGAAAATGACGTCTGGTTTGCATATGTCGCAAAGAACCAGAAATGGTTTGGTATAGATTGAACTTTGTACCTACATCACGCCGATATTGATAAACTCGTTCATCAGTATTCTCGTTCTCAACTATTTCCCATAGCTTTTCAATGTATTCTCCTTCAAGACAATACGTATCGAACGAATGTCGATGATTATGAATAAATGTTTCTGTACAATCGATGAACCAATTTATCTGATATTCGATACTTGGATCAGATTGATCATAACCACACCGAATTTGATACATAACATCTGGGACTGTACGAACTTCTGTCGATTCCCAGTTCTTGAGAGCGTCGAACATTCGTCGAAAACATTCTTCTGGAATCTACACATACAACAATTACCGATTAGATTTCTTGGAAAAACTTCTACTTCCATAATACAATGAGAATCGATTGCACATTTCGGTTGACAATCAATTCGTCAAAGCTAAAAATAAATGATTTTTTTTACGTCCATAGATATGGCACAACCTCCATTCACCCGCATTTGGAGGAGTTCGCGGGCAAAAAAGTTCCGAATCCAAAACCGAAACCTACCTGTTCATTCAGATGTTGATTATTGCTGCAATATTGTGAGTCTGTTACCATGATGGACAAAAGTCTTTGTCGATGCGAAGATATCGTTTGAAAACTAGTTATGTAAAGACCTGATGTTGTTCTGAGCAATTTATAGCAACTCTTTTGCAACACAAAACGTTGCAATGAGTCAGTTGTAAGTAAATAATGTCGACGTGTCGTCAAACAAGATGCGTCACTCAAGTTTGCATTATGATGAAGACATTTCGAAATCGAACTGTATGATGCAAGTTTTCAGAAATTCTATACATTCAATTCTATGTGAATGAATAAGGGCATCTCGACATTTTTCGTCTCAATGTCTTTGATTTAACATATGTGGCGAACTATAGATAACAAAGAATATTTTCTTACGATTCACATACAATGTCAAAATGTTGAGCAATACCATCGACTCATCTATTATATTGTTGACTGTGTAATATTTATTTGATGGCAAACCTGCAGCCATGCTATGCTATACGATGATCACGATGAAAAATATCTAACTAAAAAGAACACGAAAAAGAAAAATAATATGTGTTTTGCTTGTGCATACACGCGGTAAGCAACCGGTAGACGGTTTGTTATTTTCTCTTGATGTATCAAAAAGAAAAAATTGCGAACGAAAAACATAACTGAAATTTTATCCTAGATTATTTTCTGCACTCGTTAAGGATCACGTGTGCTCATGGAGGAAAACTTCTCTTATATCGATGAGAAATTGGCAAACTTTTTCAAAATTGATACCATAGCATTAACCACTGAGATAATTCATTCCAGTCCAACGACAAATGACAATGGTGTATTTCTGTGTTCAAAAATTGCTAATGAATCAAACGACGATGTCACCGTTTTGAATTCTCGAAAACAGTTAATACGAAATATTCAAAACAAGATTCATTTATTAACAAAAGTTAATGAATTGATTATACTAAATAATGAAATCTATGCTCATCTACTTACCGATGTCTTCACACCGATTGCTGTTTATACTCAACAAGCGAACAATGAACTTCGAATTCTTCACGAAAAACAACTACAATTGCAAAATTCGTTGGCGAAGAAACCCAACGATGACGCAACAAATTTAGTACCAAGCGAGGATTCTTCATCGGAAAATGATCAACAATCGGACTTTGACGAAGCAATGAAAAAAGAAGTCGAACTTGTCGAACAACAGATCTCTCATCTGGCCACCGAATCGTTTTCATCACTGTTAATTTTACTATTAAAATCAATCGAAAAACATCAATTACCTGTCATTGACCAAGTATTAACGTTAACTTTACAATTGTATGAAAATCTTCCCGTGAATTATTTATCATCGCAAACAAAGAACAATCAATTTCTATTTCAGTCGTTGATCTCATTAACGAGTTACATCAATGATCTACCATTTATTGAAGATCAACTGATGAAAACCAAAATTATAAAAATTCTTCTCTGCTTTGCTGTAGCAAAGGGTTCGTTCAAAGACATTCTTTCATCGCTAAATCTGTTGATCTTCAATACAACTGACATTTTCGATCTACGAAATCTGTTCATGCAATTGAATAACAATTTAACAAAGATAATGAAAAAAGTCGAGTATGACAGGTTGAATTCGATTGCTGATGAAACTAATGAAACAGATTCAACGTCGAACAAAGAATATTCAAGTAAACTTCCACATATTTTCAAATCGATCAGCATACAATCTCTGTTTAGATCAGCTTCCATTGCTGCCAATAAGCTACTTAACATCTATTAATGCGTATCCGAACGCAGAACTATCGAAAATCGATGACCAACAGTTGACAGGATCATTCGTAGCATCAATTATTTTAACGTATTTAGATTTTCATAATGATATGAACGGTAATGAGCAATATGAATCCGGATCTATGGATAGTTCAATTTCATTCGATTTTAATCCGAATGTTTTCAAATTATTCTTTATTATCATCGACAAATTGTCGAGCAAGGAGATATTTAACGATGTAGATAAGCACATACTAGCAATTTTATTGAAACTAGCGGCGACGCATTTAAAATTTCTATGTGTTATGAAAGAAGAGTCACCTGTAGCGAAGGCTACCAATGAAACTGATCCGATAGTTAACATTTCTTATGATGATTTACAGAATTGGTTCGACTTACTCATGAAAATAACATTTAATGTTAAACAAAATTTTGAAAAAACTACTGTGAATGAAGAAGCATTTAAAGTATTGAATTACGTCATCTCTCTCAAATTTTCCTCGTTTATCGATAAGTTAGCATTTTACCATAAAGTAATCATCGAAAATCGAAATCCGTTATTGGTGAAACAATCATTGATTGAACTAAATAAACCTGCGATATTGATCAACTGGATTCAACTGCTTTGCGAAGACAGCCAGTTAGCCTTCACAATCCTATTCTCTTTCATTGACATGATCTCTCAGTCATCATCAGATGATGATCAAATTTGGCAAATTGTACGATCAATAGAGCGGCTTTTATTTATTCGACTTATGCCAGATGATCGTGTGAAGCATATTTTAGAACAAGATGAAGTTTATGAGCCTACAAGTTTCTCATCCGTTGCTGTTTCTGCGATGATTAAACTAATGACCTACGTCTTAAATAAGCCAATGACTGAACATCGTTTGTATTCCACATTGATTTATGTATATCTAATGACAGATACGAAGAATCTGTTCCATTATTCTGTCATTCAACCAGTATTCATTGAAATTCTACCGTTAGTATCTGAATTGGTCATAAAAAGTCCTGCTAAACATGATCATCTCTACTGGTTGTTGAGCAGAATGATTCATCTTCTCATCAATGGTTTGCCAGAAGATTCATTAGAACAAAAATATGCTGATAAATTACGCTCATCTCTATTTTCTGGTGGATGTGAACAGCAGCTGATAATAAACGATCGATTTTCTCAAGATTTGTTCCGATCAAATTTAGCTCGCGCAACTCAGTTCGAATCCAGGGATGAACCTATGTCAATCGAGCACGAATTTTTAATGTCGATCTATTACAACCGCGATCAAGGTGCGCAGTTAATCTCGAAACTGAGACCATTCAGCCGACATAAACAGTCAGTGTTGCAAAAATCAATTGTCGAGCACGCCGATCAAGCTTGTGCTGCTATCTTTGCAGTATATATGAAGTATTTTCGTCGGATAAATTTAGCCAAAGTCGAACTTACTCGTTCAAATAATCAAAAGCCACAACGGAAACTTCTCGCCATGTTTGACTACGCCATGAATGTTTACAATCTGTTCGCAACAACTAAAGGTCAAGGTGGCGATTGTCATCAACTATCCAATCAAATCCAAGCAAATACTCGATTTTTATTAACAGCAATTAAAGAAAGTCAGTTAATTCCGTTAATTGAAATCAATCCAAAAGACGCACAACAAGAATCCGCTAGTAAAACATCGCGATGGCAAAAGGAAAAGCATCCGTTTCGATTGATTCGGAATGTTTCGAAAGTGTCGAACCAAATTCGAAAAATTATGCTAGCTAATAGACAACTAGCCGAACAAAATCAAGATGCGGAGTACGTATTGCATAAGACAATCGATGATTTTATCTACAAGACGAATGGCCATCAAAACTATGAATTTCACGAGATTATCGAGTGCCTTCTTCGACAACACCGTCGAGCAAGCATTCGATTGATGACATATCGATTTCTATTCACACTTATCAGCAGCAATTCGCTTGATCAACATGGTTTGCTTCTCTGTTTATTGAATTCAAAAGGTGCACACTTTGAGTGGACATACTTGGAAAATATTCCTACGACAAATGATTCGATCAAAGAACAAATTAGTAATACGTATTATTCAATCATCAAGTCCCTTATTCAATCTACGTCTTCGATCCATACACTTTTTCATCTATTGAATTTACCTTATGGGAAAATCGATGTTCATCAAATGTACGCAAACCAATTTGTAGAAGTCTTATTCAAAACTTACGTTGCATCAAACAGTGCAGTTCCATTCTATATAAAATTTCTTGCATACAATTGGTTTCGTTTGTATCTATTGAAGTTATGTGAATTTATCGACGTCGAAGGAGAACAAGAAGATTTCGTTTTCTATCAACTACTTTTACCGGAATTAAAGCAAACCAATCAGCAACAATCGATAGCAAATCTCAAACGATACTCGTTAACAAACACGGCAATCGATTGGTTTATTCAAGCTGTCTCGATCACTGAAAATTCTCAACGTGATACAGAACTCTACATCAATCAATTCTTGCTACTTATCTTACGCTGTCTTAGTTCGTATCCAAAGGTTCGAAATCATTTCGCCACAGTTGACTACGTCGAACAGATGTTAAGTATCTATCGAACAAGTCAAAATAACATATCCATCCTACTTTCGTTGAAAATTCTCCGGTACTTGTTTCCGCTATTACCTGATAGTACCGGTGAAACACCGAACCTTTCAATACAAAATTTTTTCGCCGATATCTTTTCTGTCATTTCGAATAGTCTACCCGAGATATCAACAGAATTGATCTATATTATTCGAACGATCATATCGACTCCGTCACCAGGACAATCGATTGCTATTCAATTGATCTTCAAGTTGATTCTCTCAAATGCAAATCTAAAATCTCCAGATCAAATCGATAGTCTCTTTTCCTGCTTGTCGATTCTCGGTGGTTGTATGTATCCTTACTGTTTAAGTTCCATTATTCGCGTGTATTCCGATGACCAAAGTATTCGAGATACTGAATTGGCAGTTATTATTGATATTGATCAAAATGCACTGGATTTAAATGCACAAAATGCTCGTCCGTATGTAATTCAATATGGTCAAACGAATAAAACGGAATCCATCAGTGGAAATCGAATTCGAGTGGAAGTCGATGTTTTACCGGCAAGTTTCGATGAAACGATCGGATCGATCTTCGATGCTCTGATGTCATTTATTCAAACGGAGACGTCAACGATTGAACCTCTATTGTTAATCGAATTAAAACGTCGATCAATTGCTACGCTCTATCGATTATTAAAAAACCAAAAATCGATCGATATTTTTCTTCAAAAATCGTATGCATCAGTTCTAGCTAAATTATCAACATCGGATTTATATACGAACATCGATCATCATCCAGTTGGTTTAGTATTATCGAATAAACGACATTTGGAACAGTATTGTCTCAGTCTTGATCGATGCAAACAAATGAAACAGATCATTGACGATCCAATGGATGACACGAAAGACGAATGCGTATTGACTCATTGGAATGATCATCCTATTCATCAGGATCATTTAACAGAAGAGCTCCTTGCTACAAGTCTATCATCAGATTATCAATGGAAATCAGTCGTATCGAAAAAAGATATGCAATTCTACCGACACGGTCGAATTGGACCTGACGAAATCGAAATTGTTCCAATGCCGCTCACAATTACAAAAACCTGGTTTCCCGAAGAAAGTGGAACTGCACATCGATTCCTTGGTCGAATTTATCTCATATCGGAAAGTGATAATGTCTCAATAGTTACATTTGTTCTCAATAATCTACGATTAAGTGAAGGTAAATGGTATTACTGTGTTCGTTTACTTGAAGGTACAAATACCCAAATTGGCTGGGCAACAACCGGATTCACTCCAACGGATGCAGTTGGAATGGGGAATGATATCTATTCGTGGTCGTATGCTGGATCAGAGAACAAACTTCTCAACAATGGCGAATTTAAATATTTGACGGAGAATATTCGTTGGGGAGCGGGTGATGTCTGCGGCTGTGGTATTGAGATATCTGAAAATGAAATTCGAATTCAATATTGGTTAAACGGACATTTCCTCGGCACAGCTTTTGAACATCAGGCACCTATTGCACAAACAACAACTCCGTGTAATATGTTGCCCAATGGTTATGGTGCAACTTATTTCCCTGGTGTAACTCTAAGAGCTGCGAACTACGCCATGTGTTCATGTGAATTTATTTTTCATCCATATGATATGTCAGACTGTCCGTTACCCAAAGGTTATAAGCCACTGTTGTTGCCAACGCAAGGCGCTGTTGAACAAGCTGTAGTCCCTTATCCTGAAAATGCATACTTACTGCAAGATAAAGTTCCAAATTATCATCAAACCAAAGACAATACTCTATTAAGAGATTATGTAAATAATAATCATCTCGAAAATTCATTCAAATGCGATGATCAACAAGCTATTTTGGCAAACGAAAGCAATGGTTTTCCATTGAAAATCGACCATCAAGGTTCATTGACAATTAGTTTCGACTTGAACATGTTCACTAGCATTACCACTCCCGATGTGATACTAGTAACATTTTCTACATCGAATGACCTTTCTATTCGAGTTCCAACCGATAAAATTACTCAATCAACTCGAATAGCAATCGTATTTGATACAACTTCCCGGCACATAATTGTCTACATAAATAATGATTGTTTTATACTGGAGAAAATCACTTTACTCCCAGATTATAATCTTTCAATTTTACCTAATCTTTCAGCCGGTATAAAAAATTTAGCTGTTTGGAAGTATGCTCTTTCTCAACAGCATATTCGTCAACTTTTTACGTATGGTTTGACTTATGTCTCAATCGATCACCATCGCTTGAAGGAATATCGCAAGCAAGTCAATACATTTACATTTAACAGGAAGCAAACATATCTTTCAGAGAACTTGTATTTCTCAACTAACCATTTGCAAGCTGTCCGAACAATCGAAGGAACTGACCAATCAGTAGTTGAATTCTTTGGAAATCAAACTTATTTAACCTTAGAAAAATCCACTGAACCATGGGAAGAATTCACATTTGTTTTAGATATTTTAATATCAGAATTTCCAAAAACGAATGAGCAAATTACCTTGATAACAATACCGAGTTCGTCATCAAGTATATTTATCAATGACAATGGCTATCTTTGTTTATCAACTGGTATCCAAAGTCAATCTGTTTTAAAACGAAATGATTTTCTGCGCTTCGCCATTGTTGGCAATCATACTTCTTTAAAAATCTTTGTTAATGGTACGTTGGAAATTGATACCGTCGTTGACGAGAAACAATGGACGATCAAAGACACTCACATTGATCTCTTTCGAGAAACGAAGAATACTCTGAATAATGATACACTTCGAATCGTATGTAAATCGCTGACATATTCAAATAAAGCGATAACGATTCTCGACGGAAAATTCAATTCGCCAAAATATTCTCTAGATGCCCTTACTGTATTTCCATATTCAATCGTTGCACCCAGTCTTCTATTAATTGGCTATGATGAAGCATCCATTCAATCCGCTATCACCCATAATCCATTAGCTAGTATTCAATTGCTCGATACGATCTTACGCGAAAAGAGAAAAACAAATGATGAAGTTCTGTCCAATTTCAAGCACCTTATCAGTCTACCTGACATCGACGCCGACCAATCATTTGATAATGTAGCGGAAATTATCTTCACTCATCGAAATGATCTACCAACACTGACATTGTTGGATAAATCGATTACGAATGATAAGAAATGGTTTTCTCAAACAGTTCAACATTTAGGTATTAAGGAAAGTTTGATCGACTGGGTTCGCGACAAATCCCAGCTCGCCAATGATACTGATTCTCTGCATCAACTATTCGATTTCAATCATCCACTGCAGGATCAGACAATGAAATGTAACTCTCGATATACACTAATTCATTATTCTCATCGGCAGATCACTGAGTCTCAGTATGTTCAATCACGTTTTGCTTGCGAACGTGAACTTATCTCCATCTATGCTCATTATACAATCTTGAATATATTGAGATTTTGGTCGACAGACACGACGAATCCTATTCCATTAGGAGTTTTCGGTGATTATACGTTTATTATTACATTGTTGAAATTGTTAGATTATCATTATACGTACACGCGTTCATCTCTCGATGATCAGATCGATCGAATGAGCTTGGTGATAACATCAATATTGAAAACGGAGGTTAATGAATTACGAAAATATCAGAATGAAAATTCCAGTCAATTCAATAATGAAATCTTTCAAAGGAAAGCTCCTTTACTCTATCAATTGCAAAAAGATATGATTCATCAGTGGATTCAACTTCTATCGGAACCGGCTAAGATAATTTCTGATAGTGACGACGATGAAATAAATCTCATCAACAAACAATCGATCATTCAACAGCCAAATTTGAGATATCTGCTCAAACTTTTTCATATATTTCTTAAACTTTCTCTTGATGATACAGAGTTCTTCATTCCACTATTATTTCCTGCATTATTTATTGACCTATTATTCGACATTTTCCTCCTAAGTCAAACCTATCAAACGAAAAGCTTCGTTTTACACTTGTTTTGCATGTTGCTTCAGCAAAGTGAACATTTTCGTTTGTGCCATCAGATTCAATCGTTTTTATTCCGTTTATTTATTGAGATACCGCCGAGTGCAACATCGGCAAGCAGTCGTCGAATGAAAACATTTCAAATCAACCTGATGGATATCGTTTACCTACTTATTCGAAGAGGAGATCAAGAATTGGATTTATCACCGAATTTCCAAGACGTTTTCTCAACAATTGAGCTGATCGATACTTTATTTGGAAAAGCGAATCTGTCCACCAATGTAACGGACACGTCATCTTGTTACTTTGATCCGATTGCTGATCAACAGCTAATGAGTTTTCTCAACAATTATCCGTCGATTGGATTGTCAATTACTGAGCTAATCGATAGTCTACCAAATGAAGAAGTTCCAAATTCAAATTACTACAAAATCTATCCATCTCTATCGCATATATCTGCACTGCATATAAAGAAACGCTGTGAATTAATCCATCGTTTCAATTTATCTCTAACAAAAATAATACCAATTTTAGATTTCAACTTGCTACCAAATCAAAGCGTCCTCATTGACAAAATACGTCTTGCTCGACTATATATTTTACATCCAATCAAATCTGAGTTTCTCAATTCATCAATACTTGCTACTGCAACTGCACCAACTCAAATCTTAAGCGTCAACTTCGATACCGTCAGTGCTTGCGATGTTCACAGAACGAGTACATCGACGATGTTCAATCAAGCATATGAGCAGCTCTATGCCAATGCTCATCACATTTTTCGCATGCCAAGCGATCATCTATGGCGAGCACAATATATTGGCATGCATAGTACTGACCAAGGTGGTCCTTATCGTGACTCGATCACACGTATATGTGCCGATATATGTAGTAGTTATCTGCCATTGTTTATTTTATGTCCGAATGGGAGAATGAATAATGGTTTGAACCGTGATCGCTGGATTCCGAATGTATTTTCGCCGTATCAATCAATTCCGGATAAAATTAAGAAACAATATCAATTCGTTGGCCAATTGATGGGAATGGCTATTCGAAGGAAACATTATTTAGATCTGAAATTTCCGGATTTGTTATGGAAGCAGTTAGTTCATGAGTCGATTACACTAGAAGATATTGAATCGATCGATGTCCAAAGTTTCACAATGATCAATGAAATAGAAAAGGCCATGAAACAGATGGAATCCATCGAGAATATCGACGAATTGTTTTCTAGTATGATGGGTGATCTTCGATTCGAAGTTGTAAGCTCAGCTGGACAAACCTACGAAATAATTCCTGATGGAAAAGAGGTACTGATTACAACAAAGAATTTCAGAGATTATTGCCACACTTACCGTGAATATCGCCTGAATGAATTTCGACGACAGATTGAATTCATTCGACAAGGTTTGTATAATATAGTTCCTGGTTGTTATTTGACTCTGTTCACCGCTCACGAATTGGAAGAGGCAGTATGTGGAAAAGGGCATATCGATATTGAACTACTAAAACGAAACACCAGTTATGATGGTGATTATAGTATCGATTCGCCAACGATTCAGCAATTTTGGACTGTGATAAGTGATATGATGAATGAAGAACAGAAAAAGTTATTTCTAATTTTTGTTTGGGGACGATGTACATTACCTAATCGAGATGATGATTTCACCACTCAGTTTACTATCAGTCCATACGATACTGATGATGGTGATGTCGATAAAACACTACCGAGTATGGATTTTATCTTTAAAATCTCTGCCATTTGTTTATATATTTTCTATTTTTGTTAAGATTCACATACATGTTCATTTGCACTTGATTTGCCGAGATACTCTACAGCTGACATCATGTATGAACGCTTAAATTATGCGATTACTTATTGTTCAAGTATCGATGGTGATGGTATGATCAATGATATTCCCGCTGCTGCAGAATTCGATTCAGATCTTAGTGCTAGCGAACAATAATTAGATTCTCTCTTACATTCGAACTGTTTTAGAATTCCTAATTTTATCAGTAGTTTCACGACAAGATAACGAAGGCATAGAATCATAATAGTCATAGCTTTGTATGTTTCGATATCGTATGTGTGTCGTTTGTGTAAACGTGAAATTAATAAATGACATCTCAATCTAATTTTACACGATACATGTGAGATAGGTCGTTGGCGGAACGAGATCGAAGCCTCTACCGTTGAAATTGAGAATCAACTCTGTTTTTCAACTATTTTTCACTTGATTAATGGTCAACATTTGTCGTTCTAGAAAGTTAGAAATGTTGAACGAAAGTTGCTCAAGTTTAACTGTAAAACAATCTGAGCATTGATTTGCGTTCCACTTGTCGAATTACCTGTCTTCGCAAAGAACATCATTTCGGTGCTCATGCGAATAGTTATTCCTGTATTCAATAGATCGATCATCATCAATATTTACCACTCAATGTACACCTTTGTACTACCATTCTATGCATCGATTGAAAAAGCAATTTGTTATTGTGATTATAAATAGTTTCGATCGATTCTCCTTCTTTACTATATATCGAAAGGTTATATTTTCGTTCTAGCGCATTTATTAGAGATTATGACGTGTCACTGGATGAGTAATCGCCTATATGGTAATTTGATCAGTTATAGATTGATAGAAAATTTTTCAATTTTTATATTGCGTTAACTAAAATAAAGGGTAGATTGTACAACTGCTCATCAAAATACATAATTTCAAAAACAAAATCAATGATAAATGGCACGTACATCGATGAGGGAAGTAAGCAAACGATATAGATGCAAATAGAATATGTTTATAAGATAAGAACGAGTTAAATTTTTTCCCCACTTTTCTTCCCAGAAGAAATATGTTGTTCTTTGTCAGTGTACTTTTCCCATTGCAACGGAACCTTCCATACTGCATAAAACGTCGGTCGAACACACTGTAAACATTGCTTTTTCAATCATATGATTATTTTATTCTGATCAAATATAATAATGATAAATCACTTTTCAAGCCTGATGTTTATTTTTTTAAAGCTACAATGGATTCATTCACAAAACTACCAAGGAGAGTATTCTACGCGAGCACAGTTTACTGCTAGTACGCAATTGAATGATAACCTCCCGCCATCATTCAAAGAAACGAGATGGGCTGAAGGTGATGATAAGAAAGAAGCCGTCTATTCAATTAGTAGGCAAAAACTGATTGGTCCGTCTGGTAATCCACGCTTCAATTCTCAAAATTATGAACTTGAACGATATCGTACCGTTCCCAGTTTCGAGAACCATTGTATAGAAGGTATGAAACTGTTTACTTTTCGAAAAGTTATATTTTGCTCTTTTCTTCAAAACTAGGATGTACTACAATGCTGAGAGGTTTCTGCTGTTCTCGTGAGTTGTTGAAAACAATTTTTCTCTACTTCTTTGGCGTTCGACTTATTTTTCAGAGTTTCATGTATGTGGAACAAAAGATAGCTGTTTGACGAAATCTGATCTCAATAATCCCGGGAAAAGCGAGATTCCTTCAATATTGCGTAGATTCCTACTGGCCCCATTGGCTTTTGTTTTCGTGCTTCGCTGTATTTACAGATGTTGCAAAGCACATAAACAACCCAATAGCATCATACAGAGTAGCAATCATATAACAAGTCGATCCTCCAATGTGCTACAAACGAATTTCACTCGAGCTCCTACGTCGTTATATATACCTGAACCTGTTAATCAATCACTTTCTATCTCGACATCACCTGCTGTCTCTGAGCAACATTCTACCTTGTTACCACCAGCATACAACGAATTATTGCAACAAGAATCTATTAGAACTGAAGGGCCAGCTACACCACCGCCAACCTATGAGGATTTTATCAAGAAAACAATTGAAAATTGAATAGTAAAAATATGATTCATTTACAAATATATCTTTTGTGGTTTGAATGATAATTAGATACAGCCATATATCATCCTTATAGTGTGTTGAAGGTTGTGCTATGAGAAAGAATGAGACGAAAACGGGTGACGAAAAGTTATTACTTAGATGTTATTAAGTAAAAGAACAGAAAGAAAAGTTAGAAGAGTCTAATTTATTTCAAACTGGCTCGACTTTTGATCTGTAGATATAAGTGCCATTCGTATTGGTAAAACCAAATTTTTTATGCGCGTTTCAAAAGTGCTCCACCTACAAACTAAGATAGTAAAGATGAAAGTGTAAATTTTGATTCAATGCCATCGACTAAGCTTTATCACCGATAGATATGTCTTCATTCAGGATCTAAGAATGATTTTCTTGCTCTATTTCAGTATTCTTCCTGTTAGACTGCGTCATTTCGACCACCATTTGTTTTTGCTGCAATCTGTCTGAATGCTTGTATTGTATTCTGATTAGCCGAATAATTTAAATCACGGCTGTTCCAAAACCAATCTCCGATATTTCTATTGGATCAGGATTGCCAACTAAGTATAGCTCCAAGGCATCATCTGCATCTTGATAATTGCTTTGACCTATCAAGTGTGTTGGAGCACAACCTTTATATAAACACCTGTCTTAAGAGTACAAAGCCAACATTCATGATAGAACAAGAAAAAAATAAGAATTTACCGGATAATTTTCACATGTATTGCCTGTCTCAACCATTGAGTTATGCTCAGCTGATTCGTCTGCAATTTACGCTATGAAGAAAACTGATTGACATTTTCCAAATCCAAAAGCCAATAAAATGCAATAATTAATTTCTAATTTCTTCCATTCCAATAAGAAATTGACCGATAGTTATTATCATTTCAGAACACATTGGCTATCAATTGGCCTCTTTTTTCAATAGGTTTTTATATTTACCGATTAACTATTTGCTAACAAATACATTTAACATCTACTTGTACAACAGAGACGTGTTATGCACGAAATTAATTTGTTGTAGAGCAAAAAAGCCAAATATTTATTGCACTTATTCTACACTCACATGTTTGCGTATAATTCGTTATTTTTTATTCTTTTTATTTCAGTGTAATGTGACGGAGAGTTGTTATCTTTGCTTTTTCTTCTTCTAGCAAAAAGAACTGGTATAGAAAATAACAAAAAAAGGTAACACCATTCCGACAATGATGTATATAGTCTTGTCATAAAACGATTGTGTTCCGCATTGACTTTCGTATTTTGTTTTCGAATTACACGATCGAGGTAGAGAAGAAGAAAAATGAATTGTGAATTGGATGACAACGAGTTATCAGATCCGCCGAATAGTAATCATATGAAAAAACAAAGTTCAATATACGTCGTTCCTGATGGCGGGTGGGGTTGGATTATTGTCTTTGCATCTTTTATGATTCATTTTATTATGGACGGGTAAACTATTTGGTGAAAGTAGCTATCTTTTAAAAACGAAATATTATGTAAATATATAGAATCACATACTCAATGGGTGATATTTATTTGGAACCAATGCTAACAAGTTTACGTTACAACCGTGGTCACGTTTCAATCATTTTTGCTTTCTTGGAATCAATTACTTTAGCCGCAGGTGTGTTAGATAAAACATCGAAATATGATAAGTTTATTTGGTTTGTTGTAGCACCGATTTCAACTGTATTTACAAATACATTTGGTTCTCGAAGAATTACCATCATCGGCGGGATCTTAGCATCATTTGGTTTTTTTCTTAGTCGATGGTGGACTAATGTATATTGGTATTATATTACAATCGGTTTGATCGCAGGTATTACATTAAAGGTTTATATTTTCCTCTCGATTTCTTTCATTTCGTTCAGGTATCGGCTGTGGTCTTATGTATTTACCAGCTATCGTCTCTGTTGGATATTACTTTGAGCGAAAACGTTCGTTTGCTATAGGTATTGCAGATTGTGGATCAGGTTTAGGAACCATTGCATTTCCATTTTTCATACCATGGATGATGGAACGATTCTTTTCGAATGATTATAAAGGTGCCCTTCTATTCGAATCAGCATTGCTATTCATGTGTGCAATTTTTGGTCTTCTCATGGTAGATCACCGACGAGAAGTTCTGATTGTATATAAATACGAGCTTGATTCTGTTTAGGTCCCTCTTCCCATTGAATTAAGCGAACAACGTCGTGCACGAATGAAACTACGTGAAGAAGCAAAACGACAAGCTACGAGAGCAGTAGCTTCGCAGAAAAATGACAAAGCAAATCAAATACTGATAGACCAGCAAAGGTATATTCGATCGAAACACTACTTTTTGAATTTAAACTGAATCCAGGACAAAACTTCAATCATTTATATCGATTGATATATGCACGTTTTACGACACAAATACGTCTTTTATTGTTTCACATTAAAGTCACATTATCCGTCGTTATATTCAAAAATATTGACTTAAGAGAACGTCAGGATAAAATATATTCTCCTTTCTGAGACATTAACTGTTCTGTCTTTATTTTAGTTTGCCATTTCTCGACGCACCACTAAACAAAAACTCAAATGACTATCGACGTTCATCTTACGATCGCCGCTACACGTCCCCATCATTTCTGCATGCTTTACCCGAAAGTCCAAGTGGCAGTACGAGTAGCGAACACGCATGGAAGTCGTTATCACAATTATCAACAACACAGCTTCGATCGATAGAAGCGATACGAAACAATGTTTTATATAAAGGAAGTCTACGTCGAGTGTCTTTACCCAACCCGTTGAATGATGCTGATCTTTGTAAAGACAGAACTGCTCAGACTAATAAGCTAAGAAGTGAAGATATACGGAAAGTTACAATAACCTCCTACCATGATGAGGAATCGGAATCAATTATAAGACAATTGTTAGCGCAACTTAATCTAAAACTTCTGCAAAATCATGCATTTGCTCTCTTCACCTTATCGAATTTCCTATCCAGTCTGGGCTTTTTCGTTCCGTATAATTTCGCCCATGATCTTGCTAAAGATTCTCAAGTCGAAGAAAGTCATAGGAAGTTTGTCATTATGGCTATTGGTTTTTCAACTTGTTTCGGCCATATTATTATCGGCTATTTAGCAGATCGAAAATGGGTATGAACAGATTGAGAAGAAAAAAGATTCAATTTCTTTTAAATTATCTTCTAGGTCAACCGTTTAGTTCTCTATAACATAACCTTGATCATTGCCGGTATTGCAACAATTCTTGCTCCATACAGTGGCTCTCATATACTTCCCCATATACTTTATGCTTCGTTTTTCGGTTTCTTTTCTGGTGGCTATATTGGGTTAACATCAGTTATTACCGTTGATCTTGTTGGTCTATATAAATTATCCAATGGAATGGGCATAATTCTACTTTTTCAGGGTATTGCAACTGCTATCGGAACACCTGTAGCTGGTAAATTGATCGATCTGTCGATTTCACTTTTTTTTTATTCATTTGTGTTTAGGTGCAATGCGTGATGCATTCGAATCACATTCGAATCCATTTCTTTGGTCTTACTTGGTATTCGGAGGTTTTGTAGTAATAAGTGGTGTCATTCTATTTGCCATTCCAGCGTTAAATCGAAGACAAAAAGATCTTCAAACTATAGCTAATCATCAATCAAACGTTTTGATATTGACTTAAATGATCTATTTAGTAAATGAAGATTTCTAATAGAAATAGTACATTATATTCTTCTCTGTCCTTATTTTCACGAAAGTATAATAAATAGTCGAACTGAATTCACGCAAAATAAAGAATAAGAATTTACTGTGGAATTTTTCTGATTGCACATCTGTATAAAAAAGATCGAAAAATAAAGTCTTACTCGAGAAGACGCCTGCGGAGGATCACTGACTATAAACAATGCTCCTATTCACGTTCGATCTGTGTCACGTGAACGAGTGAAAGATAGAAGCATTGATTGAATTGTGATGAGCAAACCCGATGCATTTAAAATGGCCTAAGAACAGTGAATCCAAACGAATGTGTACAAGATTCATACTTAAATGCTGATCCATCGAATTCGTAACTAAACCAGCATCATTACTATTCTAAGAAAAGATGATTGTTTTAGCAGCATATCTATTCTTTTTTCTTGGAAAAAAAACACACATAATAAAACAAAGGATTTCATATTTAATCTTCTGCTGTTTTCTTGTCACGGAAGATAGTCATAGCATCGTAATATCGTTTGTTGATCAGTCTTGTCCATAGACGTGTCAATTCAAATGTCTGCTCCGCCCAATTCATCATTTCATTCAAATCTAATTTTGTTTTTTCAGACATGGACGATGACTCCATTTCCTTCTTATTCGACAATATTTGACTAAAAACATCAATGTCGAGTATATCACGAGCCCAACGTCCTTTCCATTTTCGTCTCGGTTGCAAAGCAGATTTGATATCAATCCATGGTGGATACGTATCGGAATCGTCACCATTCAAAGCGAGTAGATCAGTGGATTCTGTTGGGTCATGTCCGAGATGATATAGATGTACTTCATCATTTGTGACATCATACGACAATTTTCTCGGATATTGTCGAGCAATTGCAAATGCACCGCCGGGATTTGCTAAACTGAATGTTAGTCGTTCAGCTTGCTGTTCGACTGGCATTCGAAGAATAGATCGACCTTCATATCGAGAAAATATCGATTGAAGTCGCGTTTCTGAAACCGATAACAACCGATTCATTGATTTTTTCCTTGATTTCGTCGACGATAATAATATATCCATAATTGTTGGTAAAATATCCATTGTACTAAATTGTTCGGTAAGTGACTTAGCTATCAGATGTGGATTATGAAACATTAATGGAACTGAAAAAGCTGGCTCTAAAGGATTACTTAATAATCCTCGTATCTGACTACCATGGTCATTAAACACATAACCATGATCACTGACTATAATGAAAAGTGTATTATCATAGATGTGACGTCGTTTAAAACCTTGAATAATATCGCTCACTAATCTATCACTGATATGTAGAGCATTAAGAAACGAATTAACATAGATATCATCAATAAAATCTTGATATTCTCTTGAATAGTAATCATCTGGTACAGTAAATGGTTCATGCGTTCCAGTTGCTAATAAACTCATAAATAACCGACTAGGTTTTGCCTCAGCTAAGCTATCATCTAACCATTTCCATACTAACGGTAAAATATGCGTGTCCTCAGGACCAAACATACCGACATCAGGAACGTATCCTTCCTTCTCATAAATGTCTGCTGCATCATATATCTTATCGAATTGAAATTGTTGGAATAATTGCTGTTGATGATCGAAATCACCACGCGCAGTGGTGAAGATTGCTGAATGGAACTTTGATTGATTACTCTTAGTTCGAAATGTATCGTGAAGCAATTCTGGTAAACATTTTTCATAGAAACCATCCTTGTATTTGATTTCTTTGAGAAAATTCCCAAGAAGTGGATAAATTCCACAAAAAATGCTCACGAGACTTTTTAACGTATATGATGAAGTTGACCAAGCGGTTGTACGAACGGAGTTTTCCCATAACGAGTTGAGAAATGGTGTGACTTTTGCAGCATTGGTTCCTGAGGAAAAACTAGCGCGAACAGCTTTGGCAAATGATTGATTTAACGGAACTGTATCAGCACGCACTGATTCAAGAATAATCAGACAAACATGTTGGACTGGCTTTTTCAAAATAACTAATGGCTGAGAAATATTGACAGACGGTGCGCGAACTGCTTGTACTACAGCATTCGAAACGGTTTCCATTGTGTGAAATGACATGAATATAAATGCTTTCCAATGGTATGCAATTATTTCTGGAAAATATGTCAACGCCATATTCGATGACAAGTTTCCATATACCGGTGGAATAAGATCAAAGATACTGAGAAACATATATGTAAGAACAATGCTAAAAATCGAGAATTTGATGATTTGAAAATAAGTAGTATTTAAATCGATATGGTTCGGTATGTACCGGTATGTAACTGACCAAATAGTACAGCCAAGAAGAAAATAAGAAATTAACAGCGAAATGAATGAAGATACATGTGGAGTATACAAGCTGTACGTCGCTTCAAAGTCAACTTCGAATACAATCTTCCATTCGATATTTCGACCTGTTACTGTTAACATGATGATATTGCACGTTGAAACCAGAATGACAAATATTGCGTAACATAAACCTAGTAAGATACCGTATATACCATACTGTGGATATTTCCATCCGATATAAACTAATAGTGTGTACAAAATAAGAAGAACAAAGAGATCAGGAAGAATAATTAACCATATTGAAAGAAGTACATTTGATGAGAAAACTCCCTGATTACCATAAAAATGATATACTAATACTCGATTGGCGCAGAGAGCAACCAAACAAATTGATAGTACACCTGTCGTCAGACTAGTTTAAATCATACAGTAGTAAGTGAGAGGAAAAGATCTAGTTACTTACAAACTTTGCCAATCGATACGTCGCATGTGAAGGACAATTCCATAGACAAGACTGCAGTAACGTCGATGAAAAGCCGTTTTTGAAAGTTGCTTATACTATAGGATCTACCTGAAACAGAAGGAGCAAATTTCGTTCATTCGCTTGTGCGTTAATATACCGAAGTTTTTATATGCAGTCATGCGTTTAGCGACAGCATGTATCTTTGTGTTGATCACATTTTCAACGCAACAAAAAAAAAAGAAGAGAAAGAGAACATGCATTTGTCGTCAGGACGCAACACCTGGATTCATTTATGCACATATCTTTAGAGCAGAACGATAAAGCTTTAACCATTCTTCTGTTTGTTGTATGACACCTTCGTTTAACAGATACCATAATGAAATAAATTCAAAAGAGAATTTGAAACAAAATATGGGCGATTTTCATTTTGTTCCCTATTACACAATCGCAGTGTATGTAATAGTCAGATGAACTATGCACATCCTCTCCTTTGTCTTCGTCTTTTTGTGAATATTGATTAAATCTGTTCGAGTCAAATATTCTAAATTCAACGCGTTATTTTAAATGACGAAAATGAGGTTTTGAAAGATTATGAGCTTCATTTTGTGAAAAGTGAATATTCATCATTGGAAACTTCTTTTGGTGTATGGTTAAATGAATCATATTAAGATAGGTTAACTTGTTTTTTTTTCGGCTTGGTAACTTGATCTTTTCACTTCAATACAAATATTTTGCATCAATTTTCAACGGCGTTATTGATAAATCTTTTGTTTTAATCACAATATGAGTCAGATAAATATGGGATTTCATCAATAAAACGGGAGAAATGTTTAGATAACTGCTTGTTCCTTTAAGGTATAAATTTTGTGTGCATATAAATCGAAATTACCATTCTGGCCTTGTAAAGTACGGTTTTAAAATGCAACCCATCGATAACAGTAACATCTCTGCAAGAGTAGTTCGCCGATATAGAATGCGAAATCGAATACTGATCATTGCTTCAACGATTTTATCAATTCTTCTTATAATCACGGTGTCCTTGTTAATTCATCGTGCACGAAAACAACAATCAGTATCCTATGTATACGGTAAGAGGCACGATTCACCGATGTCATCATCATCATCATCATCAGCAACAACATTCTTCGTTAGCACCACCCCTGCTGATACTAGTAAGAACTAAAAAGAAGGAGAAGAACTATGATAAGGTTGATATATATATATGGTATCTTTCTTTAAGGTTCATCGATTATTACTAGTACTAGCACTGCTACCACTACTACTACTACTACGACTACTACTACTACTAGTGCATCAAAGCCTTCGTTAAAGATTTGTCCGACAGCTACTTGGTCCAAGAAAGGAATTACTGTCGCTGGTGGTACTGATAGTGGCTCTGGTTTGAATCAACTTACTATTCCAGTTGACATGTTTGTCGATAGTGAAGATGCTATTTATATAGCAGATTCTTTCAATCATCGTATTGTGAAATGGAATCCAGGTGCCCGTGAAGGTATAGTTGTTGCTGGTGATACTTCAGGAAATCGAACACATGAACTAAATTACGTGACCGGATTATTTGTTGATAGCGAAGAAAGTATTTACGTAGCAGATAATCATAACCATCGAGTTCAAAAATTCAAAAAAGATAGTAAACATGCAACAACATTAATCGGTGAATATGGTCCTGGTAGTGGTATAAATCAAATTAATAATTGTTGGGGTTTATATGTTGACAAACAATTCAATATCTATGTGTCGGAGCATTCCAATCATCGGATTACAAAATGGTCTCCGGGTGCAAAAATAGGACAACGTGTTGCTTTCGTCGCCAAGCCGTTAGGTATCCATGTTGATGAATCAAACGATGATGTTTATGTTGCTAGTTACAGCGGCAATTGTGTATACCGTTACGACAAAGATCGTAAACCTGTGCAGAGAATTGGAGAAAAAGTACTTGATAGTCCGTACGATTTTGCATTTTTACCTGGCTTCGATTCGAATAATCGAGATATCATTATTGCTGATAGCGAACATCATAGAGTAGTGAAAATGAATTTGGATAAGCCGGATCTGGTAACAATTATTGCTGGCATCACTAATCAAGGAGGTTCGTCTGCAGAAGAATTCAATGAACCACGAAGAGTTCGTTTCGATTCCAAAGGCAATTTACTCGTACTTGATTCGAACAATAATAGAGTGCAAAAATTCTTGATAGAAAACAACAAATGCGATAGCTAGTTTGAAAAAATCCGTTTTTTTTCTTTTATATTTGTATATCCCAGAGGGTAAGTATATCTCTTCATTAATAAATGACCGATTGAAGTTATTAGTTCTTGGTATTTCAAAGACAAAGGTGAAAAATGTCCCTTGTTATATGAGAACATAAGTGGCTTATTGCAATTATAACAGCTGACTAAAATCGAGTTTGATTTGCAACGTTGATTTTCGATAATGATGCTAACTTATCAATATCCTAGAAGTCTATTTCGTAGATACACACAAGAAACAAAGTTAACTTACGATGGCATTGATCTTCGATATTGGATCAACACGATCATGTCTACAACGAGACAGTTCATTAAACCAGATACACAGATATTCAAAGCCTTACCTTTTAATGATTCTTCTCATTAAAATACCAATCAAAATAAGAATACCAAGCGCAGTCAATAGTGTCGTAATGATAATGAACAAAACGGGCCATCTCTGAAAAGAGAAAGAGAGTGTTAACTTCGGAAATAATCGAGAAGGAATATATACGACCGTAAACGGATGAGTTGTTGTTGGGCACTAAAATTGGACAGAGAAATATACTTTTTTGGATGAGTTCTATACGATAAAACAAATTCGAACGCATACTTGGATACCGTCTGATAATGTGTTAAAATTGACACAAGCAGTGTCAAACTGAAGGCCATCTGTTGTTCTACTTGCAGTTGGTTCAATACCGCTACCAAGTGCCATGACAATTTTGAAATTTGCACTCGAGCCATATTTGATGATTCTTAGAACTCCATCGGTGTTATTGTACGTCACATTTTGATAGTTATACAACCAAACTTTGAGCCAACTTTGATTTCGTCCTCTGATTATAAATGTGGAAAGATTATTTTCATATCCTACTGTGATATTTGTTTCGTCTGGATTTGGACTTAGCTGCCAATGCCAAGCATGTGACAGAACATCAATAAATTGATCATGTAAAGCGATGATTGTTTCAATATGATCCCTTTTGATCATATCAACAAGAATACTTCGTCGAGCACATGAAATATTGAAATTGTTGCTAGCATCAAGAGAAACATATCCACCACCTTGATTTTGGAACGGCTTTACTAATGTTGTATAACCAAGTTTGTGATTTCTGGATGGTTCTCGTGGCCATCCATCAATTAATGGTGTGCTGAACTTCTTTGTTTGACTGGAATATAGAAATTCTTTTCCAGGCATTCTTGCCCAAGTGGTGTCATGGCTGATGATGGACAAAGTGAATGTTTCATTCGCGTTCCAACCATTACGACGTCGATTTCTATTTACTAATGCAACTAACACGTCGTTCTGATCTTGATAGCGATTTCGAAAAACATAAAATCCTTCGATATTGTCAACGATCATTGAAGTCGAACGCGGAAATATAACGTCAGGAGATTGGGCAGGAATTTTGTAAGGATAATAGAATAGTGCTGCGCATTTATCTTTACCATCGAACGCGGGTGACGACGAATTCATTCCCATGGTGCGATCATAAAACCATTTGAGAGCAGCTTTGACATTTGGATCAGTAGTAGAATTGAATATGTATGGTAGAAGCCCATTATAAGCATAGGTAGGCGTCGAAACACCAAACTGTAGAGCGTTTCGTTCTTTTCGAAATGAAATTATATGTAATGCCAGATTGTGCCAATCAGGTCGAGACCAAGCTTCGTCGAACATTGAAAGGCCCATATCTTTTGTTAGATAAATAGCTGGAGCAAGGATCGGAATAGTATACGCAAGATAATTTAAACCCTCTTGCGTGTAGCCCGAAGGACCATAAGCATGACCAATATGTAATTTGAGTTCATTGAATAGGAATAGAATTCGTCGCTCTGCCTGATCATGTGGATACTCTTCTTCACCGTAAAGAGTTAAATGTTGAATCAATTCTGCTGATTTAATAATAGCCACCCAGTTACTTGCTTTATCATTTGGATTGCGCGAATGATCATCTGTGAAGTCATGCAACTATTTTGTATCATTGGAATCATTTAGTACGTACCTGAATAAGATGCAAATATCGATGCAGTATACTGGAAATCACGTACGAAGAATTGACGTTGCTCTCGATTTAATCCATCATAGATCCAATCGAAAATTTGTGCTCGTGCCATGGTACTGAAAGCAAAACGAAGTTTAATCGCAGAGTTATCGTAGATAGTATAATTCATGCTGTTTATTTCTAGTGCCGCTAGTGCCAAATTGATATATTTTTTGTTTTTTGTTATCGCGTACAGAAGAGCAGCATCTCTTGCCAGCCAACAATAACTATAAATACTATCAGGTTTGTAACTATAGACAGATTTGATAAGAGCCTTGAATACTTCTTGTGCATGTCCTACTCGATCGATTTGCTCACGAATAAACGCAAGACGCGTTGACGTAAGAACAACACGTGAACGTGTAAGATCTGCAAGTTTAGCACTAGCTGTTTGATTACCATCGTCTGAGACAAGAAGAAACAAACCATTCTTTGTCCATGGAACGATTGTTTTCATCTCTTGAACTGCATAAACACCTAATATCTGTGCACTCGTACTGTTGACATCCGAGACATGATCAATACCATTATACAGAACTATAAATTTAGCCGTACTTCTGGCATCAAGTTGCCAACTGAGATGAATGCCATCTACTCTAGGAAGAGCAATTAAAGTAGTAATAGTATAGTAGTTTTCTGTGAGATCTGCTTGACCTATAATAAGTTCTGTTTGTGTCACAATGCTTCGATTTAGATAGCGTGCTATTACTCGATATGTGTAGATTGTATTCAAATGAACGGTATGATCTGTATACATTGATTCATAGATGTTTTTGCCGTACGCTGGTATCACGGGAATCGTAACTAGCAGATGTGAGGCATTGAGTGTTGACAATATTCCTTTACCTCGATAAATTTCATAGCATGCAATCTGCCTTGTATTGTTTGTAAAGTTCCATCGAGTAAATAATGTCCCGTCTGATCGAGGGGATACGAAAAAGTTAGCACTATTCCACCAATGATCAGCTTGTTCGATGGAAATATTGGCGAGTAGAATGGTTCCGACACAACGATTCATTGTCAATACAATTTTCCCGAAGATTGCTTTGGAAGGAATCGGTTTTGTTATTTGATGGTAAGTCCATGTTGAATTTTTGAAAAGAGATTTTATATATTCGCTTATAATGCTAACGTTCGACTGATTATAGAATTCGAAACGAACACTGGCTGAATTTTGCACGAATAACGTCTTGTACCAAAAGGATATGAAAAGAAATCGTTTGTTAGTATTCTGCTCTAGCCTAATCATTTGAGTGAAGGTAAGTACAGTTGGGTTGATGTGCGCTGAAATCTGAAGAACATTGAGTGCTAGATATTTTCGAGGGAGAACTTTTAATGCTGCATTCCCTCGTTGAATAGTAACATTCCAATGATTCGGTTTCCCATTCGTTTGTACTTGACTAAAATCGCTGTTGCTTAGTAAATTGCCACTGGAAGGTATAAATTTCACACTTAAGATCAAGGCTATCGCCGCAAGAAAACATTGCACAGTCATCTACAGAAGCAAAAAAACGCTGCCTTGTTCGTAACGGTTGAAAGTCAGACGTTGTAGAGTATAACAGAAAGTCAAAGAAGCAAAGCAAGAAATGTGATACATGTCTTCTCTCAAAACATGAAATCAATGGTGTTCTTTGAGATAGTGACTTGTTTGTCGAGAATAACACACGTAATAGAGAAGATTCAATTTCTTTCTTGATGAAGTTCGATCAATTATGATATTGGAACTCTTCTATTGATTTCTGATTAGAAAAGTCAAAAGTAATTTTCTACTGGGTGCGCTTAAGTCTTGTTACTCATCTTCTTTTTCACATATACATCTAGCAGACGAGAAACTGCGCTAGCATTTACCAATAGTATGCTCTTATCAATGAAATGTTTTTTTTTTGGTTCACAAAAGCTGCATGTACTTATATATTTACAGGTAAAAGAACAAAAATATTTGTCCCATTAACAAGCATGTGCCGTCTGTTTATTTAATTTGCAGACAAATCATAAGAAGCATGGCACTTCTTAGTTACCTATTGTTTATGAAGTATTTTAGTTAGTAAAAAGTAGATTTCAGAAGAAAGAAATGATCATTTCAAGCATTTTTTCAGATTTAAAATAAGCACAATGACACACGCTGATGATGTTACGTTTACGGAAAGAAAAATAGCACTTCTTATTGGGAACAAAAACTATAGCCAAAGAGAAAACCAATTGTACTATGCCGTTAAGAACGTTGAAGACTTGCATCAAGTGTTGAGTAACCTAGGCTTTCAATGTACAGTGCATTTGGATATCGATAGAGACATAATGGACAAGATTGAAGTTTTTGAGAAAACAATTAGACAAGATGATCTGGTCTTTTATTATTCAGGCCATTGTCGTCATGCTAATGGACAAAATTATTTAGTACCAGTTGATGATGCTAGAATTGATTCAGATGAAAATATTCCTGATTTTGGTATGGATTTGTCGAGAGTAGTTGAACGATTGTGCAGCAAAAACGTCAACAATGTCTCATTATATATGCTGGATTGTTACAAACCGTATTTATTGAAAGATGAACCGCCATCGGAAGGTAATTTGTATTAGTTTACAATTTTCATCGTAACACAATTATCATCTATTTAATAGCGATTAGAAAACGACCAAAAGCAATGAAAGCTCTCCCTCGAACATTTATTCAATATGCTTGTGCCCCAAATCAACAAGATAGTGTTGTGCCACATCGTGATCGTAATGATTTATATACTAAACATTTACTGAATATCATCACACATGAAAATATTCAAATTGCGGATCTCTTCAAACGAATTTCACAAGGTGTACACCGAGAAAGCAACCAGAAACAGAAACCATTATCGATGAATGGATTAGGTGGCTACGAGCAGAAGGTCGTTAATTTCGTCGACTATAGTACGTAAAATAAAATAGAACATGTATTATCTATATAAAATTCACTGTCTTTGAATTTAGATGGAATGATAAACGCTTATAGTGATCGAATTCGTGATCTAAAACTAGAATTAGAAAAGTATACGGTTCAGACATCAATGGGTTCCAATTCAGCTGATCTATTCCATGCCAATAGAATACGAGCCTTGATTCATGAATTCACACAGAAACGGGGAAGTTTGATTAGTAAATGTTATGCAGCTGCTCCTCGTGGGTAACATTTATTGGGAAAAATATTGACTACTTTTTTTCACCAGTTTAGGAATAAAACTTTTGAATCGAAATTTTAACACTGTTTAACATCTTCAACTAGATTAGCGATCATTTTTGAAACGTTCTACAAAAGTTTTCTTTCTAAATCTCCAGAATGAATGATAGAAAGTGCCAAAAATGTTATTCTCGTTCGTTCTTTAAGTTATCGATGAACGAGGTTAAATACAAAGTTGGAAATATAGCTAACATATTTTCTATATTCCGTGCCACTCCTTTACAGAAAGTCAGAGTCATTCAATTGACTTCAAATGTTCGAGATAATTCATGTCCTGTTTACAAAGAATCATTGTATGTCTTACTATTGCGAATGCAACACGCACATCGGAATACGTATACGGTGTGCGAGCACTGCAGTTGTCTTGGAAGACTTTGAACTTTTCTATCTGGTTGCTCTTGTGCGTTTACCAAAGTCTAACTATTTATTCGACCAAACACAATTCTAGTCGGGTTAGTATTTGCCTCATTTGCCGTCTGTGAGAATAATTTCTATAATAATTTTGACTCGACTCAAGCTGTCAAACGTTTTCTTATAATCTTACACCTTGATTTCTAGCTATAACTATTCTTAATTGTCTTGCACGAAGTCCTCTCGGACATATATATTCCTATTATTTTCATCGTTACACAGATTCTCGATCGCATGTAAAAAGGCTCTCAAAAGTCTTAACCTGTTTTAAATGACTTCTTGGCAGATGTTAAAAGTAACGAGTTTGCGGAGGAGAAACGCAATACTGACTTCCTGTTTTTTTTTCTTTTTATTGCGTTCAAATCCGAAAGAAACTCGGTCAGAGACTGTTTGCAGTTTAGTGCATTATCACGATACATCAGCATGTTTTCGACAGACAACATTACATATTTGAATTATATCAGCACACAATTGAACATCTATGCCGGTATATTTTTCTATGTTTTTGGCGTCTGGAGCAATATCTTTTGCATAATTATGTTTCGAACAGTAAAGAAACTGAAACGAAATCCGTCGTCAATCTATATTTTCGCCGCATCTCTCTGTAGTCTCGTACTATTGAATACCTCATTGCTTTCGCGTAGCATTCTACCCGGCTTCAAATTTGATCCATCATCACGCTTTTTCGTCTGGTGTAAATTGCGTCAATATCTTGGACAAGTCTCTGCTCTAACTGCGCTCTTTTGCGTTGTCTGGGCAATGATGGATCAGTACTTGTCAACATCAAGTCGTATTTGTCTTCGCCATTTATCAACCATCAAGAATGCTCGTCGATTAGTATTGTTAACATTCGTTGTATGGTTTCTACATGGTCTACCGTTGGTAATCAATAATCAAATTAGTGTCTTAGCGCCGAACAATGTCACCACGTGCTCATTATCGAGAGATTTAAGTTTTCAGACCTATACAGCTTATGTCGTGACTCCGTTCTTTCTTGGAATCATACCTTCGTTCTTGATGGTTGTATTCGCAATTTTAGTTTATGCGAATGTGAATTATCTCCACCAGGAACAAATGCGCACGCGAATTCAACGACAACTAACACGGATGATCACTTCACAAATCGTGTTAATTCTGATCGGTACAAGTGCATATACCACTCTAATCATTTATACCTTATTAACCGTATCAATACCAAAGGCACCGATGAGACAGGCACAAGAAAATATTGGCTTAACATTAGCATTATTATTGTCATATACTGGTTACTCGTTCCATTTCTATATTTATATGTTTGTGTCGTCCTCGTTTCGAAAACATTTCAAGGAGTTCATTAAGAAATTCTTACGCTATTTATCACATTACTATCGTGCTATTAACATAACAAAGTTACATGCACAAGGCCCAAGAAATAGTATGCAACGGTATACAACGTGAATAGAACATATTTCTTTTTGGCAACTTCTGTATTTTGTGTGATGAAAATGTTCATTTCATTATATTTATAGTAAAATCGTTCTACTGTACGCATTTATTTAGCGGTCTATGTGTAGCGAGAGATAGAAGAATATGAACTAAGTATGATCATGTCGTAGATCAATAATTTTTTCCAGGTTGACGTGTTTTAGGAACTAAATGCATGGAATCATTTGGTTGTTCATCTAAAATTAATTCGGCGAGCAAAACTGTCTACCATTCAAATAAAGCACTTTTTCATACCTTGACGCTTGAGAAAGCGTGCTTCTTGGCAGAGTGCGCATGGACCACAGCAAATTGTTGCAAGTAAATCACTACAATGCGGATCTTCTCGTAGATTATATTTTTGTCGGAGTAGTTTTCGTTTTATATAATGCGGATACCAACAGATAGCACAATCAGTTAGACACATGTAAATGCAACACCAAAGACAACAATTACTATCATCAATTTTCTCAGCATTTCGTCCAAATAAACACGGTGTACAGCACCAACCACAGAGGCAAATTCCACAATTGTCAAAGCAACCAAACAAAGATTCTACAAATATAGAACTATTCAAGGCGAATAAAAACTGATAATACTTACCATTCCATTCACCACTACCTTCCATACTTTGACTATCTCAATAGTTTACCTTGTCTTTTTATATACAGCTCTGAATAGATGCACAAAACACAACAAAAATTGTCATCATATTTATACCGACGAAAATAGAGAGATACACTTAAATGAGTTTTTTTTGTATCGTTTCATTGAGTCCATCTGCCACATTCTCATACTTCATCGGAATGAAAGAATGACCATATTTTAGTTACAAAATAGGATTTTGATGCTTGATTACCGCTATAATCGATTTCTCGTACAGACAAGAGAATGACAAGCAAGTTGTGATTCTATTTTAAAGGTCATGAGTTAACTGAGTAAGATGACATGCAAACTGCAAGCTGGTGATTTTTTTCTATACTACTGTTTATCTCAGAGTGTCTTTATCGATGCCCAGAAAAGTACACTTATGCTTTTTAACAAAAAACTAGTATAATATTTGCATTGATTCTTAATGAGTATATTATATACATATGTGGGTGATCCTAACGAGTCTTTTTCGGCAACGGGAAGTACGAAAGAAAATTTCATAAATAGATTGATGTTTTAAAATGATAATGACATCATTCGCGATTTCGTGTCGAGCATGATTCATTACCTATGTTGATTTTTTTAATATTCATTGTAGATCAAAACTTTCTGAGCTTATGCATGCATCGATGACGTTCTCTTTCTTAGTATTTCCCATAAGTTACAAAAGCTGACGTAAAAATAAACGTGTTGCTTTTTTACGAGGAAGTCACTTTCGGCCGAGAAAATACCAACATGCTATGGTTGGATGAACAGTAGGGTATAAATACCAAAACAGACGTAGAAAATATAAGATATCGACATCGTCAAATACATGGACGGGGAGTTTTCGTTCATCGGCTATTGCTGTTGCTGCCTTTTTATTCCTTGGGTAATATGGGGTTCCATCTCAGCATCGAGGTACGCTAATTATAAGAAGACAATGCACATGTATACTCCAACAACTTGTCTACTATTGAATTATACTGTACAATCTCATCAGTGCGAAGATTGTAGTTATGGGTCGTGCAAATATTATACATGCTACAATGAGTTTTTTCAAGCAACGTATCCAATTGCAAATGGCACTTATATAATATCTACAACCTCGAGTATAGATAGATCTGAACCGCATCAACAAACACAGGTACATAAAATATGAATTATGGAGAAAAGATCACATAAAACGGTTTGTCTTTGATTATGTAGATAAATAATGCGTACAAGTGTTTTTACCAGTTGAATAATGTCATTCTTCTCCTGATGGAACTCCCAAATAACAACGCAAATTTGGTACAGCTGAGCGTTGCGTTCTCCTTTGCTGGTCTATGGATTTTAATTTTGGTTGCGTTGCTTATGTTATACTTAACGGCGGGTTGCAAATGCTGCCATTGCCGGGCTTTATTGTCAAGTTGTGTAGCTCGGCTTCGCATCGCGAAACAGCAAGTGAAAAATAAACTACAATTCACCAGTAAGAACGACATAGAGATGACTACAAGAACATAAATGGACATTCGTTTTTGATAAACCCTATATCTATTGTCTTTTCTTATATAAAGATCTTTCCATATAACAAATACGACTTTCATGGCGTGTCTCATATTGAATTATACTATCTCTGAAATCGTGCAATCTAACTGATTAGTACTGTTAGTAAGATTGTTTCGAACTATTCAGTACCAATAGTACCTATATAAAATACGCTCGATTTGTGTAAGTTATTTCTATAACTTGTAGACTAAGATTATTTACACAATGTATTCCAACTTTGTTAAAAAATCTACAAAAACGAATTAGAGGTTGATATCGCATTATTGCCGAGTTTCTAGCGATACTGGTTATAATTGGGAAAATTATTAGGAGGACCACCAATTCTGCCATCGCCATTAAGATCAATATTGGTTGCTCTCTCCAATTCACTAATCATGCTGTTACCTCCATATTGATTGAAATTAGGAGGAGGTGGACCATTATACGGAGGACCGCTATATGGAGGAAAGTTTGGAGGAGGAGGATATGGTTGACCGCCACCAATTCTACCGTCGCCATTGAGATCTATGTTTGTAGCTCTTTCCAGTTCATTGATCATGCTACTACCACCACCAGGTTGACCATAGTTTGGAGGTGGCGGTGGACCACCAAATGGCGGATAATTTGGAGGGTAGTTAGGTCCACCACCGATCCGTCCATCGTGATTAAGATCAATGTTCGTTGCTCTTTCCAGTTCGTTTATCATGCTGTTACCATTGGACGAATTGAAATTCGGAGGAGGGCCATGATAAGGATTAAATGGAGGTGGACGAGAAGGACCACCGATGACTCCATCATGATTCAGATCGATATTTGTTGCTCTCTCCAATTCACTAATCATGCTGTTACCTCCATATTGATTGAAATTAGGAGGAGGAGGTGGACCATTATACGGAGGACCGCCATATGGAGGAAAGTTTGGAGGAGGAGGATATGATGGACCGCCACCAATTCTACCGTCGCCATTGAGATCTATGTTTGTAGCTCTTTCCAGTTCATTGATCATGCTACTACCACCACCACCAGGTTGACCGTAGTTTGGAGGTGGCGGTGGACCACCAAATGGCGGATAATTTGGAGGGTAGTTAGGCCCGCCACCGATCCGTCCATCGTGATTAAGATCAATGTTCGTTGCTCTTTCCAGTTCGTTTATCATGCTGTTACCATTGGACGAATTGAAATTTGGAGGAGGACCATGATAAGGATTAAATGGAGGTGGACGAGAAGGACCACCGATGACTCCATCATGATTCAGATCGATATTTGTTGCTCTCTCCAATTCACTAATCATACTATGGCTGCCAGCTTGATTAGCATAGGGAGGTGGAGGACTACGATAATGTGAATGATTGGAACGATAATTAGGGCCATTTCCAATTCTACCATCCCCGTCTAAATCAATATTTGTCGCCTTTTCCAATTCATTTAATAAACCTTGACCACCAGATTGATTAAAATGCTGTTTACCTATACGCCCATCACCATTGATGTCAATGTGTGTTTTTCTCTCTAGCTTATCCACTAACGTTTCACTTCTAGGATCTGGCGCGTAATAGCCACTAACGTGTACATGGTGGCGTGCTTTTTGAAAAACAAATCAAAATGACAATTCATCATATTTACATAGGCGTTGGTTTTATTCTTACTTGATCCTATTACACCATCGTTATTGAGATCGACTCCAATTTTTTTCTCTATATGTTTTACGATGAAACCTGTGCAAACAGAATACTATACGTGCATCGTCAAGTTGTCACATGTAACTTACTCATAGTATTGAATTGTGAGGTTGACTACGAGAGATATGCACTGTAAAAATCTTAAAATTATAAATTAAGATAACGTTTTGTATGATATTGTTTACATCAATATATATATATATATATATATATATATATGCATCTATGACGACGTTTTTTCTCTCTCTTGCGACCCTGTTTCAAATGAATAATAATAGATAACGATAGGCGTCAATATGTTTTATGTGACGCATTTCCCACACGATGAGCAATCATGCAAAACCTAATTCTATTTTCTCTCTTACTCATCATATTCAAAGATACATCACAATCTACGAAAAGAAGAATAAAATAAAATAATATTCGTGCGAAGTAAACGACGCATTGGTATTCTTCACCATTATTCGTATGTATGTTTAAAAAAAATTTCTGATTAGAATTTATTGAAATCGATTATCGACATAGATAGATAGGATCGGCGTATTTTACGCCTTTTGAAATGTATAAAAATGATCGTAGTTAGTAAGAGTAATAGTAGAGCCACTAAAATCAATGTTACATAAGATATGTGAAACTGCAGAATAATTAAAATAGTTTCCGTGACGAATATTCCCAGGATCACAAAAATCAAGCAGATTGTTCCGATGCGATATCGGGCGAGTCTATAAATACATGGATAGAGAGTTCTCACAATGGATAGAATACCCGTGCAAATTCCTAATTGATTAAGAACATCGATGGTAGTTTGATTAGGAAGTATGAAACCGTAGCAAAGAGCATGGCTTGCCGACATATTCGGCGATATAACAAGTTCATTCGGCTGACATGCGAACTGGTCAACTACTTTGTACAACGAGAAACGACTTTGAAATAAGTAACAATATGAAAATTCATCAGAGCATGACTCATTTGGATAGACCAGGCGCATGGAGAATATACATCCATCGGTAAGTATCACCATAAGTAACATAAGACACATACTCAACACTATAGTTAATGGTAAACGAGTTGAGAGTTTTGTAGACAATTCATATTTGTCGCCGCATATATCAAGAACGATGATTTCTTTCGAATTATTGTGTATTTGTTTGAAGCCAAATAATGAGCGCGTTAGTTGAACCAACCTTTTAATCGGCAACATGAGTAAAACAATACAAGAAATTAAGGTGAGAGCCACTTCTACACCGACCACAAGCACCGTAAAAATGCTGTATGAGATCATAATATGCCTAACTCCAATTTTTCAGAGAGTTGTCGTGTTATACGAAAACAAAATAATAGTTAATAGTACATCTCCAAATAAAAAAACCTGATTTGAATATTAAAAGAGATTTATACGCATAGGATTAGTTGATGAAAAGGATGACAGTATAACAATTGAATTGTGATGACATATATATATCAGAAATGTTTCTTTCTCTTGCAAATACCAGCGATACATTCAAGCAACGCACAAATTCAGTATCCGTTTATTACGAGCATGTGGATATTATTGAGGCATATCACGATGAATGAGCTCGAAAAAAATGCGTTTCACCTCCATGAGCTATATTATGAACACAAGCAACTCCTTGTTATCTATTCCAGCACAATAAAATAGACAAATCAATATCATTTTCGTTGAGAATCCCGCATCTATTGTATCAATGCGTGTAAATAATAAACGCTCTGATAAGAACAAATCTTGTTCTTTGCTTTACTCACTTCAACATGAATATTACCTTTTAACTACAGAAGACATCAGCAACTAACGAAAAACAGAGTTAAAACTCTTTCACATCTGCTGATAAATGTTTTTTTTCGTTATCCTTTTTCTGTTCGGTACGGCTGTCGCACAAACACCAAAACCGTGTACAAGTCCTCGTCAATGGGAAGCACGCGTACATAGTTCCAATCCAAATCTCGATGCTGATCTTCTCGGTCGTTTCAGCTACGATTCCGTATTTCAACGTACACGCATTTTACAACGTGTAAAAGTTGGTCGTACGGAAACGTACTATGATATTATTAGTTTATATCATGATAAACTTGCATTTATGATCGATATGAAGACTGCTAAATGTTCACGTTTTAACTTTGATCAGCCATGGCGGGATTTCGGCATTCAACCCGATGCGACGCCACTTGGTGTAGCTTATATTGGTTCCTCTGCTCTTTCTGATGCTACCCTTCTCGTCACTATTTGGTATGATTTCTACATATTTATACAAATTTGAATAGATCGAGTATGATTTCTACTGTAGGACTGGAAAGGAAATAATTCCTATAAATGAAACTGCACGTTATATCGACACATGGACTCGAAACAGTTGTTTACCAGTCTCTAATATCGTTTTTGAGCCAAGTGGAAGTGTAAATCATTTAAGATACTATGATGTAACACTTGGTATCAATGATCCAAATGTATTTATTCCACCAGAGAAATGCTTCACCGATGAACGACATCCAGTACAGTATTTTCCTTTTGGTATACTTCGAAAAAATATGTTATTTTAATTCCCCTGTTTTATTATGCTAAATACACTTCAGTAATCGTTTCAACCAGAAACAATTCAATCCTTCACAATGGCGCAAATGCTCGTCGAGTCATAATCTTTTCTCAGTGTTTGCAGACGAACGCAAAAGGCAATACAACGGATACTACATCCATACCATCACTATTTTCTAGCAAAAAGTAGATTTGTGGAAAACTCATCGATTCTATTCTCGTGCGTTAATTGGCACGCACTCTTATGATATTATCAATTATGACCATATCTATCCGAATGCTCACGTATTTATGAGTATATAATCTCAAATGATAATTATAATCAAACCTAGAACTCCGGTGTAGAAGTAGCGTATAAATCTGCGATGATCTATTAGTTTGTTAGATGTGCCACACAACAATGAATGATAGTTCTACGAATCTTGATACTCGTGCAGTTTGTTTGATTAATCTGATCAATGTTATAAATAAAACGATTTCTCAATATGGCCTTGGCATTATCTACTTGTTGGGGAACATTGGATCGGCGCTGACTTGTCTTGTTTTCCATCAGCCGACATTCCGTCAGAGTTCTTGTGCTATGTATTTTCTTGCATCTAATTTTTCTCAATTTTTCACTTTCAATTTCGCTCTCCTCACTCGAATGCTTTTCTACGGATACGATATCCGAACCGCAAACACTTATGGTTGGTTTTGTAAACTTCGCTACTACTTATTCTACATTTTTATCGCCAATTCTCGTTATAATATTATTATGGCTTCAATCGATCGCTATTTCGCAAGTTCTCAGAACGTGTTTTATCGTCAATATAGTTCACCACGAATTGCGTCGCGAGTTATTCTTATCGGCGCTATTGCTTGGTGTTTAATTTACATTCAAGTTCTCGTTTTCTACGATATCTACGACAGTAATTGTCAATATCAAACGGGAACATACGGAATATTTTTCAGCATCTTTATTTCAATCGACAGTGGAGTTCTGCCAATAGTTCTGATGCTTATTTTCGGTTCTCTAACTATCCGAAATATTCATCGAAGTAGACGACGTACTGGGGCCTTTCCCTACGCGCGCTATACTCAGACGTCTCATGGAAATAGACTAACACGAAGAGACATGCAATTATACCGAATGTTGATTAATCAAATAATCCTTTTTATTATTTTGAATATACCTAACCCATGCTATCTCATATATAGTTCATTTACTATCGAAGATATCGAACAACCCGTTCGCCGGACAGTGAAAGAGTTTGTTAGCAATATGACATATGTGCTCATTTATCTTGGATTTGCATTAACGTTCGCGAATTTCGCTATTTCGTCCAAGATATTCCGACGAGAATTCCAACGAATTATCAAAAGAAAAGTACATTGTCTGCGTGCACAACACATACGTCGAAATTAATCAATTCATTCAGACACAACACGTAAATGCATTCATTGATACTGGTCGTTGTTCGTAGATAAAAGAACGAAACGAAATATCGAAATTTACAGAAGTTCTCACACATACGCATTGTTACACGCTTCGAAACAATAAAATAGTCTTCATCCGTGTATGTGATAAACAAAAATTGATCGTGTAGAAAATATCTGTGCGAGAAAACAAGCAACCTCTGATAGCGTCATTGATGATTTTATTTATTTCTGCACATATTACCATGAACAACACAGCACTTACCATCTCTCTCTGATTTTTAGTGAATTTAGGAGAACTATCTGTGGACTGTTCAATAACATACCTGTTGCTGCGAATTTCCATTTTTCGAAACATAGGCATGTGTGCATGTCATTACGATAGCCAAACAGGCTATTCGCAAGGAGCTTAACTATTCCTTCGTTCTGAATTACTTATCATTTTTATTTCCTACCTCAAAACATGCTTATGGTAGTTATTTTCTTTTTTAGAAAATCGTTGATACACTGACGACGTCCTCTCTGATTATTGAAATTTAATTATGTTACGAATTGACATTCGGTTAATATCGGTCCTATATTTTGTGGCAAATTCATGTGCAGATATGTACCATGCGAAAGACTCCGATGTCCTGAAACAAAATGAGTTATTTTCTGGATCAATTACCAGCATTGATGGTATATTAGTTGGTCATAGTTCGAAGAGCGAACGTCCAACAGGTTGTACTGTTATTATATGTAATACAACATGTGTTGGAGGTGTTGATGTTCGTGGAGCGGCTCCAGGTACGCGTGAAACTGATCTTCTCGATCCTATGAATATAGTCAAGCACGTAAATGCTATTGTATTATCCGGCGGGAGTGTGTTTGGATTAGATGCAGCATCAGGCGTGACTCAATGTCTGATGGAGAAAAACATAGGATTTCCAGCTCGTGATCGTCTCGTTCCAATCGTTCCAGCTGCAGTCATATACGATTTGAGTGTAGGTAATAATTCGTTTATAGTTCCTGATGCTCAATCGGGGTATTCAGCTTGTATGGCAGCTGACAATGCACCTGTGACTGAAGGCAACGTCGGTGTTGGCACTGGTGCCAGCGTAGGAAAAGTATTGAGTATTAGAAATGCTATGAAATCAGGACTTGGTAGTGCTTCAGTTAACATTCGAGATCCAAACACCAATACTACAGTTACCATTGCTGCTCTTGTTGTAGTCAACGCAGCCGGCGATATTTACAAGAAGAGTCAACTAATAGCTGGCGCTCGAACTCCAGATGGCAAAAATTTACTGAATACAATAGAATATATTTTGAATGCGGATGCGATTGTTGATGATATTTTTCCCGTTGGAACTGCAACAACACTTGCTTGCGTAGTGACTGATGCTATAATTACTAAAGCTGAAGCAAAGAAGATTTCACAAATGGCACACGATGGATTTGCTCGAGCAATCAATCCTGTTCATACATTGGCTGACGGAGATGTGGTTTTCACACTAGGCACTGGCGCTTCACCTGTCTCAAATATTAATCTTCTTGGTATTATGGCAGCAGAAGCTGTTGAACGTGCCATTATTCGTGCTGTGGAGAAAGCTACTGGTGTTCCTGGATTTCCTAGCATTCACGAGCTTAGTTTAAACCCATCAGGTTAGAAATCCGCGCAGAACTCTAATGTGTTAATATGTATTTTAATTACTTGCTTCTACTTTTAGATTGCGACAATGGAAAGCCTTGAAATTCGATGACAATTATTCTATTATTACGATCAAAAAAAACTGTTTTATGTAATAAGAAAATTAATATCCGTTTATTGTACGAAATAAACAGAAAACTAATTTTATAGTTCCGCACTCTAAATCAACGAATTAAGATTCAGTATTTTCAAGTGAATAAAGTAAGACCTAATGAAGCCAAACGTGCACTCGTTGAGTTGCTCATTCTTCCCGTATATGATTGAACAATTCCTTGTAGTTTTCGCAATGAAACTCCTGATGGTGCAAATACATCGAAGTAACAATCGCGACTATTTTTGCCTGCTTTCAAATACGTATGAATTCTTAATCCATGAATTTGTTGACTCGGATCAAAATCCATCACTTCAATAGTTTGCAGTTCATACTGACGGAACGACACGAAATGTAATTCATCAATAATAAGTCCGTTCCAGTATAAGATAACATGACCATATTGACGATCTAGCAAGCGATTGTATGTTGATTGCCGGCAGCAAAACGATGATAATGGAGCCATTTCCGTCCATTGTCGATTTGGACCATGGATATAATCCAGAAATCGGCTCCATTCTGTACCTTCATATCGCCAAATAATTGGATTTTCTGTGATTCTCGGATCAGTAAGGTCATTCATTTGTTTTCTGAATTGACAAGAGGCGCATCCTATTACAAGTAAAATTGTAAGAGCGCCTGTGCCAATAAATGTAGATCCAATGGTAAGTAATACAAGACCTGGTCTTTTGCAAGATTCCTGAGACGAGTCACATTTTGGTAATACGAAGGATATAATAAGTAATATCAAACCAGCCAAAATAAACAGACCGAAAATGAGTACAATGTAAATCATAGTCTTACGAAATTTATTCTTGTGAAAGTCGAGCAATTCCAGTACTGGTGCTGATGAAAAAGCAGCGTTAGCAGTTTCACTAAACATAGATGCGATGGTCGACGATGGGTTTTCAACTGGAATAACAGTATGCTTCATATCAGAATGTTCTTGCGCTATGGTGGAGAAATTTGGTGGACTTTCCATGTTCCTAACTACCAAAATAATATCACAATCTTAACGGGTTCTCTGTGGATATGTTCTTAAATTGTTACTAAAAATTAAAAAGAGTAAAACTAACGATTATCGTCTGCCGGTAGAGAAAAAAGTAAAACAAATATTGTCACTCTACGATATATATTTGTTGATTTTTCTTTTCAAACATGTTGTTGTTATTATAATGACTTTATCTTTCACAGTAAAAAAAAACTATAAAAATGACCCTATATTGCGCTTAGTATTATTTTCATAACTCCTGCATACATAGGGGAAGATTCATTGAATTTGCTTTTCACCAATTCAAATAACATAATCATTTGATTCATCCCTTTGTGTTCAAAAATGACGTCTGAATTAAATTTCTACATGATTCAATATATATGAATCACAAAATAACAATCGTCATACGAAGAATAGAAAGGAGCTTCTCGATAGGCTATTGTAATATGTTATCTTCACTAGGTATTGTAAATATAGAAAATAATACGCGTTTATACTCATTGCTCGCGTAATGGAATATAATTCTGCTCTAGATTATGTTTTGTACGTCGACCACAACTCGATTCAATCTATTTAAACAATTATGCACGCTCATTGATAGCAAAGAGGAGACTCAACAGAAGACACATTGTCGGAAAATGCAGATGTTATCTTGAACAAATTATTGTAGAGAGTTTTCAACGTGAAATATTCTTTATACTTTTTGGCATTCTCTTCGATTCGCTTGTTTCATGCATATTTTATGTCTTATTGTTTATTTGATGAAAGTATAAAACGGCACAATTGTTCTAATTGCTGTTATTTGGTAGAAAGAAATTTAAACTTTAATTAAAATGGCTTATATCGAAATGAATGAAAACAACATTGAAGAAACGAAAAGGTAAGTCAGTTTGAGTTCAATTTGTTATTTTCCTTGTCAAATTTCAACGCAATATATTTAGTATCTTATCTGGTTCGCTCCAATATCACCAAGACTAAACTAGCTGGTCTAGAAGAAAATTTTAAGATATTACCGAACGAATATCAATGGTGACGAAAATCATTCTGATTTTATTGAGGATACAACTGTCTCAATCTTCTTTGACGATGGCGACCATTGCGCTAGTTGTCTGTTAGTCACATTATTCTTAGTCAATATATGATCTTCCTCGAAACGAGTCTCGAAAATGATGTGCTTTTTTCTATCTGTTGTTTTAATGCCTATGGGTGCAGTTCAAAATGCAGCTGGTCTTGTTACTTACTGATCTTTCTTAGGTATTATAGAAGTCTGTCTATTTCCTGCTATTGTTTATTACTTATCAATATGGTATTCAAAGAAACAGCAGGCAATTCGAGTCGACCTGTTTTAGTCGATATTAGCCTTATCAGGAACATTTGGTGGTATATTCACGTATGGAATCAGTGTGGGTGAATCCGTAGAGTCTTGGAAAATGGCGATTATTTTTTTATTGTAAGTAAAGTTTAATGGAAATGAACTGTTCAATGTAACATGGCACTTTTTGTTAATAGTTGGAAGGTGCGCCCAATGTTATTGTTGAAGTATGTTGTTGGTTTTTCTCACCAGATTCGCTGGGAACAACAAAAAATTTCTAACCGATGACAAGTCGCTGGCTTGATTGTTCTTCAAGGGATAACTCTGCCAATGCCTGAGATTATCAACTAATGAGTAATCCGCCAAACATAGCAGCATTGGCTGCTGTTTTATTCTTTTCACGCAGTTCTAATTAGTAAGTTTATTCAATATTTTTTATTGGTCATACAATATCTCTAGTTTGTATTGTGATTCAAACAATTTTAATAGTCGTACTTTGTGTGACATTTATGATAGCAAATAAACGTCGAAAACAAATGAATGATGAACAAATCGATAAATATGGTGGAGACGAAGCAGCTGATGATCGCCATTCTCATGTTCGACATACTGTGCAAAAACGATATTTTTGTTATTTTCAAAGGTACTATTCACGCAAAACAAAACTATTAGTTCATTAGTTAATCTCAGCAAGAGAACCGAATCCTCTTGTCGATAGACATGTATACATTCGTATCCTTGTCTTTTCTCAAAGTAAAACTAACAATAAAATTTTGATAATGAAATTTTTGAAATGAATAGCCTAATGCAAATTGGGAATAGAGTATTTATTTTCGTTTTTCAATACATTTTTTACTACAGTTGCTTAAATTTAAACAATTTTTTTATTGGAACGAAAGAAATGAAAATAACAACTCCTTACAAAAGTATTCACTCAGTATTTCTCAGAGGAAAATATGATGGTTTCATACTCTTGTTCAACTTTAATACCTATCATTAGAATATGTTTCGTTGTATTGTCAGAGCATTTTCTAATACTGGTGTTGTAAATTGGTAATAAGCACTTTGTAAAATCTGTAGCTGTTTTCGAGCGACCCGAATTGTATGATTGATAGTAATCAAATCTTGTTCAGCTTTGTTACATTTTTCAAGATTCTTCAGCCATGTTGTTTCATATTTGTTCAGTCGAGATTCCAGTCGATCAGAAAGTTTGTACCAAAACTGCTTGACACCAGGTTGCTTCAATACAGCCAAATGCTTTTGTTGTTTATCAATGATCAATGAATATGCAATAATTCTATCTTGTAGCAATCGTGCTTGACTTTCATTCGCTGACAAGGTAGATTGTATATGATCGATTCTCTTCTCGACCCACTGAGGATCTTCACTGGATCGAGATAGATCTAAATTGAGTTTAGTCTCTTTTAAGATTTCCGCGTCAGGCAACATACTTAGGCTATGTTTTATCTCGTCGATCATTTTTTTGTGTGCGTATGTATATATGTATGTGTGTGTGACAGCGATATGTGATCGTTTTATGACCTTGTTCAGATCAATACGTGACGTCATGCGGACAAGAGAGAAGCATAACATTGAGTGACACGTCATGCAAACGATGCACTCGTTAACAAGGAAAGAAATTTGGTCGCCGGTTTATTATCCTTGGTTGTAACAAATAATTTAACTTATTTATTTGTGAGAATCGAAGTTTACATAAAATTTATCATTTACTATGAAATGTATTCGAAGATTTTACTTGACTTTGGTAATCACACCTTGTTCAACATGTAGAATTTGATCGAAATCCAGTGCATGTGCTCGTTCAGTGTGCAAAGTAAGGAAGAGGATACCTTTTGGTCGATACCATTTGATAATATTCTCTATGATTGTTACTGTTGTTTCAGATGGCAAACCTTTGTCAGGTTCATCAAGAATAAGTAATGTCGAATGACGATGATACGCGCGATACAAGGCTCGTGCTAATAACAATCGTGTCTTTTGACCGCCACTAAGTTTATTCTCCATTTCTTGATTCAGATCGCTGTCGAGTTCATCTCGTACGAAATCGTCAATTTGAACCAGATGTAGAAAATCCCATACGAGTGAGTCGAGTTCAGGTGTACGTTCTCGATTTACATCATCTTCGTCGATATTTGTTACCATACTGTAGATAGTTGATCGATAGTCCATGTTACTATCTTGTAAAACCATCGTTCGAGATTTTTCGATCGAATGTAAGGTTCCCGGGTGTTCGGAATGATCGATATAGACTGTAGCTGAATAATCGCTCATCGGTATCGAACCATTAAGAATATCATAAAAGGTTGATTTACCTAAATTTTGAATATGAAATTGGATGATAATGACGAAAGACAACCTTACCAGCTCCACTTTTTCCTGTGACTAATATTGTTTCTCCCATTTTAAATGTCAATGAATTAGGAAGTTGTAAATGAAATGTTTGTCTTGTTCCACTATAATGGAATGACAGATCACGAATTTGAAATTGAGACTGTAAATCGACTTGTTCGACATTGTTTCGTTCGTGATACTCTTCAAGGATTGGCTGAATAAGATCATAATCTTTTTTCAATCTTAACCAACGAATATATGAAGTGAACAAACTATCAATATTATCGGTCAAATTTGATAGATAATGATATAATGGAAGAATAAAAGCCGTTACACCATTTAAAGAATAATACATACCAATGATGACAAATGTGCATAGTTTACCAATAATATCTTCTTTCAATGATAAATAATCGTAAAGATGATCGAGGTCAAACCACGCTCGTTCGATATCAACTTTTAGTTCATTTGTAACCCGAATGATGTGATTTTTCTCGTGATGAATGACATATTCGAACATATTTGCATTGGCTCGCGTATATTTTGAATATAATTTCTCGTTTTTTTCAATGATTTTCAGTTTCGTATTCAGTAATCTGTCACTTTGCTTGCTCAAATAAAATCGATAGAAACACATGTAAATAATACCAATTACAATCGTTGCTAATGGGCAAATATAAAAGATTGTAAATATTGTCACAAGAAACTTTGAAACTTCCTGGAACTTGTCAATCAGTTCCTCGACGAGATATTGAACAGAAGAACATGCTTCTTCAATCTTTCGCCGGATTTCGACTTGATCAGATAATTTGATTTTAATCCAGTTCGCGCTAAGAATTCGTTGATTTATCTTTGTTAGTAATTGTTCGATAAAATCAAGAACAAATATTTTCTTCACTAAACGTAGTCGAAGTGAACAATACGATGAAGTCGTCTCGGTTATGATTAACATCAAAAGATACTTCAAACCTTGAGCGACATCTAATGTAATTGTTGAGAAAAATGACACATTAAAATATGTTGTCAGTGCCATGGTAATGGTTGATAGCAGAAACCATTGAATTACTTTCAATGGATTTGCGATAATGAGAACATCGAATGAAATTCTATAAAAGTTCCATGGGGAGGAACTTTGCAAGAAGTCATACCATCTTTGAAGCATGATTGTTTCGACTGATAAAACATTCTCTCATTTTATAGTTACTAATATTATTGACTTTTCTGTTTGGTCGAAAGCATGCGTCATGATACCTGATAAAGCTTTTTTTTGTTATTATAGTAGTTTCGCAAGAATGACACTTCTTACGACAGTCGCTTTATCTATACAATGAAACATATAGACAAAATATCGTGCCATGTCTGTGACGCCATTGATCTTTATTATTCGTTGACGAATATCGCTCCCAAATCAGAAATACGTTCTTTCTATCGGCTGGTGAGATCAACTGACACAACCAGGTTACGTCGTTTGTCATCATGGAGTCAGAATGAATCATCGAAACACAATAATGTTCACTGCACTCAAGGTTAACAAAAAAAGAGCACCCGATAGTACTTGTGCGAAATAACATGATGTAATATCCTAAAAGTGCAAACAGTACGCAAAGATATAAAAGTATACTCCCATGTTACAGGTTATATAAGTTTATAACAGAGACATGTGCGATGAAAGTATTTTTTTTGAAAAAATCAACGTATAGTGTCGTTATCGAAATGTATGTTCAAGTGGTTCATTTTTCGCGTTAAACCGGACGAATTATTCAATGTATGAACATATGTACCATCAGATTTTCCGTAGGATAATAAACCCCCATCACCGAATTTGCCAATGTGTATTGCATCTCGACATATTTCACTTGTAAATATTTGTATCAGTATTTGATTATTTAGCAATTCCTTTGGCGGAATAATACAAAGATGTCGATTATCAGTTTTACTCAATACATATCGTCCAGGACAATTTTTGATTTCTTTCCAAGAATATAATTGGAAAAGTTTAGCAAAGTTGAGCATCTCATTATCCATTGAAAAACAAAATCACTGCCAAAAATCTAAAAAGAATAGATTTGTTTTTCGTTGAGTCATACGATGCTTAAATACATTACAGATGACAACAAGCTTAAAATGTGATTGTTCCTAACAATGATTGTCAATTGGCAACGAAAGTCGAATTTTGAAGAAAGAATGAAAAGCCAGAAAATGATTGTCAAAGCAAAATAGATTCTTCAAAATTCATTTTAGATAGAAAATGAAGTTAATTCGTATATCATAAAGTAGCGACATCTTATTCATTACTCAACACCATCACTTGACCGGCATGAGTAATATCGACAGCGGTCGAGCCAGCAAGATAAAAGGGCTCACCATCCATATGTACTGGCATGGGATGGCTAAGTTCGACACGTACTTGACGACATTGAGCAATCCGAGTGCCACGAAAGCCAACATGTATTAAAGCCATTTGTGTGGTATTCAACGCGAGTACTTCAATCATCCTGTCGCTGAAATCTTGTGCTTCGAAATCATTGACTGCGGTTGTTGTCGATGTTCGACCCCATGGCTGTGTACCAGAACCAAAGCCTGGAGTATTGAGTAGAACAACCGAATGATAGTTTCGTATTGTATTCGTTAGATCTTGTCCATCACATATTAAACGGATATATGAACCTATATTCCATGCGATTCCAAAAGCAAATTCATTGAAATATTTCCGACTTTCATTTATAAACATGAGTTTATTTTTGAACGGTGATGTAAATTCCGATGGATCACGTGTACGACGAGCATGAAAATCCATAACAACAGCTGCATCTAATCCAAAGCTAATATAATTGAAAAAGAACGAATTGATCGGTGCACGATGATTATCATACACTGGCAATTCCGCATTACGAATGAATTTCGGATGCTCTCTGAATGAAAAACGACTACGATGTATAGTTCCAAATTCAACATCCGATGCATCAGGATCCAATGTCTCGAGATGAATTTTCCAACGATCGAGTGCAACCGGATGTGCACGCGCTATTTCAGTCAGTGTTTTGAATAGTCGTGCAGAAGTGTATTCATTTCCCCAACCGAGTACACGTGACAGATCATTACCTGTACCCAGTGGACAAATACCAGCTGGAAGATTAGTTAATGACGGAAACCTATCTACAAGGTGACTCAGTATCCATCCAACTGTCCCGTCACCGCCACATATACAAACACGTGCATTATGAAGAGATGAGTAAATTTCTAGAGCTTGCGTGACAGTCGAATCATCTTCGAGTAGAAAGACTTGACGTGGATTGAGTAAACGAACTAGTGTTCGATAAAACTCTTGTCCTTTTTGACCACCTGAAAGTTTATTCACGAAAAATATGACAGGTGCCAGTGAATTGTCGTTAGCATCGGGTGATTTTGACATGCAGGCTTGAAAACGGCAAGGATTATTCGTTGCACGATGTAACCATTGCGGACGAACGATAATATTACTAAATAGATGAGTTTTTTGTACATGAAACATGTCTCGTCATATGAAACCTTACCCGAATTCACCATAATCACATTGGTTATTGTTTGCATCATTTTTTATATTTTCCCAACATAGGCGATGACAATGTCGAGAACACCACATGCATACAAATCCGGCTTCTAGCATTTCTTGATCGTGACGACCATTAGAATTAGTTTTCAATTTCTTATTCTTACAGTATGTACATGGTTTAGAAAGATTTGATATAGGAGACCAACAGTGTTGATCATAAGTTGTGTTGTCATCTGTTATACTATCATCCATGAATGATGAACGACATGGTGGAAGTGAGCACTGGTCCGAGTAAGTATCGGCTTCAGTGAGCTCAGAAAGATGAGCAGAGTGTACAATCAATGAGCAAGTTGGACATTCCACGAAAGACGAATCAGATCTCAGTTGTGATTTTTGACATAAAAGACAAGCACATAAGCGTGAAGAGGACATCTTCTTAGATAAATAAGGTAACCAACAGTGAGATGTCGATTTTGCATGTTTACTCCAATCCACACCGTACATGGGAAAACCCGATGGTTCTTGACGTGTCAGTGAATTTCTAAATCATTCCATATCTCGATCTGTTGAAGTAGTGGACGAAAATCTTACTTTTGCTCATAATCTGAACTGTCAGTAAGCTTACATGTTTCTTCTAAGTGTTGAATCTCTTCAATACCGCTATCAAGATTAGAAGTTGCATTCGACATTGATGTTCAGTAAAACCTATAATATATACGCGATCTGTTATTTACAAATGAGTGATGAAAACTCGTGTATATCATTCAAATAAAACAGCACAAAATGTAAGCGATCAACATGCGTCAGTATTGGTAATACAACTGCGCATAAAGGAATAAACCAAGTTTGAAGGAAAAAAAAACAAGAAAAGAAAGGTAGGAAAAAAAAGAAAATATAGAAATGATTCATTTTCGATAGTGTCAATATCTTCAATCATCGACATAACTGCGACGTCTATGAAGATTGAGGATATTTTTTTACATTTAAAAATACTAAATGAAATAGCATTCAAGAAAATAGGCGCATTCATAGTAAGCCTATACTCATTGACAGTTAATCACGAGTACTCGTTATCTTTCCATAATGGCTGACTATGGATGAGTTAGTTCCACTACCGATCATTTTTCCAACTAGCAAATGTTTACATATGTTTCTTTTCAATTTTAAAATACCAGGAGAAATGATGATTTCATACCGCAAAGCCTCAAAGCAATAGAACCTTGGTTTTTTCTACTATTTATAAACTATTCTGAGGTTTGTTTACTCTTTCATCTTGTATGATTTATCTTATAGTTCAAATACATACTCAAACATCCAACAGCACTATAAACGTTAAATTCAACCAATGAAATGACAAAAGCGAAAGAAATTAAACTTGCTTTTCGAAAATATGATCTAAATAAACATGGATGAAATTTATATTTTCAATTATCATCCATTCTTTTTGTATCATCGATAGGATACAAACATTTTCACAAGGTTATTTGTTGTTCTCAATAGCGATCATAAGCTAGGAAATATAATTTTGTGATAAAATGAAAAATAGATAGAAGTTATATTACCTCGGCTATATCCTGCACGAGTATCAGTATTACAGTACAATTCTATAGCGACTTTACATGGGTATTTGAATTTTCATGTCCTCTACGAATGATATTAACCGGCGACATAAAATACATACAAAATTATTTGTTATGATTGTTTTATTTTCATTTACAAATCCATTCGAAATGCTTATTATGAGCATAATCAAAAGAGAGTCAACTACAATTATATTAACAGCTTCATAAATCATTACAGTTAAATTTTGACCGTTTATATAACAATGGTTTTGTGTTATCATATATGCAACAATGCAGTAGTGCATTATCAATGTGACAAAGCATGAATGTGAGTTGTTGAAATAAGAAATTTTATCTATAGTTACTACGCTAAGAATAAAAAAAAACAACTTATTACAGATTACGATGAATTCGAATCCATTTAGTGATACTACTATTAGAAAAATAGAACGTTTTCAATGGTGGCATCAACGTCGAACTAAATTGATTTTTATTATTTTAATTATTCTTACAATACTTATAATTAGTTTATCGCTCATATTAAAGTTTGTTATTCTTAAACCGTCGAAGTCTAAGATCACTACCACAACAACAACAACTACTACTACAACTACTACTACTACCACATCCTATCAACAGTATGGTAAGTGTAACATTTCAAGTTATACTTCTAATTTTTAATAAGGGAGATTTCTTTTAAACTATTGTTTATTTTTCATCTAGTTTGGCGTGACACTGGTAACTTGGTTAATGCACGGTATCGACATGCAGCATCTGTTTTGAATGATGGAAGAGTTTTAATAACTGGTGGATTGGGTAGTACATATCAGTTAAGAACTGCTGAATTATATGATCCATCAGCAGGAAATTGGACACTGACTGGTAATATGAATATTGAAAGAGAATTTCACACATCATCTACATTAACAAATGGGAAAGTATTAGTTGTAGGTGGAGAAGCTTCTCGTGGTTATCAAAATACCGCGGAATTATACGATCCATCAACAGGCGTTTGGACAGTTACTGACTCGCTAGAGTATGCGCGAAGTGAACATGCAGCAACTGTATTACTGGATGGCAAAATTTTAATTACTGGTGGATACAATGGTCGTGATTATCTAGATAGTGCTGAATTATTTGACATATCAACAGAAACGTGGAGAAATACTACGAGTATGAATAGTGGACGAGAACATCATACAGCAAGTTTGTTACAAGATGGAAGAGTTTTAGTTGTTGGCGGAAGTGATTCTCGTACTGCTGAATTGTATGATCCTTTGACAGAAGCATGGAAATATACTGGTAATATGACGATTGGACGACAAAGTCATACAGCAACGGTATTAGCAAATGGAAAAGTATTAGTTGTTGGCGGATCACATGATCCTACAAGTCGTGCTGAATTATATGATCCAACTACAGAAACATGGACAGTTATCAATGGTCCGAAGGATATTCGATTTGATCATACAGCATCTGTATTAACGAATGGGCAAGTATTAATAGCCGGTGGATATGCTGTTGACGATCTTATTACTACTGAATTATATGATCCATCGACAGGAAATTGGATAATTACGGGAAATATGAGTCATACTCGAACTGATCACATAGCAGCAACATTGCTAAACGGAAATGTTTTAGTTGCCGGTGGTTATGATCGCGGAGCCAAAAATACTGCAGAATTATATGAACCATTATAAAACAAACTTCTCACAAAAGGTTATGTTTAGCTTGAAACATCATGATAAATCTTATTTTTTTACCAAAAAAAATTTCTTTATAAATATATATCAAAACCGATATTGAGAGAGATCTTAAGAAAGCACAATAGAAATTTCTTTTGTAGTGTATTTTTATGAATTCATTCGATACGACATTGACTTTCATGGTGCTCAAAGGACTCTATATGAGTAAAGAAGCTGGTATCACGCCAGCAGAAGATGAAACAAACAACAGAAATTGAAAAAATAAAGTCATCTAGATTTTTCGGATTTCGAATACTTTCTTATTCCACTCGTTTTCGCTTTTTCCTGTGAACTGATATTCAATAAATACTTAAGCTGACTGTTTTTAGAGACAGGGAATAATGACGGATCAAGAAATGAGTAATAATGATTTTTTAAATTGTAGTTAAGAGCTGATATGGGCGTATGTAGAAGTATTTTATCTATTTTCGCATATGATTTATGAAAAGTAATCTAGACCGAATCTTGATATAGTTGAACAAAACTTCTAACTGCAGAATTTATTTATTTGTAAGGCTTATCGGATATTCTCATGAAATCACGAAAGAAAACAATTTTTTGTTGCATTTTTAGATTTACGCTGGCTACAAACGCTACTCAAGTTACTTTTCTTTAGAGATACTATATTCACAGTAAGACTGAAATGGTGAACAGAAGATATAATGGCAGTGTCTATAGCGCCAGTTAAAAGAAGTTATCCTAAAAAACGTGTAGCATTCTTTATATTAGTGTTGTGAAAGGGCTAATTGTTTGTTCTTGTTCGTGTATATGACTTCTCTTTTCTTGAGGATGAGGGTGTGATGGCAAGAATATTCATTCGTGTTTAAGCTTGTCACTTATGTTAGTCTGTCACCCTCATCCTCCTTTATACAACTGATGCTTATCGAGATTGACGGCGAAGGCATTCGAGTTACGTACACTACTGCAAAAATCACAATATAATCGTTCAGGTCATTATTATTATAAACAGTTTTCTTTACACCATGTCGTGCTACTAAATATAATTGTAAGTGTGAAAACCATCTCATTCATAATCATTGAATGACGACAGTGTATTCTATTTATTTGATGTTTTAAATGTTGAACATTCGCCATCGCTCAACTCACACATGAGTGACTTGAAGCTTGACAATTATTCAACTATTCTTGAACATGGGAATACGCGTGAGATGTATCGTTATCATCTAACGATGCCTTGAATATCTGATCTATGTCAGTTGACTATTTCGGTATTTCATCGGTTGAGTTCAGCTTTCTATAGTTTGATGTTTATTTTGTCTTGAGACTCATTATAAAAATAAATCTGTCTAATTTTATTCTAATTGAAAGATCAAATTCATGTGACCGTATATCGCTACTAAGATCATCTGGATCGTTGTTGTAATATATGCTATTTATATAGCGAATGTCTCACTTTCTCAATTTATAAATCATATGATGGGCTGTTGAATAATACACGAGTATAAATGAAATCTTCTCCGTCTCATGACCAAGCATAAGACGCTTCAGCAGACTAGAAAACTGATTTTCCTCTACGTCATATTATCATATTTAAATAATCCGATGGCACAAAATGTTATATATTTTTTGAAGTTCATTAACGCAAGTAGGTGTCTATTTTTATTTTCGAAGTTGATACTGCAGAGTAGTATTATCAGTGATTGTCGTTCATCTCATTTTTGCTATGCCAACTCAACTATTTGAATTGATTCAAAGAATAAACCTTGCCACATTTTGGATAAACCAAATCATTCCATTGTTTCAAATTGCACTTGGAGCATTTGGGAATCTGTTTAATATCATCGTTTTCACTCGTCGCACTCTACGTACTAATCCATGTGCAATCTACTTTCTGGCCAGTTCGATCAACAATTTTTTTCTAATTTTTGTATATATCTTAATCCCTTATTTGTCGGTTAGCTGGAATGTAAATCTGTTACAGAAAAGTATTGCCGTCTGTAAGCTACATGTTATTGGCCAATATGTACCATTTTCTCTCATGTTATGGTTTCCTACTCTTGCTAGTATCGATCGTTTTCTTTCATCGTCGAAAAACCACCGATTTCGTCGACTGAGTACATCATCAATAGCACGACGAGTTAGTTTAGGTATCTGTGTGTTATTTGTTTTACTCCATGTACATACATTCGTTTATGTCGAATCTCTTTGGACCGGTTATGAATTAGTTTGTACAATATTGTCCTATGATTACTTTATTTTCCTTAATTTCTTTGGGCCTATCGTTGCTTGTGTTCTACCGCTAGTACTGATGTTTATTTTTGGTCTTTTGATTGTTCACAATGCTCACAATCGTGTTGTTGCAAACATTGACAATGCACGAAATGATCGTTTACGTTCAAGTAACCGTCAACTGACCACTATGCTAATATTTCAAGTATTGATTACCATTTTAATCTCATTTCCCTATGCGGGCACTTGTATGTATTATGCATTCGGCTTAATCATGGCACGACATAGACCTTCCATACTAGAAGAGGTAATTTACAACTGTGCGAGTAATTTGGCTTTGCTCCTTTACACTACGAATGCTACGATTGGCTTTTACATTTATACACTCACTGGTTCAAACTTCCGCTTGGAAGTGAAACGTTGTTTCCATGCTGGACGACATTGGTTAACTGAAAAATTGGGTTTAGTACAATTTCTTCGCTCGGAAACACAACCAGTTTTGGTAAATACTACGTCACCAGGCACCATTAATGTCATAACAGTGCATACAAAAACAGAAAACAATATGGGTGTTTCCATGGGGTTTCTACCACCGTTACATGAAGTATTTCCTTTCAACGTGAAAATTTCAGGGTTTGTAGAGCTCAATGAGGCAATCATTTTGACCGATTTAGATTTTGCAAAATATCGCGGCATCCTTCTTTCCCAAGAGTCAACTTTTCANAGCCTATTTAAAGAAATTTCAGATAAAAACTATATCGAAAATAATAGTCAAGAAGGAAAAGTTTCAAAAACTACCATACATTTTTTGTACGAAAAAAGCTTGAAAAGTTGACTCTTGGGAAAGAAGGATGCCGCGATATTTTGCAAAATCTAAATCGGTCAAAATGATTGCCTCATTGAGCTCTACAAACCCTGAAATTTTCACGTTGAAAGGAAATACTTTTGTATAACGTGGTAGAAACCCCATGGAAACACCCATATGTATTTTACAAAAGTGAATATAAAAAAGAAATAAATTATTACTCATTAAAAAAATAATGGAGTATTTGTATTCTCCGACTATTATCAGAATTTTATAGTCTCACATGACATATCTGTTTAACAAGAAAAAAACGACACCGAACATAGTTGTATCTATGCTAAGTCATTACAATCCGATGCTTACAAGTCGAAATACAATCTGTAACTTGAATTACGTTTCCAAACTTCTATGCAACATAGTGTCTTGTAAGCAATTTTGTGGAGTCTATATATAAGGACACTCTGTTAGTACGGATTTGTTGCACTAAAAGCATCCAGTTTACAGATTCTCAATTAAGTGTGATGAGCATGACTGCTATACACATTGGAATAGATAATGCGTTAGATTGAATAAGAAATAAGTATTAATATTGCACTATATCTAAAAACTAATACCAACATGACATATTTTCTGTTTCGACAGCGACAGTTCAGTGCAAATCGTTGAAGAAGCTTCTTTCGTCTCAAAATCGCATCAGCACTATATAGATCTTAGACTTCTATCTTTGCAAATCAGATTAGTGTGGGATAAAAAGACCACAGGAGGAAATTAAAGTGGAGATAAAATAGAAGGCACTTGACAAGGCTGTCGCAATAACTTGTAGCGTTGTTTGTAGACGCTATTTCATACTTTGGACAGCTCTCACCTATTTCGCATATAAATCTTTGAACAAAATATTTTGCACATTTATTTCAACCATTCTGCTCAACAAAGATCCTGTATTAGAATTGAGATCTCATCAAGTCTATATTTCTTGATTCAGTATTCGCAGTTACTCGTCTAAATCAATTAACAATAAGGAATAGTATTCAATGTACGAAAAAGAAGAGACTTACAGTTGTTTGTAAACACATAAACCACCGATAGCGAGACCTAATATAAGAAAAAGCATGTAGAGAAACAAACTAAACCAGAGTCCGTTGATCGTTGCAGCGAATTCATGACATACAAATATGTCTGTTTTGTAGATAGTAGCCAATGGTAGAGGACAAGTATCGATTGTTGATTCTATCATCTCTCGTACATAAACTTCAAACTGAAAATACAATAAAGAAATCTTATATTGATTTCATCTTCCTTTTGTACAAATACTAACATTATCAATTGTTTGGTTAACAATATCAAGTGGTATTGTAGGAGTAGCAGCAGTTATATTTTCAAACTGCTGTTGCAAATTTTTGAAACCTTCACGGATCTGTTCGATTTTATTTCTAATGCTGTCTGAACTGAATAATGAGCTAAGGTTGTTCAGAAGACTTATATCATCTTGAATATTGATAGCAGCTATTGAAACGTAAAATTGCTGACCGATTTTATCATTTAATTGATTCATTGACTTATTAACGTCTTCATGGAGACGACGTAGATGACTAGCGAAGAAATGCCTACTGAAATGCGTTTCATGTCGACAATCATCAACTATTTTCAGGAATGTTGTTTGTATATCCAATCCGGGGATCATCACATCGCTCGAATTCGATCCAAGTAATTCATCTAAATGGAAAAAATAGATTTGAACTCAGCAAAACGAAACAAAATTTTTCTACCGATAAGAAATGGAATAAGAAACGTGTCATCCTCGTGAGCTGTCCGACATGCACCTTGCGCAAAGAGGTCGACAGCGTAGAATAGACTTGAAAGAAGAATAATCATTACTAAGATGATTATTACTGGTATGAAGATGATTCGCAACCAACATATTGTTCCATTCGTCGAGGATTCGGACGAAAAGTCGCTATGCACTATTGATGACTGGGACCGTCTGGTTGAACTTTGTCTATCGTCATCTCTGCTACTAAAAATAATTCTTCACAAAAAAAAACCCCAGAAAACAACTTTAATCAACTAACCGATATTTGGATACTAAATGTCTTTGTCGACAATGATACAATATGATGACAGTGAATAAACCAACTGGAAATAAACCAAATATAATAATCAACACCAGTAAAATAGTTCCTGCAAGCCGAGTATAGTATCGAATTTGTTTTTCAAGTTCCTGGTTTAGCAACACATGATCTTCCCATGGTTTCATATAGTTGAGAAAATCGATTTCTATTATATTAGTTATTTTTGTTATTTGCTCGTGAACGAGAGACAACGAATCTAAAATTATCGCATCAATATCTGTATCTTTTCCATCAACAAAAGCACAGAGTTCTGCTAATGGTACTGCAAGTTGATCAGCCATTTCTTCATGCTGTTTTGTAATTTCATCAACGATACTCGTGGCAATTGGCGAAGACGTTGATTCTTGACCAATTAATGTATTTAATTCGTCGATGTGCATATCATTCGAACTGATTGTTTGTTGAATTATATTGAGAAAATACTGTTCTTTCAGAATTTTATTGAACGATTTGAGGAACATCGATCTAGATGCATCGATGATAATTGTACTGCCTATAGATTGATGAACGTTCATTCTGAATTATGGATAATCATACATACTTGGCATTGAATATGCATCGAGCATTTTTAATTGTTGAAGAAGATGCTCTAAATAAAGTCCGATTTCCTTCGGATATATCTCTTGATTGAACTCTTGAATCGAATTATCAAGAAATGTGGTCGTTCTATTGACATGATATGCGATGTAAATCATTTGACCAAGAACTATTAGTCCAATTAACAAGATGACAACGACAGAAACACATTGTCGTGAACATTTCCTTTGTTTTGATCGTGAATAGTCCTCAAGACAAATAAAACGTTATCGATTTTTCAAAAAAGAACGATTCGGTATCTACTTGAATAGATTTCGCTTGACAACAGTTGGTACATGAAATACAGTAGAATACCAATGAAAGTATTAGAAATAAAAATAACGTAACACTTCCATAGATAATGGTCGATTTGATTGGTTTCATACTAGTCAGAGCAGGTAAGTTCAGTGAATTCGTGTCATCTGATGTTAGCGTGTTTAAGATTGACTCAATGTCCGCCGTGGAAAAAGTCGAACGTGCCAACGAAGATGAAATCAATTGTGAAATAGCTTTCCCATATGGATCGTAATTTGAATGAGTAGGAGATATGGTCAAGTTATTACCTATCGGTATGATAGGCAATGGGACAGTCACATTCAAACATGTCAGGTTCAGAGCCATTAGAGAAGTCTAGAGCGACAGAATAACTATCAAAGTAGAATACAACTCTTTTTCCTTTGAGATCGAGACGAAGTGGAATTAGCTATTTGATGTTTCGTATTTGAGTTTCGCTCGTTACTTTTCATTGAAAGACAGAATTTTAAGCGTTAGCGGATTTATGATAAGATTTCTGATTCAGATAGAGTGAAGAGTCAAGTGAAGTATTAAATCTTTGACTTTATGATACTCGTAAATCGAGTGACACATCGAGGAAGTCGGAAAAAGAACAAAAACAGTGTTATTAAAACATCACTTGTGATTAGTATCTTTGATAAATGACAGAAACCATATAGATTAATCATTGACAATTTATTACTTAAGATTTTAGTGAATAGAAATCATCAACCATTCGATTAATCAGAATGAAGTTTCACATTTTATCTCTCTTTGCCATTTTCTTCGAATATATCATTGTTTGAATGCTTTATTTTTCACTGGAAAGAAAAGAAAAGAAGAGAAAAGAACGGATAAAGAATGTTTGTATTGATCCTACGAGGCGAGCATGAATAATATGTTTCTTCTCTCTCCTGTAACTTGCGTTATACCTGTGTTAAAATTGACCGATAGTGACGAATAAAAAAAGTACAAAATTCACCACTTACCTTTTCTTTCTCCTTTTCTTATCGTATTCATTCATCACAACCAAATTCAAGGAGTAGTATGCAAACATAACTCTACACAAAAAGCGTCCGAAACTTTTCATATTTCTTCACTAGTTGAACTGATTCTCACATAATGTATCTTAACACATAAAAATACACGATTTTTCCTATGTAGACATTAACATATACGTACTTATAGTTGCCCAATGATTAAAACATATAAAGTTGATTTCATCCATGATCAATTAAATCTACCAATTGTTAATTATGAGGGCAATATACAATGATGACTACTTAGAAAAGAAAGTTGAGTAAGGAATATCAAATTGAAGCTTTTTACAAACGTTTCGCTTGTATGAGAAAAGTTATTCTGTTCGAAAAATAAATTCTTTCATAATAAAACAAGTGTTTATGAATGAAGCAGTACTGTTTATTTCAAGAGAAATACTATAATATGATCTCGGTTAGAAAACTTTTACAATAAAGCGAATATGATAAAGGAAAACAAAATTCAATAAAAAAATCATAGATAATCAATTAGTACTTTTGTGGTGATGGCTTCACCTAATGTATCAACGAACTTTTTTACCAGCGTATCAGTCACCTTGGAATATTCTTGAGCAATTTCGGCAAAAACCTGCTTTAAGTACAAGCCCGTTGATGCAAAATGCATTCGACCACCTCCGAGTTTAGCCATTTTCTCAAGAAATTTCCGATGAGGTTTATTTGGCTCCATTTCAGTTCCAAAGCCAACCGTATGACAGACAAAACTACGTAGAACTTTATATTCGTCATAAAGAGTTTTCACTATTGGTCTTGGATCAAATCCTTTGTCTATTCCCATATCACCACCGTCGGACATGAATACCATGACTATAGACGAATTTGTATGATCCCGTGTAATTATTTCCTTCGCAAGATTTAAACCATGATAATAATAAGTCTCACCATAACGGGGTACAAATGGAAAAGCTATTGCTTCGGATAATGATTTTGATTCGAAAGAAATATCTGCAGTCGTGGAAAATTGAACCACAGAAACAATATCTGTGGTACCTTGATCATTATCGCGTTGAGTTAAAAATGTTCTATAAGCGTCTAATAATTCATTCCAAGGTTGATCTTTCATTGAACCAGAATCATCGAGAACAAAAATAAAATGATATGGTAAATTCGTTCTCTCTTCAGGTGAACCGACTAAGTTGATAGGGCTAAATGCCTTGTCAGTTCCATCGCTTACAATTTGTTCAAAGTACGATTGAAATGCTTGTTCCATTTTAAGAGTTGCCCTGGGATTAAGACTACAAAGTATCACATTAGTCTCTTTGTCTTTCGTTTGCAATCTATCACAGATCATTTCCATTGTTTGTGTACCGAAACCACCCGGATGAGCATCATTCGGATCATCATTCAATGTACGTCCATGTCCTGGAGCATCAGTAATTAAAAGAATGATACGGTTATTTGCATGTTCATTCCATCCATCTAAGTTCAAACAGTGATCAAGAGCACCCAGAACATCTTCCGGAAGATCTGCGCCTCCTGTTGCTTGTAACTCATCAAGAAATGCTAAAATATCGTCGACATTATCAGTAAATGATTTCGACTGGAATTGTGGCTGATCGGTTACATCGCGGTAGCCAACAATAGCAAAACGAAAACAAATCTTTAACATGGAATAATCTTCGTTTATTTTCTGTTTGACATCACGTATAATTATCTGTGAAAAATATTGATTCAGTAGGATAAGAGCTATACAGAAGAATTACTGACCTTTAGTTGATCTTTGATCAATGGTAGCCAACCAGCCATACTGCCAGTACAATCTAGACAAAAGCAAACGTCAAAGGAAATATTCAATGTATTTGTCTGTTCGAGTGTTTGATTATTTCCATTAGTTAAACGTTTAATCATTCCGTCAAACTTTTTATTTTCGGCAAAATTTTGAAAAAACAGTTTGGATTGGTTGACAAACTGTTGATGATTGAATTTGTTATTCTTTTGATTGATTGATATTTCCGTTTCTCGATTCAAATTGATTAATGGAGAAATAATTTCATGACCATAGAGACTACGCAAACCTTGCGGTAGCGTTTTAGGCAAATAACAATAGAGATAACGTTTGTACACATTCGATAGATTAACTCGGTCGAAGCCAACAGCAATTGCAAGAAGATCGATACGAGCGTCTTCAAGACGTTGTTGAACCATAGGTAAATGTTTTCCACTATGACCATAACCATCAGTTAAAAGAAAAATTTTCTTTTCACCACGCGTCGAAGTGTTTGTCAACAAATCAACAGCTACTTCAATTGCATCAGCATCTTTTGTATCATCATCAATATCGAAACGAAGTTGTTCAATCAATGTCAAAATAACTGAAGCGTCCCATATTTGCTCGTTTGTTTTGATTAATCGAACATCTTTTCCAAATACAATTATACTGAAATGATCTAATTCTAATCGTCGACATGCTCCAATTAAAACAATAAGAGTCTCTTTTAATCCTTCGGCCAAACTACCAAACATTGATGTTGACACATCCAATACAAAACATAGTGCATGATCTCGTTTACCACCTGCACACTTAGCACTGAAGATTTTTTTATGTGTCCACTCGCTGGTCATTGCTTTGATTAAACCAGGCATGTATAATGATGAACCACGAAGAGCAGCTCGTCGACGTGTAAACTTATTGAATGGAAAGATGAGATCACCTAAAACGATTGTCAATTCATCGATTAGATTTGCTCGACTGTTTTCTTCTTTATTCCACCAATTCATTGCATTTTGCATATGTTTGGATTGCTGTATACGATGAGAATAATAACGGTAATATTCACGAAGTTGTTCAATAGCTTGAAAATATTTCGTACGATCTGTTGATTGAAATAGATAATTATCTAACTCTTGTTTGGTATAGGTCAGATTAGGAATCGATGCGTTTGAATTACTAATTGAAAATTTCGATAGTTCATCCAGATTATATTTTTGTTCTTGTTTACTCTTCTCACCTATAGAATGCCATGAAATATCTGAGCTTAAATTTGCTTCACTACGAGGTATTTTAATTTCAATTATTGATTTAGGTATTGAATAGTACGCTTCGCTATCCCCTGGTGTACATGAGGTTAGCATATTAATCATAAACTCCTCTAAACTGTCTGATAATTTATCGAGATCATTAGATTTGATAGTATTAAAAGAAACCCCTGGCAAACTATCAAGTAAAAGTTGACTTGATGATTGTTGATTTAATTCAATAAATAAAACACCTAAATTGATTGAGTGTTGATTAAGAATCGCTGAATAATTTCCCGCATCACGTTCTTGTGTTAATCCGTCAGTGATCATAAGAACTAGTCGTTGCTGATTTGGACTAGCCGTTGGTGTACAGAATACTTCCTTATCTTCAACAATTTGTTTAAGACTAGTAGCAGGAAATGTACCTTCTTTAAATGTAAGTGATTCGAGTATATATTGCCCACTGTTATTTGTAAATAATGTATCCATAGCTTTGAGAATTACTTGATGTTCTTTACCGCCAAATCTTGCAACAGCAAATTTGAATTCCATTTTGCGTAAAACTTCCATAAGGACAATTAAAATTTGATAGATAATATCTCGGTAGATGCTCATTGTACCAGAATTGTCAATCATGATACACCATCGAATGTCTATATGTTGAATTCTGTTCTCATTTTTCAATAAATTTTCCCATTCACTTTGAAATGCATCTAAAAATTTTGCTATCAATCGCGAAAAAACTTCCATTTTAATGAATACTTCGTAAGTCAATTCATTTTTCTTATAACTATCAGAAGTTTCCAATTCACCTGTTCGTTTCACAGTTGAAATATTTGACGATGAAGGAATTAATAGTGTTGTTCCTGCTTTGTCATATAGTCCAATAAGATCCGGATGGGCTTTGACATGCGCTTGTAAGATACTTTGATCGGAATTAAAGATAATATTTCCGTTTGTATCATCTGCGGATGATTGTACACTCATATTTCGGGGATCAATACTGTTTGCTAATGGTACATTAAGACGAACTAATTCTTTCGATAGAACATCAGCGGATAATTTTTGTACTAAACTTTCTATATTTTCTCGAATAAATATTTCATGTGTCGCTTCATTTCGTTTAGCTTTCGGAGATTTTGTAGGTTTGATATGCTTCATTGCATTATGCCAATTCTCTTCAGTGATTGTGTTGCTTCTTCGTAAATTAGGTGATGATGATCTAGTAGGTTCATTATCTTGAGAATCGAATGGTAATGGTATTTGACGAGACAGACGATCTGATAAAGAAATTTTCGGTTTTGTTTGTACTTGGGTAATATTAATTCCAAGTAAGCGTAAACTTTTGCGAATTTTCGGATAATTTTTTAATGCAAGCAAAAGAAACGATTGTTCGAGACGATTAATATTTAACAAAAGAAAGTGAAGATTTTTCGATGAACATACGGATTCTAAAACACGTTGTATAATATGAAATATACGTAAAAGTTTAAAACCATGTAGTAGAAGATGTTGTCCTACGCTTTGATCATCTATGTCTGACATATTACGAAGAAGAATATTGAAAGTTGTAAATTGCATTAACCATTGATCACTTTCTCTTTGTTGAGAAAAAGCAAGATTTAGAATTGAACATATTGATTGAGATGTATCAAAAGCAACGCTTTGCATTTGCCGTTCATTTAAGAAATCTTTTACAGATTTCAACATACTTTCCAGTGTCATCGTAGAATACGATGTAGGTCTTAAAATATTAGTATTCAATTGCGGCGAAGAAGAAGGTACTTCTAATGTAGGCAATGATGGTTCTGCAGAAGAATTAGTATCGGCTTTTTCTGATTGTTGTTGTTTAGATTGAATTTGTTTTGATACGTGTGCTTGAATAACGTGAAGAATACGTTGATTTTGGCATTGTGTTGATTCATCTTCCCGCCGAGAGAAACGACTGTTTAATCTCAAGTAGGCAAGTCGACCGAGAGCCACAGTGAATGTTGTCATACAGATATGCTGTTTGAATCGATTTTCTTTAGTAGTAAGTAAGCCATAGAATGATGTTAATAAAGACGAAATCGCGTTAAATATGTCTTTTGTAATAACAGATTTGTCTTTACTCAAGAGTAGCCATGATGCAGTGATTTTATCAAATTTTTCAATTCGATTTTGGTGGTTTGTATTAGTAAACAAACTATTGATATCAACAAGTGTAATGTATGCTTGAATAAAATTTTTAAGATTATCGGAAACGTGAAATTGAACAGTTTTTAGCATAGCTAGTTTCATCGAATGGTTTTCATTATTTAAATTAGATAATAAAGCTTCTACAGTAGATAATCTACTATTCAGTGTGTTGCGATCATCGTCTGACATAGTAAGTAATCCGAGTTCATAGCCACATCGAAAAATACTCTCTTCAGATTCTCCTACTGTCAGCTCTGTAATAAGATTCGATACTTTGTCTGTGATTGATATAGAAGACGGTTGACTATGGTTCATTAAACTGACTTGTTTCAAATAACGAACTACAGTCTGACAAGACTTAGGACCATTCAAAAACTGTGTATAAACAGAACGTAAACTCGACCAATTTCCATTTGTTGAATCGAAATTCTCGTTTAGCATCATTAAAGTGATAGCAATATCTGCGACTAAAGTGGTTTCCCGATCATATTGCCATATCAATTCCCAAATAAAAGATAGACAGGATTCAATTTGTACCCATTGATTCTGGTCAAGTTGAACTAATTGTTTGACGATATTGAGAAACTCCTTTGCGATTTTATTAATTTGATCTTTGGATGTAATCGAACGGTTTCTGAAAAGACGAATGTCGCTTCCAAGTTGAAAATATTCTTTTTCAGCGATATGTAATGTATTTTTTAAATACGGTATTATCTCTAGATCACCTTCCTTGAATGTATTGTTGATAGTTATGAATTCATCGGTACATGTGAAACGATTGAAGAGAATTTGAGCTGAGTGGAAATATTTTTTTAAGCATGTTTGTTGCTCAGATGATTCAACCGAGAAAATTTCATTCAAAGGAAACGAGTCGAATGTTAATTCTGTGAAAAGTGTTTGCCGATCAGATGGAGAAAAGTTTGACCATTTTTCATTAGCTCGAATAATAAAATTCAAGAAGACTTGCTCACGAGATGAATATTGAACATATAACTCTCGAGAATAACTAATTAATGCTTCATAATCTTGTCCAATTAAAGCGATAGGAAGAGTTGTAATTGATCTCGATAAAAATGAATATGTTACTAACCATTTAATAGTTGATGCATTTGAAATCAATAAATCATAAATATCTAATTGTGAAGAAACATTTTCAATAGTAAGTTGTTCAATTATGTTGACATCTATTGTATTCTCCACCAATTGTTTGACATAATTCATAAAAGTTTTCACTGTCTTAGGCATTAGCGGATCTTTTCCTATGCATTCATAAATGAATTGCAATACTTCTCGACATGGATCATCATTTGAAGACCTTTCGTAGATATTCCAAGCTGGGATAATGTATGATTGCATCGTATATTGTTCATCGATGTTCTGAGCGCTATTAAGTGTTTGGATGAGTTGCAATCGAAGAAAATAGTTTTGAGTAAATGAATTATTCAATTGAACTGAATGATCGAAAAAGATATAATGACGGTCTTTGATAGATTTTCTCAATGTTGAATTCAGTGTTTTTATAAGTGCTTTGCTTCGTTGGCGATTGGAAAAATCTTCAAAAAAAACATTTTTGTTTTCAGACGACTGGATTAGTGTACTACCGAATTTGACCCATTCGTCATGAGTCGTTGGCAATGTTGCAGCAGGACTTTGACAGGCAAATGCGACCACAGCCAGACTTATCAAAGCTGAATAGGAAAGATCTGTTTGATTATTCGTGTAAAAAGTATTAAACCATTTCGAAGGTATTAATTGAAGATTTTCCCAAGCAGAACCACTCTGTTTCTTATTGGAAATATAGGAATAGTGAAGATCATCGGTTCTTCCATATATAAAAACTCGAATTATTCGATTGGAAAGTTTACCATCGATTGACATTACCAGATCGTTTGAACTCTCGATATCAATATGACCGAGTTCAATATAATCATTGCTCTGTTCAATATTGGCACATTCAATCTGAATCGGAAGTGTGCATTGTTTATCTGGACGAATAAATATGGGCATTTCTCCTGAAGATGTTGTTGAATCTGGAAGAGAAATACTGTTGACATATGGTAAGCAAGTAGATGAATTCACAGTGAAAGTTAGATTCTCTTTGCCCGTATTTCCTATGTATAATAAGTTTTTTTTTTCATTTGTGCCACTTCGAACTACTCCACAGTCAATTACTGAACTTGGCCTAATAGAAAGTTCCGGCATTCTCACTTCCAATTGATAAGGGGTTTCGTTGATGTTCGGATCACAATTACTTTTGATCGAGACGAGACAATTAAGATCACGTAAATCTTGAGGCTGATAGACAATTTGAACTGTTTCGTGTGATTCGGGTGGAACGGTTAGGCGATCAGGTTCTACTTTTAAATCAAGCGCAAGCGGAGACCATCGGGTAATGCTAGAGAAGATAATATTGAATTCAGAGATCACTGCTGAAGCCATACCAGCATTATGGAGTTTTAATGGGGTCTTAATTGGTTTCAAACATTGTTGACATTCATCCCAATATTTATGTCTCTCGGCATTGACAATATCAAGAGGAGGGCGGATTGGATTTGGTTTGCTGAGACATGCAGCTGTTGATTTACAATCAAACTGAATAATTATAGGGAGGCGATTTGATCGCAAGACACGAACTTGAAGTTTGAAAATTTGATTTCGTTGGTTCTGTGGCATAGATATTTTCACTTTTGTCTGTTGTTTTGAATCCTTCTCCAATCGAAAATTATTCGATTCAAGTATTAAATCATCGGATGAAAGTTGAAGAGAATAATCAACTTGACCAATGTTTTTGAACTCAAGAATTTCGTCACGTATTTCACCGCGATAAAAATCATTCAATGTGAGTTTTCCTAATTGATTACTGTTGTCAATAATAGTACGATTCGCATTAGAAATTGATAGTTGTGGATGTCGGGTGTCAGCAGTTACACGGATTATCTTTCGAGTTTTTGTTAAACCAATAGACAGATAAACATTTGCAAGAAAAGCTCCTTCAATATTAAATGTATTGAATTTCATCAATAAATCATATGTCGCATTTGGAGAAATAAAGAAATTTTCTATCGGCAAATTCAACGCAGCAACTTTTGGAGTAGATATTTTTATCTCTCCTTTAACATGTATTTGTTTTGGTAAAATATTTTTAAGTTGAATATTTCGTTCCAACACTTCGCTTTCACATAAAACACTTCCAAAATCGACTTCTATCGGTTCTACTTCCAGATCAGCTTCGACAACTTCCGCATGTAAATGAATTACATTTTCCATTGTGTTATCATTAATACTAATCCGCCAATTCTCATTAAAAGATCCGACAAAGCTTGGAGATTTGAATTGTATACCAATTTCTCGGGTTTCTCTACCTGGTACACGCACAGACACCTTTGTATGGAAATTGAATGCTGACTTTCTTATATCAACATCTGTTTGCCTTTCAATCTTTACTTGCATTTCGCTTACTGATTGATTGTGTATAATAAGGTATTGAATGATATTTTGATGAGTACCGTTTACAGTAATACCGAAATCGAGCAGAATTTCCTTTGGTTCACATTGCATCGTTTGTAATTCATTGCCGTGGACAATTTTATCAAACCATATATGAGCATTTGGTCCTGATTTTGATTCAGCAAAACATTCTGTGACATTGTCTTCGATAATAAAATTATCATCATTCAACAATACGTCGAGATTTGAATATTTGTTAGTTGTTTGTGAAATTCCTTGAAATATTCTTTTAGCTTCCTCTGTTTTTCGTTTACAATCGGCGATAATTTGGTTATTTTTGTTATTGTCTTGAAGAATCTCGTAGAGTTGCTCACATTCAGCAAGCATCTCATCGAAATAAATATTATGATGTGCTTTCTCCGTAACTTTGCTTGCCACAGCATAAGATAATACCATTTGTGCTCTCACATTACACAATTGGGAAATATATGAATCGATGTAGCCGAGAACTTCTCCAGTTAAATGGCACATTCGGACATGTGCATCAGTCATTTCCTCATTGCGAATAGATTTGATCGATTTTGTGTGCTCGGTAGCTAGTTCTAAATCTGGTAAAGTTTCTGATGCAAGGTTTTTAAGGCCGTGCAAGTTTTTTATCAGCAAGTTTGTGCTTGGCAGCTTGCGAGCGATTTCATATATATATTCGACCTTCGATAAATTCTCGAACTCAACGACTATAGAATGATTGTTTTCCGACACAATTGTCCTAATTAATGAAGAAGTTTCATTCATCCACTCAGCATGTCTTGATTCTTTTATATCTGTCAAATCTTTCTTGTATTCCATACGTTTTTTAAGTTGGTTTTCGAAGTCGACAAGCAGTGTAAGAATATCAGATTGTTCTACTAACGGAGATATAGTATTACATGGTGATGATGATAGGCGTTTAGCAATATACAGCGTTTCTTGTTCATGAGACAATTTTGTAAAACAGATTTGTAGACCATTCCAAAGACGCCATGCGTTGCCATTCCTTAACGTTGACCAATCACCACGATCGGGCTGGAAAAGTGGATGACTATTCGATGTAACAATCACAGTACGCACCTGTGCACTAATGGATAGTTGTTTTTCAGTTACTTGTTCCGCCAATGGAAATGAAATTGATACAGAAGACTGGCCATCTGTATCAAATTCTAGTATAATCCTCATTCCGTGTGTATTTGAACGTTGTTCTGAAACAGATATTGTGAGTTGAAAAAGATCTTTTACTTCATCGAACATAGTCGTATACGGCGACTTTAGTATTAAATGATTGCCCAATGTATGATGCAAATTCATCAAATACTTCAGATTGTCTTGTGATGGTATAGTACATATTTGATCATTAGAATTTTGCTGTTTAAACATATCTTTCCAAATTGCATCTATCAACTTCTGAAAAGTATTACAGATGACAACAGTACTCCTTGGGTGTCGTTGGCGATCTCGATTACTGAGAAGTATATGTATAGCTGTCCACCAATCATATTCATATTTAATAGCTTGACCCAGAATTTTTTCAGCATCTTTTATGACAAGACTCGGTATTGATTTATCAAGTGATAAATTTAGTTGCACTAATTGAGAACGAAAAACACGCTGATCAAAGCAGCGAATATCATCGAGAATATGAAATGTTCCATCAATATTTTGGATATCCGATTGTAATAATTGTTCTAGTGACGGCTTTGTAAATAATATTTCTTTGCTAGATTTAAATATCGACGTAAATATGTCGACGTATGACTCGAAGAGACTGTTATTTAATGATTCTAAAGAGATTTTCTCAACAATTTTTTCAAAGTTGTCAAGACTGCCGATAAGGACTTGAACAAACACTTGAATACGTTGCATTTTCTCTAGCTTATTTGTTTGATTCTCATTATCACCGAGAATTGAATCTTTCCTTAAGAGAACCTCGTCGATATCAGCAAGAAAAAAGTTTGATGTTTCTCTATCGATATCAGATGATGAATTGATCATCTTCGTATTTCGTCGACTTTCTTCTAAACGTGTTTGTATAAGAAAATTATTCGATTGAATAAGACCTTGAAGAATTTCTTTCACAGCACCTCGCCAATGTTCCATTATTTGTAATAACCAACCTTCCATCTTTGGTCGTGTCTTTTTCAATAAACCAGTTAATTGCTCCATATGAATACATAAATTGGAAATCAATGTCTTTCGGTCTTGTAAAAATAAACACTCGTCATTGAGCTGTTCGCTGCTTTGTGACATATTATGAAAATCTTTGCATAAGTCCTGTATAACAATATATTCATCATTCGTCACATTTTGTTCGATTCGAACAAATAGATCATTCAATGCACGCCATAAATTCGTAATGATATAAGCTGAAAGAATATTAAAGTCAATGACGTTTTCTATGGAACGTTCGAGTAAGTTAACAAGTGCAAAAACATTCGAATTAAATTGAAATATCATATGTTGAACTTGATAGAGTAATGAATCACTGTACGTTTCTAATTGATTTTCATATTGTGTAAGTAATGGAAGAAGTTTCTCTTCTGTTTTGGGCAAATCGATATTGTATCGAATGGAAATAGATGTGAATACTTGTTCAATTGAATCATCATTTATTCCTCGTTGAAGTTGTACATGGCGATAGCCAATAGCAAGAAGATTTGAAATAAATTGCTGAAATTCGTACAATGAACGTTTCATGTAATCATGTTCAGTTTGATTGCCCACAAAATCTCTTATTTTTGTCATTTCCTGATCAATATGATTACTAATATTCACGCTTCGTTGAATAATTTCATTTTCATCTTTTCCCGCGCGTACGGCTTGTAAAAATGCTTGACTTTGCTCACGAATCCAAATATTTAAATTACAGAAAAGACTTTTCTTTTGATCTTTCAAGTACACTTGAATTTGTTTCGATCGAAGAAGCCGGCCATATTGAGCACAATTTCTTAAAGAATTGTCTAGTGAATTGATAGCGATTTTAATTAAAGAACAATAGAAACTAACGAACGAATAAATTGCATCGTTTTTTGATAATTTAATCATATGGCTATGAATATCGGAAAGTTCGAATAATTGATCTCTGATAGATTCCCAGTCTTCGCCGACTGGCAAATCTTGACAGATTTCCTCGAAATGTAGAAAATGATGGCGAGTCAACTCAATAATGAGATTTAACAAATTGACTATCTCATTTGAAATGTTTGTCATTGAATCGGTCTCGTATTTGAACATTCGACAAATGAAATGCATAAGTTGTCGCACGCGTTCGGTTATTTTCTTGAAATGCTGGCGAGCGTCAATTAACCATGCACTTTGTGCTTCTTTTTGCTTTTGTTGATGCGATCTTTCTTGTTGTTGATATTTCTCTTCTAAACCTTGGATTTCTTGTTTCATATTTTCAAGTTCGCTCTGGCAATCTTTTTTTTGGGCATATAGGTCTTGTAATTGAGTTTTTTTTTCTTCTTGTAATTCTGTGACTACCGTAGTGTAAAGTGCACATTCAACGTTTGAACATTTTCGTTCTATGGATTCTATACTCTCTTCAATAGTTTTACGTTTAGTTTCACGAATCTTGATTTCATATTTGAGAGCATTGAGTTTCTTCATTTCTTCATTGTCAGAGGTAAACTTCAGAAAAACATCATCTTTTTGATTCTGAAGGAAATTTTCAATGCATGCAGCTGATGAATCCGTCAGAACCAAGAGAGCCATTGACACCGCAATTTGAATAGGAAATAACTCATTCACACTTGTGGCTAACTTCATCAGAAACGAATTTTGTATATTTGTTTCTAAGCACAAACTGATCAATCTTTGAGAGATATTTGTTGCACTGTCTATTAGTTTTTCATGCAATGGATGTGTTTTATTGAATAATGATTTGGATTGATCTTGATCATACATAAAACTTGATAAACCTTTGCTGGATGACGATGATGAGTTTTGAAAAGATGCACATGAAATAGCTTGGATTTCCAATGAACTAGATGGATTAGAAAGAAAATGATCGATAGCTGTATAATGTGCAGAAATAATTCGAATATTGAACATGCTTTCATGCGGTGATAATAAACAAAGTAAGTCTTCCGGTCGAACTACAATTGGTAATACAATAGCGTGTGATTTCAGATGATGTTTGACGCAACTTAAATTGCACAAAATGGCATTGATTGTATCGAACATATTCAGAAAATGAAGTGTTGTTTTCTCTTTCCATTTGAGCAAAGTAGACGTTAACTGAGCCAGTCTGGTATAATTTGAAATCATTTGTTTCTCGGATTGTTCAAGTAAAATATTTGATCGAAATTGAGCATACTCAAGACTAATTTGATTTGCTAAAGTTTCATCAACGGTAAACATATTATCTACATCGAGTTCTTGAGCAAGATCTACGCTGACATTAGCTAGACAATGTTTCAATAGGTTAAGATCTGGCTTGTTTGATGAGTTATTAGATGAATCTAATAGCATTAACGTTCGATTCCATGTTTGAGAAATCGTTTGATTAGCAGATATTGTTATTAATTCTTGAAGTTCATTTAATGCTATTGCATCTATACTTTTGTTGATAGCGGCTCGAATGGTATCAAGATTCTCTTGATCATTATTTTGAATTCCATATGATGAGTCAAGGCAAATATCTTCATCTTTAATATTTGTGATTTGCTTTATATTACGTACGTATTCATCAAGCGGTCGTATTTGTTGAGATAATCCATTTGAATGTTGCTCGAGAAGTTGATGTAAAACCGGCTCAGCTTGTAGAAGTAAATTAAATTGAGACTTATTAAAAACTTGACGTAGATTAAATGATCGTAATTCATGTAGGATATTTTCTACGCGTATAATAATGTGATGTGGTCGAATAAAAGCGCTTTGTGCTTTTCTAAGTAGATCTTCGAGTCGGACAATGTAATTATTAATTTTATCTTTATTTTCCTCATATTTTGAACTAGAACGTAATATGGAATCTCGACTTAATTCAGATTGTGTTCTTGAGTCGTCTTTATCCGTGAATAGAGATGTAATATCAATAATAAAGTTATCGATATTAGGCATCAAATCACAAGGAAAGAAAAGATTTGCCAGGTTTTCTTTGAGACGTTTTTGAAAGTTCTGAAAAATATTTTGATCAGAAATCGATTCTTCAACTCGTAAATGACCGGCAACCAGATCAATTTGAAGGAGCGTATAAGAAAACAGTTCATGTAGGAAATTGATCGTATCGGGTGTGGCTTTATGAATCGTTTGCAATAGGTGGGTATCATCACTCGAATACATAATATATAAAGGAAGTAATGTGAGCAGACATCGACAATTGTCGATAAAACGAAACAAACATCGAAGACGGGATTCATCTGCAGTTCCGAAAGCATCATTGATATTTTTTGATTCACGTAATTGTTTGATGATTTCTTTAACGCATTTATAGGTTGCTTTACTCGCAATCTTAGTGATACCGAGATCTCTCACAGGAACAGTACCTTCAACATCTTGTTGATCAGTATCATATTGATAAACAAAAGCCAAAGATGTTAATCGACTGTTGATATTAATAGCTGATGATTGAAGTGTTTGAATGAAATTATTCAATTCTTGACGGGTGTTTTCAATATATGGATTGGAAAAGATGTCTAGTTCTGAAGAAATAATCTGTATAAATTCTTGTACCGAATTCCATGTGTTAAATGTGGCGCGAAAATCCTTCGTTTTTTCTTTAAGCTTATTGATCTTATGACATAAATCTTTGCCAATTGATCTTTTTTTCACGAGTTCTTTTCCAAACAATTGATCAATAAAAAGCTTAAATTGATTATAAACATTTTTCATTTGGTCATATAGATCACTGTCTGTTGGATAATCATATGAGCACAGTTTCTTAAGACAGGTAAAGCTGAAATTTCTTTCGTCATCATCACATATTTGTATTAGTTTAAGTTCTTGTCGATCGATTCTAATAAACTTTGAAAATCGATTCTGTTGAAGTTTATCAGTACGAAAACCATCACAGGCACTCCACAATGTAAATATCATTGCTGATTTTTCATGTTCAATTTTAAATAAACAACAATTTGATATTTTTCTATTAGGACAATAAAAGAAAAGTTGATTTTGTGATTTAACTGATTGGTATTTAGTATCAATTTGATGTTCTTGAATAATTTGGGTCCAGTCTGAAATGATTGTAATGCCATCAATTCTTTGTCGTTGTTTCAAAGGAAGAAAAAAGAAACTACAGATGAAATGTATCAATGGATTGAATAGAAGATCATCGGTAATGTGACTTTTTAGATGAGAAAAGTAAGACGATAGAGCCATTCGAATATCTAATGAACTGTTTGAAGAGTTCTTCTGTAGATGAAAGAGATATTGTATCAAGTTATTTAATTGATTTATATCGAATTGTTCGAATCGATCGAGAAGAAACAGGTAACTATCGTTTCGCGCAAGATCTCCCATTTTTTCCTGTAGTTCATAATGTGCTTTACGGCTGTTTGAGAATATAGAACTACGCTGTCTTTCACATGCATCAGATTGAGTGGTGAGCTTTCTGTATTCTTGATTTTCGCGTTCGTATTCGGAATTTATCTGCTCATATTGGTCGTTATCAAAGTTTGGATTTTTTAAAGCTTCACTTGAACTTTCTCGTAGATTATTCACTATCGTTCTTTTGTCTAAAACTTTCTTTTGTAATTCTTTATACTTGTTGTCAGTTGTATCTGATTGTGATGGTAACATATCTCGAGCCTGTTGAAGTATTGAACGAATAAGTTCCATTACTTCTAAAGAACAATAAATATCTTCGCATTGGATGATAAAATCCAATGTTACACAGATATCTTTATTCAAACATTTTTGAACATTTGCTGTTAGATATGTGGATTCGAATATCCACTGAAGACCAATCCATTCTGTGAGCACATGATAGACGATAATTGAACTATGTAAATCGTTACTAGCAGTGTCTGATATTTTCGAAAGCATATGTGTGATCAATATATTACATTCGGAACGTGCTTTTGCAATAGGTTGTTGTTGTGCACGTTCAAATGCGAAAAAGAGACCAATATCAAATTCAGGTACGCGATCACGAAATTGTTGATGAGCATTAACAAATGTTGTATTATGAAAGAGTCCGTATGCATTTAGAATTGTTTTAAATGTAAGAATTGGCTGAAGATATTGAATTATTTTGGATATTAAAGTGTTTAACTGAATTATTGACGAAGAAAGCATCGAAAATATAGCTGATGAGGAGAAAAATTGAATGAATATTTCTATAATACCGGTAATACGCTGTAGAAATACTTCTCGTTTCTCAGCATCATGAAATGATGTTCCTTGAACGAATTCATCTAACAATTCCCAAAGAATTTTGATTTTGTCGTTTAATTTCTCCGCTTCAACTATCAAATTTAACATATTACTTATTGCCGTAGTACTATCAAATATATCGATTGGACATTCAACAAATTGATCTTTCGCTAATTCATCTATACATTCTTGGATGTTACCTGTTTCAGATTTTGCTTTAATACGGATCAATTTTTCATTTTTTGGCTTCATTCGCAATAGGATTTTGTCGAAAAAAGAATCGAATAATTCTTTAACACGGTCGTTCTTCGCCAATATTTTAATAATACCATATGTTATATTAGTAAGAAAACATTCCAGATCAAGACAACTGTTACGAATATATTCCCTGACATTACGTTTATTGATATCTGATTTGTTCCTTGGAACCATCGATTCATTGAATGTTTCTGAAACTGTTTGTACACTTTCTCGAAGTTGTTCAATAAAGAATTTGTACTGTTTATCATTCGAAAGAGACGAACCATACGATCGAATTAGTGTCCAAATCGTTGCCTGTAATGGATTGTTTCCTTCATCAATAAGATAGCGTATGGTTTGAACAGATTGATCAAGTAATCGATAGGTGATTTCGAAATCTGTTGAATAAACAAGATTATTTTCTTCAATACCTTTTTTAACTTTGACATGAGTGAGTAACAGAAGATGAGTTAGTTGTTGTACACTGGGTACATCGGATAGACGAGTAGAAATAAGGTTGAAAAGATCATGTTGCATCAAGTTAATATTATCCTGTACTAGTCGATCATCCATAGCTGGAAGCCAAATATGAATAACACGATTCAGAAAAGCAGGTGATAATTTATTCGAATAGATTCGATCAAGATTAGCTGTTGTAAAGAGACGAAAATTTGAATGGATGCCACCATTTTCAACAGTTAACACTTGACCTTTAGAATTTTCATATAGTGAAAGCATTGGTTGATCTTCCGTTAATGAATTCAGTCGTTCTAATACTTCAGATGGTGCACTATTAACATTATCAAGTAAAACCCATAAACCATCTCGAATGGCTTGGACGAATTCTGATTCAACAAATACAAAATTAAGATCACTGTTTTGGTTACTTGTTGTTGATTGTTTTAAACAAAAATAATTGAGTTTCTTCTTATAAAACTCCACTTGACGAAGAAAACATGTAATCTCAATTTGAACATTACTTAGTGTTCGAGAAATTTTCCGAACGTCCTCAAGTATTTGGGACATTTTCTCTAAAAATTCAATTTCATATTGAAGACTATTTTGTCTATGGAATTTTACTCTGTTGACATCATTTAGAGAAATATGATGAATGTCTTTCATCTGTGTGAATATACGTACATTATCCTCATTGGATAGAAATGGCATACAGTGAACAAGTAAACATTTATTAATTCGATGGAATAATTTTTCGATATAATCATAAACAGAATTATTCACTGATTCACATGTTGTAATCGGCATCCATGAACCAATCAAATCAGATGTATCAAAGTTTTCATGCATAGGAATGATTACTAAGCGATGACGTGTTACACGTGCAAGTTCCATAACCAGTGATGTTTTTCGTGAACACACACCGCCTTCTAATAGAATAGTACGTTTTGATTGACAAGCTGTAGCTAATAATTCTAATTGCTCAATAGTTTGTTTTGTATAAACCAGAGCTGATTTATTTGATAAGTTGACTTCTTCTGTACCTGTTTTAATATAAATTGAACCGATTCGAACAACATCGTATATACTATCATCAATTGTACAATCACTTTCCCATTGTTTGAGATCGTTGTTTTCAATCGGAAAATGTTCATTGATTAATTCACGTACTTGAAGAAAATCGTTATAACCGTGAAAACGACAAGCGTAAACAACTTGAGCAAATTTTCGAATTGATAGTGTTGTCTTTTCACTGTCTTCGATCTTCGTTTTGTCAGTACAACAAACATACCGATAATGTGTACGTTGATCTTTGATGGTTGAACGGAAAACATCTCGAAATTTTGTCAGATCGCGTAGATTTAGTTCAAACGGACCACCTATTGTGCCTATTTCACCTTGTTGAATCTTGATTTTCAGTATAAAATGCAATTCAAACAAATGATCAAGTTGATTTTGATCGATTGTTTTGCTTTGAGTTTCAAGATCAAAAAGATTATTTAAAATAATACGAAGTTCTTGTCTACTGTAGTCCTCTATATGAACACTAGTGAATAGATTTCTAATCGAACGAGGCAATGGTCTTCGAGTGCCACCGATCATTGTTGCTGGATTCATCGTTGCAAAAATACGTGTTTTAGTCATAGGATACGTTTCACCTGTTGCTGCCACATGAAAAGTATGCGCAGCTCGATAAAATAATGGAGCTAAACCTTCAAGTACTTCAGATGAAGCTAAATTGAGTTCGTCAAATAGAATCCAACGTCCAGCTTTCAATGCTTGTAATATTTTACCATCTTGCCATTCAAATGTACGTTGCTCATTAACATATCTTGGAATAATACAGCCGATGAGATGATCGAGCAAAGTATTCGCTGACAAATTGATTCGTTCACATTCTTTATTTAGAAGTCGACAAACTTGAATGACAACTTGAGTTTTACCAACGCCAGGAGGACCTTCGAGAAGTAGAGGTGTCTTCGCTGATGTTGCCGCAAATATTCGGGCTATTTGTTGAAGAGATGTAGGTGTAGGAACATAACGGAAATGTTTAGTCAATTCTTCCATTGATGGTATTTGATCATCATCGGAACAAGTATATCGAACACCCGTATAGTTCAACGAGATGAATTTTCTGTCTTTACCAACACTAAATGGAAATGGTAAAGATTCACTACTTGCTAGAAGTGTATATGCTCCATGTTTCGTCGATGGTGGCTGAAAAAATGATTGATATTGAAGAAAATCTTTTCTTGATGGCGGATTCTGTTGACACCATTGCTCATAAATAGAGCATTCCGTGTCTATGAGAAATGGGTCGAAGAGAAAGAAACGAGCACCAAGAATAACTCGAGTTTCTAGTGGGAGAGAATTGTCATGATTCATAATGAAATCTAACCAACGAAATAGTACGTGTATATTAATATCGACTGTCAAATACTTTCCAATATCTTGTGAAAGTGAAAAGATAGTTTCTACAGTAGTGTTGATTTGATCGTTTTCGATACCACCTTGGCTCAGTTCAATTCTAGCCAAAGATTTGAGATCATCATTACTGTACGATGATGTATGAATAATTGTAAATCGTGATTTAGTAGACGGGCTAATTCCAGTGGATTCATGATGGTCTTCTTGGTGAACACTGGCAAATACTTGAAAATTGGATAGAAGCTGAATATTTAATTGCCCTGTTATTTCACTTTCGTGTTCGCTATGACAAGTGATATCTTCTGTGAGCGCGAATGTTGGATTTGATTCAAGCATGGAATTCAATCGTTCGATAACAGCTTGATTCGGTAGATTGAGATCTTCCAGAAGTAGAATACCACCATACTTCGCTGCTTTTGTTACTGGACCATCTTTAAATAGAAACATAGGTTTTGTTCGATCGAAATCGGGTTTATTTAGCTTTTCCCAAATGATTTTGAATTTGGAGTAAGTGTCTCTAAGAGTAGAATCTTTTGCTTCAATAGCAAATGAAGAACAATTGAAAAGATCTTGAAAACCGTTAAGAGCTTTGACAACAGAATCGATCAATGTGTCAGTAAAAGATATCTTATTCGAAGTAAGTGATAAGTTGTTAGCTGTTGTTTGAGTAGTAGTAGTAGTACTAGAAGTTGCTTTCTCTGAATCTTCAGTTGATTCTGTATGACTCAAGCCGTCATCGACTTGCTCGAATTTTGTTACATTTCTTGATTGTATATCAGGTGACTTCTCGGAAGAAATCACTTTCTTAGCTGAGAATCCATCCTCCTCCTCATCGTTGGATAAAAGTAACTGCGAATTTACTGTTGTATCATGTTCTGAATCGATGTTTATGTCTGTTCTTTTTAATGTATGATAAAATGAGTTATATTTATCATCAGAAGTAGTATATTTTTCATCGTATCTCAGTGGTGCAATACTTTTATGAGCATTACCAATGAATTTCGATTTTGTTCCATTAATATTTGTCAAATCTTGAAGATTTAGAGTCATATTGAAATTGTCAGTATTTGCTTGTTCCTCTTGTTGACGATCGTTTTCTTGTTGAAGATATTTCTGTACGAATTCATTAACCGCTGTTGTTAGCGTATTTTTAATATGAATCGTAATTGCATGTAAACTGTTTTTATCTTTCTCTGATAACTCACTGGTTCGCGTCAGAAGTAAGCCTTGCAAACGTTGAAGGATTCGTTGAGCCATATTCGGCAATTGTTTGATAACATCAATGAAAGAATATGGATGAATTTGACCAATAAGATCGGTAGCTTCGGTATCAGCGGTAAGATGAACCGTGATTAAATCCGCTGTTTTTCCGACCAATTGAGTCCATGTATTAACAAGTTTAGTTTTGCATGAGCTTGGTCCAATGAGAAGAACAGGTTCTTGACAAGTGACGGCGAATGCAATTCGAACAAGCATCATTCGAAATGACAAAGGCGGTGCATTATTCTTGTTTGCATCCGATATCCAGAGAAAGTTTTTTTCATAAATAGTATTCGTGCGTGGCAACTCTACGAATAAATGATCTTCTTCGAAGCGAATACCATTTTGATCATTGAGGGTGATGCTAAACTTCGACAATTCCATCGTCGTAGAGACAAATTGTTTCTTTAGCGAATCTAGAATACGTTTTTCTGCCGGAGAATTTCGTGCGTGTTTTGAAGAAAGAAGAGATTTGCCGACTGTATACCATTCATCTGTTAGATGAGCAATACTATTGTGACGAAATCTCCATTTGATTAGATCGCGAAGTGTGATCCGACAAGTAGAATCATTGTTCAAATCATGATAGACATTAGCTAAACATCCAGCACTCAGTGGTGAGATACGACAGTTGGCAGATGTCTCTCTGTTTATTTCGTTACTTTTGTGAATTATCATTGTCAATTCGTCAACGGAAAAATCACTGAATTGAATTTCGACAAATCGATTTCGTAGTGCAACTGGCAATCGATGACGATCAGCATATGAAGTGTCATTCTGCGTGGCAAAGAAATGAAAACCTTCTTTGGCGAAAATAACTTTTCCTGTCGCTGGGATAGTAATACACTTCTTGCCTTCGAGTAAAGGAAATAGAAAATTCATCAATGACGGATCAGCTAAATTGAATTCATCAGCGAGAAACCACCAACCATTTTTCATGGCCCGATAAAGTGCTCCTGGTTGAAATTCAAATTGATTGCTCACAGGCAAGAACGTACCGAAATAATCTTGTACTGTTGTTGTATCTGTATTATTTACACGCTCTAGTTTCATATTTTTCAGTTTTGCTAAAAAGGCAACGAGCGATGTTTTGCCAACAGCAGCTGAACCTTCAAGTAATAGGGGAATACCACATGCAACTGCACGAAGAATAGCTGTCGCATAGTCTTGTCGTGATGCAGTCAAAATATATTCCGTGTCCGGTTTAATTTCAATTGTCGGCTCGTTTAAAATAGCGCTCTGCATAAGAAGACATTGTCGAACTTCATCTGATAGTTTTTTCCTTACGTCTACGCTTTTTATTTGATTGACGATCGTAACCATAAATGCTGTCCAAAGACTAGTGATAAAATCAATTTTTTCCGAAGATTTCACTTGTAGAAGATAAGCACTATCGAACAAACGAATAAAATTGCGTAGAGTTAATTTTGGAAAGCGTGACCGATCATTTTTATAGTGCTTAAGAATGATAGTGCATACGTTAATAGTAGTTTTTAATTCATCGTCCGTTCGTTCATCCGATAATAGACATTTGGCAAATTGCTTCACCTCAGTTTCGTATTGGGGATCGCCAATATCGAATTGAAAATCCTCCATATGAACGATCGCAAATCGGTTATACAAAGCAGGTGAAAGTTCATGATTGAAACCATTGGCACTACTCTGTTGCTGAAGCGACGATGATGTAGTCATTGTAGCAACCAATTGATAGTCGTTGTGCTTTTCTTGTTCTTTGATATCCCCTCGTTCCGATAAAATCAGTAGTGGATCATTTTCGAGAACAGGATTGAGCCGTTCTAATACAGAAGGTTCGGCTGTTCCAATATTATCGAGTAAAACCCAGTTGCCTTTAACATAAGCATCAGTTATGGGACCATTTTGCCAAATAAATTTCTTTCCTTCCTTATTCGAATCATTAGGGATTAGTTGGCCTATGAGAGATGATGGTTCTGTTTCAGGTGTTATATTAACTTGATGAACATGTTTCGAGTAGAGCCATCCAAGTGCTAACAGTAATTCTGATTTTCCACAACCTTCATCACCAGTAATCAACAATGGTTGATTTATTTGTAAAAGAAAAGCAAGTTGTTTAAGTACGCTCCAAATACGATCCGTTAGCACAAATGGGACTTCAGGAGTGAAAGTGGCTGATGTTGAGGTATTTTCTTCGCGGAGTTTGACACCAAATGTGTCACAGAATAATTCATACATACGTTTTCGAATAGCTGTATGACGAAATCGACTTTGATACATCTTTAGGCCGAGATGAGCAAATTCAGAAATGTTTGAAAGAATTTGCTTTTCACCAGATTCAACAAGCCATGCCCATAGCCATGATTGATCAATTCGATAAAATCCATGACTAGATATAAATTTATCATTTAATAATTCTTGACGAATGGCAGTATGAACATCAACTGCCTTTTGCCAAATTTCGTCATTGTAAGAAATGGAAGACAAACCAGCAAGTTTAAAAGATTCAGTCCATTCAACTCTTGGATTATAAGTAGCTTCTTTAAATGTATTAATCGGTAAAGGACATCGAACAATATTGTCGTTGAATGAAATCGAATCGTCTGTTGAGTTGATTTGTCGTTGAATATCTCGAATACCTGGTGGACAACCGAAGCGCTCAATAAGAATGTCTTCAATATATTTACGTCCTTCCCGACGATATCGTGCTCCATATATACACCAACAGCTGAAACATAGAAGTCTATTTACATCATTAGTTTGATCGCTACATTCATATTCCTGTCGATACGGAATGAGGAGTTTTGCCCATTTAAAACACTCGCGAATCGAGAAGAGAGCGTATGATCCAGTTTCTGTTAACGATGTCGGGTTATTTTGATCAGCAATTTGCTTATGTCGGATCTTATTATCGAATGTGAAAATAAGACGATTAGATAAGTTGGTAGCTGGCTGTTGACCAAAACAATTCTGTACTAAGAATTTTTGTATTATTATTTTCCATTCATCGATTGGTAGTTCTTTAAATATGATTGGACGAAAGCGACTTAAAAATGAACCGGAAAGTATTTCTCGTTTGCCCTTGAAGTAACCTGAATTTGGATTTTGTGTTGCGAATAGACGAAAATCTTTGTGCATACGATATCGTCGAACCGGTTCTTTGGCAGAACTTGCTGTTTGAATAATCAACTGATGAGTATCAAGTGCTGACTCAATGACTTGAAGTACAATGTCTTGAGCTAAGTTGAGCTCGTCAATTAAGATCCAATAGCCTTCCTTGAAAGCACATGTAAATGGACCATCGATAAATCCGATTTTGGTTGTCTCAGAAAGAGGATCAAGAGTTACTTTACCAAGGAGATCATCAATTGTGATATGAGACGACATATTAAAACGAATCAGTTTGCGACCACTTTTACGAGCGGCTTCAGTAATGGTCGCACTTTTTCCAACACCTGTGTCACCTTCGAGTAGAATTGGAATAAAGTTGTCAAGAACCTCAAGTACTTTCTTCATGTTCTCATCTGCTGTAAATGTCGATGTCCAATGCGGTGAGCAGTAATTTTTAACATTTTGATCTTGTTGTGATTCAGCCAAAAGACGAGAACGAAGACCATGATCGAACTGATCCAATGATGTTTTTGTTATATCGTTCAATATAGCTGCTGTCTTGACAAAATCATTCTTTTTCACCTAAATATAATCGTAAAAATTATGAGAAAATGTATTTATATACCTTTGTAATAAAAAGTGCTACAATTTGCATCCTCATATTAAATCAAAATCTTTTAAATACTGGTCTGCACACGAATTTTTCAACTTTTATGGCATTTATAGGAAAAATCAACACATACTCGAACATAATCTTGTTTAGTGGGCCGTTCTGCCGTGAAAAATTCATGTTCAACTGCATTCATTTCCAGTGAACGATTATTTTTTACGTCATCCGATTGTTGAGGCAAGTCAATATTGACTAATACTTTGCGTTCATCCATCGTTAAACTAAGTATTTCGGCAAGAATATAAATAATAGGATATTTCAATGAGCTTGAAGAGCGAAGAAGATACATTAAATTAGTTATATAAGGATGGAGAATGGTGCTGAAAACTTGATGTGATTGTGATTTCTGAAGTTCCGCTGCCAAACTGCTAAAGTGTGATATACAAGCTGCTTTACCGCTATCATTATCACAATGCTGAAGGAGTGCCGTAAGTATAGGCATTGGTGCAAACAATGAATTAGTTTTTGAAACCGAATCAAGGAACAGAAGTACATCGGGTAATGGACTTTCTTTGTCAAAATTTGTTTGAATGAATGATTGAACGTAACTACCAACTAAGACTTCAGCGATCTCTTCCACTGCATGTTCATTGTGTGGAAGCTGTGCAATAATCAATAGCAGTCGAATGAGATGTGCAGTATTCATTGATGACAATTTCGAATGAGAATCAACAAGCCAACGCAGAAGTATTGCATGAATTTTAAACGAAACCAAATGTTTCTGACCATCGATACTTTTAGTCAAGCCTTCAATGATGCAAAGAAATGTTGAAATATGTTCGATAGCTAGGTATGAATTCATCACATTTGTCAGTATTGTAAGATGTTCACTATTATTGAGAACATTTGACATATAAATAGGTAATGTGTTGACTATATCAATAGAACGTTCGATGAGTTGGAATAATAAATCTTGATCAGATTTACTGGCTGCACGTTCGAGCAGCGGTTGAATAAGATCATGCTGTGTATAAATACTAACATATTGAAAAATTGATAGAACGATAGGTTGATGATACATTAATTGACTACTATCTGCTGATAAAATATAGTCTACATACGAAAGAAGTGTATTCAGGTCGATTGTTTGGATTCTATTAAGTGTTTTGATTTTTATGCATCTAAGTAATATCTCATTGAGTAAGACATATTTATATTTGAAATCTTGTTCTTGGTATGCGCTTGGTTTATAATTACAAATGTCTTTGATTAATTCTTCAACGATCGAATGCATATCACTGCTTTGACAATCAAACAATTGTTCAATGAAATGAGTAATATGAGGTGCAAGAGAGAATTGTTGCATCCTGACATCAGCTATCATGGGAACATTATTAATACTATGTTCAAGTAGGCCATATATGAGTATTTTGATTTCATGTGGTTTATTGTTCATATCGATACTCTTCAATTGTTCAAATAAAATATCACTCATTCGCTTTGTAAAACGAGCAGTAACTTCTTTCTGTAGATAACCATACAAACGAAGCCAAGCACGAATTGTATCGGATATATGAGTATTAGGGGGAGATAAGTTGATTATTTCGAGTAAAGTCAGCAACAACTGTTCGTCTAAGCACACCCTAAGAGCTTGGTGAACAAGTTCATCGACACGCTCACGTTTACTAGCATATCCATCGCTATATATATCAGTTCGACCGTCAGACCATATTACATGTATGCTGGAGCCTGTTGGCGATTTGTAAGAAGCTTTTCCTACAGCATTTTTGACTGCAAAACGGTCGTCATTACTTTCGATCGATTGAATCACTAGTGGATTAAAGTATAAATGCCAAAGAGATGCAAAGCAAGTCGTATCCACAAGACAAAAAATGATATCGATTCCACCAAAATTTTTGTGAAAATTAACGCAACCATTTATCAGCTTGATTAAAGAATTCAATTCTTTTCCTGTGCATTCCCGATATTCAAACAGTACAAGAAGACGACGAATACTTATAGGTTTTGCAACGGTTTGGTCTGTTCGACTAGAAATAACAAATTTATATAGGATTTTTTAGTTTACATCAATTGAAATACGTCTTTCTTAATGTACTCTTCACAAGCTTTCTAGTACTTCATAGTATATAGACAATAAGATATTATTTACTTTTCGAGCTGAGCATCCCAAATATATGTTCGGCTTTCACGTACAAGAATCAAAAGTGATTTGACTGCTAGTTTATTTTGTTCGTTTTCATCTAATAGCCGCTGAATTAGTTTTACTATCTTGATAGCTAATTTTTTTCTGCCACAATCAAGAGCAACTGAACCAAATGGATGCATGATTCGTCGAACAAGGAAACGCATATCATCTTGGGACAAAATTTCATTCATTAAAGAATCGATGGAATCGTAAACCAGAGCCAATTGAGTATAATCATTACTCAGTACTTGCGATAACTTCTTTTCTAACTTTTTACATGTCGCCGACACGTTCGATATGTTCGCAGAGGCCATTACCAACAAGGTAGGAAATATACGAAATCTGAAATAAAAAATCAATATGATTTTTCGATGACATAGCACCATATGATCAGATTGTCACGACTAATATTGCAATTGATAAATGATCAAGTTACTGGAATATCTAGTGGTGAAAAAAATGATATTCATTCACGCGAAAAATAAAATATTTGATTGTATTCAAACATTTCAGATTAAAGTCGACGTTCACCCTACGATCTCTTCAATACTAACATCTCCATTCAACATTTTATAACGATACTTCTTATTCATTCTGACAAGAAAATGTAACGAGTACTCCATATTTCTATTTCAGTCCTGTTAGCGTTTGTGATGAATCACACAACGCTAGAGTAGAGATTAAGATGGTCCTTCTAGTCTAACTGAATTAGGACATCTGCCCGGATAGCAGAAGGTGTGGGTTCGAGTCCCACGAAGGTCACTTTTTCTCGATTCTTCTCTCTTTCGCTGATGTCCCTATAGTTTGAGCTAACAAGTCCCGCTAGACCTAATACAAGCGAAGAATATCCCAGTAACATACACTAAAGTGTCGAACTCGAATTTCAGAAGAATTGCAATGTGAGCTCTCTTTTGCAGACACAAAGTCATATCAATTTAATGCAGGAAATATTCAACATTCACATGTGCGTATTCGATAAAGAAAAGACTGGTTATTCTTGTTATCAACTTCGAAATGAGAAAGAGAACATGTTTTACTAATTTCATGAAGAAAAGAATTTTACCGAATGTAACATTAAAATAATAGGAAGAGCGACATAAGTGAGTCTTATTATCGCCAATATTTGAGGTATTGTGCCTACATTTTGAACTCTCGATAAATTCAATTGGCAACCAATCAAAACTACGGAAATTATATTGACAAATCAATGATTTATTCTTGAATTCTTACTAATACAATTTCTAGAAGTAAATAGCTAAGTTTATATAAAATATTAATAGCAATTCTAATCACTCGAAACGAAGGATATATGGCATGTTTGTAAGAGACTTACCCAGATTGTTTTTGAATTATTCGGAAGAACCTAGCTACCTCTGATTCGCCGCTTCACTTTATAATCTGCATTTGCCAAAAGTGAAAAGCTATTATTTAATCTATTGGCAAGTGTAGATTATATATACTATATTTGAAAAGAGCTTTCTATGAGTAATAGGAGCGACAAGAATGGTTAACAGGAATAACGAGAAACGACAATAAATGGTAAAAAACACAATCATGTGTGTTGTTGTGGGGAAAAACCCACACTTTTATGTATGTGAAAATATATCTGGCTTACATACACAATGTAAGCGGCATATCATAGAGTAGCCAATGATCAGTTACCACAAAAGCACACATGAAATAATGACATCTGTCGATGTCAATAATGACTAGGAGAAAAGAAGATGGAAATAGAGGTGTATTTTTCAAAATAATCTTTTAATCTATAAGCAGATAAGCCTTACGTCACTGAAGCATCGCTTTATTTAAGAAGAACATAGGAGGGAACTAATGTGGAGCCATGAAATGGGAATAACATGAGAGAATATGAAAGCAAAGCTATGAATTGAAAAAACTGTTTTTGGTTAAATTTGATTGCTTATTGATAGTCGTAGAAGCATACGACGCATACTCGTAATCAGATATTTTTTGATGATGCAACAGAACTTCTTTATGATTTGAGATGTATTCAGACTAAGAAAAATCGTTCATGTAACTATTGCAGAAACGATTATTAATGGTAAGACAACTAAATTAAATTAATCTTTTGTTTAAAAATAATGAAATTCTCTTTCCATTTTAATAGAATACAAAATTTTGCAAGATTAGTGCCTACAATTCTTTTGAGAATGAAAAACCGTCATTGACAAAAATAATCATTATGTTATTAGATAATCGAATGAAGTTTTCCAAGTTTGTTTGTTACAAATTATTACAGTATTCCATGATCGTTCAGTTCAATTCTTGTTCATCCCTGTAACTAAGACCAAAGTACCATCCAAGTATTCGAGCTATTCCAACCCACATGTATTTCCATAGTCCCTGTGAATGTCCTATAGTTATACTTCGATGGCTAATGTCAATAGCACGTTTCGATCGTGGAATACTCAAATCGTCATAAAGTCTAACGGCTGTGTTTAAATCTTTAGCATGAATTAACTGATCTGCCAGCTGGTATCCATCCATAATTGCCATATTCGCTCCATTGCCAGCAAATGGACTCATCGCGTGCTGAGCATCACCGATAAAGATAACCGATCCATGATTTCGAAAAGGAACGATATCTTTAGCGTTAAATATAGTAACGCTACTTCGCAATGTTTCGTTTACCAACGTATGAATCGGCTCACTAAATACCTTCGTTCGTTCTCTCGCTTCAGCTAAAACTGCATCGATCTCGTCGTCATTCATGGTTCCGGCTGATTTTGCTTCACGAGGTGTGTCACATAAATAACTGACGCTCCACAGAGCACTTGTTTGATCAGATGACGCAACGAAAGCAAAATGTCCATCACCGCCGATAGCACCACCGTAAGTTTGCTCTAAAGGAGCTGGCAATTTATCTAGAGCATGGGTACGTGCAAGAATAGAAGTAACACCTATGAAATTCAAAGTATGTTCAGGTCGTAGTGCTCTTCGAATCACACTATTTGAACCGTCAGCAACGATAAGTAAATCACAAATCTCTTGTGAGCCATCTGCCAAATCAATCGAGATTTGTCCATTGTCAAGTTCATGTGCTGACTTGACTGCGTTGCCCCAATTCATAATAACAGACGGAGGAAGATTTTTTATAAGAACTTCGCGTAATTTTGAACGCGCGATACGCATGCTTGATTGCGGTAAACCTTCAACAGGTGGTGTTCGAAATTGTACCAACGGAGAAAAATCCTTGTCAAAAAGTGTAAAATAATCTCCTGGATTGCTCACAGCAATCATTTCATCAAGAATACCTAGTTTCTGTAAAGTTTGCATACCACCACTGAATGCATCACCACGGATTGATAATGAATACCCTTCACGACCAACAGCATCGATTGCCGTGTCACGTTCATAAATAGTAATCGATGGTGGTAGCTGGATTTTGTCATCGAGAAGCCGATGGAAGGCAATACAAAATGACAATGCACCAATGCCACCACCAGCAACGATTATATGTTTACCCGCCAGAAAATGTTGTTCACTAGCTGAATTCATTTTTCAAAGAGAAGTATATTTTCTAGTACGAATAGAAGAAAGAATATATACTCGCGACCAGTCACACACTACGTCAATATTTACGTGTTTAGAGTGACGCCCTATCGCTCTCTTTCATCATATTTTTCTTCTATAGAGGACTGACATTGCATCAACTTGTTCTCACATGTGTTACAATAAAGTTTTTACTCATTTTGCAAGCAGAATGTTGATCATTAACTTCTTTTACTGCCTGTCACACGCTCTAATCTGACGGTGTTTAGATTTCTAGAAAAAAAACAAATAAAAAAAGATATTATGATGTACGAAAACTTTGACTTACGTACGTACATAGGAAAGAAAAGGCAAATATAACAATGGGAATGTTATTATTGAAACGTGACTTACATGTCAGATGAATTCAAGTATTAGATATTGTCCGTGACAAATAACAGAATAAGATGGGAAGATATTTTTTAAATTTAGCACTACTGGGAAAAAACCAGTTGAATATGGCTGCCAACTACGTGATTTTAGTCTTGCATGTGAAATAGCATCTTTAGCATGTATTATTCATGATTATGAAAGTAATGTAGAACGAGAAACAATTGTGAAATCGCAGCTTTTTCAAGAGGCTGGAAAAGAGCTAGTCGAGGATATAAATACAAATCTTTTTGTATTATTGTTTTATTCAACGAAATTTTAATTACCTGATCTTACACGTGAGTTGTATTCTAGAATAATTTATCACTAAGAGCAAATATGGGTCGTGAAATCTTTCGAACGATCAAGTAAGTCATTAGTGTAATTTATTCAGATATTTTAACCAGAGATAATACTAGAAATACTGTATTGAATTTCAATTCTAATCGAAACCATTCTAACCAACAGCTTCTTGTTCCGTTATCATCGTTTGACAACGACAGTACTATTGATATAGATGAAAACAAAAATACAACGATTTCATTTGAACGTATCAATTACACATTAAAAACAAATAATAGTATCTTATCGAGATTATCTCCTTGTAAATCAGCACCTGTACGACAGATTCTCTTCGATATTTCTGGAGTTTTTCGATCAGGTATGAATGCCATATTAGGTCCTACAGGCTGTGGCAAATGAACGTTGCTTGATATTCTCGCTGATCGCAAAGATAGACAAACGTATGAAGGAGAGATACTGATTAATCGTCGTGTTCGACCACCATCATCTGTCTATCGACATACAGCTGCATACGTTGTTCAAGATGACATTTTTAGTGGAACATTGAGCGTACGAGAAAATATTGTTTTCTCAGCAAATCTTCGTCTTCCGCGATCGATGTCATATGATGAACGATTAGAACGAGTGGAACGAATTATCCAGCAACTGCACTTGACCGAATGTGCTGATACACGTATGGGTACTGAATCTCAACGAGGAGTATCAGGTGGTGAAAGAAAGCGAACTTGTATTGCGATGGAAATGGTTCTAGAACCGAAGATTCTTTTTCTCGATGAGCCAACAACAGGTAAGGACACACGAAAACGTAATTAATTTATATCTTTTCATTAATTTGTAGGTCTTGACTCGTCCACTGCGTGTAGTGTAATGCAATGCCTTCGTGAATTATCACAACAAGGATGTAAGTTATTTTGCTAAAGGATAAAAGGTGATTTGAAATTTGAATTAGGTACGATTATTTTTTCGATTCATCAACCGCGTCATTCAATCTTTGAACTATTTGATACCGTCCTGCTATTGCTACATGGCCATACGGTATATTTTGGTCCATCGACCAAACTAATGCCTTATTTCATCAATCAAGGAATTCCTCATAAAGAAAATGACAATCCAGCTGACTTTGCACTCGATATACTAAACAACGTCAACAGTGATTTGACTGCGGTTGATCTTCACATAAAATATCGTATGTCAGCCATGTTTGTGAAAAATGAAGTGATAGTTATTGGCGATCCATACGATGAAGAAGTATACATAGTGCAAAAACCAGATCGATCGCTTTTATCTGATTTCTTCTACGTATCTCAACGAACGCTTCGTAATGCAATACGTAATTATGCGCTGCTGACCTGGCAGATTGCTGTAGCGATTATTTTGGGCGTTCTCACTGGTCTTCTCTACTATCAACTACCACGTACGACTGATACAGGTGTACAGAATCGTCTCGGATGTATATTTTTCATTGTTGTCAATCAAATTTTCAGTACTGCTACAGCGCTGGAACCATTTATTAAAGAACGAGCACTATTTATTCATGTAAGTATACGAAATATGCCCCCAGTATGAGTATATTGACCGATTGTCATTAGGAAAATGTCAGTGGATACTATAGTATCACGACCTTGTTCTTTGCAAAGCTAATTTGCGATTTATTACCAATGCGAGTTATACCATCTGTTGTCTTCAGTCTAATTAGTTATTATATGGTTGGTTTACAAAAAACTGTCGCCAAATTCTTAGTTTTTCTCCTGACAATCTTTATGGCAAATGTATTTGGTTCAGCCATATGCTTTTTTATTGCTGCAAGTATGTCAGTTTTTGGTAAGAGACTTTTTCTTCTGCATTCTCTTCCACGGATAGCGTCTTGACCATCTTCTAGCCGTGGCATTGATAGTTTTGGTTTTGATATTGGTCATAATGATGGTTTTTAGTGGATTTCTTGTTGAATTAAACAGTGTATTCAGTTTTCTTCGTTGGATTCAATGGGTGAGCGCATTCCGTTATGCCTACAACGTTCTAGTCATAAATGAACTTCGTGACATCAATTTCTGTTTGCCCAATCGTACCGATGTGTGCCTCGTGACAGGCTCGAGTGTTTTAGAAAAACGATCGATTGATCATAAATCCAATTGGGACATGTGGAAATACTTTCTGGCCTTGACAACAATCGCAATTCTATCATTTTTTATGTCTTACATGAAATTATTGTTGATAAAGAAAAAGAAATAAGCTCGGTTGATTCGAAAGTTTCATTTTTGTGTGTCAATGTACTTTTACATGTTATTTGTATATCTCGCTCCGTGTATATTGTCAGACAAATAAATGAATTACGGCGTGAGGGAAGGAGAGAAAGAGAAAGGAAAAGCGAACAAAATATAATTGAGTTTCTTCTTTCTTCAATTTCAATCATGAAAAACGAGTGCATCATTTCAATATATCATGCATTTTGTCGACGAACAGAAAGAAATGTTGGTCACACGTTTATGGTGGAATACTTCAAAATTATGGTCTGTGTTTTTTTCCATTCTGTGTACAATATGTCACTAACTTACCAGGCGGTCATTTTTCAATTTTACTGATCTGTCAAGATAAAGTTATGATGCAACTGCTGTTTCCTCTCTTCTCTGTGCACTAAGGAAACTAATTGAAATTGTTTTCGACTGTCTGTTACATACACAACGGGTATCATTGTGACGTGCGTTCATTCGTTCGCTTAGTTCGGCTGAAAGGTGAGTGTAAACAACTGTTTGTCAATTGTCATAACTTCTGTTTTCGATACCTAACGATGATATCACCTAATTCCGCTAGGGTATTTCTCTATTAGCTAATATGTATTAAACGGTTTCAGACAGCATTTTAAGAAGTGAAATACTAGCTGTTCAGATATTGAATATCAAACGAATGTTTCACATCGATGTTGTTTTTTTTCAGAGTTTAGACATTAGTAATACCTGCACAGCTATTCAATCCTACTAGGTATGTTGCTGATAAGAACACCTAAGTACTTATTTTCATCTCTTCAGAAATGGGCTCATTCAATAGATGTTCAATGTGTGTCAACACAAAAAGATCTGGAACGTGCTTATGTGCAGGTTGTAAACAATTCTTCTGTCGAAAACATTTCAATGAACATCATCGAGGATTGATCAATGAATTGAATGTTTATATCGAAGAGCGCAATCAGTTACTCGAACAGATTAGTAAATTAGATGTCTATGATGATTATCATAAGAATATTTTGTTACAAATCGATGAATGGCAACGAACTATGATTGAAAAAGTCATGCAGGTAGCCGAACAAGCACGTCAACAAGTGAAATTGCCGAACCCTAAACGAGCTGAAATTGCGCTTAAATTATCGCATTTTTCCAACAGACTCTTGCATCTTCAAGAAACGGAAGATCTTGTTGAAGATGACTTGAGACATTTGAAAGAGACAGTCGCTGAACTCAAACAAGATCTTAAACAGCTAACCGAACCATCAATGGAATTGTTTTTTGAGCCCAATGATCAAATCGCATGGGATTCTCTGATTTCGGTCAAAAATAAACATGATAACAACAGCAAAAATAGGTCATTTCTAGCTTCATCAACAGGTAAAAGCATCGCTGATATCGATTCGAATGTACTCCGTGCTGTTATTTCAGGTAAAAATGCTTTAGCTAGTTATTATTACATGCTCAATACGAACAAACGATGGAGATATACCTCACCGAGACGAGAGCTACCCATTCAACCAACAAAAATGCCTTCTTCCAGTGTCTCACGTGTTTTGATTATCGGTGCGGGTCCAACAGGTCTCCTAATGGGTATTTGTTTCAGTCGAATTCTGACATCAGCACTTTTTGTTGAATCAATTTCTTTTAGGTTGTCTAATGCGCGATCAAGGTATGCCTGTGACCATCATCGAAAAACGTGAAGAAATCACTCGAACACGATGTGTGAAGTTATTAGGAGAAGTTCTTTCATCGGACGAACTCACTAGCGGAATTCATCTGTTTTCCGAAAATCAAGTCGAAGAACGTCAAAAAGCGATCGACTCAATACAATCAACTCTCTTCGAAAAACTCACTAGCTGGCTAGAACTATGTACACCTTTACAAACTATTCAAAAATCTCTACAAGAATACTTCGTTTCATCCGGTGGACAAATCGCCATCGGTGCTCAATATGATATTAGTAAAAATTTAGATCTACTTGGGCATTATCCTGATACACTTATTATTGATTGTACGGGTTACCATTCGGTTTTACGAAACCGTATTCAACCAGATAATCTTAATCTTCGTTTGATAGAATATGTTCTTATATGCACATTTACCTTTGATGAACGATACGAATGCAATGAATTGTGTAAATATTACAAGAATAAGAATACACGCAAGTTTCGTGTGATTCCAGCCATTGATGATACGTATAAAACAGGAAAACGACAAACGCTTGTGACATGTTTAATTACAATCGATGAGTCGATATTTCGAGCAATGCCCAAACGAGACTTGATAACATACAATTATTTGAAAAAGCATCAACGTGATATTTATGATGATCTAACTATATTTCTGAACAACATGTCGTCGGGACAATTGAATAAGATTCATTTCGATTCAATGGAATTTATTGCACTGCCTTTACAAGTTTATCGTGCGAAAAAGGTCACGCATAAAATTGTCAATCAAGATCTGAATCAGCATTGGGTTTTGTTAGGTGATGCAGCAATGGGCGGGCCTTATTTTCAATCGATTAGCATGGGGTACGAAGCTGCTATTTATCTAGCTTATATTGTTCAACAGATGCAACATGATATGGAACAAATGATGACGAAGTACGAAAGTTATATGGAAAAGTTATGGCTAGCATTACAAATACGTTCAAAAGATATTCAACGTAATAAACAAATCCTGCAATATTTGTGTGCTAATGATAGAAATGCTATTCTGGAAAAGATTAAAGTGTATTAATCGATGATGTATACTTTTCGCTGAAATTCCTTACTTATTCCATTAGTCTTAGTGACTGAATTTTATTTATTGTATATCAATTTTTTAAATAAATAGATTCATTCAGTTAAATCAATCTCCTTTGTTATTTGTATGTCCATTATGTCAGGATAGAAGCAGGACGTTTCACAATCGAGTTGTGAAACTACGTATAGCCAATGACATGAGCTCCTGAATATTGAAAAGCCCATTCGGGGTCGCGTTGTGAAGTGACTAGAAGCCGATAGCTTTTGGATGGAGTAATATTTGCAAAATTTTTTTGAATACAATAAGTCATTCGATCAGGTGCAAAGATTGCATTGATACCTGTTGAACCGTTGTAAAAAAGCGTTCGACTTGATCCTGAGTTGCATGCATCTGAATTAGTTCCTTCGAAGCTGGCAGAAAGAGGATCATGATTTGGGCCGTCATTTGCTGTAGCAAAGAATAAGCCAACAGCAATCGATGCGTTGCTAATCGAAGACGTGACATAGAAGCCAGTGTCTACTCCGGGCACATCAACTGTGATATAAAATCCACCGGTGACTCAAAAATTCAAATACTTTGTCGATGTTGAACTACCGACAGCATAAATAGGAGTTTTGCTACTGCCTGAATACCTTCCGTTCTTGGCTCCTGTTGAACCGCCTGCTGTGGTGTTATATAAACCTACAATGGTATCCCCAGCTCGAGTTATTCTTCCTAGTGATCGTGTAGTTGTCGTTGGTGAGCCGGTTTTGGAGGTTGTGGAAATCATCGAACTCGTTATGGAAGTTGTTATATCTAAACAATATAATAAAATCATTGGATCGTATTATTCCCATGAAATAGATCTGTTATAGAAATTCGAATAGGTATAAATGTTATTGACGATTGATTGAAAAATAATTCAAAGCGACAATTAGTGTATCGAAAATCATTATTTTACATAGACCCTGTTCTAGGCTAACATTTGCTAAAGAAGAATTCATTGTTCCATCAATGATGAAATTATCGATTTTGCCAATAGTGACAGAACTGCCAGCAAGAAGTAATAAAAGAATAACAAGGAATATGAATATGTTCTGCAATACTGAATAAAAACACTTTCCTTCTATATTAATAAACCATTTTTTTCTCTGTTGGGAAACTCAATACTCTCTCTGATATCAGAATAAAACACAAACAAATTAGCACTTTTCTTCGCAGAGAAATCGCGAATATATATTTAATAGATTTTCTTTCGAACTTTCGATTTCGAGAAAAAAACGTAGTGACCTCATTCTTTTACGTCTTATAATACAAAATCGAAAGTATATTTGCATAACGTTGTGTAATCTATTCCTCTCTTTCATTCTTTTCGAAAGTGACGCGTTTGTTTTTGTTTTTTTTTCATGACACATAATCTACAAACACTTCATAACATTTATAATACTATTTTTTACCATCGTAAAAGGATCAGTATGAATAAGCATGTGTCATCATAAGAAATAGGCTTTTATTCTTCGATTAGAGCACACTTATAAGTCATCGCTCAAATTCTTATTCATTTCGATAGAGAAAATATCTCTAAATCTACTAGATGTGTTCGATTCGCATTCAACAACTGCTTAACAACAACATAATCGTTTTTCTTGGAGCACCCCTCTCCGGAAAAGGCACACAAGGTACTCTTCTTGCCAAATATCTCGAACGATCGTACGTATCGACAGGTGATCTCTTCCGCAATGAAGTGGCTAGTAATAGTGCACTCGGTCAACAGATGAAAGCCTATATGGATGCAGGTGAATTGATTCCAAATGAACTTACGACGAATTTTCTCACAAGTAAATTTCATGAGCCAATCTATCAGAAAGGTATGATTGTAGACGGTTATCCGCGAAATCCGTCGCATCTGAGTATTCTGGAAGATATTTTATTGAATTTGGATCGAGAAATATTTGTAGCCATTTATCTTGATGTGCCAAAGTGTGAACTTGATGAACGACGAAAACGTCGTGGTCGTCCCGACGACAAAGCTGATATAGGTGAACATCGTTACATTGTCTTTCAACAAGAAACGCTTCCCCTCGTTGATTTGCTCGAATCACGAAATTTACTAGTTCGAATCACTTGTACCAATCAATCACCCGATGACATTCATCAAGAGATTCTCTCTCGATTGATTGCTTTTGAACAGCAGAAATTAAATTATTTGAGTCCTTATCAATGGCTAGAAGTCAACTTAGCAATGACGAACGATGCCGACAGAGCAAAAGTTATCAATGAATTTCGACAACGTGCACTGGATGAAAACGAAAAACAAGGTCGGCGTACTGGTATTACGCGACGAGTGGTATATTTGCGCACAGGTAATCTACGAAAATATCAAGAACATGTTGAAATTTTCGAAAAGTTCTATGGTATTGAAGTTATTCGCGTACCGCCAACATTCATTGATAGTTCGGATGATTCCAATATAGATCTTCTATTTCGTGAAAAGATTCCGAATCTTGTTCAACTTGCGTTAATTACAGAACGAAGTAATCTCTATCGACCAGGTACAAATGAATTGAGTAGTCTACGACATGGCGTTCGAGCTGTTAATCAAGCAACTTTAACTGCTGTTTGGTTTGACACTACAACTAGTGAAAAGATGCAAGCACATTTCAGTCATTCGATCAGTGGTAGAATCGATTTATCACGGCGACATTTATCTGTCGGGATAGATCCGTCTGTTTTCGGCTGGGATGATATTTTCATTGTTGATGCTAGTGGTATGAGCTATCAGGAGTTGATGGAAGCAGGAATCAAACATTCTGCTCGTGATATGGTCATATCCGCTTTTATCAAACAACGCATTCATTATAAAGCCTTACTCAGCTTAAAATTTGATCCACCATCAAAAGCAAAACGACCAATTGATTTTTCACTTGACGTTGCTGATCATGTCGCCGTCAATTCCACATACAATAATCCGAGAGTTATTGATTATGGCTTTCTTAACTTGATCACACATGTCTTAAACAAAGGTATTTTCTTTCGTTCGGCTAGCAATCGACGACAAGTCAATTATTGGAGTCCGGGCTTAAACGGTGGTTTACCGTTGACTGCAAAAGATGATGCGATTCATGAAGATACTTTTATGGCACATGATTTCGGTCATTTTGCTATTCCAGATCTAGTCTTTATCGGCACTAATTCTATCCTTCATCGACGTGCCTATATTGCCTGGCGAATGATAAGTGAAGCAACGACGATGGCACTTGCTGATATGTTACTAATTGATGCATTGGCCAAATCAGGTGTTGAGTATGACTTTAACAAGCGACGTATCTATCCATTGTTTTGTGATTTAAATATCGATTTAATGGATTCAAATCATCGAATGGATAATTTAAAACGACTGATTCAAGCAAATTATAGATATTGTCTCCGTGGAGATGACTCAATTTACGTGCGTATGCTTCCACAAGGAGAAAATACACCATCATTGGTTGAATTTAAGAAAAAGTTCGCGCCATTCTTTGTTGAAGATTACCGTTGGACTGAGCACAACTATGAGAATATGGTTACACGATCGGAAGAATTAGCTCGATGGTGGTCAGATGTCGAACCATTGCGTACGCTTGAGCATGCTGAAAAAATCGAATCGATTGATTCGTTTATTGCTCAAGTTCGAGAGACACACGCATATGCTCTCAATGGTGATATCAATGATTTTATAGATGCAGTATTTGATGTGGTCTACGACAAGAAAGTACGTCCCGTTCTAAACGTACAAGCACCAATTCTACTGGATGCGCCAAAACGATTGTACAAAGCATTTACAAAATGGATTACGGCTCAGTTGGCTATTACTTCGAAATTTCACTTTCTGTCTGAATCTGTTCATGTTCGTCAAGAAATTATTTCCTATATGTTAAATTTATCTGATGGATGTATGACAATGGATGACGTAAATACTATTCGCTCTATATTTGAACGATACCTTCGGTGCCTGGCAGAAAAGAGTCTTATCTCACTCGACGATGAAATTACCTATGCTGAGCTCTATCCTTTATTTGATCCATTCTATGTTAACTACGATAAAGCTTCAGCGCAGTACGAAGAACTGACAACAATATCCACTCGAATTTTCAGTCTAGAAGACTATCGTAGCAAACAGTTGGCACAAATAGCCAAACATTTGAGCCGTCAGTTAACATCAAATGAAACACTGTACACCTCGACGATGTTGGAAATGATCGAAGCAGGTGATGGACAAATTCTTGACGGAATATTTGTTACACATCCTGGCGTAATGATTCTTTCACAAAGTGCCCTTATTCATCCATTGGGAACGGTCACATTTCTTCTGAGTGGTATATCGATTGAGACGTCGTTAGAATTTGTTGCGCATCACGAAGCAAAAGTGGCACGTTTAACATCCAGTAAAACGAATGCCATGAATATTCCACTGTTACGAGTTCAAGGAGAAGATACCGGTCAACAACGTCTCTTTCTTTCTTCAACAATTGCAGCACGTACACGTTTCGAGCTGTTAAATGAACCACGACGCAGATGGGGCGAACATGGAAATGAAATCTTTAACATAACGCACCCAGCTTGTAAGGTGACAGCTATTTGTTATACAATGACTCTCGCAGATTTTCATAAACTTTTTATCGGTCGAATGACTCAATCTGGCAATGAACAAGAAGTTATTCATGTCGCCCAACGTATGGCAACTTTATTGCATGCGCTGTATCCAACGTTAATTCAATCTGTCGATTATTATAAAACTTGTGGGAACAAAGCTAAATATATGTCGAAGACATCAACACTGTCATCCTTGTCCGACGACACTGTCTGCGATTCGATTACCCTGGTAGCTAAAACGAGATTAACCAAAGCTGCCAATCAACTGTTGACCAAACTAAATATTCCGTCGAATGATGATTGGCAACGTCTAGCAGAATTTCGATCTCGTATAACATACCTGTCATTCCCAAAGTCTTCGCCTAAGAAAGATGACAAAAATACGTATCTCGACAAAATAATTCATCAGCATGGTCACCTATCGGTACTTGATGCTTGTCAAGTAGTATTAAAATTGCCAGAGCACTGTATGAAATCTAATGACAACACAGATTCCATATGGAAATCATTCACCTTCGAGTACGTGGCACACGGAATATTACTGTTTGCAACTTTGAAACAAATTCACCAAGCTCTTCTGACATTCTCTCCGATCGACGAAAACAATCGAGACTTGATTTTTCTCAAAACTCTCGTTCAATAAGGTTAAAGTATATGAAGATTTATTGATTCTTTGTTTATATGCACACTAATCCGATTACAAAAGCTAGGAAAGGGTAGGTACGAGCACTAAAACACTAAAGGTTAAATAGAAATTTTGAAGTTCATCTACTTAACACCAAATGTCTGATGTTGCATCTCCGCCCGGATAACGTATTTCGTGAGCGCGTGATGGACCAGTTGGTTCGTCCTTGAAAGTTATATAAAATTCTTGATCCAGTTTCATTCCACCATTTTCAGTGTCGCAATCAATTTTAACCAAATAAGAACCATTTTCTTTAATATCAGGATAGAATTGATTGTCCCACGATGAATAAAGGGAATTTGTAAAATATAAACGTTTGCTATCGAGTGATAGTTGCATCATTTGTGGTCCGCCAACTAATGGTCGACCATCTTCAAAATGGTGTTTTCGTTTCAATAGACCACCAACCCAAACTTGTCCCGTTAATTTTGGTTTTGATGGATCGCTAATGTCGTATTGCCGAACATCTCCATGAAACCAATTAGCGAAATAGACTAGAGGATATGAGATGGAAAACTTTGAAAACTGCTACAATGAAGAATGAATAGATTGTACATACGAAATTTGTCATTCATCGAAAGAACAATGTCCGAAATACACGCTGGAATAGGCTGTCCGTCTTCACCAGTAACAGGTTCAACTTGAATAATTTTCTCTGCTTGCCATTCGTCCGAATCATCTCGAAAGAATCGATAGATTGAACTGCCAAGTGCACAGCAAACAAAGCCGTAGGGTACTGATGGATCGTGACAGAACCGTGTTTCAAGTGGTATGTATCCATCTTCGCCGAGATCAACTGTTTTGATATATTTACGCTCAGACCAATCCCAAAAATGTATCTGACGACCATATTTACCCAAAGATACATCGCCCGGATTGAAGCCTAAATTATGATACTATTACTATTGCTAACGATACAAAATTTATGTCTTACCTTTATCGAAAACATTTGGAGCTGCCCATTCACTACTAACCATGACATTGTGTCTTGGCTGGTACCAAAAATCGTAAAAAATTTGATCAGGTGTCGGTCCTTCGTCCGTATTCCAACGACCGACAATATCAAACTCTTCGTTCAGCAAAAGAAAACCACCAGGTAATTCACCCTCCCCATTGCCCAAACACGATAGCATAATCTCACCAGTTCCTAAAAGATCAACATAAGTGCTTCTATGCAGACAAAAAACACAAGATATTTGTTTAGATTCTACCGAGACAATGAACTGTATGTGGAGAGCTCAAATCGAATTTTTTGACGTCTTCGCCTTCGATTGTTTTGAAGATAGCAGGTTTCGTTTCATTGATAGTGTCAACGATATAGATTCGCGATGATTTCAAGCAACTAAACACTAGAAATCGCCGTTGTTTTGTGCAATCCGAATGGCATGATGAGCATGCATTCCAGCCGTAATGATGTATTTCATCATGAGTATTTGGAAAATACATGCGATCGAGAACTTGTTGATAATTAGAAGACTCAGGATCGACATCAATTGTTGCAAGATAATTCGGTTGATTTTCGTCACATGGCAGCATAGAAACATAGATGATTTTCTCGCGGGGTGCATTGTGCATAGCTTCGAGTGGAGAAGCGTAGCCAGGTCCAGATTTACACGGTGGTGATGACGACATGACAAAATATTCAGAGAAATCTCACGAAGAAGAAAGTTATCTGCTCAAAAAAGATAAACGCAAGATCGTTGTTCAACTGAATGAAAAATTAATATATTCACCGTGACTATTTATACTCATTCCCTTTTCCTTGGTGTCGTTCTTGTCTATTGTTTTTCAAATATTCCCCAGATAAGATACATGTATGTATATATAGTGAAAAGAAAAGTAATTATAATTGTAGAATTGAATGGAACGCTCTATTGTTTCTCTGACAAAACTGCATAAACTAAACTGTTTGTCGTAAAACCATTGTTTGATCAAATAATATTTCTTTTGTATTCTCAATGAGTTCAATGAGGCTGCCAGTGTCACTGTACACTTTTATTGCTGACCGTTTGTATGAATCTTCTTCTGAGAATTTCCAACACGGAGTTCACAAATAGGCCATAAACTTCTATATCTTCTCAAGAGAATAGATCTCCGCTATTGTAACACATGCGATGAAATGAAATCGAGGTGTCAATGACATTATTGTTATTCTATATCTCGTTGGTAACTATTTGGAATATTCAAAAGAGATTGTAATCGATGACAGTGCGCATGTCAGACAAGTTTATTAATTAGAATATGAGAATCATACCATCTGACTTTATCGTGTGTCTTAAAAACCTTTCGTTTTTTTTTTTATCTATTTTATCAATAGTCAATAACAATCATGCCTTGTTCGGTGCGAATTCTTATTACTTTGCTAGTTGTGGTATCTCTTATGGTGATTTATGTTGCGGAGGCTAAGTCTATTTTATCCATACTCGAACGTGATCTTCAAGAGTCAGGCGACTGTGCTCCAGTAGGTGCTGATTGTGGTGGACCAAAACCATGTTGTAACAAATGCCGGGTCAATTGGGGTGGAGCTTGGTGTTCTTAAAAACAACAAGAAATATCACAAATCGATTTTTATTTTTCGTTTCAATAAAATCGATTATGTATGGATATTTCTCTTACATTGGAAACTCATATAATCAATTATTCTTCTTCTAAAAAATATTTATGTATATCAGTATACCAGACACGATCCGTATTAGTATTTAGTTTGTAACACAGTTCGCAAAAGCGAAAGGATTCCACAACGGAAGCACTGTATTGTGTGGCATAGTTCCTTCTCCATCGATGATATTTTTCATATTCACGCGGATTCGTTGCAACCGTATGTAGATATTTCGCTAATGCTTCTGGATTGGCATAATCTTTTGCATAGATAAATGAATTTGGCGGTGCTATTCGTTCGTAATCCTGACGTTTAGGACCGAGTACAACGGGTATAGCACCATGAGTAAAGGTTCGCCAAAACTTTTCGGTTATGTAACTTATTCGCGTCGTTTTCGATTCAAATGCTAAGTAAAATTTTGATGTTACCAAGCGATTTAATTCACAGTGAGAGCTACGAGTGCAATTTCGAGTAGTATTCTTTTCATTTAATATACAACGACCGTAGGCTGATATTGAAAAGTGATTCTTCAATTGACTGTAGTATCGAAGACGTTCCTTCGAACCGCAGTTGCTAACAAACCTACAGCAAAATCATAATTAATAATAAGATCAATGGAATAAATCTTACCAAGTTGCTTCATTGCGACGATTTCTGTAATTTTCGTCGATCCATTTCCGATATAAGTTTTCGTCCATCGGTACATTTAGTTGATACGCAATTCCATATGATCCAACACTTACTTCTGAATCGAAACGATACGATAATGTCCAATTAAAGTGTAATGAATTGAATGATGAGGGTACTGGATACGGTTCGTCATGCCATAACATCCAGATTTGATCGAGATTTCGATGTTTATTCAAGTCAAATAATGGTTTGTAATCTATACGACTACTAAGCAGCGATAGTATGGCATCGGAACTGTTCATTAACGATGAATTACATGTAAAATAGCAGTTTCGGAAAGGGCAAGTCGATACGTAAATCGATGAGCTATCTTTTCTTCGACAAAATTGACGATGCCTTGAATATTCATATATGGAGTATGATGTTTTATTCGCTGGTTTGTAAAATGCTTTCGAATGGATAGTTCTGAAAGGTGATTTTCTCACAGTACGTTCTTTCTGTTGAAAGTATTGAAAAATACTCTGTGAATTTGTTCGGTCGAATAACAAGAATTTGTTCACAACAGCTCGTTGTATAGAAATTTGTTCAGTATTTGTTCGAATAACCTGTGTCTGTGTTTTGAAGAATAGATAAGTAGGCAGTAGAAAGACGCAAATACGAATCCACACTTTCATACGTCTTTTTATCGAAGATAAACCCATAACCGTACACGGATTTGTATAACCAAACGGTCCTACAATTATAAACTCATCATGCACGAGAAACGTAGAAAAACGAATACTTTCATGATTATTGCTATTACAGTACGAAAGACACAAGTTCGATAAAACTCTCTCATAATAGAAGCCCTCTACTGAAGCTTCAATGTGCCACTCTAAAAGCCCTTGTATTTTAAGAACTGTATTATAGGAGCTTTTGTAAACTTGAGTTAGATTTTTACAGTGATTCTCGAGAATTAACAAGGTATTAACGTAAAAGAACTGATCAAATCTATTCAAAGTCGTTGATAATTCCTCGAAACTCTAGTACTTGTAGTGCATAAAGAAATATTAGAACGAATATAGTAGAACAAAATAACTCTTACTTAAATGAGCAATAATAATACTGAATAAGCAATCATTTATTTACATTAGCATAGTAAGTCGTATATATAAGTAGCAATAATAATCCATATGTTGTGATGTCATTCATTCGTGTTAGATCTTTCCTTTCTTTTTCTCGACCATATTGTATACATAGTCGTACGGAGGACATTTACACATATTTTCTCTCTTTTGTATCTTAGACATATTCTAAATGTTGACTCTTCCAAGCCATTTTATGCCATAGTTTTCCTCCATTATCTTCGAAACTTCTCATTCGGTTTATGTGTATGTAAACTTCGTTCGTTTAGAAAAAGAACGATACATTTAATGGCGATCAGTTAGACTGAGTTCTCGCTTTCTAATTGATTTTGACATTCCCTTCACTCTCAATAGTATACTAATTGCTCATTGTCAGTCTTTTTATACATGTTTCATAATAAAAAAAAATGGCAGAGGATAGTTGCTCAGAAACACTAGTTGAGATTGAAATCTATACAAGTATCAAAATAATATCTAAATCTCTATTTTTTGTTTCAAAGAGAAAAACTAGAATCTATAATTGTGTACGAAAATATTATAAAATTTCGAAAGATCCTTGAGAAGTCTATAAACTAGAAAAGAAAAGTTTTAACGGTCGATCATATGTTGTTTCGATGAAAGATTGAAAATGATAAAGAAAAATTTTATCACGATAGATTATGCTGACTGCGACTTTTCTCAATGCGAGGATATACAAGATATTGAAATTTTATGCAGAGAAAAAAAAGATGAATTTTTCTTAGCCCAATAAATTTATTCGAGCAGCAGGACATTGAAAAATTAGAAAAAAAATATGACTTTATTTTTCGATTGATAGATTTTTTCATTACGGGGATATAGAAGTTGTAGAGAAAGAGGAAAAAGCAAATAATTTAATTTGCATTAAACAAACAGATTTTTTTCGAGCAGCGAATGCGGGACATTGAAAAATTAGAAAAAAATACGATTTTATTTTTCAATCGATAGATTTTTTTTCTATTTTTGTCGCGCTTTTCAAACTCAATAAAATTCTCCTGTTAACAGTGACATATGTATAGACAGTTGTTTTTTCGCTACTTAGTCTGAATAAACGATAATGTGAAAACGGTGTCGAGAATAAGAATTACTAATATTTTTTCACCTTTACAATAATCTTCTTGTGAATATTAACTCCACAAATGACTTGAAGATAGACTATGGCAGATCAACGAAACGCAAAAATCAAAGACAGATATGGCTATACCAACAAAAATAAGAGGAGAGTTTCAAAGTCTTCGATCCGTAAAATTCAGCATGAAAATTTCTCATAAGCCATTATCACCTGATTGTCTTATTCGCTCCTCTCATTCATGATGAACATAATGATCTGTATAGCCTAGTTTAGAGACTATTTACCTAATGGCTGAATGAAAAATACAAGCAGTATATCAAGATGAATTAAGCAAATATTTGTCTCTGATACCGTACCGTTAATGGTTGATGTGAATTTAAGTGATTTATAAAATGTCTTATGCAACTGATATCGTTTAAAGGAAGAAAGACAATACTCTCTGTGTATCGAAAGAAAAAGGGAACAACGACTGAAATGTGCATTGCGGACGTCAAATATTTCTTTAGTAGAAATATAATGTCAGTTTTGTTCTAAATCTGAAAGAAAGTAGTACGATACTGACATAACTGATGAAATAGCTGCTTTTTCTAAAAAAATGGAAACCAAATTGAATGAATTGTACGAATTATTCGCATGTGATAAACACAAACAAGTGATTACTGAGCTACAAATATTGGTCGATGAGTCACCAAGAAGTATGAAACTTTATAGAGCTTATAGTCTGCTCGGTTTGTCTTAAGTATATGGGACAGCATAGTGAGGCGGTGCAAGCATAGTCAAATTCAATATAAGTACTGGAGGAAAATGATTGTAGCATTGCTGAACTTAAAGAAGGACAATTGTTCGATTAGATTGAAATCTCTCTAGGATTAGCTCGTATGATGTTTTGTCAAGGTTTGAGGAAAATTGCATAATTATCAAAAATACTTTATTTGCTATCAGGCTATGATGGATCTGGTATTTCACGTAATTACAGTAAAGTGTCTTACAGTACACCGTAGATGAATGAAGACGAAGAAAGCCAATGGAAAAAGAACGAATTCAAAGAGTCATAAAAAGCCCTATGCAAACGTTTTAGAAAGGCTTCCGGACAACGATCCAAAGACAAAGATAGAAGTTCGCACTCACTTAGCTCAACATCTATTTCTATGTGAAGATTATGATGGCGCAACAAAAGTCTATGAAGATATATGTTCAATGTACGAATAACTTTTCATTTATTTCTCCACAACATCTTTTCTTTCTACTATGTAGAATACAGGAGATGCTGAAGCATTATATTAAGCTGTTGAATGTTCGTGTAAACAAAAAAAAGATAGGACAAACCTATACTAGACTTCAGCAATTGCTTGTGATAGAACCAAGATTTGCTAAAGCATATCAACTTTGTGCAACTTATTTCACACAGCAAGATGATTTTGAACAAGCGGAAGCATATAGATGGAGATACGAAGTCTATTCATGGGTTCCTTCGTTTTGTCCACATATTGAATATAATCCCGAAAACATTTCAATACTAGATACGTATGTTAAAATCTGCGCGTGAGTTAGAATGTAGCACAACAAAACTTGAAAATGATACATCGAGACGGTCATCAGAATTGTTAGCAGCAGTTTGTTACCATCACTATCATGGCGAAGAAGAAAGCAAAGCATTTGCCATTCTAGAACAACGTGGCACCGCTTTCGAAGATGACGAACAAGATTTGATTAGTTTATTATTAAGGACACTTTTGAAAAAGCAACAAAGTGTGTGTACAGTAAAAGGTACTGTTAATGCATTGGCTGGCATGAAATACGAGAAGTTATTTGGAATTCTACCTAATTTACTACCACATGATGTAAGTCAAGCAACTGCTGAACTATTGATTCTCTTCAACTACTTTGTTTTATCTTTTAGGTGAATGTATTTTTTCTGACCGACACTCCAAATGCACTTGCCAAATTAGGTGATCGAAGAGCAATTCCATTGTTAACTGATACTATCGACAGATCAGTTCAAGAAAAGGACGATCATAGTAATTCAGCAGACGGCATATTCTGTGTAGAATTTGAAAGAACAAAGGCGCTGATTGTTAAATGTTGTTTGGCAGTATCCTCTTTCGTTGGTTGAAAAGGAGATTGATGAAATTGTGTATAAGAGAATATATTTTGTCTATGTTTAAGATGATGAAAAAGTGAAATCATACCTAAGAAATGGAACAAAGAAGAAAGACATAGGCAAAGTCTGTCTCGCTGTTGCCACTAGTGAACAGCAATATTTCACTGAACTCGAAAAGATATTAACCGACGGAAACACACTTGATTATGTTACTATCGAGTACCTTTAAACACACGCTTATCAGAACCCAGATATAGAGAAAGTATTAATACTCAGTGAAGTCGTCAATATCACAAGACAGACACTAGTGATAACTATTTTTTTTTATTTCTACGAATAAATAACTATGGCATAAGTCCGGTAAATATAGCTAAATGGTGGTAATCTATGACATGTACTTTTTCCACTTCTTTTTTGATCTTCAGAGTGGAAACGGAGAAGTTCTAGTCTAGAAAAGCATACTTAATCAGTATCTTTCTCGAAAGATGTCTAACTTTTTTAATATAGTTCCCACTTTCTATTTTTCAGCTATGACCACAATTAAATCTTTTGATCTACGAATCAGATTCTATCGTAACCAAAGGATAGAAGGCGTCAACGTGTTACAAGCAGATCGTTGATGATTCCATAATAGAGATACTGCAAAAATTATCACCCTAGTGAGCATTCCTAATACGATTTAAGTTTACTTGGACGACTTTACTACACTGAACACACATACCATACGTTAGCACCCTCAATACAACAGTTTCTTACATCATTTCTGACGCTACCAAAGATGGTAATACACAGCCTTCATCACTCTCAGTACAATTCGTTTTTTATACTTTCCTGCTTTTGGATATCGTATCTGTTCCCTGCAGTTTCATCATTTTCTACTATTTTATTCGTTCACCGGAAGTGTGCCATCAACGAGAATCCAATCATCCATCTTCTCATTGGCACATCTCTAGTCACTGCAGTTGACGTACCACTGATAATACCGTACCTTCAAAATCACTATTCTATCGGCTCAATGGCGTATTCCACTCATTTCTGCATCTTTTGGATCATATATGACTACTGAATGTATTCAGTTAATCTACGGTTGACGGCATTCGTTGGTTTAAAGCGTTATCTGCAAATCTTTCACAAGCAGTTCTTATTACAAAATAGAATAATATGCTTTTGCTTCTACTATTTGTCGTCGGTACTCATCATCGCCATTGTCTTCTTCTGGTATCTATATTTGGTAACACTCTATCCGTGTGATCAATCTCAATTTGACGTCACACGGATGCTGTACGGCTTTTCTTGCTATAGAATTGATACTAATATACTACTCCAGAATATTGATTGGATTTTTGCTGATCTGCTATCATTATTTTTGACTGTATTCTTCATTCTTCTGCTTTTTGCACATACATTATACCAGAGAATTAAAGTCAATAAACATTTGATACAGCAAAGTATTTGGAAGCGAGCACGCAAAATGATTTTACAATTATTACCCATTGCAACTATATTTCTAATATTTAATTTACCTTTGATCACTGTTGGATTACTAACCATATCAAATCCATGGTATAATACGATACCGTATTTCTATGCTAATTGCTTATCGTATAGTTTAGCGCTTTGTATGCCGTTCGCCATTCTTTCCAAACAAAAGCTCATTCGAAAACAATTCATATCATTAGTAAGATCTAACTGGATGAATGGAACTACCCCACAAACAAGAATCGTGGTGCCACTTCACACATTTAAACAGACTTTTGCCATATCCAAGATGGATGGAGACGCATGACAGTATCATCCTAATTTCAATTATAGAAAGAAATGACACTCTGCTATAGTGTTATATTCGCAATAGTCATTGAGAAATAGTTTTATTTTTGATTTTCTATGAAATTTTTCGCTCCCGAAAGCGAGATATCCTTGAGCGTTAACGGATTGTTTATACTAATTAACCATATCGTCAAAATCTTTTTGCTGTTCTACACGTTTTCTGTCACTAAATTAATTTTGTTGTTCTGTTGTTGTACCACGTTATGTTAGGTGACAAAATATTTATAGTTACATGTTCATTGATGAGATATAACGGTAGAATATATCTAATTAGATCCTTGATCATAAGGACAAGCAAAATGATCGTGAGGAAGCGTTTTCTCTTCTTTCGTTTGCGATATCGATCGGCATTGACACATTTACGTATTTTTTTTACGTTCGTTAACGAACATCGATCGTTATTAGCGTTTTATTCAACATAAACACCTCCTATTACGCAAATACGATCTCCTCAATGGCAAGTAAAGTTGAGAGAACTCGATGTATTACGTGTGATAAAGAAAAGCGAGCTGTAAGATGCGAAGGCTGCTTACAGTTATTTTGCTATGAACATTTTACTGATCATCGACAATATTTAAGTCAACAATTAGATGTTATCGAAGCTAATCGTGATTTATTTCGACAAACTTTTAACGAACAAGGAAGTCAACCGCACGTGAGTCATCCGCAAGCGTATCTATTAATCAAACAAATCGACCAATGGGAAGAAGAATCGATCAAACTTGTTCAACAAACTGCCAGTGAATGTCGGCAATTATTGATACAGTTAACAACAAAGAATACAAACCAAACCGAAACGAGTTTAGCGAAATTAACCGAAGAAATAAGAAAATCTCGTAAAGAAAATGATTATAATGAGATTGATTTGAAGAAATTCGATGAACAATTAAAACAACTAGCAGCAGAATTGGAAAAACCAACACATATCTCTGTCCAACAAACATCCGTTCCATTAGTAAACAAACTTTCTGTTATTGGATCTTCGTCTAGCAGTAAGTCATCCATATGTTCTTGAGTAGACGCAGAATGATTGCATTTTCAATCATTGTATTCATTTGTATACACTATCGTTTTAGAGAAATGCTCGCCTGTTGCAAGTGTTAACGTTAATAAAACATGGAAACAATATGCCGTGACTGTTGCTGGTGGAAATGGTGATGGAAATCAACTGACTCAGCTATCTCGTCCTTATGGTATATGTGTTGATGATGATCATCAAAGTATCTATATCGCTGATCAATGGAGTCATCGTATTGTTAAATGGAAGTCAGGTGGTAATCATGGTTATATCGTAGCTGGTGGAAATGGGGAAGGAAGCCGAATAGAGCAGTTGAACCATCCAACGGATGTACTCATCGATAAAAATACAGATTCGTTGGTTATTTGCGATTGGGGAAATAGACGTGTCGTTCGCTGGCCTCGACGACCGGACTCCAGTCAACAAGTTCTAATCTCTAATATTGACTGTTTTCGCGTCGCTATGGATAATAATGGCGATTTGTATATTTCTGATTGGAAGAAAAATGAAGTCCGGCGATGGAAACTGGGCGAATCGACTGGATTAGTAGTTGCAGGTGGCAATGGTAAAGGCAATTCTCTCAATCAACTTAGTGGTCCCACATCGATATTTGTCGATGATGAGTATTCGCTGTACATCTCAGATCATCATAATCATCGCGTAATGAAATGGTGTCAAGATGCGAAGGAAGGCGTTGTCATCGCCGGTGGACAAGGTCAGGGAAATAGTCTAACGCATTTAGCTTATCCTCAAGGCATAACTGTCGATAAATCGGGAAATCTTTATGTGGCCGATTCCGGAAACAATCGAATCGTACGTTGGTCAAAAGAATGTCGTACAGGCACCGTAATTGTTCGCGGTCATGGTCAAGGCGACAAAGCTAATCAGTTCAATTGCCTTGGGGGTATAGCTTTGGATCGAGAAGGAAATATTTATGCTGTCGATATGTGGAATCATCGTGTACAAAAGTTTGAAGTTGAATAGAATTAAATTTTTGTTAGAAAAAAAAGGATAGTTTTATTTTTTTTTAATTTTTACAAAAGAAATATAAAGATAAACCTGTTTATTCATGTGACATAGCTTATCATGTGCGGAGCGCGAAAGTCAGCGTTGTATTGCGTATATATTTACTACGCGAGAGCTTTTATGAGAGAAAAACGTTCGATACCGTGTTGTATTTACAACGTTAATAAAACGACGAATATCCACCAACTATAAGAGAAAGGAAGTAAGTGATTAATATATGAATAGCTGGAGTAAAACTCGTATCTTCTTAGTTCAACTATTTGAAAAAGATTCAATAGTCATGGCTGTTAGTTCCCGACCAGCAGTCAATGTCAGCGCTGACACCGTTGATGGTATGAATTCTGGTAAGTTAAAAAAAAACATACCTAATTTTGTATTGAAAGTCGCAAATGAATGATACGTCAACTGTTGTATTTTACCTTTAAGATGTCCTTGCGGGCGAAATTCATGAATGGGCTGACGACGATCTACGACGAATGTTCTTTGAAATTGTAGCGGAAGCTCGTCGGTATTATTTTCTAGGACAAGTCGAACTGGCTCGAAAATGCTATAGGAAAACATTGCAATACGGCAATGAACTACGGTATCGGGGTGAAAACTTCAACTGTGTATTTTCAATAGAAACAATCGATTAATCGAAATTACTTGTGAATATTCTTTTTTAGACAGTGAGAATCAATAGTCAAGTGATGAAGATTGCCGAAGAATGTGATCAAAGGATCAGGGAAATAACTTATAAGTTATCTTCTAAGAATAAAAGGTAAAAACTTTTAGTAAAGGTAAAATATTCAATTCGTCGTATGTATAAGTTTGCCTACTCTAACAACTACAACCGTGCGCGATGAACTACGTATGGAGTATCCATGTAAGAAGTTTACGATTTTCATCACGTCTAATCATATCACTCCGTAGTTACTAATCGTCAACATGTTCCCGATCGATTCACTCGAAACTGTTCTGTCTGCATGACAGATCATCCAGTTGAACAATTTCAAGAGCAATATAGTAAAAAATGCCAGCATACTCAACGTACTGTGTGCAATAATTGTGTATATAGTACGGTGAAATATGCCATCGAAGATTTGAAAATTAGAGTAACATGTCCAGAGCCTGAGTGTCGAACAGTCTTCGATTATGCTGAAATATCTCATCTACTTCTTATTCACGATAATCGATCGCTCTTTGAAACCTATGATCGCCAATTGAGAAATCAACAACTTGAACAAATGCCTGAATTCATATGGTGTCCCTATCCTGATTGTGATGCAGGCCAATTGAATGAACAAAATTCTTCCAATCAAAGTCGAGTTACTTGTGTGAAATGTCAACGAATGATATGTTCATTTCATCGGGTTCCATGGCATACACATATGACATGTGCTGAATACGATCATCTACATTCAAACGTTGACAATAGTACACAACAATGGCTAGCAACTTATTCGAAACGATGTCCGAATTGCAAGGCACCTATTGAAAAAAATGGAGGTTGCGCTCATATGACCTGTATAAAATGCAAACACCGATTTTGTTGGAACTGTATGGTAGATTATAAATTGATTCTTTCACAGGGCCGTCAGCGTCATCAGATAACATGTTATCATTACCGTAGAGCGGGAGATATACCGGGAATCAACAATAGATCTCGCAGAAGGATGTGTACTATTTCATGATCGAACATTGATTGAAAGTCACAATAAACTTTGTTTGAACATAATCTAGGAATGATCGGTAATGTCCTGCAGGCAAATGAAAACGACAACTTACGGACATATACATCGCTTCTAAAACTATCCTTGCAATCCAATAATCGTATTTCGCATATTTATTTTTTCTTTTCATCCGGAAAGTACTTTGTAAATCAGTTTACATAAGCTTATCATATTCAAAATGTGTATTTAAACTTGAAAGGAACAATAGAATATGTTACACACATACACTAGCCTTCTGTTAATCATAGCAGTATCGATATAACATGACACAGAATTCTACCGATGATCTCTCTCTTCTCTTAAGAATTCCTCATTCAGTTCGATTTTGGTATTTTTTATTTGCGGATATCTTCAGTCTTTGTGCTACTTTATTCGTCTTATTTTTCCTTTTCAATGATCGTACTCTTCGTCACGCTCTATACAATCATATTTTCATTGTTATTCTCATCATCAATTTAATCTATCAATTGACAGATATACCATGGTTTATTTATAATGATAGAAATGATCAGTCGTGGCAAACATCGTGGACATTTACTCTTTTCTGGATATTTGTTGATTATGCATTCTATTCAATCCATACAGGACTGTTTGCCTGGGCAACTGTCGAACGATATATACTTATCTTTCATGATCACTGGTCACGGACTAAATTGAAACGTTTGTTCATTCATTATCTTCCGATCATCATTATAATAATCTACTATATTGTCTATTACTCGATCATTTACTTCGTTATACCGTGTAAAACATCATTCGATGAATTTCTCACCGGTGGTGTCTATATACCATGTGCTTTTGATCGAACACAATTAGGACTGTGGGATCTAATTGTCAATCAGATTATTACCACATTAATTATTGTTACTTTTTGTCTTTTATTACTCATACGTGTCATCAAACAAAGGATTCGAATACGCAAAACTATTGAATGGCGCAAACATCGGAAGATGACTATGCAATTATTATTGATGTCAGTCATCTCTTTGATATTTCATATTCCATGGGTATTAGTCATTCTATTCTATCAGTTCAATATAACGAAATCTATTAGTCGATGTGGAATCATCTATACGAAATTTCTTGCATACAATGTTACATTTCTATTTCCGTTTGTGTACTGTTTATCAGTGCCAGAACTTCGGAAAAAATTGAAAAGAATATATCGAGTATGCCGACGAGAGCGGCAAGTGGGTGTGATTACACCGATTCGTCCTCCTACACGAACTAGCGAAGCGTCCGAACAGAATAATCCTCATATCTGTAGGATGATGGAAACTTACTGAACTCAATGAGAGTGCAGAACAAACAACTTCATACTCAATTATCGCTCATAATTGTTTGTATAGACTGGGTTTTTTTTGAGAAATTTTAAAAAAGAACTTTGTAGCGATTTTCATTCAGCCCGGTGATGAAAGGAAAGTACATTTACTAAACATGCGATCTGCGTTTCAAAGAAAAACTATCAAGCTTCGCAATCATATTGTCTTAATATACTATTCTTTTTCACCTCTTTTCTCAAATCTTTGATAAATATTACATTAGCTTGATAACGACAATTTAAGAAACAAACGTTTCTCACATTCTAAAGCACTCATGATGAATACTTGGTCTTATTTCTATTTAATACTATTAATAAATCTTGTGTGTTCGCAAGATGTATATCAATCCAAATTCACGTTGTCCATACCGGGCACACTATACGAGCCTGCCAATAAGGATGCGCAGTATATTATATCAGTTTTTGTCTCTTCGTTTATGCAGTGTGCAATACAATGCAACTGGAATTCTAAATGTCGAGTATTCGACTATGGTGCCATGCAGTCAAATGAATGTCGTCTGTTCGAAGGTGATATAGGTGTGTTAGGATCAATAGGCATGTCATCAACGCCAGATTCTAATGGTGGATTAGTTCAGCTCGATCCATCTCTCTTCGCTCAATACGGTCAAACATGTTCCTCTGCCTGCACTGAAAGCCGATATCTGCAATGCAATAATGGGTTTGTATGTGATTGTATGCCACATACATATTGGGACACATATTGGAAAATGTGCCTTCCACAAATGACAGTAGCTGGCGCATGGTGTCAATTTAGTGCGAATATGTGTCGAGAAGATCTCAATCTAACCTGTTCAGCGATGGGTCAATGCGAAGGTAAATACAGACGGTTTGGTATTTGCTTACTTGAGAGTGATCTTTTCAGGAATAGTTCCTGCATCAACCACGGATGGAGTTAATATTGCCGATCAATCAACTATCATAGAAGGAGATTCAACTAATGGTTTTGATAATCCAATAGGAGTTATTGTTTATGGCGAGCCTGGTGATGAATCTCTGATTGTTGCTGATTCGGTAAAACAACAAATAGTTCTTTTAAAAAACATCAGTTCTCACCAGGCAAAGGCATCTGTTCTAATTCATAATGGAACTGACGGAACCTACTTATCCTACCCATCGTATTTGTACCTTGATAAAGATCATCAGTATGATCTGTACATTACTGATAATGGAAATAACCGTATTCTTCTGTTATCCTCAATGCAAATAACCGATCCATTACCACAAAACGTTGCTGGTACTTTCGGTGCGGGTGGATTATCGGCAAGTACTTTGTCAGCACCTAATGGAGTAACACTTGATAATCAAAATAACATTCTTATTGCTGATACTTATGGTCACCGAATCATGCTCTGGTCGCCAAGTGCTACGTCTGGAACTATAATTATAGGTACAGGAGATCCCGGGACTGGCTCAACAGAATTGAATTATCCTACGGGTGTATTTTTTGATAAACAACAATCGACATTATATGTTGCCGATAATGGAAATAATCGAATTCAGCTTCTCAACATGACTGCCGGTGCGCCGTATGTTGGAATAACAGTAGCAGGAGGAAATGGAGCTGGAACTGCAAGTAATCAACTTAATCAACCTTCTGGTGTCTGGGTGTCACCAACTACCGGAGCAATCTACATATCTGACACAGGAAATAATCGTATTCAACGATGGAACTTCAATGCAACTGATGGTACGACAGTTGCCGGTGATCCAAATGGTGGTTCAGGTTCGACTGCTGCCAGATTAAATTCACCAACTGGCTTAACTATTAATAGCAATGAAACATATTTATATGTCAGTGACACTGGCAATAAACGAATTCAACGTTTTGCCCTTACATAAACGATGGTAGATGTAATAAATACGATGTATTGAAAATAAGTTCTATGTATGGGCACATCCACACCGCACCTTTAGTTTTTTTTACAAATGTAATGTCATCATTTCACGAATAAATACGTATTCTTTCCTTTCATGGCGTTATTGTTGGTTGTATAGACACCATGTTTATTCTACGTCAATCGCTACGAGCACGTTTCTTGAACAACAATACTGACTATGTTCTCGCGTTTATTTGTGCGCACGATACAACACACATTTTCATCCAAATTTCCGATCGTAACTATACCGGCTACATCTGTGAGATGTGCTTCATCTACAGGAACCAATGAGTTCAAGAAATTTGCACGCATTTACCTCAAATATGCAGTAGTTACTGTAGGTGGTGTAATAACATGTCAATTTGTTTATGGATACTACAAATGGACTGTTCAAGTACCAATCTGTCCCAACTGCGATCGGAATCAAAATATCAATATGAATAACGTTCTGGCATGTACTGCTTTGGTACAAAATCGTGATAAACAATGCTCAGGCGAACAACTAATGGTCAAAGCTGGTGCTGCTACAGGTGTTAATTTCAAACTGAGTAAATCTCAAACTAATTCTTCGAATTTATCAACAAACATTCTTTTAAGCGATGATGATATGATCCAGAAAAACATTTTCCAAGAGAAATATGTTTTAACGTATTTTGAAACATTGGCTGATTTAATTGTCAAATTAGATGAGCCTCATCTAGTCAATCTACTAAGCAATAGAATTGGCTATTATATTTTTATCTGTCCGATCTGCCATTCATCGTTAACTCGACAAATGGCATCATGCACTTCGTACTTGCATCAAGCTGGATTAGAAAACCATGCTGCTGATATATCGGAAATGACATCAGACACAAAATAACTCATTTTAATTCTACGATAACTTTTTCTTTTTGCGGCATCGAGTTCTTCATAAAAATATCATTATGAATAAAATAATCATATCAGAAAAATCACTTGTGGAACAGAAAAAACAATCACATTTTTGATAATACTAATAAAATGGCTAGGAAATAATACGTCGTAGCATCACTTTGAAATTTACAATTTCGATTGTAGATCAACAGTCGACGATGGTTGGATATGATCAGGTGTTTGATAGAGTGATTGAATAATCGATTGAAAATATTGTCGAACAGCTGTGCGTCGAGTTTTTAATGTTGACGTAATTAAACCATTCTCTTGAGACATCGGCTCCGGATGCAGATAGATATTACTCACAGTTTCGTAATATTTATATTTATATTCTTTGGCAATTCGTTTTAAATCCGCGAGAATAATCTCTTTCAATTTCTCGTCCTTACACAAGTCTTCAAATGACCGATTGCCTTCCTTCGACGCATATTTCTTTCCGACGTATTCTTTGTCCGGTATGACAATAGCAACGACAGTGGATTCAGTAGATATACCATCGACAAACAATTGTTCAACCCATCGAGAACGAACATAACCATCTTCAAGACGTTCAGGAGCAATGTATTCACCTTGAGTTAATTTGAATATATGTTTCGTACGATCAATAATACGTAATGCACCGTTGTTTGTCCATTCACCAACATCACCCGTATGAAGCCATCCACCTTCATCAATCGTTTCGCGTGTTTTCTTCTCATCACCATAATAACCTAGAAATAACGATTACTTTCCAGCAGTCAATCCGATATTTTACCTTTGAAGATAGTTGGTCCACGAATACAAATTTCTCCTTGATTGTTATTTGCTCGATAGTTGGTACCAGGAACATCAATCAGTTTGATTTCCACCGATGAAACTGGTGAACCAACGGTGCCACATGACATATCAGCAACATGTGTACTTGTTCCTGCAGCTGTCGATTCGGTTTGACCGTAACCTTCGACGATCGGAATGTCAAGTGCAATGCGAAAGAAATGTAAAACTTCAGGCGTAATCGGGGCTGAACCAGTTAACATGGCGAATGTTTTTCCACCGAACAGATTTCGGACTCGACGAAAGATTATCCGTGAAAACAATGTTGGTTGTTCATTATGCAATGCTTGAGAAATAAGGAAACGTTTGACTTTACTTTTTCCAACTTCTGTCATAATCGTATCATAGACCTTGTTCAAAACTCTCGGTACGGTTGGAATATTTGTTGGTTGAACATACGGATAATATTCAAAGACTTTTTCTGGAACTGGACAATAGACGACCTGAGTTCCGTGAAGGAAATTACTGATTAGCACCAATCGTTCATAAAGATGTGCCATGGGAAGAAATGAACAATGACGATTGGATGTTTNCGGATAATATTCAAAGACTTTTTCTGGAACTGGACAATAGACGACCTGAGTTCCGTGAAGGAAATTACTGATTAGCACCAATCGTTCATAAAGATGTGCCATGGGAAGAAATGAACAATGACGATTGGATGTTTCTGCAGCTATATTGGCACGTTCACGACGTTCTATACTTCCTTTAGTCGTTGCCATGAAGTTCGTATGCGACAACATAGCAATCTTCGGTTCGCCTAAAATATATCGGTATGATAATGTTTGTCTTGACAGAAGCAAGCAAAATAACTCTAACCTGTCGTTCCACTTGTTAAAATATAAGCAGCAACATTTTCCGGATCAATGTATGGTCGTGAACGAACATCTGATTGTTGTACTGTTTGAAACACCGCAGGAATACTTCGAATTTTCTTGCTTTCATTGTGTGCTATGTTATCCATAATAAGAATTTCTTTCAAGTAACTTCGTTCCAATAGTTTATCTTTGAAACCATCAATTCGATCTAAGTTATCAACAACTAACACTTCCGTTTGAGTTTTGTCCAATATAGATAGAACGGTTTCCTGATCGTAACTGGTATACAGAGCAAGAACAATAAAACCGTACGTATAACAAGCATGTTCAACAAATGAATATTCAGCACGATTCAACGATATGATAGCCACTGTTGACTTCGTTGGGATCAATTGAATATCTGTCCATAGATGTGAACCGATTCGACGTATGCAATCGATTGCTGTCGAATATGTTATCCATCTAATTGATGCACTTTCATTTGCTGGATCATAGAAGCCTATACATGGTCCATCATTTGAAACGGAGTAGCCATGATAGAATACATCGCCTAACGTTTGAACGCTTGGAAGAATAGTTTTATGAAATGAATATATATCGATATCTTTATAGAAAGTACAACGACGAATATGTTCAACAGGGTCGATTTCAACGGATTGATTTTTCAGATCGATTCCGTCATCAAATTTTCGTTGAATTCGTGATTTATAGGCGTGTGTACCTGCATACGTCGCGGCGGCAGCACCAGCAGCCAACGCAACATATGTAGCATTTGATTTCGAAAATGATGAAGGCATTTCTTCTAGAACAAAACAACAAAATTTATGTTTCTTATTCGATAATTCAAGTCCACATAAAAAGAGAGGCAAAGATAACCATGTTTTATTTTCTTGATATCATATTTATCTTTCAATTTATTCTTTCCAAACAACGTATTATCTGCTTGGCACGTGCTATTTAAGTAGAGAAGAGCATCATTTTGATGGAAACTGATCACAAGACCAATTGTTTCAAAAATTTCTATATTTGTAACAGAACATAAGTCAAGCAGCTAAAAAGATAATGCTTAAGCGATTCGTATAGGTCATCTAACCGATCGTAATAAAGTTATAAACAGATGACGCTATCAGCTGATGACTTTCGAAAGATCAAGCAAACGAAACAAACTTGGCAAGATTTTTTCTCGTCTTTGTCTTTTTTCTGATTTTCTGAAAACTTTATCTGTTAAGTAATAACATCGAGTCATGCTGTGTTGCATTCTCGTACAAGAATGAGCTGAAAGACAGAATCTATGACGAGATTTTGTTTACTGCTTGCATTCGATAAATGTTGAATTGGCTTACACAGATTGTCATATGCTTTTTCAAAATCTGTATCTGCGAAGCATACTTAACCAACCGATTTCCGTAAAAATCGTTTTGATTATGCACCTATATGACGAAGAACCAGTTGAGAATTTTTCATTGTCTCAGATATTCTTTGAATAATTGAACCATATACGTTGCTGAAATCAATATAAACGCGAAAGTTAGTTTCCGTCAGACGATAGCATAGATTTTTTAATCTTTATGACAGTATGATATTATGGGATCGCACTGATATGTCCGAGATGATCCGAATATTAGTTTTCGAAGCTAATGACAATGGAATAATTGATGGTACGTTTGTTTATTTGCTGAAGTTTGTCCTTATCGAATGATTTCAATAGTAACACCTTGTTGATTCGCTGGAGATTATGTGCAATATATCATCTGATGGTCTTCATAGTAGAAGCCTTTGCCATCATTATTATCGACAACGGAATTTTTCAGTCTACCAGCATAAGCTTCAATAATTGAATATTAGTTTCGATGAGCATCATCGTAGAAGTGACAAATGAATGTATTGAACAGTTTTTAGTAATCAAATAGAAAGCAAATGTAACTGACATCGTCAAAAGTGGTGTTCGATGGAATAAACTTCATGAGTTCACCATCTAAGTCAAATAATTCAACCCAAAAGTATTTAACTGTGTCCTGTGAAGATTCAGCTGCCTATGGTATACCTTCCCAAGTTAATGAAGTAAATTTCTTAGGAAGATTTGAATTCATTTGCTGTAGACTAGCACCAAATTGAAATTTATCTAAATCTGAATACCGCGATTTTGAGTTGTTAGATTGTGTAGAGATGGTAAAATGATTGAAGAGATAATCTGAAAGTGGTTCAAGCTTTTCGCCACGGGATGTTACACTAAGCATTCGCTTTGCGTACTGCGTATGAATTACGTTTGTGACACCAATATTTACATGCTCATGGATCGGAGTAAACGACATTGGAAATTATGCATATAGTCCACATGATATAATTCCCACTATTCTTCACATTCTCACCTATTAAGTTGGAAGAATACCATTGTTTGATATCTATTTTAGTACTTCTCCAATGAAAATGCACTGCCGCACACAATGGAGTGAGTAAGTCATATTTATCAAACGATACTAAATAATTCAATACAAAATCTGATCATAAAATGATGAATGTCTCATGAGTGGAAACGATTTTTTAAATTCTAATACTGGAGTTGTACGTTATAGTCCAAATTCCGAGTCTTTTCTAGATATAACATCGGATTCTGTTTTCCTGTTGTTACCTGGAAAAGTCCAATGAAGTACAAAAATCTGGTTTTTTCCCTTGCTTCATTGTCATTGCAACATCTTGTGACGCTACGTAGAAATTCCCTCTACGTCATTTACCTTTTGCCATATTTAAATAAGGAAATTGGACTTTCTGGTACTCAGGCACTTTTTAACAACGTCCCGTGCTTACTACACGAACATCAACGACATGAATCAGAATTTGTCTATAAAAGTTTTTACAAATAATCACCTTGGGCACGATTTAGTACACGCTGTACAAAATGTAAGCACTTTTGTCGAAGTATCCACCACTTGATACACCTATCGATTTGATTTACTGATTTATATAGGGTGCTTCATTGCCAGTTAAACCTGAGGTATTGAACGAATTAAGAATGACTCAAAGCTCTTTAACTAATGTTTTTCCTGTACCACAAAATTCACTTTCGCACAGATGCTTAGGAGTATGTAACTAATTCTTTTTTTATATAAGATATACAGTTTCTTTTATGGTCTACTCAAATATAGGTCATACGTGATCAAACTCGTGGTTTTATAATCATCGGCTATAATTTGGTTTTACAAAACGATATCAACTGGGAGCGAGCACGAACGAACTTTCAATCATTTCTAGCTCGTCACTTTCATACCGCTCATGTCAATATTGATGTTATAGGTGTTGCATGGAACGCTTCTCACTGTTGGTATATCATGCGAGAAAATGAGGTGATCATACATGCTCTAACATCAAATTCAAATAATAATCAAAACGTAGATTTGACTAAAGTATCCATATCCATCATTATTGCCGGGATCGCTATTGTATTGGTAGTCGGTCTCCTGAAACGTTGAGTTAATTATCAATCGCGCAGATTGATCAACAAACTAATGAAGATGATTTAGGATATTCTCTCTTTCGCTCTTGTTTATTTCTTCACGAAAGTTGTTTTTGACAAACATCAATAAATCTTTCTCCGATTATTCTTCACTGGAATCTACGATTCATATTGCCTATTATTTTTGCTATCTAATTTCTATACACAAAACAAAGAATGTTATACAACGCAAGATATTTACTTGAAAAAGAAAGACCTTAGCTTCAAGAACATTATCACATAGTATCAATTGGCTGAATAATTTCATCATAGACTTTGTCAACACAAAAATATGTTATGACGACATTTGAATGCCTTCAGAATGAAAATGTCTCCTATGGTTTTTTCTTTTCTTTTCTATCTCTCTGGCATCGCAATACCATGAAAAAAGATTTGCCCATGAATAGATGTATTCGTTTCAATGTGTTTTTTTTCTTTTTTTTTCTATTCTTCCAGTTCGTCTCTCTATCTGAGAGTACGCGTGAGACATGTGATTTGTGTTTGCGTGTCATTGGTAAGTCAATAACAATACGGCGTAGACGCACATGTCTTCCTTTCCTCATTTTATTTGCAATTTTAAACAGAAAAGAAACATAGTAGCCCCCTTTCTTCTTTTCCCTTCTAGATCAAAATGGTTTCTAAGCCAACAACATTAGAAACCCTGCCAGATGAAGTCTTACTGGAAGTTTGCGAATATTTATTAAATGTTGATATTCTATATTCATTTTTCGATTTGAACTCGCGTATGAGACGAATGATATCTCAATATTACGATAGCATCTCATTACACAAAGCGTCGATTGTTCAATCGTCGTACCTTTGTCAAACCGTTCTTCCTCAAATTGGCTCTTGCATACAATCATTAGTTGTCGATCGTTGTTACTCCGTAATGCAACATGAGTTATTTATAAAGCATTTTAGCGAGCGAATGTCTCGAGTATTTCCTTCGCTTAAAAGGATTTCTCTTGTTGGCTTTCAATACAGTCATTTAGTGGCATTTTTAGACAGTTTACACGATTTCAAACATCTGGAAGAAATCCATCTACACGATCTTTTTGGCATCAATGAAGAACATCAAGCCGATGCTCTTCGTGCATTATTACAAGCTAATAATAACCACTTGACATCTATATTGGTTAATACAGAGTCAAGTTTTCTGCAATTTTACCATACTGATTGTTATGCAAATATCCGTCGACTTCGTCTGACATTGAAAGGAATCAAAGACTTAGCCGCATTCTTTGTTGTCGTACCGAATATTCAGTACTTGGATGTGACACTCATAGAAGAAGACATGGAAAATGTTCCAACTGATGAATTAAAGATTGATTCGCTCAATCATCTCGTTGATTTTCAACTACGTTCAACCAAACGTTGGTGGAATGGCGAGGAACTACAGTTTATGCTTCTTCACTTACCAAACGTCAAGTTTCTTGCGCTCTTCATCTGTGTTTTCGATGAAAAATTAGTCTATGGTAATGAAATTCTCTCGTTATTACCTCCACGTGTTCAACATTTTCATTACGCTATCTTTTACCCGCCGAATATGGTGTTCGATCACAACAACTGTATCATCAAAAGTTGGCCGACATCATATCCTATTGTTTGTCACTACAGTGACGATTTTGGATTCCTTCACACGTTACCATGGCATTTCAAATGTATTACATTTCCCACATCGATTGGCAAAGAGATGTGTAAACCAACGAAGTGTAAAACTGGTTACGATACAGGAGTGAAAAGATTGGAAGTGGCTTTGGATGAAAGTTTAACTCTAAATGATTCATTAGGAATGATTGCACAATGTCGTCGATTGAAACATTTGATTATTTTTGTTAACGCTACTAGCGAAGCTAGCAAAGGTAAATGTATCGACAAACATGATTGCTCGATGTGACACTATTCATCATCGAATCGTTTCATTTAGAAGAGAAGCAAAATGAATCAATAAGTCTACCGGTGTTTCTCCAATTGACTCAAATTTTCATCTATGCATCGAATATAATTGGCTTCGAACAATTCTCATCGATCTTTTTCTCTGCACCAAATCTTATCCGTCTAGACTTACCTTGTGATTATCTACTTAATCTACTTGAAAAACAACCGATGCGGGATCTACTTGGTCAACGAATCAAATCATTGGTTGTTTTGGATGCCACCAGAGCATCGTCTGTTAAACTCACTGAAGAAAATGTTCATTTAATCGCAATGACATTTACAAATCTTTGTGATGTGTATGTCGATGTAACGCATTTAACGTCGACTTCGAATGAAATCGTGCCATCGTCGATGGAATCAATGGTGATTCGTCTGTTGTCAGAATTCATGCCGCGCAAACTTATTTCATTAGTCGTCGATATTCAACCATCGGAAGAAATTAAAACGAATTCCAAGCAGTGGTTATACGAAAATACGATTCTCCGACATCAATTATTCGATGCTGATTTTAATAAGGAGCTAAATCGATTGATAATATGGATGTAATGACTCGAAAACAATCTTTACCAGAACGCACTAGTTTACAATGTACAAATTTCCTTTTTATTTGATCATTTGAATGTGATAGAATGTGTGATTTTCATTTGAATTTTAGTCAAGAATATAAATCTATTTTACAAATGATAATTAATAAAGCATACTTGTAATAATTATATGTAACCTCATTCAAAACTAGAGAAACAAAGTTTTTAGACGTAGACGATTTTAGCGAGGATTATAGACTGGGAAGTGTATCACAGACATACTTTTCCTCTTATTATCTAAGTCGAGAACAATCAACAGTTTGTTTAGTCTGAATGTATTTTCAATGCCAATATTTCGTATATTAAATCATATGAGGCAGTTCGACGATGAAATATCTTTAGCAAATGCTTGAATAGATGTTCCATTGTGACGAAAATACAATGAGGATACAATCGATTTACATCACACTTATTGCTTATCCTTTTCACTACTTATACAATGTGCTGATGAATAAACTTTAGTGGAAACAAATAATATCATAATATCTTCAAATGACATGTACATAACTATTCGTTTTGAATTACCAATGCACGTACAACGACGAAAGTTTCTGACTTCTTTCAATATCTTTCTTCTTATTCTTTAGTTTTGTCAAAAGTATACACGTGTGTGTGTTTAGTTTTATTTATACTATGATGGTTGGATAAGATATCTCTTTTCTTCAAAAATTTGCAACATGACAAGAATTAGATAAACAATAGTTGGAAGAAAAGCATCAGGTAAAAATAGTGCAGTATTCTTTCTACCATACGTATATATGTCAGAAGTATCTGTCTGACCGGTAACTTGTCATTCAACATTGAATAGCATACGATTACTATTTCTACATTTTTCATAATTCTTCTTTTGGATACATTTTCATTTTTAGAAGTGATTTCCGACATCGACTCAAACATCTTGAAATCAGTTGTTCTCCACTGCTATGCAAAGAACTGCAATTAACTCACATGCACGCCTTGGGGCCTTTTACGACATATATCGAGATCAGTTGATAAGTCTTCAATCAAAACAATTTCAAGAGCAGCATGTTACTTCGCAGTCTACAAAGTGCCAACTGATACGAGGTAGCTCAGATGTCAATTTTAACATTCTAAAAATGATCAATGTCGACAGTGAACTTCGATTGAGTTTATTATTAAAGCTGGCAAAAAGGTGTGGAATAGCTCAAGTTCTTAATGAAAAGGCCGCTTTTGATGAGAATACTCGTTTCATATACTATTCTTCTACAAATGTAGCAATAACGTTTCACAAAAGCTATTTGCGACGAAAAGAAGCACTGCCTGATGCTCCATCATCTGCTACTCATGTTCTTAACACGGTGAACATGGGAATTGTTTTTATGGCTGTTTTAAGATTACCGACAGAAGCTGTTACTGTTCGTGAAATAGATTTTCTTCTGGAAACAATTCGTGCTGCATTATCAAGAACTGAACAGAAGAAATTTCGCCTAATCAGCGAACAAAAGAAATTATTGGATAAAATTCTGCAGACGAAAGTTTATTCCAACTTACGGCAGCTCGCCGATGTTTGCAATATCTCGAAAATTTTTGAGGTAATTGAACAAGTGCGAATGGATAGGCTTCATTACATTCCAGTAGCTTTTTCTTTGGTACCGGTGAGAAACTTTTGTAAGCCAAATTACCAAAAACCTATCGTATACTCTCCCTTATCTCACGAATTAAGTGAAACAATCGAAGAAAACCTAATATTCATTCGAAATTCTTTAACGCAATTTACGACACGCCTGGATCACGAAACAACTAAATTGCTGGTCGGACATCTATCAGATCAATTAAATCAACTGCGTGAACAACACTCACAGTTAGCGGCTAGTTTTACAAAAACTTTTTCGAAAATTTCAAATTCGCTGGTCAAAATCCGTTGTAGAAAATCGAATGATGCTTTTGACAATATGTTACTGCCGATAAAAACCGAACTTCAGGCAGTGATTGCGGCTGTGAAGTCTTTAGAAAACAAGGGACGATGGATTACACAATTACGGCAACAAAATATTGAATATATCAACTTTGAGGAAAGTTCCTACAAGAAGTGTAAAACCGTCGAAGACATCCAACAAATGTTACTCTCGGAAAGTATGAATAATCGAGCACTTTGTACGAATGATAATTTGAATACGAACCAAAGGCCAAGATTCGAAAAATTATATCAATTATTGCGGGACAACTACCAAAAGAATACTTCTTTACGTCTGCATTACATCGATTTCTCCTATTCGAAATTTCCCTTATCAAATATAGTAATATTGCCGAACGAAGAAGTTTCTGATCACATCAATCATACGCGTTCATCGAAAGCCTTGGCATTGAAAAAATCTGATGACCATGCAAAACGCAGTACTATGTCACCTACAGCGGACACAACTAATTTATCTGAAACTGATTCGAAACCATCAAGTTCTCTGCATACTTTACAAGCAACAATACCAGAAGTAACAGTTCACCCTAAAAATACACTCGAAGAACGGACTCCCTCAATAGTACAACCATCCGAGCCCGTAACGATTCTTCTGCTGGGAGAAAGTGGAGTCGGAAAATCAACATTTATCAATGCTATAGCAAATTATTTAACATTCGATTCATTTCAAGAAGCTGAAAGTAGTGAGCCTGTTGTACTCATTCCGGTTTCATTCGTTATTACTGTGGGTGATAATTTCGAAGAGCACATTATCAAATTTGGTGAAATAGACTATTTGAATAACGAAGATTTCGATCATCCTGGTCAATCTGTTACTCAACATTGTAAATCCTATCTATTCAATCTTAAACATAAGCATGGAAAACAATTGCGCATCATTGATACACCCGGCTTAGGTGATACACGGGGTTTGGATCAGGATGAACGAAATATGGAACATATTTTACAATATGTCAATAATCTGACACATATCAATGCAATTTGTTTCCTACTGAAGCCAAACACATCACGTCTCCATATTGTTCTTCGTACATGTTTCCAGGAATTATTTGCGTTTCTGCATCCATCCGCCCGTCAGAACCTAATATTTTGTTTTACGAATGCTCGATCGACTTTCTATACACCTGGAGACACAGCTCCGATATTGAAAGCAATGCTTCAATCACTTTCAATTGAGAATATTGTTTTCAACAGAGCTAATACGTTCTGTTTTGACAATGAAGCATTTCGATTTCTCGTGGCATTGCAGAATGATATTTCCTTTGATGAAGAGAATAAACGCGAATATGAAATGAGTTGGTCAAAATCAGTAGTGGAATCGGCGAAGTTAATCAAGTATATTGACGAAGAATTAACTGTCTATCGTATAAACAATAGCTGGACATCGATCAGACAAGCCCAATTTGAAATACTCTATATGGTTCGTCCAATATTGGAAACAATGCGAAATATTCTGCGCAACATAATCTTATTCGAAAAGAATATATTGAATGAATCAGTAGAACTGCATGTAAGAAGTTTATCTCATGTAACTACGAGATGTTTGTCATGCCAATGTAATCCGACGTTAGTTGGCCATTTCTGGGTCATACTAACCAATGTTCATGACATTCAAACACGGTGCCTTAAATGCGAATGCTCGGTCGAACAACATGTTCAAGTTGACTACATCATCGAGTATCAATGCCAGCAACCTACTTCACAAATTCGCAATCATTATACTCGCGAGGTATTAAATCAGTTACTCATCGGCAATATTAGTCTTGGTCAATTTCTCGCCAACAACGGTCATTTCACAAAAGCTGATCCGTTTCTGAATGTTCTGACGAGCATGATTAATGAGGAAAAGTACATTTGTAGAACCGAGCCGACGCACTCTTTCAATTCAGAACTTCTCAACGAGCTGCTTATTCTTGAAGACCGTTATCGAAAATCCTTTATTGAAATGAAGTCGGAATTTACGAATCTTGATCTATCTAAAGTATATAAAGTCATTGACGTCATTAGCCAGTATCCTATGATACAGAAACAAATGAAAGCTGTCAAGCAAACTCAACAGAAAATAATGGAACAGTATGAATACGATGTGAATAAAATATAGGAATTTCTTTTCATCATTGCGAACAGAACTAATGCAAATATTTTTCTTATCAATCGAGTATCTTTGAGAAATGAAAACACATGCTGTACATGAATAAATTGATTAACTATCTTCCGATCACATTTCATTTTTCTCATCACTTCTGCTCCAGTCGAATACAATGACGGATCGTGCATTAAGCCGACTTCTTCTTAATAAAACTAAATGTGCTCACGCAGGTGTTCATTTACCTTCGTACGAACGTCATCAACTCAAACATGGTATTGTGCATCTAAGTGTTGGTAACTTTCATCGTTCACATCTCGCATATTATATGGATATATTAGCAAGTGAATATCACCAGACCGAATGGGGAATCATCGGTATTGGCGTACGCTCTGTTGATAAACCGATGAGTACAGTAATGAAATCTCAACATGGTTTGTACACGTTAGTAACAAAAGGAAATACTGAACAAGATTGTCATGCTCGAATTATCGGCTCAATGTTGGAGTATATCTTCGCACCGGATGAACCTGAACGTGCACTAGCAACGTTGGTTCATCCAAACACAAAAATTGTCTCAATGACTATTACTGTTCGTGGTTATGATTTAGATATGAATGATCCTGATATTCAGTACGATTTAATGAATTTCGACAGACCAAAGACAATCTTTGGATTTCTTGTCCATGCATTAAACATACGATGTCAAAATAATGAAAAACCTTTTACAATTCTTTCTTGTGATAATGTTCAACACAATGGTCATGTAACAAAAAGTTGTATTCTAAAATTTGCAAAAGCGTTGAACAATTTCGAATTACTTGAATATATCGAAACAAAAGTGACCTTTCCAAATACCATGGGTAAGGCATATCATAAATGAAAAGGAAAAGTAATCCGTACAGAGCTCATTTAGTTGATCGAATAACTCCAGTCACGACCGATGAGGATCGCGAGTATGTTCGATTAAACTACGGCATTGATGATGGATGGCCAGTGATATCAGAAGATTTCATTCAATGGGTGGTTGAAGACACATTTTGTAATGATAGACCACCATTAGAATATCTGTCTTTGTCTCCTTACAACGTTCTTCTTACCGATCATGTTGACGTATATGAATGTATGAAAATGCGTCTTCTCAATGCTTCCCATACTGCCATGGCATCTCTCGGTTATTTAATAGGTTACACTTACATTCATGAGATCATATCTGATCAACATGTTCAATATTATATCAAACAGTTAATGGATAGAGAAATAACACCAACGTTACAGCCAGTGCCTGGCATTGATTTTGACAAGTACAAACAAATATTAATCGAACGTTTTGCAAATCCGCATATAAGAGATAATGCATCGAGAATATGCATGGACGGTGCATCGAAATTTCCGAAATTTATCGTACCAACTATTCAAGAACAATTTAAACGGGGAAATCAGCCACACTATTGTGCACTAGCCATTGCAGCTTGGATAAGATATCTTGGAGGATATGACGAACAGAAGAAACCGATTCAATTACAAGATTCGCTAGCAGTGGAGCACAGACTAGATCGATTAGCTGCAAGAGATGTATTGGATATCAAACAAATTCTAGATGTTTCACAGATATTTGGTGATATTGGTAAAAATCAACAATTTACTGACACTATTGAACGCCTGGTCGAACTATTTTATAAGATTGGAGCCAAGGATACTCTGAAAAAGTGGATCAATGATGCTTCAAATAGTGAATAGATAAAGTATCTTCTACTGTTTCCATCATATTACAGATTGTGAAGTATGAAAACAGTGAATGCTAGTCTTTTCATGGATTAGCAGTTGTAATTAGAAGAGCTAAGATGCCATTTAAACAATTTTTTATTTGTTGTTCATGATAGAAGGAATTTATGTTCTTACCAACTGCATTTGTCTTCTTTTTTTGCTACACCATATTCTTTCCCACTTGAAACTTGCATCGTCACTATTATCCTTCTTATCTCTTCAGCATGTAGCTTTGCATTTCTTGCAGATATATTTGCTATATCAAAGTCTTAGGCAAGATATTTATGTATTCAGTTGTCAATTTTATGATTGAAGTATCTTTGGATTATGCATTCGTGCTTCGTAATTATGTAGTATACATATACTCATTGCTGTCAATGTCGCCAGTGAAAATCCCTTAAAATCTTGTAATTCATTGGAAAAAGTATCTCAAAGATTTCATATTACAGATCATAGATTACAAAAAAATACCTTATTACCATTAGATAAAACTTGGGATCAATATGGTTCAAGTAGTAAAAAAACATTGCTAATCGGATTACATTAAATTCTCAACAAAGTGTAAGTTATTACTTGTTTTCGAAACAAAGTATGTCGACATCAAATGACGATTTTAACATCAACGAAGAACACCGTAATGTGCGCGATCAAAATATGTCGTTTCGAATTTCACTGTTGTCAACATACTTCACTTCAGTGCTAGTTGAGAGAATAGAATATTACAAATCGAATATGTACGTGGGATGCGTCAGGCAGAAATGCTGTTCCAATCAAAGGAAATCGATGGCTTTGTTTTTCTCGTTGGTAATATGAATCTTTAAGCATCGATATTCAATTGTTGCCAAACAAGAACTTTCGAGCTTCAGCACACCCTCAGGTGTTCTTCTGTATATGCAAATTACTCAATATCGAATGAAATCATATGAAACTCAAGTACTCGAACAATTCATTGTGAGTATTTCAACATTAGTCGTTTATATTCCATATTGTAAAAAGTTTTACACAAACTCCATTGTGTCACAAGCTTTTTGACAAGAACTTCAACTGATTATCTCTCGCCATCCAATACTACCGGTGAATACACCAGTTTAAGTCTTTTCGCGAGAAAGCATTGTTTTATTAATAAAGCGGTATTTTGAAAGTAAATGATGATAAATAGAAGTCATGTATTTTGATTTTCTCCATAGCCCCGTGTTATGTTGTCTGGTAAGTTGGTGACCTATCTTTAAGATTATTGAAGCAAGGTAGACACGAGCAAACGCGTGCACATAAACTAGACAACCAAATAGATGGCGAATATAAAGCGAGAAAAGTAGTAAACATACCCAGGCTCTGGACGCAAAGATTTGGGTGTGGAAATCGCTTTCACTGATTGACATAATGCCTAAAGGGTACATACGTATGCTTATAGTGAACGGAAGTGTTTATAGTTTTTCCTACCGCGTGGATAGCAGTTCGTTGAGTAGGAACCTCTCGACCACACTTGTCACATATGAAAAAAGATTGTGGTCTATATAGAAAAGGAAATAGTGTAGGATATTTTAATCAAAGAGAACATACTCATCAGTAGCAGGGGAATGTTTATTTGTTGATGACGTCTTTCACCAAGAAATAAATGCTGTGTTAAATAAAAACATATCTATGTATACAGGTACCTGAATAGGATCTGGTTTAACCGATGAATTTTGATAATTAAGTTGGTTATCTCTAAAGTATGCATAAATAAGGGTTTTTCTAGCACTGAAAGCAATGTCTATTTACTTTTTGGCTGAGGGTACGGCATTTAGGGTATGCCCATTCTAAAAGGGAAGGCTACTTTTAATTGTAAAACAACCAGATATATATGTCTATCATACTTGACGATCGGATGGCATGCTATTTCTACTTGATGGACTAACCGAAGACTGAGGAAGAGTATGTGAATCTCTATCAACAATAAATAGAAGAAAACGTTAGTTTTAATTTGCTGCAAAACAGAAACATTACCGAATTTCAACTTTCTGTAACAGTTGCTTGAGGACAGTAAAACTAGGTCGTACTTCCGGCGTTTCAGACCAACTCTCTTCCATAACTTTCCATAGCCCTTCAGGGAAGCCTGCTATCTTTGGTAGCTTCTCGCCATCCAATCTTCTCTGACGAACAATTGCGTCATCCGTATCGAAACCATAAGGAATCTCTCCTTGTGAACTTGCTTGCCACATCAATGTAGCCATTGAATACATATCTGCAGATTCCGAGTACATCGATGCATCGTGCGTTTGAAGAATTTCTGTGGCACAATATCTCACCGGAATGGGCGTTTGTCGCGTATTGTTAAATGACTTATCATTCGTACAAGTTAACCCAAAATTTGTTAGTTTACTTAGAATTTTTTGAGGTTCAGACGAATTCATTTCAAACATCAATACATTTGCACAACGAAGATCACCATGTACGAGATCTTTGCTGACGATGTAAATCATCGCATCAATAATCTGTAAGAAAATCTTCAACAAGATTCTCAAAGATGGAACGAATTGTTTCGTTTGTAATAATGTTCGTAAATCACCAAATTGAGTACGTTCTTGTATCAACATAGTTATACCAAGATTGTTTCTAACTAAACCAAACGTAGGTACTATATGTGGGAATGAACTAAGCTCTATATAGAACGACGCTTCACGTTCTGATGTATCGCTATTCAATTCAACTAATACAATTGAGGATTTATCATATCCTCTGGCTGTAACATTGTAAAATGTTCGTCCGTATTTTCCATGGATTCGATCGTGTTTTGTGCAATTAACATCAAGTTCAAAGCGAAAGGATGATCTAGAAAATTTTTGTTTAGGTGACTTTATTTAGAGTCAACATCAAATATGCTTACCGAAGGTCAATTTTGAACAGTTTTTCTTTAATCGTTTTGAAACTGTTCCGACTCTTTGGGTCCATAAGCCAGCAACCTTTGATAATTGCCCAAATCTGGCGATCACACGTAAATGGTCTTGGCAATATATCTCCACGTAAATTTTTTTCTCGTATATGTCGTATTGATAGTCCTTGATATGGAAGTCTGCCTTGGGAACAAGCCTGCCACATTAGTACTCCCATCGAATAACTCTCAGAGAAATTCGAATAATTTCGTCGACCGACACTTCGAAGAATCTCGGGTGCACAATATTCTAGTGGAGGATGTGGTAGTGCATCATCATATGTAAGATCTGGATTATCTGGTCGTGCGAATGCAAAATTGCTTAGTTTAATTAGATTTTTATCAAGGTTTAACGAATCCATTTGGAAGACAAGGACATTCGCACAACGTAAATCTCCATGAATCATTTTGTTATCGATCATATAGATCATTGCTTCGGTGATTTGTTTAAAGATTGAAATGAGAACTTCTGTCGATGAAACCATGCTCTTTTTCTCTAATAACTCTTGAAGATGGCCATGTGGAGCGCGTTCTTGCAATAATAAAGTTATTCCGATACTATTCTGAACGAATCCATATGTTTCAGTTATATATTGACATCTTCGAAGATTTTCGTAACATAACAATTCATTGTGTGTTGGTGCATCGTTTATTGCAATCAAAACAATCGCTCTTCGATCATCAATCAACCATTCAGCTTCAAAAATTTGACGAAATTTTCCTCCGAGGAGGTCTTTTTTCGTCACATGAACATTCAATTCATACGGAAAACCATTTGCTGGTCTTAAAACAACGTGTAAAAAGAGTTTCATTTATTATACCTACTTACTCGTATGTTGACCTTGATTTTTGAATTTCTGGGATATCGGTGAGTTGAATCGTAGTTAAACAAATGTTAAGCTCGTTAAAATTCGGTCGAAGGTCTGGTTTATCATTCCAGCATTGATTCATAAGAGTCCACATTTGATCATCACAATTCTTTGGTCGTTCTAATTTAACATCCTGTAGTTTGATTCGTACGACAGCATTCTCATCCGCAATATGTGAATAAGGAACTTCACTATTTGATACAGCTTCCCACATCAATACACCCATGGAGTAAATATCTGATTTCTCAGTATAATTCGATGCAATATTACATCGTAGGATTTCTAACGCACAATATCGTTTTGACACGAGAAGCTTCGTCGCATCAAGTCTGCTGTCGTTCAAAAAACGTGCTAGACGGAAATCTGTTATTTTCACCAAATTATTTCTCGCTTGGTTCAGATCGTTTCGACATAATAAAACATTTCGACAAGTCAAATCTCCGTGAACAATCGCTTGACTAGCTATATAACTCATTCCGCTTGCAATTTGTAGAAATATTTCCAATAAAACCGTTTGCGGTAAAGGCTCTTCGTACAATGAATCAGCGAGATTGCCATACGGAGCAAATTCTTGTATATAAATAACAAAGTTATCCACATTTTCCAGTTCGCCGTATGTCTGAATGATATTCTGATGATTGTTCAGTTGTCGATGAAAAAACGCTTCGTGTTGGCCGATGGTATTTATCATTTCAGTGAAAATACATGGTCCTACGTGATGTTTTAACCAATGGCCATGGTAAATTCTCCTGTCGCTTTTGCCGGATAGGTATCTGTCTCTGCAAACATCAACGTTGTTTTGATATTTTCGTAATTCTTTCGGCTGTCTTAACATTGTTTGATTTTTAGCTGAAAAAAGAAAACAGCAAAACGACAGCGTTGCAGGATTTATATACAAATGTCTTGTTTACAATTTAAATCATAAGAAAGTACGAAAAAAATCAAAATTCAATTCTCTTCCTTTGGATGCTTTAGTTAACATTCATGTGGAAGAATAGAGCACACTTGTTCTTACAACGTGTGACTCTCGACAGTTTGTTGTTGTGTAATGCATTTTGCGCGTATAAATTTACATTCAAACCCTGATAAGAGCAAAAATCGTCAGCAAAATCAGGCGATTGTTACTATGTACCTTGTCTTATGTCAGCAATCGAAAGTAACGATTGATGAGGGAAAAAGAATTATTTTAAACTTCTCAACTTTTCGTTTCAAAATGTCTTGTTCCTTCAACAATATATTGCTTGACTGTTTACTTTCTCACGTACGTAGATTTTTGATACATGTGAAATACACTGAGAAAAACTTTTAGAAAATCACTCGATTTTTCCATCATTTTCAGAACCAACTAACTGAGAACTTCCCCTGTGAGCCTGATATGCTGGCGACATACAAGCAGCACGGATGAATATAATATCCCTTTGATACTTATGATCTCGTCATATAATCAAGTTGATGTTTGAGCATGAGACTTGGTGAAAATCTAAATGGATGTTCCTATCGTGATCTCAGTACAAAATCGATCATGTGTGTTTTAACTTCGGTTTTATGACTAAATCGGCAATTAGAATAACGCTATTTATATTGAAGAATGAAAGAAAATGGATTTGAATCAAATGAAAAATGTCATTTACTCTGAAAAGAGAAGAGGAAATAGCAATAATTCACCGTTGATTGTCTCTCTCGGAATGGTCTCATATGGCTACGGCACTGAAGAAAAATCGAAAGTCTTTATTCTATGCTCAACAGGATATGAGATACATACGGTATTACATTATCCGATACTGAACGGAATAGTATATATCCTTAAATCTATTACTCTTTTTCATTGCAAATTATGAACGATCTCAACACTACTTCTCTGTTAGCTATTCTTTCACTATCACAAACAATTCCAAAATATTTATTTTCTGTTGGCGGACCAATTTTGATACTCGTTGGTACGATCAATTCTTTATTCAATGTACTCGTGCTCGAACAAAAGAAATTGCGTAAAAACCCTTGTTCCAGATGCTTTGTAGCATTTAATATCGCCAGTTTCCTTCTGCTTTACCTATCCTTCCTTCCAACCATACTTCAAATCGGTTATAACATCGAACCAGGCGCATACAACTTACCCTACTGTCGTATTAGAGTTTATTTAAGTTTTCTACTCGCCATCTTACCACCATTTTACCTCATCTTGGCGTCCGTCGACCGAACACTAGTCACATCAGCCAGTGCTCAAGTCAGAAAATGGAGCAATCGATCAACTATTCGCAAGTGTCTGTTTGGTATCACAGTATTCTGGGTGTTGTTTCATATTCATGCGCTCATCTACACAGATATTATTCAAGTTACAACCGATACTTTTGTTTGCTTTCCTAAATTGGGTATCTACTCGGTTTTGGTGAGTTATTATACGTTCGTGGTGCATGGGGTGATTCCATTTGTTTCATTATCGATCTTCGCCGCGCTAACAATACGAAATTTACACCATAGACCGCATCATAATATGGATGCATCGAGTTTGAGAACGATACATCCATCACATCGCCAAGATAAACAACTTATTCGCATGTTATTTATTGAAATACTGACATGTGTCATGTTCAATTTCGTTTTTCCCGGTGTATTTCTCTACATAGAAACTACTCAATACCAGAACAAATCTCACGAACGTGACGTAGTTGAACATCTCCTTCTATCAATATCGATATTTATTTTCTATGTGCCATCTTGTACGAGTCTGTATACGAATTTGATTGTATCAAAAAGTTTTCGTAAACGAACGAAACATATAATTCTTCGAAAACTAGTTAACAATAGAATTCGACCGGATTAGTTACGAATGATCAAACAAACATCATCGTGTATATGACATTTTCTGTCAACGGAAACAGACTAACGTAAGAAGTTTTTTGTTATTCAGCAAATTTCGATAAAAGTAAAGTAACATAAGAAAAAAAGTCACAAATCGGGATTGTTCGAACAAATATGAAAGCTTCTCGATATGAAGGATAATATATTCCTGCGCTATTCAATTTACCATTCTTATCAGTTCCGTTTATCAAAATAGTCGCTGTATGTACGTAACGTGCTTCGCTCATGTTGATGAATCATACAATTCAGCAGCGTTCGGATAGATCAAATGGGACGAACATTAGAAAAAGAACTTTTTTCGCTTCATCTCTTCTCCTTTCTCTCTAATTCCAACAAAACAAAAGTCGACATTTCGACAGCGGCGAACAAAGCAAAATTAAACCTGTTTCTTTCTTTTTTCCCTAAACTTTATCATCACGGCTGTCGCTTATTTGCTTAAAAATTGTGGGTATCCTGTACGATTGATAAAACACAAAAAAGTTCTAGCAGCGAGTAATTTCGATCTACCGATCTCTGAGTTATGAGCCCAGCACGCTTCCACTGCGCCACGCTGTTTACGCTCTTCTTTTCTCTATTCATCATCACACAAAAGCTTGGATTTTGAAAAATAAACTTTATTTTATAATATCAGATTAAAATTCTCCTTCGATTTTACACTTTCTAGAAGTTTTGCTTTTCCTCCCGATGAAAGATTGCATTTTTCTAAATTCAAATCTGTTAACGAGCGGTTGCCTTTGAACATTTCAATAAATAAATCAATGCTTGAATCGCTGATTGACTTGGTATGTGATAAATCAAGTTCGATTAATGTATGGTTGCGGTAAGTCAATACATTGGTTAAACATTGAATCCCCACTTCAGTTATTCGGTTTTCAGCAAGGCCCAAATGTGTCAATCGAGTATTTGTTCTCAACATTTCACTAATGTATTCAATACCTTTGTTTGTCAATCCAACTGACCAAAGATATAATGCTTTCAATTTTGAATCGTTCGATGAAAGCGCTTCTGTGAAAGCGTGAACACCTTCGTCATCTAAACGATTATGCGATATATCGAGCCATCCCAATGTCTTGTCATGACTTAATGCTTTAGCAAGCGTCGAAGCACCCATTGATGTAATATTATTTTTCTCTAAATATAACCATTTACATTGTCTCTTCTCTATGATGTCTTCAACGATGATATATACATCATCATCGGTTAGATTTTGAGATGACAGATCAATTTTGGAACGATTTTCCAATTGTTGAATTTTAGCCTTCAATCGTTCATTTTGTTGTATGCTCGATGCAGAAAGTGCTTTAGGTATTTGAATTAACGGTGGTCGTGGTTGGACTTCTCGTAATTGAATGATTCGATTTTGTCCACCGGTTTTAACTGAGGATAACACTTGAAATTGTCGCGCCGGGTAAAGTAATACTTCATTCTCCGAGTTAAAATATGAATGTTGTGAGATAGATTTCCCTGAATCACATTCGATATTAAAAATTGTTCCTGTTCCATTCTCACCGAGAAAGGCCGTTAAGACATGTACAGTTGTAGTACACGATGAGAATGGCCACCATGTGACAAGTTTACCTTGAGGGTACTGTTCTCCTAGATCTTTATTGACTGCACGATAAATCATCCGACATGTTGTTGAAGGAAGTTTCGCCAAAGCATGTATAACCAATCGAAGATATAAAAACCATGGCCGAAGTTCTTGTCGATTCGCTGTTCGCAACTTGTCGTTCAAAACACTGAAGAACGATGGTTTAAGATATGTTTCTTCAAACGTGTATAGCATTATAGCGCTTCCCTCATCGATGCTTAAATTATCCTTTGGCTGTTGACATTTAGCTTTGACTAGAGAAACCATTTCCATAACACCAGGAACAAACGGAATTATTGGTTGAACGGCTTTTTCAAGCGTTGTTAGTCGTTCATTTTCATAGCCTTCGATTCGTGGTAGATTACCTGTCGGATCTGATAATTCCTTCAATATACGATCGATCATATGTTTATTCTTCGCCGTAGCTGACGTGGCCATTTTTCAAATTGATGTATATAAGGCAAAAAATTCTTTAGTTTTTTTCTTTTTTTTCAATTGAAAAATGTTGAATTAGTTGAAAATATTTTTTTATTCAGCAAATTTGCTGTTATATAATCGTGGCAGGAAAGGAAAAATAAGAATTTTTTTGCCTGTTTTTAAGCACTTTCATTCTGTTTCTTCCTAGTTTACAGCACACGCACCCACACCCTCACCCTATACAACATAGAAAATGTTCGAAACCATTGGTTGTCAATCAAACATGATATTCTCGTCTTGAGAGTGTGGCGTCCGTTCTTCGTGTTGCAGGTTGAGTGATCGGTTTACCGATGAGTCGTCGACCAGAATTGATAAATAGTTGTTTTATATCGTGTCGAAAAGATTTTGAAACAATAGTATAAATGTAAAACGGTGCTGCATTATTCACAAATAATAACATAAATGATATTGTGAATATTAAACTTTCAATTTGTGAATACTGAACGCTTTTATTAGCAATTACATAACGACTAATTGTCATTTCAGTTAAAATCAATGGATAGAATGTTGTTGAAATCGCATATACAAACACTTCGCTAATAACTATAATCAATAATTCTCGATCTCGTCGTCGAATGACAAGATTCGTTTGATTATGATTTGTTGAACCCGGTTGTACACGGTTGTATATTTGCTTCATATTGCAGTATGTGAGATATCCTATAACACTCAGTATCATTGGCGGGAGGAATCCAACGAATACAATTGTGTAACTTGTGTAAATTAGTGAATAAATGCCGAATGTTCCGCATTGTCCGTTGGATAAAGTTGTCATTATAGCAATATGACTGGCAAGCAATGGCCAGGAAAGAATAGTTACAAGGATTAAGCATTTCGCTCGTTTGGGTGTACTGAATGCTCGAAATGTTGCCTGTTGACTTGTGAACAGATATCGATCGATACATGTTAAAATAATAATTGTCTTTGCAATTTGTCCAAGAACATTTGAAACGTAAAAACGTATTTTGCACAAAGCATAAGCACGCGTGTTTTCATCCGCATACGAAAATGGATAGATTTGGACCAGACTGTTGAATGTTAAATACAAATCGTTCGCAACAGTCGAACAAATCAAATAAATTGAACATGTGTTTTGACGGTGTCGACTAAACAAGATTACAATTAGAAAATTGCCAAGATTTCCCAAGATTAATGCAATTGGGTATCCGTAAGAATTAATACGACTTTGAATTGTTGGTAATACGGAAGTAGACATTCCTTAGATACTTCAGTTTATTTTTTGTAACACAATAGAAAGATATATATGCGTGTGAGTTCACTACTAAGTTTATATTCGACTGGCGTAAATAACGTCAAAGATGATAATGCTATCCTTGGCAAAGATTCCTATTCTAATCTGATATAGGATGTCATTGAAACTCACGCGCAGAAGGAGATTACTTGATGAAAAATTAGAGCGAGTGATGCAGATGTTTTCATAATGAGTAGTTTTCTTCCAAAATGAATATGATAAAGAAAGTTTCTCGTAGGGGCGCATTGTTTCGCATTTGTCTCGATTTGACAGGTGACAGATCTGTGTTAATTGGTGCTTTATTTAAACTTCATTAGAAGTCACTGCGAGAGTCATATTTTAAATTGAATTCTCCGTAGGAAGAGTTTGATCACGGTTAAAAAAGGCATTAAGTTAAGTCGTTATACGTCAGAGAATATTATGCTTATAGCAGTCACGCTTGATGGTCAGACGTACTCTGAATTTTTGTTTTCTTTTCACTTGGAATCTTTCCAATTATATTTTGCAAATAGTAACCAAAAGACAAATGTTCACTTACTCTTTTATCAGTAAAGATCCTGATAAGCATATCGCAACGTATATAATCTAATCATTACATTCATATTCTTATCATACTTAACTATGTTCGCTCTAGCCCTTCTCACTACTTTGTTGCTTGTCACTGGCGGTGTAGATACTTTCAATGTGATGAGCTATGCCAACGTTCAATATACTATACTTTATCATCAGTATCTGGACATATCGTTCAAAACGTATCCTTTTATGGGATATCCTTTACAATCAGACTGGATATCTATTCCACCTCTGTACAGCTTTACTAATGGATTTTTCTCGGGAATATTTTGGAATCTATTAGAAGTCAATGCGACACATAATATTTTGAAAATGGCCACGGATTTAATGTTGCCCTTAGCTCCGGTGGCGAACATGACTAATACACACGATGTTGGCTTTGTAATCATGTCTAGTTTCGGGCATGCATATCAACTATTAAAAATACCTGAATATTTACAGATTGTTGTTACAACAGCCAATTCTTTATCGACGCGATATTCACCAATTGTTCGATGCACACGATCTTGGGATAGTTCACAAGGGTTTCTCGTCATTATTGACAATATGATGAACCTAGAATTATTATTCGAAGCTAGTAATCGAACAAATAATCAAACATGGCATGATATGGCATGGCAACATGCTAATCGAACGATGCACGAACATTTCAGAGCGGATAATAGTACTTACCATGTGGTAGAATACAATGAAACAGATGGAAGTGTCATTCGAAAATATACAGCACAAGGTTATGCTGATTGGTCAACCTGGTCGCGAGGACAAGCATGGGCTGTCGCCGGATTTACTATAGCTTATCGTTATACAAAACATCAACCGTTTCTTGATAAAGCTATTGGTGCCGCGAATTATTTTCTTTCGCATCTTCCAAGTGAAAAAGATGTAATACCATATTGGGATTTTGATGCTCCTCACAATTCTACTATTCCCTACCAACCGCGAGATACGTCAGCTGCTGCGATATTTGCCAGTGGTCTGGTTGAATTATCTCAATATGTCGGCGTACAAGAACTCAGAGATCGTTTTCTAACAAAAGCTAAAGCTATCGTAGATCAACTAATCAGTCCGACATATTTAATACTGGGAAATAAAGATTATATTTTACGTGCAGTTATTGCTAATGGTACCCAAGGACCTTATCCGTCACATCCTTATGATGTTGCAACGGTCTTTGGTGATTATTATTTAACACAAGCTGTTTTACGTTTATCTAAACTCTAAAAATTTTTATACCACTTTTCTTCATAATAAAGAATCGAAAGTCATACGTATATGATAGATGTCTAAACGAAAAAACGAGGAACTATGTCGCGTGATTCAATGGTTTATTCATCAAGAAAAAATGCCATCAACGAGGTTTTTCTTTAATTTAACAGCATTAGAAAAAATAACAGAGAATATATATATATATATATATATATATAGGTGTCAACGCGTATTTTGTTTCATTGCATAAACATCCACGTGGTAATGTTCTGTTGCTTGCTGTGTTGTGATAAATGAAACAGCAAGTAGGAAAGAAAAATAAGAGGTAGGCAACTTATATAAAACGATAAGAAGCGAACAAAAAATCAAAGTCAACATCAACACAGGCAGTCGAATATTTTTCCTCTTTTCTCGTTCGTTCTCGACGTAGTCAGAAAGAAAAGGGGCTATCATCGTGCTTCGCTTCGTCGAGTTAAATTTCTTTTTTTCAAAACTCTGAGGTCGCCGAGATCTAAGTGTCATCTACTTTAGAATACATGGACCAGCCGTTATTTAAAGTCGAATTCATTGCTGATGAAGACGATTCCAGCACTTTGGAAGCAATTGCACCGAGTTCCGGCAAAGATGACGTTGACTACTTGTTCCCTGCAGCAGCAACAACAACAGATCCAACGGAATCCAATCCTGAAGTTCAATTGACACAGTCACAAACGGAATGCATAAAACGTATTCGGAATTATCTATTCGCATTGACGAAATCTGTTCCATGGACGACTTTCACCGAGGAGATAGACAATCTGTTGAAGAATACGATTCAACCATCGATTATCGTACAGAATACCGAACTCGTGGAAATAATCGCACAACGATTAGAATATAAACAAAAACTTGAAGCAAAGGTAACAGAGAAAACGAAACAAGATAATTCATCTGATTTATCGATATTTGAGCAACATTTTACCGAAGATGCGGAATCGAGTGACGATCTCGAATTACAAAAAGAGAAATTTCACTCGAAACAGTTATCTTACTTTGCTATTCAATCATTAATATCCATTCTATTAATCCTTATCAAATCTGCCGAAAAGAATGATCCATTCATAATTCAGCAAATTCTCACATTGGCAGGACAATTATGTGAACAACTTCCAATGAAAAGTTTATTATCAGAACACGCACTCTTATATAAATCACTAGCACCATTGATACGTTACACTCAAGAATTATCGTCATCAGCAGATAAAGCTGTATCAAAGCAGGCAATGAAGATTTTGCTGAGTTTTTCTGTTGCCAAAGGATCTTTCGAAGATCTTTTGTTATTATTGAAACAGTTAATCTTCAATACCAATGAGGTTTTCAATGTTCGAGGTTTAATCAAACAATTGAACAACAATCTAATTGAAATTATGAAAGAGTCATCAGAAGAAAGAGGTAAATTGTTAGTTCTTCAACTTCCTACACATACCTTTCATTGCTTTTCATAGAATTTCCTTCATTGGACTATTTAAAAACAATTCATTCTTATCCTAATGAGCAGTTACTTCAAATCAATGACAATCAATTTACAGGTCCCTTTCTCTCTTCGATTATTCTTTCACATCTAGATATTGAGAACACTATCCACTCGCCTGTCGAACAATGTCACTTATCATCTATTTCTTGTGAATTTCATAGAAAAACTTTTCAGGATTTGTTTCATATTATCGAAGGTCTAGCAGAATTGATACGTCCCGAATTGAATCAAATTCTGACTGTTTGTTTACGCTTGTTTACAATGCATTTACAGATACTTGTTGATCACTCGAATGATCGATCAACGTATATTTCGGAAACGGATTTGAAAGTGTGGTTTGATCTATTATTCAAATTATCGTCCAATGAACAGATCTCCATTAGTAAAGAAGCATCGAAAGCATTGATTCATGTTATCAATCTGCAGACAACATCATTTATCGACAAATTATCATTGTTTCAACAGTATATTAGTGAAAATAAGCATCGGAGTTTAATCGAACAATTGGTTATTGAATTGAATAAGACCGAAATCTTAGCAAATTGGATTGAAAGTTTATGCGACGAAACGGCAAAATCAACAGCACTGAATATTCTCTATTGGTTTATTGATCGATACTTCAACGACAAAGAAAACTCGAATACGGAAGCGTTATTGATATCATTTCAAAAGATTTTATTCTACCGGTTAATCGATTCTTGTGAAAAAAAACTTGCAACGAACGAACTAAGTCGTTTATTTACAGATTATTTAACTTACATATTTAAAAAGTATCTTGAACAAAATTCATCTGAGAATGAACTCTTCTCAATGATTCTAAATAACTTAGCATTGATGAGCAATTCGAATGAGATGTTCAATTACGAATGTAACCAACCGATTTTCATCTCAATTCTGCCTTTACTGGCTGAGTATTGTCTTCATCATCTTGATAACAATTTTCTCGCTTATTTACTCGGAAAACTAACGTATGTGCTGATCATCGGCTCACCTCAAGATTCTCTCGAATCCAAACATTTCAACAAACTGAAACTACCTCTATTCTCAGGCGGATGTGTAACAAATGAAAACGATGATTTACTAACAACAACATTAGCGAATTATAGTGATTTTAAAGTAGATAATTCATCTATTAAGGATGAAGAAGAATTTCTTATGTCAATTTACAACAATACTAATGATGGTGCACGACTAATAACAAAGTTGAAAGCATCTCTTCGAAATAAACCACATATGTTACAGAAATCAATTGAACAACAAGCTAACGAAGCTTGCGCAGCTATTTTTGCTGTTTATGTGAAATTATATCAACGCATCAATTTAGCCAAATCAGAATTAGTACGAAATGATCAGAATAAACCTCATTCAAAGTTAATCTCGATCTTCGAATATGCCAATCGTATTTCCGCTGTGTTTTCGACAATTAAAGGTCAAGGTGGTGATTGTGTAGAGTTGCACAAACAAATCAAGATGAGAGCATTATTTCTTTTATCATCGGTGAAGGCAAGTGATCTGATCAGTCCGGTGAAAGAAGAGTTAACTTCAACGAAAATGATTGATTATACAATCAAACCCGCGTTTCATCGACAATATTCGCGGTGGACGAAAGCGCGACATGTGTTGAAGATTCTTCGTAATCTATTTCAGGCTTGTCTTCGTTTCAAACGATTTATGTTAGAGAAAAAACACATCATGGAAGAAAAATATGATCATGAAAGTTTGTTAAATCGCACTATCGATCATTTTGTTTACGGAGATTTCTATAAAACCTCCACGTCGATGACGATCGAAGAAAAACAAGGGGAAATTGACGAATTAAAGCAATGTCTCGAACGGCAACATCAACGGGCAATGCAGCGGTTAATCACCTATCGTTTTAGTAGAACGTTTATTCAAAAAATTCTCAATTTAAGCGATGACAAAGCAGCGTTGAAAGTTCTCTCAGTATATTTACCTTTCATGCGAAACAACGACTTCGATTGGTCGTATTTCGATCTTATTCCTGCCTCGAACAATCAACTACGAGATGATATTAGTAATGTATACTATTCAATTGTAAAACTTGTTCTACCATCGATGATCAAATCGAATCATTTTGCACAAAATGTCTTTTATTTGATGAATGTATCATATGAACTGATTGATATTTCTCATTTGTATGCGTTTCGAATTATTGAAAACTTATTTAATTCGTTTGTTAGTTTGAGAGCTGATGATACATCGACGATTAAGGTTGAACTGCGATTGAGCGCATTCAATTGGTTTCGTTTATTGGTTTTGAGATTGTGTGAAACAATTGAAATGGAAAAACTACGTGATCCAGCAAGTCAAACATTTCAACAACAAGCAAAGTTTGTTTTCAATACACTGATTTTCAATAATTTGAAAACGTTAAAAACAAGTATGATTTCAACGGAAAGTTCAACGAATTCTTTGGAAAATGTCGATATCAAATGGTTTCTTCATATGAAGGAGAATAATGAATCCAAAACGATTCTTTTCATCAATCAATATATCGCTCTTCTTCTTCGATGTGTTTATTTTTATAAACATATTCTATCGATTTGCACAACTAGCGAATATCTACAAGAATTACTTGACATTTATCAATGCAACCAATCGAACGTAACGCGCCTGTTGACAATCAAACTTTTACGTCATTTAATTCCGGCGATAGCCGACCACGCTGATGGAATTCCAAGAGCTATAATACAAAAATTTCTAATCGATGTATTAGATGCCATTGGCGATGAAACTTCCGTGTCTGAAGATATTCTTGCAGAGTTGATTTCCATGTACCGCACGATTATGACGGTGGAATCAGCATGGAAAGCAATGGCAGTTGAACTCGTATGTAATTCGATTCGGTCGAATTTGAATGCGGACTCCATTGAGAGGAATAATTCCGGTGAAATGAAAAGTCTTCGTGCAGCGCTAAATGTTCTCGGTGGTTATATCGAACCTTATCGATTAGGTTCGATTGTAAATGGAGAAAAGAATAAGAAATTAAATGACGATTCACCACTAGCGTTGATTATTGAAATAAACCAAACGGAAATGCCATATGTGATTCAATATTCGCAGACCAATCAAACTGAGTCCGTATCAATCGATAAATTACAACTGAAAGTCGATGTTCCACCACCCAGTTTACCTGATCAATTCGAATCACTCCTAGATCTGTTCGAAGAGTTCATACAAATCGATACTAAAGAATCTTTAATGTTTGTACAATTGAAGCGTTTGGCCATATCTGTTTTGTACTATCTATTGAATAATACTAAGGTTATTGAAATCTTCATGCAAAAGCCATGTGCGTCTCTCCTGGCAAAACTTTGCGTAAACTCACCAATGGAAGGGGACAACCAACAACCAAAAGATCTACGTGTATTTGATAAGCAACACCTAGAACAATACTATCTAAGTTTGAATCACTGTGAATCAAAAGGGGAAATCACTCAAGATAATGAAGAGCAAGAGATCGTACAAGATTCTATCATCGTCACTGATCAAGATGATTCAGCATATACAATTTGGAACAGAACCGCATTTAAAAGTAACCCATCGATCGTTGATGCTTTAACTACTCATCAAGGCTGGAAACCGTGCATTTCGGAAGGAGAATTGCAGTATTATAAGCGCGGACGGACAGGTGATAATGTATTTTCGATTGCACCGAGGCCACGCAATATTGCAAGTAATGATGTAATGCAGGAATGTGGAGTTAAACATCGCTTTCGTGGACGAATCGCACCGAATTATGAGAACACCACAGTTAGTTTCCCGACATTTGTTCTTGAGAATATAGCTGTGAGCGAAGGAAATTGGTATTTTTGTGTTCGTTTACCAGTCGGTGGTGTTCTTCAAATTGGTTGGGCGACCACCGAGTTCTGCCCGTCGGGCAGTACGGGTGTTGGTGATGATAAATATTCTTGGTCATACGATGGATCTCGTGCTGTATTTTTCAATGACCAAGGTTTTTATTCTCAATTCAATGACATTCGTTGGAATGAAAATGATGTTTGTGGTTGCGGAATTGAAATCAATGGAAAGAATACGAAAATTAAATATTGGCTGAATGGTAAACTCTTAGGCACAGCTTTCGAACATGATAAATACATTCCTCTATCAACGACGAAATGTAATCTCTTACCACATGGCCTCATTACCACTTATTATCCTTCAATTACAATCCAATGGGGTTCGGATCCATTAAGATCTTGTGAAGTCATAGTAAGTCCAGAGGATATGCAAGATTGCCCACTACCTCATGGTTACAAGCCATTGATGTTGCCTGACACTGTTCCGGTTAATAATGTTCTAGTTGATTATCCATTTCATGCATATCTTGTTAGCAATGCTCAACAAGATTTCGTTCTCGAATCAAGAACGAAATCTACGGGAAATCTTCTACGTGATTTTATCCACGAACACAATCTTCAAACCACGTTTATTCTCGAGCAAGATCGTTTAGTCTTACCAGAAGATAGTCCTGGATTTCTCTTATCAGTAAACAATGAGGAAATAACAACGCTGACTATCAGTTTTGATTTCGAAGTTTTGAATGATTCCCATGACATTCAATTGATCACATTTGATTCAACCGACATTATTTGGCAGAAACCAAATGAATTAGCTCACTGTGTAATCATATTCTTAGCCAAAAGGCGACAATTAAAAGTTTATGTGAACAACCAATGTCAGATATTTTCTGATACGATTTCTAATGAAACAATCAAAATCTTAAATATGTACATCCTACCTGGTACAGCAGCGAGAATGAATAATTTAGCTGTATGGAAGCATGCTCTTTCTGAAGAACAAATTCGTCGATTGTTTACCTACGGCCTTTTCTATGTGGGAAATGATTATCAACGAATAAAAGACTATCGAAAACAAGTCAATACCATTACGTTTTTCGAAGGCCAAGCATCGTTTGTCGATGGAACTCTTCTTCCTTTTAATGCACCCTTCAGCGAGAGTACCTGGGAACAAAAGAAAAAAGAAGCAGAACCTGACGAAGCAAAATATTTCAAATCGTATCAGGGTTATTCGACCGTCGAATTGCATGGTCATAATACATATCTTATTCTCGACAAATCTGACGACGAATGGACTAGTTATACGTTAGTATTTGACCTATGCATTCCACAATACCCGCCATTAGGTGAAAAATTAGTAATTGTCACTCTAAATTCGCGATCGATGATTTTCATCGCCTCGAATGGAAAACTTTGTTTGAAAAGTGAAGACCAGAAAGATGAAAGTACCAATCCGATTGTGCTCAATGAATATTTTCGTTTATTTATTACTGTTCAGCCAGGCTCTATAGAGATGTACTTCAACAATGATTTAAACTTCACTACAAAGATCGATGATGATCGCTATGATATCAAATCGAATTATCTTGAATTCTTTCGTCAAACCGATGAAACAAATAGCATAACCGATGAAAATACTCTTCGTGTAGCATTAAAATCTCTTACGTATCTTAATCGAGCAATAACACTCGATCAATACCGATCACCCACTCTTCTCCTACCTCCTACTTCGATCATTGGACCCAGTCTTCTAGCAATGGGATATAAAAACTCATGGATCGAGACAACGATTGACCAATACAAACCATCCGATCTCAGTGTCATCCATACGATTTTACGCGAACAAAAGTCGCAATTTATCAAAGCAGATCTGGAGCATGATCGAAAGCGCTACGAAAATCTTCTAACTAAGATCGATCCATCAATCGATTCACAATTATTGACTGATTTATTGAATCAGCCGACGCACAACATAGCTGAACGTCTGTTCGCATATTGGAAATCAAATCCATCGCTCAAATTCAGTAAAGATACCATGGAATTCGAGGGAAAACTTGATCCAAATTGGTTTAGACAAGCAATCCAAGATTTCGACATGAATCCGACGATCTACGAGTGGATTCAAGAGAAGTCCTCTACGGGCAGCAATAACGATGATATTTATCAATTATTCGATGTAGATGAATTATCGAAAAAAAAGCAAACTTCAATCACACCACCATCAGTGCGGTATTCACATGAAAATATATCATTAAAACAATTCCAGCAAGCTCGTTTAGCTTGTGAATACGGTTTAACCACGATCTACGCACGTTACACTATTCTTAACATGCTCGAAGTTTGGTCATTAGACGAAACAGCTCGATTTCCTCTGGAAAAATTTGGCGACTATAAATTTTTAATTTTTCTCTTAAAAATCTTGGATTCAACCAAACTCGAAAGAAATGAAGACATCGATCGAATTCATAATCTAATTCATTCGATTGTTAAAAATGAATTAAAACAATTGATCCAAGATACTAATACAACTGATTTAGAAATTCAAGCACCGTTACTCTATCATTTACAGAAAGATCTTCTCATGCATTCCATTGATTTTCTATTTCAACCATCTCTGTTAAGTCAACAGTCCGATGTTGATTTTTTCTTCAAAGTTGTGAATTTACTCATTGAATTAATCACAGATAAATCATTGATACACGCTCGACAAATTGACCATGTCGTTCCAATCCTTTTCCCAACTCCGTTAATCAATCTTCTCTTTGATCTTTTCGTGATCGTTCCAACACATCAATCGAAATTATTCATCATTAATGTTTTTACCAGGTAAGTTCACTTATCTGTAAGAATCATTCTCTTCCAATTGACTCTTTTCTTTCAGTTTAATACAAATCAGTAAGTCAGTCAAATTGAACAATCGCATTGAAAAATTCTTCTATCATTTATTAATTGAATTATCATCGAAATCGGTTTCACTGAGTAGTACTTCGAAGAAAAACTTCGAAATTGCTTTAGCTGACTTTGTTTACGTCCTGTTAACTGAACAGAAGAAACCCTCGACAACTGGCAGCAAACAGATTCAAGAATTCCAATCCAAACTACCCGAACACATCCAAAATTTGTTCATCAGCGTCAATGCTATTCACACATGGACGAATCCGACGAAAGAAAGTTCGTTACCCGAAGAATTTCTCAAGCAAACTAAGAAGTTCTTAGTTGACAAGTACAAAATTACTCAGGAAGACTTTGGAAAATCCAACCAACATTTTAACCATCTTTCCGATCAAGATTTGATCAATTTCATGAACAATAGTTCGCAATTAAATGATTCGATAACAAGTTTTCTCGACAGTCTCCCAAGCGAATCGGAGCCGAACGCCGCATTCTATAGCAATTACCCACATTTATTAAACATTCCAGCTGATGCGATTCAGATCCGTGCAAAATTCATTTATGTCCTGAACAAATTTGTTGAAGATAGTCTCTCCTTGGTTGATTTCAACCTCCCACAAGGACGCAGTTATCTCACCGATCAAATTCGTCAAATAAAGAATTATCTCTTAACATCGACAAAAATGTCGTGTTTCAGGGAATCGCTACAAAAAACCGAAGGTGCCTATACCAATGATTATCAAAATGTCCATTTCGATACAGTCAAAGCCAGTACAGATACTGACAAGAGTGAAAACACGATGTTTTACCAAGCTTATCAACAACTGTATGCGAACGCACATGTAATCTTTCGACGTGGAAATGAACAACTATGGCAAGCACAATACACCGGAATGCATAGCACAGATTCCGGTGGACCTTATCGTGACTCGATTACGAGAATTTGTATGGATATATGTTCGACGAGATTACCATTGTTTATTTTATGTCCAAACGGACGAACAAATAGTGGCTTGAATCGTGATTGTTGGATTCCGCATTCGTTTCCACCGAATAAGCCTATCTCGAAGAAAATTGTCCAACAGTATCGATTTGTTGGACAGTTGATGGGTTTAGCTATGCGGAAAAAACATTACTTAGATATCAAATTTGCTCATCTTGTATGGAAGCAGCTTTTAAAAGAAGAAATTACCGTTGAAGATATCGAAGCAATAGATATTCAAAGCTTTCGAATTATTAATGAAATGGAGAAGAATATTGAAACGATGAGATTAACTGAAACAGATAATGACATGGGATCGATGTTTAGCAGCATTATGAGCGAATTACGTTTTGATGTTGTCAGTTCCTCAGGTTTAACTTATGAATTAGTACCAAGTGGATCGGAACTTCCAATAACAGCATCCAATTTCAAACAATACTGTTCTTTGTATCGACAATATCGTTTGAACGAGTTTAATCGACAGATCAATTTCATTCGCGAAGGAATTTTTAGTATCGTTCCATCGTATTACTTAAATTTGTTTACAGCAAATGAACTGGAAGAAACTGTCTGTGGTAAAGGCCAAATTGATGTTGAATTATTAAAGCGCAACACTACATATAGTTATGAGTATAATCCAGATTGCGAGACAATCCAATTGTTCTGGACAGTTCTTAGTGATATGTTTACCGATGAACAGAGGAAATTGTTTTTGATATTCGTTTGGGGTCGAAATACATTACCAACTCGAGATGAAGATTTTCAATGTAAATTTACTATTTCGAAATTAGATATTTACGGAGATGCCAGTCCTGATAAAACACTTCCACGTAAATATTATTTGTATAGATTAGAAAAGAATGCTTTGTGTTACGTTTACTTGTATAGGTTCTCATACATGCTTTTTTACAATTGATCTACCGACTTACTCAACCAAAGAAATCATGTACGAACGATTGAATTATGCGATCACATGCTGCTCAAGTATTGATGGTGATGGTACAATAAATGATGCGCCTAATGCGGACGAGCTCATTTTCGAGGATATTTTTGATTGATAGAATAAGATTATGACAGACTATTTCATTGGTACTCATGAAACTTTTGTTCGGATGTTTTTTTTTCTACGATTCTAATAAAAATTTATTGGCAGTGTTTGTATATCTCTGAAGTGATACGATGTTAGAATTGAATGTAAAAACTAGATAGACGAATATTTATTTAAAAGAGTTCCTAGAAATAGAATATACATAAAGCTAACCAAGTGCGGTACTACTCGAGAGCGGATGTTGAGCAAGCCATTGATGATTAGCACGTCGATGAAGGTTTCGTCGAAGACAATGATGAATAACTTCCTGAACAAGAACTGAACGGGTTGTTGCAGAGTTTGGTGGAGGTAATGGCGAACGATAATAGGGCTTAGAGCCATAAGTCATATAGTAGAGAATGCCACCTGCAGACCATATATCAGCTTTCGTTGTGATAGGCGCTCCACCTGACAAGCATTCGGGCGCAGCGTAACAACGGTCGCCGATCAATGGCTCGTGTCTAAGTACAATTGAATGATAGAAAATGATTAGCATGAAAAAAAAATGACAATAACAATGTAAACTTACGGTGAATACTCTTTTTGTGATATACCAAAATCAATCAATTTCATCACCGGACCAAAGAATACTAAATTCGACGGTTTTAAATCACGATGAATCTAAAATACAGTATGTGTAACGAGGAAAACATGCGCTTCTTCCGTCTACTTACAACATGGAGTCGGTCTAAAGCAAGTATGATCTCAACTAATTGTAACCAAATATTCTTCCGATCCGAAGCTGATATATAATCATGTCCAGCTGTTTCCGATCCTCGATGTGATCGATGAAGAGTTTGAACCCGGTTTTTCAAAGAATCATCGCCTAACTCCATAGCTATTAATGCGACGTTCCGTTGCCGATCAAATTCAAATCCGTAGATCGTTGCAGCATAGTTTCCTGCATTACGCATTTCATAGGCCATTCGAATTTCAGTTTCGAATGATCGAGTTAAATGAAGCGCTTTAGAAGCACTTCTCCGGCGACGAAGGTCAAATACTTTAACAGCAGCGTAGAAGCCTAGAGAAATCAATTTTGTCAATGGAATACGCTCATTAGTACAGTTGTACTCACCACTTGGTGTAGTAGATACCCAAACGGAGCCGAAACTTCCGTTTCCAAGTCGTCGAAGTAGTGTATACTCATCACCTCTGATGTGAAATGTTTGTCTCTCCAGCCAAACATAATCAGTAGGATCAGGACGTCGTGGAGCTAAAATAATGTAGAACATTAATGATACTGCAAGGATATGATTTGAATTAAATTTGTCGAGAGCTACCTATTTGATTTTTAATATGCTTACCACCCATTGTTTACAGATCAATATGATTGAGAACAGGGAAAGAAAATGATATCGTTGGATATGGAGAAATTGTGTATTAACTACTAGTTCAAAGAAAAACTGTGATAGTTATTGTATATAAGATTGACTCATTGGTTGGATGACTACTGTGATGACATCAACTCGAAGAAAAATTCGTTTTGCGTGTGCATTTGATCAGAGAAAAACAGAAAAAGACGTTGTAGATGAATGAGTAACGATGTTTAACAATGTTACAGTTACACCCTTGAGAAATCAAACAGAAGACATCATCTATTACAGACGAAAATCAATAGAAGGACGCGTTCTTAGACTAACAAAAAAACAATTCGATGACAATTTTCATTTATGAATTCGTCATACAACATGTCTGACGAATACCATCATTCATCAACATACCATTTCTTTCCACCTTTAATTGTGAAGTTCGTTTTCATATAAAGGTAATAGAAGGAAAAACAAAACAGAAAGTGAAGGTTCTAGCAACAGATGGTACTTTCATGTTAGTCATACAATTAGAAAAATACGTGTTCTGCTCATATCTGCATGACGCTCTTCTTTATTGCTGAACAAAATGTACAGTCATTGTTCTTAAAACAGACTACAGTAACTACCTTCGTTATTAACGGTACAGTGAATATGATCTGCCGTGTTATCAGTTTCCAAATATTGTTTATTTGGCAACATGTTTTCATCATGTTATTGTCTCCAGTTGTTGACCAAGGTAAATGTAAAATAGCATGACCAACTAGATGAATATCATCAGATATGTATTTCGATGATTTCTGTATATAACACTGCTAGACAATATCAATCGAAAAACGAATGAAATCGATTTTAAGGTGTCAATTGGCTAAGTAACGAATCACAGCATACGTTAGATGAATAATCTTGTGTTTAACAGTACTCTTCATTTCGACCAGAAAAATTTTTATGGATCTGTCTGACTACAATGATATGGTCGATCAGCTTGATTTGAATATAAGCATATAAAAGTTCAGTCTTGATTTCTCACTATTGTTTATTTGAAGTACATTTTACATCATGGATTATTCCAGTAACAAAAATAACAAGAAATACTAAGTTGATCACAAGTACCAACAAAAATTACTTTGAGATTCGTTTGGGATTATTCAATCGTGCAACTATACGACAAGGTGCACCTGTACCATTTCCAATTTTCATTGGATAGACATCTAGAGGAAAAAACTTCGTCTGCACACTGTTTACGAAATTATTAGTTAAAGCAAGATTTTCCAATCCATATTTGTTATGTCGCGCGAGTATTTGATGAACCACGTACGTTTTCGATTGACCATAATCCGCTAAATAAACAAGTGTTCGAAAATAAGCTCGTTTTGAGTTGATCTCTCTTACTTGAAAGAGTATCGATACCAACTCCAATAAATTTATCTCCGTATGTATTGACCAGATAGGTAGCTAATTGTTCACTTAAACCAGGAAAATGAAGATCTGATTTATCACCAGCATACGCTGTTTGATCAGGCCAGTATTTTGCCCATCCGGTGTAAAAAATCAAAACGAATGAGAATTTTTCTCCAGTTTCAGTATCGGTTTCAGGTACGAATAAATTGCTATTTTTAACGTCATCGATTGTAATCAGGTAATTTCTATCTTGACTGCATTGTTTGGAAACGTCAACAATACGGGCATGTACAGAGACTAAATGCGAGAGTGGAATTTCATCGACTTTCCAACCAGTTGGAGAAAAATGATAAGGAGCATCGATATGTGTACCCATATGCTCACTTGTGATGAAGGCATTCGTTGCATAGAAGAATTTGTTCTTTTCATTCATCAATTGAACCATACGTTGGGTGAAATTGAAACGTACTTGAGTGGGAAAGAATGGTATTGAAGGATCGAATGTGTGTGATAAATCGAAGTAGATTACAGGAGTTGCTAATGGTAAATTAAGAATTATTGCAACGAGAAAAAAGCGAAAAGTCATGGTAGAAGAGCGATGCTCGAAGTTCGAACAGAAAGTGGTCAGATGATGTACACGAAAAACGAAGAAGTGAAGTATTCCTGTGTCGATATTTTTCTTCTTCTCGTCTGCTCTCGGTATTATATTTTTACCCAGCCAGCCCGATAACTTCTCGCGTCCAAACAGCTGTACTTTTAGACTAAGTGACTGTTAAGACATAAGGAACAAAGAAATAAATGTATGCCTTGACATACAGTATAACATGTGATATATTTGTCTGCTAAACAAGTGACAGAACGAAAGAAATATCTGTCGCGTGCTCTGTGATATTCACGGGATGAGAATGAAGTTTCTAGTTCATTTAACAATCGCAATAGTCTCACTGCTACGTGTATCCTGAGAAGTATGTTAATTAATAGTAAATGACGAGAATGTACCATTCAAATGGAAACATCTGTACACATAAGTCCTTGTAAGATGACGGATGCATGATTATAAGCGATTCCAAAAGATTTCATTGATGTTCCGATTAGTGAATTTTTTTCTGTATTTCTATAAGGAAAATTGTCGTCGAATACATTGTTTCACAATAGAAGTTGCAGAGTATTTACATGTAAAAGAACACTTGAAAATATGCTCTAACTACAAAAAAAATCAACTATTCCATGTGTTTGGATAGAAAGAACGAATTTGAAAAAATCGGGCAATATTTGCAAATCGAATAGCGAGAGCGAGAAAGCTTTGAGCAAAACTGTTGAAGAAAAATAAAATTTGTTGTTGAAGAATTACTGTGTGAGATTTGCTACATGCTCCTTTCAAAACATTGATGTTTAGAAAAGAAATATAAAAAAATTCGTCGTCTCGAATAAATATAAGACATGCACTGACACCCCGATTGTACAAACTTATTTTTCTTCGACAAGAAACAGTCGCATTTCGTCTCCTTAAACTCTTCAAACTTACCAGAACTATTTTCCGAAAGAGATATCAAGTGACCGATCCATCTGGTACGTTGTAGAGAAGATCACGGTTCCTTTATACATACTTTTCAAAGGTCTGTTTTGTCTACTTCGCTATTTTTAGTGAAAAATCATGGCTGAAAAATATGTTGATGACGGTAAAATAATGACTCGTGTTACGGATATATTATTAGAGCCAAAACGAATGCTTCCACCCATCAAGGGATATGAGAACGAACCGCTTGTTTCTCTAGAAGAATCAGTGAAACCACTAGTATCCTTCGTTCCTGATGTTGAACAGATGGTTTGGACTGTAAAACAAAACTGTCAACAATCAGAAGATCATCTTTCACTCGACGAATCCGGGTCAATAATGCTTTACACATTAGAATGGGAACCAGCCGAATCTTCATTTTACTACGTTCTCAATTCAACGTTACGAAGTGAACATCGGCAGAAACTACGACCGTGGTTTCTATATCTTCGATTGGTGATTTATGCCTTGGCTAAGCTTCCTTCGTTACCACCTCGAACGATCTATCGAGGTGTGAAGATGGATTTGAGTAAAGAGTTTACGAAAGACAAAACCTTTATCTGGTGGTCATTTTCATCGTGTACATCGACAATTGAAGTGATCAAACATTTCCTTGGTGATAAAGGACCTCGAACTATTCTTAATGTTGAAACCCATTCAGCGAAAGATATCAGTCGACATTCATTTTATACAACAGAAAATGAAATTTTGTTATATCCTGCAAGACAATTAAAAGTCATATCATCCATCGATCTTGGAAGTCAATTGCATATAGTCCAGTTGCAAGAAGTTCAACCTCCGTTTTCACTCATACATATCCCGCAAACTGCTCAAGTGATCTCTCCACTAACATTTATATCATCTACCAATAGTACATACGTCAATCCCGAGCTAAAGCAACTTATTGAACAATATCAACCTAACTCAAAAATAACTTTAACTGGACAAAGATTGACGGACCAGAACATGTACATAGTCGTCCAAGAAGCTCTTGTCAGTAAACAATGCGAAGAACTTTGGATAGCGTACAACCAGATAAATTCAGAAGGTGTCAGAATTTTGGCTGAAGGCTTAAGTAAAAGTACAACATTGAAAATGTTGGCGATAGGTCAAGACCATCTGCATAATGAAGGTATTCAATATCTGGCTAGTGCATTGTCGCGTACTAATAATACTCTCGAAAGCCTTGCACTTGAAAGAACCGGATTGACAGATAATGGCATCGAATATCTAAGTGAAATGCTGAAAACGAATAGACATCTGAAGGTATTAATTCTTCCTACCAATCTCATAAGTGATCAAGGCGTCAAAATTTTAGCTGATACACTCATACGGCATAATCGTACTTTGAAAGTCGTTGATCTGCAGAACAATAAGCTAGTAAGTGATGCAAGTATCGGCTGTCTATCAGAGCTACTTGAAAAAAATAGTAGATTGACTTATTTGAATGTGCGTGATTGTAATTTCACCGAAAAAGGAAAACAAAGACTTCGACAAATTGTCTGAACAAAAACGTCTTTTGATTTGAACTTGTAGAAATCAAAATATTTCATCTATACAGACTTTGGTACAGAACGGCATGTGGGCACATTTTTATTAATAAATACCTACGATTAAAACACTTGTTTTGAATTAATGAAATGTTCTCATACACATTTCATATTGACAACCAAAAGCACATTGCACTAAATAGCATGTCTTTTTTACTCTTTAGAAATAATAACATCGCCACAGAGCATTTCAAGTAGCTTTTTGTTGTATTCAAAAAATTAAATTAACCAAAGTTCGTATCTGTTGAACAAATTCAATAGATTGAAAGGGATCGAATTCCCTCGAAGGTGTTCGTTGAAGCGATGTTCTCGACCGTGAATTCGTCTCCTTTCGTTCGTTTTCACTCCCTCCTTGGTACTATCGTGCGACAAAAAAAGAACGAAAATATGAATTTTCATGACTCCCTTTCTGCCAATTATTCACCGGTATATTCTCTTCTCCTACTGAATCGTTATTCAAATTACGCATCCATATAAATGTTGTTATATTCACATTAGAAATCGATCTACTGCAGTTCTGTAAGGTAAAACACTTTTATTTACCAAATACATGACGATATTATAAACGATAAATAATCGATAGGAAATATCAAACGTGATCAGACTAGGGTGCTGCGATTGTAGAAAAACATTTTAATTAAAAAACATTTGAAGTATTTGACATACGCATATATTAGAGAATGAGAAGTACATTCATTTCTATGCAAACATATGAATAAGCATTCCGACAACGAATCTTATTTTGTTTCCAACCAAATGGCGCATTATTCACGACTGGCTGTACTCTGTCTAATTCTATTATTTATTGATAATTCATACGCTGCTTTCCCGCCAAGTCTGCTGGATTACAATGCTTATGGTGTCAAAATTGCGATGAATGGTTATTTTCTTGTTGAGGTTCAAAATGATAATTATTCACCCGGATTTCTTGTACAATTTGCTCCTTACAATGATACCCCGGCGTCAGTACAATGTACTATCACATTCCCTAATTCGATCGATCATTATATCTACAGTGTTACAATGGGCAAAAGTCAGCTGCAGTTTTTCTTTGCTGGTGAATTGATAAATACCAAGAACGGAACATTTATCGGTGTTGCAAAGTACAATGCATCTTCATCATCATGTGTCACTCAATTTACTTTTACGATACAATATTTCTACAATTACGAACATCAGGAGTACTACGTAATTGGGGTTGAACCCAGTGGACGTTATGCTTACGGCTTTGCTAACAAATTCATCTTCATCTTCGATTCATTCAATATCTCACTGAATGTGTGGAATGGAAATGAAACATGGCCCGATCATTCATTCATTCCTCATGCAATCGATATTACGAATAATTTTAGTGTAATAGCAGGATTTATTCGAAACTCTGTCGACGCGATAGCAGTTTACATACCAGTGATCTATCTAATCAACTTTAGTTCATTTACTAATCATCCATATATTGTTGATCAATACCGGCCGAATGCTACAGCCGATACGTGGCAATATTTATTGACAAATTCGGATGCGGATACGTATTCTGCTAAGTATGACATGTCAGTTAGTATAAATAACAATGGGAGTGTTTTAGTCGGCATGCAGTTTATCAATCGAGTATTTCTGTTTTCAGTTTCTAGGAGTAATCCCATTCGATTATATTTCATAAGTCGAAATACAAACGGTAGATCATTAGGAAATGGGAAAAGTGTTGCTTGGCTCGATAATGGCGTCGCTGCTATTTTAGTCAATACATATTCACTGAATTATCAATGGACTTCCTCAGAAATCTATATCTATGATATCCAAACGTATGGTTACAATTCGAATAGTACTCCACTCTCAGTCTTTCCCAATCAACATCAAGTGCTACCATTGAGTTTCAGTTCGATATTTTTGCAGATTATCTCATCACCGTCATCATTAGCTTTACTCGATGATCAAGGCAATATTTTGATCATGAATCCGACACCCAGCGGATACTTCCCAGCTATTCGCGACTCAGGTTCAATGCCAGTATTCACTGCACCACGAAAATGCTTTCCTGGCACTTTCAAAAGTCAAAGCGGCATACATGATTGTAGTATTTGTCCAAGTGGCACTAAGAATAGTGGTAACTCAAGCATACAATGTGTTGCATGTGCAGCGAACTCGTTCTGTCCACTCGGTTCCGTCAGTGACATACCTTTATCAGCACTTACGACCACGACGCAAGTCATTGCATATCCCAAATCACCAGAAAGTACAATATTTGATGAAATCCTCTTACAGAATATGTTCCATATTGGATCCGGCCGCTGTCTGGTGGTGTCACCTGTATTCTGGTCATTGATTGTAGCAGCTTTTGCCATTCTCATCGCAATTCTCATGTTTATACTAAAGCATCGTGTAGATCATCCACAAAGTCGAAAACTTCGTCAACGACTAAAATGTATCTTTAAACATACAGATCTAATTGGCGAAGGAGAATTATGGATTGGTGGATTAGTTTCCTTTGCAGTTGTTGTTCTTGTTAGCTTTGCTTATTCATTCAGTCATCGATATTTATATCAATATCCGATTGAAACCACTAGCGATTCATACTTTGCTTGTGATCCATCGTTGCGAAATGCCAAATTCCAAACCAATCTTCAATCACTTTCAATTCCGCCTACAGATGCAGAACAGAAGATGTTTTATTTATTAAATAATCAAACGTTCACCTTGCATCTAGATTTCGTCAATACATTAGCAAACTGTGACATTATATCTCTTCAGGTTCTGTATGGAACAAGATGGTCAACAATACGTTGGCTATCTTGTTCTAATGTGGACTCAATTCTATTCTTAACTGTCGTCTTACCATATCAACACGCATCTATACGAATATATATATCTGATACGCAAATAATCGGTGCTCTACGTGTTGGTCTATCTTCAGCAGGACATGAAGATGAACATTATAACTTGAAAGAATTGAATTTTTATCAAGCATTTTACAAATATGGTGAAGTACTCACACAAAATCTCTCCATCAATATTGACATGACAAAGGTCATCAACGAAACAGCGGCGATGGTTGGTGAAGAATCAGATTATAGTGGAATTTATATTCCAACATTTACAACAGATGTTGACAGTTTATTTCTGACTCAAGATCAATATGTCTATTCTACATCAGCTTCCGCACTCTTAACTGTTGTTATTAGTGAAACTCCATACTATGTGAAAAATCTGCAACAACCGATTGCCAAACTATCAGAAATCATTTTTCATAATATTCTATTTACAATTGTCTGTTTAGAAATCTTCGGTTTGATCTTTTTACTGTATAAATTAATCTCGACACCGTTGCGACATCTCTACCGGTCTCGTTATGCAGCAAAGCATAAGACGAATAACGACAGGATATGCGTTTTTTGAAAATTCTCGTATATTTCTTTCAATAAATTGCATTTCACGTCGCAATATATAGAAATCTTGTCCTTTCTTGTTACACTTTTTTTTCTATGGCGAAAATAAATAAACCTTTACTTTTGAATCAATAAATGTTTTCATTGTAATTGAAGTGATTCACTAAATCTGGTATTTATCCAGGGTTATTAATGACTCGTCAACATACAAGTATTCGTGAATCAATTATTTCCTTTTACGTACTATTTTATTATTAATGATAAGCGCAGGTGCTCGTTACATATGTTTTCGACAAACTCGCATAATCAAGTCCTTGCCGTTCTATCGCGACTACAAATTTTAAACATGAAGGTCGAAATGAATGCAAGTGTTCTGTCGATCTTCTTAATGTACTCACTTGGCATTAGCGCTTTCGCACCGGACAGAAATAGATACGATAAATATGGAATTAAAATTGCCATCAATGAAATCTTTTTCGTCCAAGTCCAAAATCAAGATGATCCGCCGATGTTTCTTGTACAATTTGCACCATATGAAGGATCGTCCTTACAATGCCTTATTACTCTTCCCAATGGTACCAATCATTATATCTATAGCGTTACAATGGGCAAAAGTCAGCTGCAGTTTTTCTTTGCTGGTGAATTGATAAATACCAAGAACGGAACATTTATCGGTGTTGCAAAGTACAATGCATCTTCATCATCATGTGTCACTCAATTTACTTTTACGATACAATATTTCTACAATTACGAACATCAGGAGTACTACGTAATTGGGGTTGAACCCAGTGGACGTTATGCTTACGGCTTTGCTAACAAATTCATCTTCATCTTCGATTCATTCAATATCTCACTGAATGTGTGGAATGGAAATGAAACATGGCCCGATCATTCATTCATTCCTCATGCAATCGATATTACGAATAATTTTAGTGTAATAGCAGGATTTATTCGAAATTCTGTCGACGCGATAGCAGTTTACATACCAGTGATCTATCTAATCAACTTTAGTTCATCCACTACTGCTCCAATTTTTGTAGATAACTTCAAACCTACAGCAAATCCTAATACTTGGCAAAATCTGTTAACTAACTCGAATGCTGATACATATTTACCAAAGTACGATATGTCCGTCAGTATCAACGATCATGGAGACGTTCTGGTTGGCATGCAATTTGTCAATCGAGTATTTCTTTTTTCGATCGAACAGGCAAATCCAACGAAACTAATTCTCACCAGTCGATATACGGGTGGTAGATCCTTGGGAAATGGGAAAAGCGTTGCCTGGCTCGACGCCGGTGTCGCTGCTATTCTGTTCAATACGTATTCCTTGGAATATCAATGGATATCCTCAGAAATTCACTTCTACGATATTAAAAATGATGGTTACGAGTCCACTAGCACGCCGTTATCAATATTTCCCAACAATCATCAGATTCTTCCGCTACGTTTTGGTTTGATTTTCTTAAATATCATTTCTTCGCCATCATCATTAGCTTTACTCGACGATCAAGGCAATATTTTGATTATGAATCCAACACCCAGCGGATACTTCCCAGCTGTTCGCGACTCAGGTTCAATGCCAGTATTCACCTCAGCGCAGTTATGTTTTCCTGGCACTTATAAAAACCGAAGTGGAATACAAGACTGTAGTATTTGTCCAAGTGGCACTAAGAATGGTGGTAACTCAAGCATACAATGTGTTGCATGTGCAGCGAACTCGTTCTGTCCACTCGGTTCCGTCAGTGACATACCTTTATCCGCATTAGAAACAATCACACAAGTTGTAACATATCCAAAATCACCGGAGAGTACACAATTTGAAGATGTGCTCATTCAAAACACGTTTTTTATCAACACATGTCACAAACTCTATGCATCGCCCGTCTTTTGGTGGTTAATAGTCTTCAGTCTCGGTTGTCTTGCTCTAGGTATTCTGATGTGTAGTGGAAAAGTGTCTCGAGCTTACTCACTAGACAAGCAAAGAGAGCCAGTGAAGTATTGGCTCAAAAATATTGATTTAATTCACGAAGGTGAATCAATGATCGGTGGTCTAGGTACAGTGGCCCTCTTGGTAGCAATCATTGTTATCACATGTTTTGGTATTCTCTTTCTTCAGCAATATCCAATTGAAACGGCATCAACTTCTTCTTTTGCTTGTGATGCATCCATACGAAACGCTAAATTCGAAACAAATCTACAGTTATTATCAATTCCAGTATCGAATGATGAACAACAAATGTTTGATCTACTAGATAAGCAAAGTTTCATTCTAAATATTCAATTTATCAATACATTAATTAACTGTGATGCTATATCAATCAAAGGATTATACGGTTCAGCATGGACTACTATTCGATGGTTAACGTGTGGAAATACAGATGGTATATTGACATTATCTATGCAACTTCCACATCAACAAATAACTATACAAGTCTCTGCAGAGGATGTGAAAACAGTTGGTGCGCTTCGTATTGGCCTTTATGCTAATGGCAGTGAAACTGATCAATATGATTTAAAAGAATTGAACTTTTATCAATCATTTTTCAAATATGGTCAAGTTCTATCGCAAAGTTTACCTATTACTCTCGATATAACGAAAATAATCAATGAAACATTACCGATCCGCAACGAAAAAACGGTTTATAGCGGAATCTTTATTCCAACATTTAATGTTGACTTGAATGGTCTATTTCTATCGAATGATCAGCATGTTCGTCTGATGCTACAGTCAACAATCTTAACTATTGCAATTGTGGAAACTCCCTATTATGTTAAAAACACCCAACTACCTATTGTAAAATTGTCCGAAGTTGCGTTCGATAGCTTTCTGTTTGTTTTGGGCTTTCTGGAGATATGTACGATTGTATTAATGATTCTAGCACTTCCTTTCAAAGCAACACGGCGAGTTTACTTTGTATCGTTTTTTAAGAAAAGTTTCCAACGACTATCTACGCTTCTCGAAAGAAGAAAACTTCAAACGAATAAGAATATTGAATTATTAACTATTTCTTCAAATGAATAGATTTTTACGTAACACTTGATTTCTTGAATATATTCACAATAAACTATGATGAGCGTCATTTACTTCCTGACTATTTTATTTATGATTTTATGCAGTAAGATCGGCAAGTAGCAACTCGATTATGTAATACATATCAAGACCTGCTGTTCATTTGAGTTTAACGAAAACGACGTGATAGTTGTAAATTAAGACCTTGTAGTTGTGGACTGTCGATATAGCTATCACACGCATAACAAAAGACGGAATTGTCTGAGAAACTGAGACAAATATTGTGTCTGGTTGTTTCGTGATGTTTCAACATGTGTTTTTGTTGATAGCGAGAGCAGCCCACCTATAAATAGCACACAAAGAATGTCATTTTCGTGTCTCGATGAATAGAAAGTGACTCACAAAGTGACAATCTTCATGGAGGCATGCCCAATTTTCTTCAGTATTTTGACAATCTTTGCATGGTGGTTGGTGATTTTCACTAGTTTGATCATCTTGAAGAAGAATATAAGCACGATCACCCAGATGAGGACAGTCATATTTTGGCTCCACAACGAATGGCTTGATAAGAAAAGAGTCATAATTTTTCTTTTCTGAAAAACATCTTTTTACTTACACCCCGACGATTATCCTCAACCGTCTCATCGGAAGCTTTTTTGTTACTTGCAGGTTGAGACATAGTTATTCTCTCAAGAAAAGACTATTGAAGAAGTGTAGTATAAAGCCGGTTATGCTTTACTTCTTATATACCCGAACACCTCGTCGCATTTATTACGTTAGTATGATGAAAGACACAGAAACGCAACAAAGAATAGGCGATGACTACGTGCATGCATCATTCTGCTCTATTTCCTGTGTTTATCGTCACATGCTTCTATTCGATGATTCAGACCGTCGAGAAACAGCTAGAATGACCAAATTAAAGTTGATCAACGTTGTGCAATATGTACAACGATGTTTGATCTGCATGAGTTATTCACTTTGTAGATTTTATGAGCTTTTCTTTATATGATCGTTACATGAGTATATATTTAAAAAAAAGCTGCTTGGTTTCTATATGCTTGCACGGATTGTCGTCGATGTATGAGGCATGCTTTTCTTCGGTAGTGCGTTGATGAGAGTATGTTTGGTCTTTTTTCTGAGTCGTTTTTGTTTCAACTGCTTTAATTCACGTTTTGCTGAATCGACTTTAAAGACATAGTTCGAAACGTCAATAATAATGACAAGTGAACAAACACTAACAATGAATACAATAGAAATAGAACCAATCGATCTGCTAACAATTCGATGAATAACTACTCCAATGACAACAATTTCACAGTGACGACCAGAAAAACGCGTGCCAGGACATTGACAAGCATAATCTTGTAATAAGGTCCGACATATACCTTCATTTGAACATATTATATTTTCACAATAACTTATCTTCATCTCACTATGAATACCAGCTCATCCAAATTGGCATAAACATTTGAATGTTGCCGTTGTCGTTTTATTACAAGTACCTGAAAATGAAACGAATCACATTGTTTTTATTCTACTGAGTTTACCGTTATTCCAACAAGTATTTGACATGGTTGAAGTAGATTCAATGTTGAATGACAAAAACATATCGTTTTCAATGAAGCTTCGGCAGATTAAGAACTTCTAATATACTAGTAAAATAGGTTATTGCATTCGCTGTTTCTACGAAGAAAATGATAAAAAAGAAGTCAAAAGTGGACTTCGACGGTAGAAGAATACGACAGTCATACTCAGTATGAATGTTAATGTGGAAGGTATGTGTTGATCTAAATTAGATACCGTGTTCGCAAACATCGAATGCTTCCAGTTCATCAGATAATTTACCACAGGAATGTGTTGCTAAAGTTACCATTTGTATCCGACTGTTTCCAGTATCTACAATAGAAAAATTTCCATAACTATCAAAATGAAGAGTATATGGTGTATTTAGTGCACTGGGCGATGAACTTTTGTTCTTAGAACATCCAAATAAGCATCTGAAACCGTCGGGCCCCGAAACTACAATACGATGTTGAGAACTAGTCGAATTCGATCGTTTCCACAATTTGATATGTACAAGTTGCTGTTTGTGTCGACAGAAACTTCAAAGAGATTAGCTAAAAATTCTGGCCCAGAACCGTTAACACCTCTACCAGCCACAACGTTCGGTACATCAGAGTTATTGTACAGTTCGCTGGAGATCACCTGATGAATTTTATTCATTGAACAATAGAGTCCATCCCATAATATATTCACATACATTACCAGACTGCTAATGTTGCTACTGAATTGCCAATTATTAACTCGACCGATAGCACCATTATCTGCGTATATACTATCTGATGTTGCCAGAAAAACAGATGTCAGGGCCGATAAATTACCCATTATTGTTTGTGTTGGTGCACTGGTATTATTATACCATACGACAATGTAACCGTATTGCTTGTTAGCAATATAGATTACATTGTTTGTATTGATAGATATGTCGTGAGGTCTTCGACCTACAGTTTCGTTAGTAGCAAAGGTAGGTGCATTCCGACAGAATTCCGGTTGACTGTATGCAATGGCTACAGAGGCAAAAAATACAATAGATCATTACAGAATATTTCTTCTGCAATCAGCAAAGATACAAACAATCTCCAATTTAGAATAAACGTCATTGTAAAATAGAAGAATGATCTCTTCGTTCAAAGCATAAACTAACTATGCTTGCCAATATTTAATGATTTATTTCTTATTTTTCTCTCTCCTTCTTGGATATGATTTTGGTATTTTGAAAGTACTATGTCAATACAAATGGAGATCTTTCAAAGTTTATTTTATTGATCGACAACAATATGTATTTAAACAGCGACTGGAGATACTGTAGCAGTATGTTCGCCATGTAAACGAACCGTCGATAATCCATTCAAATTATGAAGAGGTACTCTCTGTCAAATGAAAAGAAATACTAAACATTTCATTTTCAAATTAGACAATGATAAAACGCTCCAGAATACCGTAAACAGTATATTCCAGTAACTAAAAATCAGTCCATCACTATAGTAATCAGCAGCGATGATTCAAGATATCCCAGATGAATACATAGCATACAATATCATAATAGAAAATGGTAGTAAGATGTGCAGCAATGCTACTGTCAATAAATGAGAACCCATTTTCTTATAAGTTCTCCAATTGACTTTTTGTTTTACACAATAATTTTGATATATCACTCGGATAAGAACAGTCACATTGAAGATAACCGCAATCAACGTATGCATAGTATAATGCACTATACTGCCCCACAAGCTGACTCAACGTATAATCGAGACGCATCTTTAAAGGACGTTCGACAGACGTCCAAGCTATTCGAAGATAAATTTGTACCAATGTTGATGGGTTAAGATAAATCCTAGCGTGACAAAATGTTGTGGTCGTCGGTACGATGGTATCCGTATGAAAATAATGAATGTACTAGATAGCATCAGTTAGTTCAAAGAGAAGATCGAAGGTTAAAAGAAGAATAATAGTGATTATTCGGTGCCGTGCAAAGCACATAACTACTAAGGATATGATAAAGGTTAAAAGAAGCTGCTATAATTAACGGGATTACCAAAAGCTATGCGCGAATATTATCAGAAACATACATTGGATTAAACTATCTCCAAAGTTAACAAGGTCGTTCGAAACTACGCAAAACGCATACAAGCAGATTGGAAAGTGAACGTTCGTCTAAGCGTATATAGATCTATCTAGTTGTAGCAAGAGTAGTAGTCAATGTAGATTTTTCCCGTCCACAAAGTAATAGCAACATTTCTAACAAAAAATGTAAATCCGTCTTATCAACGTAAGTATATTAATTCAAGAAGTGGAGTCATAATCACAAACCACTTTTATAGCTCCTTAAGCTTGATGCTTCTGATAGAGCGAAATTACTTCACCAATTAATGCTAACGAAGACGTTTCTTATGACTCGCATAATACTGATGTCAAAAGATTAGGAAGTAGATATGCAGACAGAGTATCATCTCCTTAGTTTTGAAGAAAATACACGCAGTGCCCTATTATAATAGTATCCGTTGTTCGAAACACCATCAGTATGTTTTATTACTGTAATTGAAATAAAAGAAGAAAACCGTGAACAGTCCACGTACTGTTGTCTCCTGTGAATCAGAAAAAATATGTACAATCGAACAATAAGAGTCCTGACGAGCAGGTGCTCGTTATAAATATGAGAAGATAACTATTGATAAAACACTCGTGTTTCGAATCGTTGAACAAACCGTCGGATTTCACTGCGAAATGCTTTACCAGATAAGCAATATAGATAAAAATTTAGTGAACAATTGATCACCACTGCTAGTGACACCCACCAGGTTTCATGTGCTTCGAGATTCATGATATGTCCAGCAATGTGAGAGAATAATGAAGTTAAGAATAATGATGAATGAAGAACTAAGACAATATTCATCCACGATGTTGTTGTTCGTGATTGATTTCGATTCGTTTTAAACGGCAATGCTTGATGGAATCGCCGGTATGTCCGAAGATGATAAATAATATATCCGTTAATTAAAATAATCGTGCCAGCTGGAATCAATTCTGAGAATAAACAGCGTACTGTATAATGATTCCGGCCGAAGCTAACTTGCTGAAAATAAAGTTGCCATTGAGCAGATGCATTCGATGAAACTCGACAGCATCCTCTTGCTATTAATGTTGTGCCATTGTTAATCTTCTCGCTAGAATGAACATGTCATAGAAAATGAAATGAACGACTGATGAACGTACATGCAAATTTGAGGTTCAAACATGTAGACAGGTAAACCAACAACAACGCCCACGATCATTGCCACTATAATCGATGGTATGATAAGCTTGAGCTTTGACGCATTCCATCGGTTAAAGAAAGATCGAAGCTCTGTTGAAACACAGAGTAATCGTTCAAACATCCACAATAACGTGATCCAGGCGGAGATGACTCGAAAGGAAAATGAAAACTCGTAGAATTTACAAGCCCATCGGTGTTGTTCAGCAACTTGAAGAAAGGAATGCCGAGTTGCCGAATGAAGAATGGATACATATCTGATCAGACAAAGAAGATTAGTGATCGAACTACATGTGGCTAAACATGCATAGATCGATGATATTTGCCATGATCGTCGAGATGACGAGAAAATCAACAGACCCAAAATGTTGCCAATAATACCAAGAATAAAGAGAATATTCGAAATTAAATTGATCAATAGTGTTTTAATAGATAATTCATTAACTGTATGGTCCTTTGACATAAACATTTTTATGTTAATCTAAAGCCGAAACAACAGTTTATAATGTCGATGAAAAAACAAGTTCTCAGTCTGTAGAGAATGTGTAGTTTTACCGAAAGGCCTTTTCTAGATAATGTCAACAGAGAAAAAAAGAAGATGAGTTTTTCTATCGAGGGAACATAATCATCTTATCTGTTTGTGTTCAGTTATATCATATTCACATGATATAAAGAGCTGAACACTCTGTGTTCTAACCTGAACAAAACCGAGACGTAAATCTTTCCTCGTTCCATGTTACCACACAATGTATCCAACGGAAGAGAAAGGTTTTTTTTGACGTCTCTTAAGTGCATAAGAATTAAGATCTATTTCTGGAGCATTTCTTTTGCCTTTCGGTTGGTACAACACACCGTGTGATGATATCTGAATACGTTCTTTTCAACCGTACTTATATAGACACAATTTAGTTTGCAAATAGTTGTCAAATATGAATTTTTGAAAAACAAATGTGAGAGTGCAGTTTGTTATCTTTCATTCAACATAATTGTTTGCACTACTCTAAACGTTCCAGATGTTCATATCTTTGCTACTGAATGTAAATACAGAAGTATATGCACTCGAATGATGGTTTGTTCGATGTTTCCGTTTAAGTAGTGTGGATTTGACCATATGTATAAAGTTTGGAATACAATGAACACGTTAATGTTCCTGTAAAAAAGTTTCAGAAAGATTTTTAGCATTATTCATTCTGACGATAATCCACTCTGTTCTGTCCAAATAATAAATAATGACTTGATGAAAAGAAGGAAAAGCGAACTATTACACTGGACAATAGTTTCGTCTGTTTTTAGATGAAGAATTCAATACTGGACGTAGTTTATTTTCATGAATAGAATTCGAACCTAGATGCTAAAGCGAAAAAGCACAGGCCATGTCGAAAATGAACAATAGACATAAAAAGTACGCAAATCATGTATAAATCAGGACAAACCACTGCTCGTTTTTACATTCATAACTCTTCTCTGTTAACGCTATGATGGTATTCCTGTTTACGAACATGTTTGTTTGGTTGTTTAGTTCTGTGAACCACAAATCCATCAGAAAGTCATAAATACTTCTAAACTTTGCTTTTTATAGTCCATTATTGTTCATGATGATGTATTTGAAGAAGGGAGCGATCATTTTTTTGAACTTTCTCCTGCACTGCCTGACGAATATGACTTCGGCCCAATGCCTAATCTTTATGATTATCATGATTTTGATTCTGTGTTTCAGTCGCATGAATACTATAATGTCGATCCTATTGAATCCGCTTATGCCGACGTACATTTTCCGAATGACACTCAAATAGCAGATTATTTTACGATGTTCATTTTTTTATATTTGGATGCGCCGAAAATAGCTTCCATCAACGATTTCAAAGGTAGAAGAGCTCCATATTCAGAATTACTACATTTAGTCATTAACGATTGAATTTATGGTGACGAGAATACTATGAATGGTTTTGAAGATGTATTTTTAATTGCAGAATCAACAAAATCTAAATTCTAATGATCCGTATCGTAGTGACTTTCTATGATCAAAATAATGAAATTTTTCGTGATATCTTCGGCAACCAAATAGTATGTACATCAAGTGATCATGATCTTGGGCATCTCATAGAGATAACACACCAAGGCTTGCAACCTTCACTTGTTCAATATGCATTCCAATTACAGTTCTCCTCGGACTTTGAACTCACTAATATTTTCGTTCATTTTGTCCAACCCGGCACTTTTCCCGTCGGAAAGTAAGAACGAAATCACATCGTTTGATGATCAGATATCAAAACGATTACTGCAGATATTCTACATGGAAGAATCATCGAACACAAACATATCACAATTGATTTGAAGAAGCAAAAATATAGGGTGACTGTTCAATGTCCACGGAATACAGTGTGCATGTAGTTACTTGATCGAAATGTTATAGCGCCGACATCCAAAACGACTATTGTATTAGAACTCAAATCAAAACAGATTGGCAAACTAGTATTATCATACGTACAATATATTGGAAACGAGCCTATGACCATAGCATCATTGCTTCTTTCCATCCGCAAAGCTACCGCGAAAGGTGAGTCTATCGTACCGTACGAATGATTCCCATATTTTGAGGAATGTCTCATATGAAACAACAAGCATTTGATGATAGTAAAACGATTTGATGTCCCGTAGAGTGGTATACATCGTCATTTATAAGTCATCCTCACGATTTGATAGTCTGCAATAAATACAAAAATAAAACTGCAATTTTCCTGTTGATAATTCAATAAAATTAAAAGATAATCGATGGAATATCCAATTGTTTTAGTAGTTTTTCATTATTTCTGGCTTGTATTGCATCGAAGAAGTTTTCACCTTCGTGATTTCGTTGTTGTACATCACATCCAATCTGAATTAAATATCGAACAATTCGTTGTCGACATCCGCGAACTTTCAAACAGACATACATCAATGGATTATTTCCGTATTCATCCATTGCATGAACGAGTTCGGGTTTCAGTTTCAATATCCTTTCGATAAATTGTCGTTCTTTCTTGAATAGAAGTAAAAAGAACAAATCTTTGCTAATTAACCACGGTTCCAACGGTTTTTCGTCGAAAAATAATTTCAATAGTTGTCGACCTGGCGAACGTCCTGTAAGAATGTTCAAGGTTTTCGACAAATTCTTCGGTTGTTCGAAATATGACCGGACAGTGGGAAGTTGATGATATATCAAAAGTAGCACATCTAATCGATTCCGTTCGATCAATTTTGCAAAGATTGATTGAAATACACGATCGTCTTCCTCTTGCCATGGTAGCGCTAGTGTTACAATATTTTCTTCGACGATGATGTTCAATACTTCTCCTTGTACAGTTTGGATAACTAAATTATTCTGCTGATTTATTTCCGTTTCACCAACCATTTTCAATACAGCGAAAAGACTTTCTCGAGGCCATTTTTCATTCTGAGCACTATTTTGTTTGTGACATTGAATGGAAAAGACTAGTAGTTGTAGTACGGCTTGATAACATTCCATGTTAACGGTAATATCCGGTGGTGTATAATACCAATATTGAAGGTGATATATAGAATAGAAGAGAAAATACCAAACTGTGGAACTTTCTTCGATTTCTGTATAGTCTCGATCGAGTAAAATATCTGCATTCGAAAGAATCATCGACCGAAGTAGGTAAGTGGTTGGTTTGATTAATAAATCATTTGCAGGATTTGTATCATTCAAATAACGAAGTAGAAAGCGATTGAGGATTTTAGCAAAATTGAATTGATTGGGTTCATGAGTATCACATTGTAAACGTGCTGCTCGAGTAGAAAGCAAGGTCTGGAGAGATTTTATTGATTGAATCGTCGGAGTAGTAGTTTGTGAATTCAACAATTCTTTTTGTAATCGGTTGTCGATGTCGATCATTTCTGTTGGAGAAAGTTTCTCACGCATTACTTGAAATGTATCAAAAAGTGATCGTACGTGATAACCCGATTCTCTGTATTGTTCTTTGACATAGTTACTAATCACTGTTCGAAAATATCGTTGAAGATCAGAATCGAGTTTGATTGAAGATGTTTGAGAAAATAGATGTCGCAGTGCAAACGGCAGTTTTTTCAGTAAAATATCATTTAGACGTTGATTCAAGCCAAAGAAAGTTTGAAAAATCACGCAAATATTACCAGTATATCGACAGATAATGACTAAAACATCATCTGATAAGGTTTCCAACGTTGACAACATAGTTTCTATCGATTCTTACTTCGAAATGGTAAATCGCGAGTATATTGCCATTGCAATATAAGAGAAGTTATTGCGCAATAGATAAGACCCGAACACATATGTCGTATTCTTTTCTGTCATCTTTATTGACTATACGTCTGAATGATTCACAGATATAGCAGAAATAAAATAAATGTTGAATAATGTTTACTACTGATTAAGGTTCACAATAGTGCAATAAATTATTTACTTCCCACATGAATCGATTCATTAGTATAAGAAAAATACCTTGCTGTTTTGGACAGGTATACACGCATGATAAATGAGCAAGTCATAGCACGTGTAATTTTCTTCCGCTATGATAGAAAACGAACAAAATCACACGAAAAATATTTTGATTTTGCATAGGTGAAAATACGAATATATCAAAAAGCTACCGACTTCTTCACGTATTGTAGCCTTACCAAAGTTAATTGATACAGAAATCATATGGCCACTGCCGAGAGAATATGTCCATTTGTATTCAAGACCAACCATAATACTAACAAAGAAACTAGTACAATTATTTGGTTAAATCCAGATATTAGTATTCATAATCGATTCAAAAATGCGAGAAAACAATTGCATCTTATCAACGATTATCTTACGATTCATTCGGAACTTGAATCATGCATATCTTTTATTGAAAGTATAGAAAGTGAACTGATCTATTTGATCATCTCTGCAGCAAAAGCATCACAAATCTTGTCACGTGTTCATGATCTTATTCAAATCGAAGCAATTTTCCTGTTTACTTCGAATAAAACAGAAATTGAATCTTTATACAATGAATATCCAAAAATTATAAATATTTATGATGATTTTGATTTATTATGCGTTGATCTCCGCGAACAGATCGAACTGAATGATAAACAATTGAAAGTTCACCGTTTTCCGAATCCATCTCAAACATCGAGTAATACCCTTTCAGAACAATTGTCATCCGCGCATTTCTTAAATGCTATTATCAAATATTTGCCGGAATCTCAGCAAGGAAAAGCACAGCTCATCAATGAACTTCGTCAATATTATCGAAATAACACTTATCAACTGAAATTTATTGATGAATTTGAACAATTCTATCAATCAAACGACGCAATACGTTGGTATTTAAATCAATCATTTATCTCAAAACTAATCAATAAAGCTTTACGCACATTGGATATCGAACAGATATACAGCCTTCGATTTTATTTACAAGATCTATCTGAAAATCTTACTCGTGAATCCAGAATTTTTGCAACAACAATATCGACCCAGCGCTTAACTCTTTATCGAGCATCGCGATTATCAACGAATGAAATGAATGGACTGCGAAACGCCAAGGGACATTATTTTTTCATCAGTTCCTACATGTTTGCTAGTCGAACACGTTCGGAAGCTCTTGCTCTGATCTCAAAACGTGCGAAACGAACCGACACAGTGGCTACTCTAATGGAAATTGAATATAATATAGAGACTAATGATGGCAGTATCCTCTGTGCTGATATATCACAATACAATCATAATACCGAAGGTGTTTCAATTATGTTTGGTTTTGGAACAATTTACCGATTGAATCACGTTCATTACGATGGAGAAATATATGTCATGAAAATTAGTATATCGAACGGTGGACAAGCTCTCATAGACACATACTTGAAATCGATGCATCGTGAGACAAAAGATGAGTCGATGGGACAAACCATAGGAAGACTTTTAGAACATTTTGGTGATCATAAACAATCACAAGAATATTTCAAATGTTTGTTGTATGAAAATGATGATCGTACTTCTCCAACGAGGCAATATCATGTCGGTCAACGTTTTCATGCACAAAAAGATTTTCAATTAGCGCGAGAATTTTATGATCGAGCATATCGTCTCATTATTAGATCACGTCCTATACCAGTACACGATCTTTTGAATGTGTTAGATAGTATTGTGCATCTTACTGATCAACAAGAAAATTATGAAGAAGCTGTCAAATTTCAAAAACAAGCACTTGAAATTCGTGAAGAATACAATCCAACAGAATATAAAGCCATCATCGAGAATTTGGATGACATCGGACTAATGTTGAGTAAGTTAAAATGTTATAGTGAAGCACTCGAATATCATCAGCGCGCCCTAACACTTCGAGAAACATATCAGCCGTCTGCACGTACTGATATTGCAATTAGTTTAACCTTTCTCGGAAGTGTCTATACAGAATTAAGCAAATACGATCATGCACTTGAATCTCACCAACGAGCGCTGAATATTCGAAGAGAATGCGAATCTTCCATTCATCATCTCTGTATTGCTAATAGTCTTGACGGGATTGGTTTAGTTTATCAACGACAAAAGAAGTATCCAGAAGCTATTAATGCTTACCGACAAGCATTGAAAATCAAAAAAGACAGTTATTCACCTGATCATATCGAACTTTCGCAAAGTTTGACTAACGTCGCTCTTTTACAAACGAATCTCGGCCATTACGATGAAGCATTCGAATTGTTTATCCAAGCTCTTGCAATTCAGAACAAACTCCATCCGGACGGCGATATGAGTGTTGCGTCAACAATGACGAATATTGGTATTGTTCTTCAACAACAAAGAAAGTATGATCAAGCCATTGAATTCTATGAACATGCTCGGCGAATGCTGAGAGAACTTTATCCATCTGGCCATCCTAACATTGCTCTTAATATCTACAATATTGCTTTAGTTTTGTTCAATCAAATGAAATACAACGAATCATTGATATGTCATCAACAAGCATTACAAATGAGAGAAGAATCAGATCCTCTGAATTGTGAAAGTATAGCTGCTAGTTTGAATCAAATCGGAATGGTTCTCTATCGGCTATCGAAGTACGATGAAGCAATTGAGTACTATCAACGAGCCTATCGCATGAGAAAAGAACTTCTTTCATCAACTTATACTGAAATAGCTCAATGCTTGTATAACATCGGTTTTGCTCTTTGCGATCAAGAAAAATATGACGAAGCTCTACAATACTATCAACGAGCATCGAAGATTATCGAAGAGAATTATTCGTCAACGCATATAAGCATTGGTCATGTCCTCAATGGAATCGGTGTTGTTCACTACCGACGGTCGAATTATGATGAAGCCTTAACTTATTATCAAAAAGCTCTGAACATTCGTGAAACAACTTATCCGGACGGTCATATCGATGTCGCACAAACTTTGGGAAATATTGCTCGTGTTTCTATGGATATCGGAGACAATGTTGAGGCAATAGAATCATATAGCAAAGCACTAGCAATGTGTAAACGCTTTCATCCGGATGGGCATATCGACATTGCTGAAGTGCTCATGAATATCGGCTTCCTTCTTTATCGTGCATTGAAATATGACGATGCACTTGTTTACTGTGAACAAGCACGTGACATGCAAGAACGGTACTATCCATTGGGATACAAGAACTTTTTGACTAATCTTGGAAACCTTGGTTTAATTTATTTTCATCAGAAAAAATATGGCTTAGCTGTTAACGTTTACCGAAGGTCTCTGGAAATTCGAGAAGAGTTTTCACCAACAAGTCATTCGGAAATCGCCAGTACATTGAATAATATTGGTGTAGCCTACTATCGACAGATGGAATACGATCAAGCACTAATATATTATGAGCGTGCTCTTCAAATTCGTGAAGAGTTGTTCCCCACTGGTCATACGACAATGATTCAAACGCTTAACAACATTGCTCTTGTACTCTATGATCAAAGTCAATACGACAGATCGTTAGAATATCGACATCGAGCGTTAAATTTAGCGAAAGTGTTATATCCACCTGATCATGTTGATATCGCGTCAAATCTAAATGGTATTGGTATCATCTATCATCACCAGATGAAATATACACAAGCGATTGATTATTATGAACAAGCATTGAATATAAGGGAAAAATGCTATCCAAATGGCCATGTTGATGTTGCGCAAAGCTTCATTAATCTTGGTTCGGTATTTTGTGATCAACGAAAGTATGGAATCGCTTTAAATTTCTATCAAAAAGCTATAGATATTCGACATAAATTAGAAGTCAACGATCCACTAGAGGTATCTATTTATTATAACCATATCGGCATACTTCATCATCGGCAAGGGAACTATACTGAAGCAAAGGATTTCTATGAAAAAGTTCTCAAAATCAGAGAAGAAGTTTATCCATCGGGTCATGTTGATATTGCTCGTTGCTTAAATAATATCGCATTAATTTTTATCGATCAAGAAGATTATCCGAGTGCGATCGACTATTATAAAAAAGCATTACAAATGATCGAGGACAATCATCGTCAAGGTCATATGGAAGCCGCAGTATGTTTACACGGTATTGGCGTTGTTTATCATCGACAAATCCAATTTGACGAAGCTCTCGAGTACTTTCAAAAGGCGGTCAAAATTCAAGAGCAATACCCCTCAATAAACCATACAAATATGATCACTTATCTAACAAATCTTGCACTTGTGCTACTTGACCAAGGACAGTATGATACATCACTTATTTATTACAAACAAGCATTAAAACTACGAGAAGTTCATTTACCAGCGAATGACATCACCACCGTGGACAATCTCAGCATGATTGGTTATATCTATTGCCATCTGGAAAATTTTGAAGAAGCCTTTCATTATCATCAGCGATCGCTGGAGTTGCGCGAAAAACACCATCCGACTACGTTTGGAAACATAATTGATACTTTGAAAACTTTAGGTTCGATTTGTTCGTATCAAGAGAACTATTCTCGTGCAGCAGATTTTTATCAACAAGCATTAACCATGCGAGAAATTTCTCAAAATGGTCAAAGTGTTCGTTTAGCGATGAATTACATCAACACTGCGGATATTTTCTTCAAGCAGGATCATTTAGATCAAGCATTGAGCTTTTATCAACAGGCATTAGATATTCAAAAGCGATTTTATCCTCGAGGTGATATTTCTATGGTTCATACTCTTGATTCTATTGGTTTAATCTATTTCACTCAGGGTAAATACTCTGATGCATTGACGTACATTAAACGTACCTTGAAAATGAGGGAACAGCACTCGCCGACGAATTATCTGGGCATTATACAAAATCTGTATGCGATTAGTTGCATATTAGCGATCAAAGAAGAGTCTGAGGAGTCTTCAAAATACTATAACGCAGCGTCGAAGCTAGTCGACATAGTTTATCGATCTGGACACGCTGAAATAGTGGAAATGCTACAAAATTTCGGTAACTCATTTTCAGAAAAGGGAAAAACGAGTCAAGCTCTAGAATATTACCATCAAGCATTGAGTATGCAAGAAAAATACCTTCGTCCAGATGACATCCGTTTGACTCAAAGTCTCGAATATATCGGTAATATTCTCTCCGAGGAATGTCAATACGAGAAAGCAATGGTCATTTTTCAACGAGCATACGAAATTCAATGTAAACATTATTCAGTGAATGACATTAATGTAACGCAAGCAATGAGTAATTATGGGGTAATATTAACCTATGTTGGCAAATTTCAAGAAGCTGTGACTCTATGTCTGAATGCCTTGAAAATTCGTCAGAGTACACTGCCCACGGATCACTGGGATATTGCTCAAGCGTTCCATTCGCTTGGTGTCGTTCATTACATGCAAGGGAATTACGAAGATGCACTCACATGTTTTCAACGAGCTTTGCATATAAAAGAAAAGGATCTACCATTAAATGACCTTCAGCTCGTCGACGATTATCATTATGTTGGTTTAATATTTCGACATCTGAGACAGTATGAAGACGCTCTTGAACATCACAAAAAGGCATTAAGAATTCAAAATAAACATTATCCATTAGGACACATATGTATTGCTAATAGTTTGTCTTATATTGGGTTAATATATTTCCATAAGAAAAATTTCGACGAAGCATATCTTTTATGTTTAAATTCTTTCGAAATGAAAGAAAAATTCTATCCACCTGGCCATATACAAACTTCAAATAGTCTCTACAATCTTGGTCTGATATATTTAGCCAAACGTCAGGCGGAAAAAGCGATGAGTTATCTCAACGCAGCTGTTACAATTAAACAATGTTGGCATCCATCTGGTAGTATTGATCTTGCTGAATGTTTCAACACTATCGGGAATATCTACGCAATACAAGAAGATTTTTCCAAAGCTTTATTGTATTATCAGGATGCTTTAGCATTACAAGAAATGTTTCAACCTCCCTTCCATCCTGATGTAGCTATCACTCATGGAAATCTCGCAGAAATCTACTTTGAATATGAGGATTTTGATGAAGCAATAATCTGTTTGAACAAATCGATCGATATTCAACAAAAACAATTTCCAAATGGAGATATTGATGAAGCTGATAGTCTTACTCAGCTAGGTTTAATTCATCAGAGTAGAACGAATTTTACTCTCGCTTTAGAAGCCTTTCAACGCTCACTGCTCTTAAAAAGAAAATTTACTCCAGACGATTTGTTATCAATATCCTCCACGCTCGAATACATAACCACAGTTTATATTGACATGAACGAGTTTGATCAAGCACTGCAATATGCCATCGAATGTCTCGCTATGCGTTCTGAATACTTGAGCAAAACTGATCAGGATATCGGCACAATTTATGTGTTGATTGCAACTTGTTATGAAAATTTAAATGAGCGAAATCGAGCACTGGCGTATTATCAAGATGCATTGATTATCTTCAAAGCAGCAATCCCTCCCGACGTTGCATTGATCAGTAGGACTGAACAAAGCATCCTTCAAATACAAAAAAATCAACCGTTACGATTAATAATCGGACGAAAGTATGTCAAAAAATTGAAAGCACGTCTATTCTCCTCCCAATAAACGTTCGCCTTATGATTTATTCAAGATGAATAATTTAGTGGCAGTAATCGTTTGTCGCGTAGTCTTTCCGTTTGAATATAGACTTTTGTATATTCTTCTACGTAATAAAATGTCTAGTTTGTGTGAGTTTTATACTTAGCATCCAGGCTTAGCGTGAAAATCAATGAAGTGCATCGTACACCATGTTTGTCACGTTATGATCGATCAAGCAGTATGGTTTTTATTTATTCGAGAGAAAAAAATAATGAAATATACGAGTCCATTTTTCTTTTTTATTTCTGCAATTGATTTGGTCTTTTTTCTTGTAATGATGAATTATGGACAGAAGGCGGTGCTGGTATGCCATCATGAATATCCGATGTTATTTGAAAGGAAAGTAATGTATTAACAGAATTTATAGCGTGCGTCCAACGTTCGTTGTTAATTCTTTCGCCCAGTCGTTTGATCAGATCCATTTGTAGACGAGACGGGAAGTAAATTGTGAAACGGGAGGTTTAAAAGCACACCTTTTATATTCATGAAGGAAAACAAGCTTTTTCTTCATTTTTTTTCGATCTGAAATGAAAATGTTTCGTAATTCGATTTGAGGTGTGTCCTCTGACTCATTGCTAAATAGGCAGATGGAAATTCCCAACTAAATGATACTCTTACTTGCATAATTGTATCGTATTATTACGTGTCGATCGCGAAGCAACATTCAACAGGCAAATCTGACAATCTAAAATCTAGATAAATTCTTGAAATGCACAACAAATACTGTGCATATTGAATGCAGATATACTCTTTATTCTTCGCTCGAAAGACAGTATAAGTGTAATCATTTTCTTTTGTTAATCGGCACAATGTTTATTAATGTATTGCTTTATTTCTTTACTCTTGAAGGACGTGCGAAAAAAGCATTTTTATGTTGAATAATAGAGGTTGCATTAAAAGAAAAAACAGTCGCATGTTTGACACCATTGTCGCACATCACACTACGAAAATCGACAATCATAAAGGTAGGAAGCCAAGTTTTTTCCATGCGCACCGATTATTTAAAGATTCTTTTTCACATAACAAACAGTAATAGGAGATTAAAATTTGACACGTTCGATTACTGAAGAATCCGATTATATTTTGTATAAAAATTACAACTCAACGGATACGAATATATCTTTGCATATGAAGAGTTAATGGCAGACAATCAAAATCCATTATCATCGTGTATTCAACGTACAGCCATCGATCCTTTTGGACACCTCGGATCACTGTATGACGCATGTCAAGATCGTGTCCTCCAACAACTAGAATTTCCTTTCGATAAACCTCCCAATCAGTTTCCTTACACGACGCAATGTACTCTAGCAAAAGGTCATAAAAATCAGAAGCAAAATCCACTTGAAATCATCGGTATTGACGAACAATTACAGTTCAGTTTAGCGTTGAATATCATCCCGAAGAACGGTATCACATCCGCAATGAATTATCCCCATGTAATCGATCAGTATACTCGTGTTTTTCATTTTACTTACGTTTACCGAGTAGAAACACTACCGAATGATCTCCAGCTTCTTCGATCATGGCTCGAAACAATGAAACCGGGAAAGAATGCGACACATGTTATCGCGGGTATCACTTGGGGTATTGATATTGTTATATTTATTCAATTGCCACCGGATGACAATGTCACACCACTGATTGATGATACATTGGAAAAGTATCGAGCGTATCTCAATGGTGATTCTGATCATTTTCAATTGACCCGAGAGGACGTTCTTGCATATAAGAAATTGACTGACACCAAGATCTATTCGAATATGTCTGTTCTTAGTGAGAATTCAACTCTACACGATGTATTCCATAGTATTACCCGACGTAAAATGAATCATAATGAGCATCAGCAAATAAATTATATCCTTTGTGCCCTCCAACCGTTTTTCTCTTCGCTTCCATTATCAGATTATCATTATGTATCGCTGGATGTCAGTCATGAGAGTAAATTAGAAGAATATTTATTTGATTTATCGCGTTCGTTGAAGCATCTGGAGAGTTACTTCAACGAAGATATGTCAAGTCTGTTATGTGGACACTTTAAAGAACGATTAACAAATGCGTATAAGCAGTGGTATGATTTGAAAAACGAAGCGAATAGTATTGTTGATCGACTTGGATCATTGGTGTGCGATATGCGTTCGGGTTCAGTCGCTTATTTTCCACTTGATGAAGCTTTCGAAACCGAACAGCAGATACAATTGAAAACGAACATTCAAAATCTAACGCAAAATGTCGCTGATCTCAATGCTAAAGGCCATTTAATTAGTGATTTAGGTCATCAAGAATTTCAGTATTGTGATGTAGTCGAACGGCACGTTGATGAGAATGATAACGAAGAATCGTTGAGAGGAAAGTTAATCATCGATCAGAATAGCGATCGAGTTTTATGTTCCAGTGACCAATTGAATCAAAATAATCCCCAACAGTTAAAAGAATTACGTTATACCTTAGTGGAAGAACTCGAACGAAATTCGAAGCTACGTTTGACTTATGCAGATTTTTCTTACTGCAATTTTGAACTACCGAATATGATTATATTGCCATTTAGTAAATATCATATTCGGCAACGAATCAAACCAATCGATCCACTGGTTAATTCAGACTTCAACAGTTCTGTATCTTCGATGTCGACAACTGCTGTATCGATGCCACTTGTCCCATCCATACTAACGAACAAATCGATCAATATTCTCCTTCTTGGAGAAACAGCAGCAGGAAAATCAATGTTTATCAATGCATTCGCCAACTATATTACATTTAACACATTCGAAAAGATTCATTCAGAAGAACCCCTCATTCCCATACCTGTTTCGTTTTTTATTCCTGTTGGTGATAATTACGAGGAACGTTTAGTGAAATACGACGATGTCAAAAATATCCAAAATGAGAACTTCGATCATCCGGGTCAGTCAGTCACTCAACAATGCAAATCCTATGTTTTCCATCCGAATTTTGCTGACAAAAGCAAATTGCGTATCATCGACACACCAGGCTTCGGTGATGTACGCGGTGCTGAACACGACAATCGAACAATGGAACACATTTTCGACTATGTGAAAAAACTGGCACACATCAATGCGATTTGTATATTCCTCAGATCGGGTCGAACGGAGTTGAATGGATTTCTATCTGAATGTCTCCAACAATTGTACGAATATTTTGGATCGCATGTTCGAAGAAATCTTATTTTTTGTTTTACTCACACCCGTACGACCGCATATACATCGGGAAGTGCAGGCGTACTATTGCAAGATATACTAGCGTCGTTACCTATGCGCAAAGTTCCGTTGAAGAAAAAGAATACGTTTTGTTTTGATAACGAAACATTTCGATATTTTGTCGCCTTGCAAAATCAGTTTCAATTTAGTGACCAAAATCGAGAAGACTATGAGAAAAGTTGGACAAAATCTGTTATGGAAGCCAACCGATTAGTTCGATATATTCGTAAAAACCTCGTCCCTATCCCTGTACCAGACCAATGGGAAACCATCAAACGTACACAAATTGAAATTGTTCAATTGATCCACCCATTACTGGAAACCATGAGATATATTCTTCGGAATATAATTAGCCGGAAAATCAGTTCAATGAAAGTATCGAATCAATTAAATGAGGAAGATACGTTTATAGATGGTAGAGACAAAGACAAATACGATGATCAGTATTTGCCGTATGAACCGATTCCATTGGAATTTCTACAAAACTATGAAATATCGAATTGTTCAATGATGAAAAAACAGAAGGAAATGATCAATCATTTGTCATTTTTATATGACACGAGTGCAGAGTTGGGTTATTTTCTGGCATATTCAACAACTTATCCAAATGGAAATCCCTTCCTGGCAGGTCTATTTCGATTGATGACAGAAGAGAAGAATATGTGTGATGATTATGGTCGAAGTTACATGGACATGCAACTGGTGGAAAGCCTAAAAGCATTGTCGACGAATTATGAGCAATGTATGAAAATATTTAAAGTAAATGGAAAGCGTAGTAAACTATCGGATATTCAACAACGAATTCGATTTATGTATACATATCCATTACTATCGGACTATGTTATTGATAGTCATCGAATAAGTAACGGAACAAATTAAAGACAAAATCTTTCTTTGCTATGCAAAATCTTCGTACTCTTAGGTTAGAAAAAAAGAATAAAACATATGCCATAATTATGATTGATAACTCCGCCATTGATTAACGGTTCAGTTCGTTAAGAACTTGCACTATGGGTGTATTTGTGTAAAGTGAAGGTTTAATTATATGTTCTCGTTGATGAGTAACATCCACTTGATGTTGCTGCACTCGCTCAACTTGTTCTCGAATGCTTGCGCCATTTATAGGTAAGTCGTATAGCTTGCTGACCAAAGTAAAAACATTTTCACAATCTGAGATGTCGTCTGCTATACTGAATTTTCTATTCGTTGAAGTTTCTTTGAATAATTTCGTAGCTTGTTCATGATCTTCGACCATTTTCTTTAATCCCTCAAGAACACCTTTGTTATTAGCACCATTCTGATATTTACTTTCCTCCTCATGAATATAATAACGTATGTACTGAGTAACATCGTCATTATAGGGAATCATTGAATGTTTTCGCACGAACCGTATCAGTTGGTTGCAGATGTCAACGATAGCTGCTTGTTCTCGCTGCAAACCTTCAACGAGATTATCAATATCTGCCATGGCTGTACGTAGAGTACAGTCGTTGATTTTGACATAGGTGTTGTATGTCTCATATACATATGTAATGTGCATATGTGCACTCCAACGACATCCACAATTTTTGCATTGGCCTGTTTTTTTGTCGATAGCAGAACATTTTTGTAAGATTGGATGTCCCAGAGATTCTGCCGAAACACCAGATAAATAACAACGTGAATGACAGTGGGTTTTATAGTTGACTTTCGTGCCAGTGCCAACAGTAATCATCTCTGTGCATTTGTCTTTAGTTGTACAAACTGTTCTTGGATACTCAAGCGGAATACTTTTCCCTGCTTTCTGTATTATGGTCGCTGGAACAGCATTTGTAGAACGATTCAATATATTTTGTTTGCCTTGTTCAGCTTGAACTATATTTTCTTGAATAAGCCGTGCTATTTCACCTATTGGACGTGCAAGTTGTCGAATTAACTGACGGGCCGTATTTATTGATAAGCTGTCACGTACGGCGTGTAGTCCACACTGATTGATTTTTTTTAGCAGTCGAACAGTTTCTTCCACAGATTTCTCCCAGCTTTTATCGTAACTTGTCCTATCATGGACTGGTACGGAAACGTTATTCTTATGCGCCGCTAAAAGTCGAAATGCTTCATTATCGAAGGTAAATGAGTTGTGCACATTGAAAGGTATATCAGTACTCCATAATTCTTTGATTTCTCTGAGAAGTTCTTTAATTAAAGGCGTTGTGCTACCAAGCCGATAAAATGTTGTTTTTCCGGATGTGAATACAAACATAAGGTTTTCCGCTGCGTTTATATTCAGATGTGTCAACAATTGTTTGAAACAAAAACGAAAGCCAACAGTTAATCGCTCTTCATTTGGTCTAAATAACATGCAAATACCGTTCAAATGTTCATACTGACTCAAATAGCTGAGAATATGGTCGCAATTTGTAGTATCTTGGTCAACACCTCGTACATCACCAACACCAGGGGTGTCTATCAAACGTAAGACACGATTTCTAAATAGAAAAACGTAACTTTGGCAGATTTGAGTGCTTGATTGCCCAACTTCTTGACACTTTTCATGATCAGATGGTTCTCCAACGGATATTCGAATAGATTCATTTTGATCTGAAGCTGGATCTGATATAAAAAACGAGGCAGGAATAAGCACTTTCATTTCACTATTCAGTGCTTCATCGAGAGTACTATAAAAGAGATAATTAGCAAGTGCATTGATGAATGTCGTTTTCCCAGCTCCTGTTTGACTCAGCAACACAATATTTATACCACTTTCAGAAGATCTGTGCCGATTGAATCGCGCCATAGATTATCTGTTAACACCTTTTTTTACGAAGTATAAGATCAATTGTATTTTCAAAGGTATTTATAGGCGATATGTTGGAATTTTCTCCATTGTTATCATGACACTGATAAGAAAGAAAGGTCGTTCTTGTTTTATTTTGTTAAAAAAACGAGTATTGTTGCTATCTTCTTCTAGATTGTCATCAATACAGATACTTCGCCTGTACTTCACCTATGAAGAAAAAGAAATGAGCTCCTTCTTTTCTATATTTGCAGAAAGAAAAACAAACATAATACGTTACCCGAGTGCAAGTCGCGTGTGTAAAAGAAGCGTTCTTTCTTTTTGTTATCAGAAAATTTTTATTTTTTTTTAGAACGAGAGATAACACGTAAGACCTGTTTTTTGTGCTGTACACGCTGATTATCGGTAGTACGTGGTAGTTAAATTTCGTTTGAAGTCTAACATTAAAAAAATTCAGATTCTTTGATTTGTGCTAATAATATATGAAATCCATTGCTCATAAGAAATTTTTCTTTGAAATATAGATGTTATTCATTGAAACGAAGAAAGTAGAACTGCAGTCGACAGATATGTTACTCGGTCGCACAACCATCGATTCATCTGGTCGTTTGGATTCGTTGTATAACGCGTGCCAAGATCAAATACTTGGAGACCTAAGCATAAGCAAAGACAGATCGATGATATGCTGCAACGTCTCAAAGTCTGTTTACATACTGAAAAGGGTGACTTGACATGGGACTCGTATGATGAAAATCTTGCTAGAAATATTCGTGATACTAAAATCTACTCAAATATTGTTGATATAAATCATTCGATGTCTTTACTAAATGTATGTCAACGTATACAACGAAATAGGAACACACGTACGATCTTTTCGTCAGTTACTTACTATCTTCACTCCATCAAATGGTTATACCCTGAGTATAAAGGTGATAGTGTTAGTTTCACTTTATTATCACTTGTTCTCATAGAAAGAACCGAAGAATAGTTACTATATATCAAAATCTTCATGGTGAAGATGATTGAATATTTAAACGAAGATATACCAGAACTAAGCAACAGGCGTAAATCATAACCAGGCCAGTGTAGTTCGGCGGTTGGCTAAATTACTAATCGATGTTCGTAGTGATCGCAATTCGATGATTTTATTCAAAAAAGAATTGAAAAGCGACGATCTAGTTAATTTAAAAGAGCAATGTAATCGCTTAATTGGATATGTACAAGAACTTCAAGAAAAAGCCAGTCTCATTGATCATTTAGATTGATTGCACTTCAAATATGTCAATGTTTATGACGACGCTCTAGATCACATCGATACTGAACAAACTATAGAGCAAAAATTAGTTTATGACATCAATACGGATCGAATTATCTATTCCACAACTGCGTTAGAAACTAAATATCGGGAACAATTAGGAAACTTGCGTCAAAAACTAATGCGAGATTATAAGAACAATTCAGGTTTACGTTTGATCTATGGAGACTTTTCATATTCTTCTTATAAATCGCATAACGTAGTCATAATTCCTTCGGAGTGATATGATCTTAAAAACACCAAATTGAATTACAATACAACTGCAGAGTTCACACACGGTAATACACAGGCCGACGAGACGAATCACATCATTGTGCAGCTTGGTACCAAGTATTTTTCAAGGACGTCATCATGAGAAGTGACAGAATTGCAAGATCATAAAACTGTCTCGATTCTTTTATTACAGTCGAGTGGTGTCGGAAAATCCACATTTATCAATACATTCGCAAATTATCTTCATTTTAACACATTTGATCACGCACAAGCGGGTAAACCTCTTGTGCTCATGCCAGTTTCATCTATTATTACTACTGGTGACGATTTCGAAGAGCATATTCTGTATTTCAACGACACCAATGATCCAGATAATGAGAATTTCAATCATCTTGGTCAATCAATTACGCAACATTGCAAATCTTATGAGTTTGAAATTGATCAAACCAATGGAACCAAATTGTGTATCGTCGAAACGCCCGGTTTTGACGATACACGTGGAATCGAACAAGACGATCGAAATATGAGAGAGATTTACGATTGTATCAAAAATCCTCTCTCTCATATTCACGGTGTTTGCGTTCTCCTAAAACCGAACGAATCACGACCCATTATCTACTTTCTTACATATCTTACCCAACTATTCTCGATTTTTTGGACCGAAAATTAGTAATAATCTTACATTGTGTTTCACCAATTGTCGTTCGACATTTTATGCGCCGGGCAATACTGCTCCATTACTGAAGAAAATGCTTGCATTATTGTCTATGAGTGATATACTGTTCAGAAGGTAAAACACATTTTGCTTTGGTAGTGAATCACTTCGATATTTAGCTGCTCAACAAAACAACATTGAATTTGACGAAGGAGAAAAGGAAGAATATAAAAAGAGTTAGATAACTTCGTGGAAAGCAGCAAACCGTCTGATTAACTATGTCTGTAATCATCTTTCTTTGCTTCAGTTATAAATAGAAGACAGCTATGAAAAATAACTTCAAGAATAGAGTTTCTGAACAACTTGCTAAGAACATTCATGAAAATATTGGCAGAGATCAGAAAGAAACTAGTACCACTGTATAGTTTTCTTTTCTACCCGAATTTTTATTTTAAGAACATGAAGGTAACTGCAAAACAAAAAACTTTACTCCTCTTCGTACTTTTAATTTTTAATTTTTTAAAACAACATAGCACACTTCTGAGATAACATGAAAGATAAATAGATAGATATGTGGTGAAAGCTTCAAAACAGACACAATATTCACCTTTAAAATGTTACCGTCAACGAATACAATTTGTATATTAATCTTTTCGATATCATTTGTGGCCAATGGGAAAAGCAATGATATTAATCGGCCAACAGTCGGAATCATTCGTTGGGATGCATGGAATTTAGTCCATGGACAATACGATGAGATTTCATTTTATTCACATCGAGCAATGAGTCCGGAGCATTTTCACTATCGGTTACCATTTTTTGCAAAAGTCAACTCGGATACAAATGTAACAATCAATGGGGATACACAAGAAATTATGGATAAAGAAATCCTATATGCAAGTTACGCTGGTTTTGATTATTGGGCATTCGATACGTATTGTGCATTTGGTCCTAATTGTACAACGAACTCACCATACTGTGCTCAATACTATCAACAAACATCGACTCGATATTGTCCACAGAATCCTGCTTATGGTTTATATCGTTATTTGTCAAGCAGATACATCGCCCTGATTAACTTTACATTCGTTCTGTTAGGATCATCACCATGTGGAGACGAATTTCAAGAATATTATATTGAACTTATGATGCATCGACAATTTCAGACTGTTCTAGGTGGTCGACCATTATTATATCTGTTTCAGTTTGATGATCAAGAAGCTCAACTCTGCGGTGGAGGTTGGGAAGGTAGTCGACGTGTATTTGATAGTTTTCGTCAAAAAGTTATCAATCGAGGTATCAGATCGAGTTTTAAATGATTCATATCCACGTAGGTCATTTCAGGTTTACAAAATCCGTATCTAGTTCTCATGGACGGTGATATCCAACGATGCAAAATCCGTGCAGCAACAATTGGATTCGATGCAATATCATCCTATGGACTTGGTGGCGGTGGAACCGTCCAGGTAACATCTTTTTCGAACGTTTACCTTTAGAGATATACTAATCGTCTGCTTCAAATAGGGTTCTCCATTTAGCGATGAGGTTCAACGAAGTGTACAGTAAGTAACGTGAGTTTTCGAATCTATTGAAAGAAATGCAAATATGTGAAATAGATGGTGGAATGCAGCGCTACAAAGTGGAGCAAAAGTTGTTATTCCACTTTCTACGGGTTGGGATCCTCGACCACGATATGAACACCCAGTTCCGTGGGTTGATCAAGGGCCTGAACATTTTCTACAGCCAACTGCTAAGGAATTGCAAGATTTTCTCAAAACTTCGCTCGAACTAACATGTACTAATCAAAATGTAACAGAAGCACAGACAGTCATTGTTTATGCTTGGAATGAGAACAGTGAGAATGGAGCGGCATTAATTCCATCAATCGGTAATGGGACATATTATATTTCAGCTCTCTCCGACATGCTTCCAATGACTTGTTAGACAAAGAATTCTTGACGTTTTTTTTGCACAGTTACGGAAATTTTAAATATCAACGCTTTTTTTCTGTCTGATGATTATTTATGTGAAAACCAAACGACGCATCAACATAGTGTCATAAATAATTGTTTAAACATCATATTATCGTTCCATTATTTATATTTTCAATCTTTCGAATTCAAATAAAAATCTTTCTGCGTAGTATCAAAAGCACAAGACTACTTAGCACATAAGAAGATTTTCTCGAGACTTTCCTTGTCGCACGAAGCCAATAATCTGTTAAATACCAATCTTCTCTACGTTCTGCTTATGAGTGTAAGTTTCTCTATATATTTCATCAGTGCGTGTCAAATAGGAAGAGTTAATGTGCTCCCTTTCACTTTTACTATTAATATCCGTGACTACCAAATGAATTATCAATGAAAGGATGGTTCTTGTGATAGTATCGGCTAAAAGTTTTCTTTTTCTCTCTTGGATGTGAAGCGTAATGTTCTTTCACTCTGGAGACATCTCAATACGGATATCATGTCTTTTCCTGCGTTGTCGCTTTTTCTTTCTCTAGTAGGCGGAATTATCTTTTCTTCTACTCATAAAAGCACACCTGTGCTTTCCTGAACTGTCACATTTTCTCTCCAAGAAGAATGCAAGAAAAAGCTGCTCTTACTCTTCTTTTCATTGCATTCATTTGACAGATCATTATGTCTTCAACATTGTCGGAGAAGTCATCTTGTGCAGCGACATGCACGGCTTCAAGTGATACATTATGTGATGGTTGTGGGAAATCATATTGTAATCGCCACTCATCAAAACATCGAGAACGATTAACGAAACAAATGGAAAAAGTCCTTTTATATCATGAACAACTTCAAAAATTATTCCATAATGATACAAAAATAGTTCTCAATCATCCGTTAATGAAACGAATTGATGATTGGGAACAAGAATCAATTTTGAAAATCCAACAAACAGCAAAAGAGACGCGACAGCAATTAAAATCTGCTTTGAACAAATACACGGCAGATATGAATGAAACATTCCGGCAAATAAGCGAACAGTTAAATACAACCCGGCGAGAAAATGATTGTATGGAAAGTGAAATCAGAACATGGCTAGAAAAACTAACTAACTTAAAAAAAGATTATCGCACGCCGAAAACGATTAATATTCGTCTAGACGAACATTCGCCCGGATTTATCAATAAAATCAATCTTCATTTCGTATCACTGGATTCCTTCTGTCAATCAATTGGAGATATTCAATATGACCCGCATACACATACAATTCTACATGGACCAACAAGTGGCGATGCAACTATTCGTGGCATACTTGAATTTACTTCTGGTACACATCGGTTCCGTTTCCAGATTTGTAAATTAGGTATACCGAAATGGGTTTTCTTTGGTATTATCTCCAAGAATACACCATTGCAAGCAACTTTATATAAAACACCAACGGCGTATGGCTGGGCTGGTCATCATCAAGTGTGGTTAAATGGAAGTCATTATCATCAATACGATGGATTTAGATTTGAAATGAACAATAATGATGTCATTGAGTTATTCGTCGATTGTGATCGACGAAGCATACGATTAACCAACGAATCATTAGCGATGCAGCATGAACTCGAAATAGCACTGGGCAGATGTCCGTTTCCATGGGTACTTTACATCGGATTGTATGGTGCAAAAGATCAAATTCGTTTACAAGTAGCTTGATTAGTACGCTGACAATCAGATTTTATTTGTAAGAAAATCGTATAAATAGAACAAATTACGTTCAAAGCAAAACTCGATATCGATTCATATTCCAATAAAAACAAGTTTGACAGAAAATAAATAAGCATCAAACACAAATAATCCGATGAGAATAATCGATATGCATCACTTTTAGTTGTTGTCTCAGAACTGGATACTGTAGTTGTTAACATTGTAGAGCTAGTCTCTATTGAAGTAGTAGTAGTGGGAAAAGAACGACGACTACTACTGGTACTCGCTGCTGTAACTGTAATTGTTGATGTTATTGTACTTGTACTGGTTGGCATGAGAGAAGTGCATTGATTAACTTCAATATCATCGAAAGCAACAGATACTGCTGTTGGTAGAGTTTGTCGTACATTGAAATAGAATTTTCCAGCGCATGCATGATGCGGTAAAGGTACGATTGCCGTTTGCCATCCTTCACTGCTGTTCAATGCTAAAGACCATACCGTGGTTGCATAACATCCACCAGGTGACAAGGATATCTCTGTTGCATGCGTTCGACTTACTGTCGAGTTCACATAGTAAGCCAATTTGATACATGAATCGCGATTTTGATTAATTTATATAGATGTGTACATTCGACCAGTGTCACTGGCAGTAAATGGTAGGCGTTGAACCCAATAAAGAAAACCACCTGTTGTAGAATTTGTTGTATGATCTCGATTGGGACCAAGTTCTTTGTTTGGTAGCGTTTCACCAGTCACAACGGTAAAATTGGCGGTTGGCGGAAAAAAGGGATCATTATTAGTCATACCACACTTTGAGGGTGAGTTGTAGAAAATATAATGACCAGAACGGTTGTTTAACGTGTGATCATGATCGATCGGCTGCGGATTGAAACCATTTGTTAAACCCCAATTAGAACCTGTAGTGAAATCATTGCAATTCGTCTCAAAATCACATCGTACAATTGCTGTTTCAGTAAGCAGTGCATTGCAGACAACGATAAACAGGAGAAACAACATCTTAAATAATCTTTATCTATTCGTCGTTCGTTCTTTATATACGAAAGCACGCATGGAATATCGCATTAATATTTCGGAAGAATATATCTTCATATATAAAGTAATAGCGTGTGTACCAAGTAGGCGGAGGTAAAATGTTCTCGTTAAAGTTGCCTGGAACGATCTCAAAACAAATATTAGCAGTATGACTTAGTAGAAAGTAGATAAAATGAGCCGGATAAAACAAAAGACGCGTGGTCGTATGATACTGAGGGTAGTTTCATAATCGTGTTGTTTTGTAACCAAAACAATGAATTCTAAATAGTGATAACAATCCGTTTGATAAGGATTCTAAGTGACGTATGTCTGTGAAAGAAAGAGATACACAGTGCAACTATACGTACATGACTCTATTTGTTCTATAGAATGTTTCTGAAGGTGGGAGTTGTGTTGATTCATCGCTTTTCTCTTACGCCTACAACACAGAAAAGAAAATTATTCAGTATACATTATTAGAAACATATTCTCTCTCTTGTCTTGTATAACTACTTATTCTACGACAGAGTATATAAATACAATCGCTTTACCAACTTGGTTGCATACTATTTTCCGGCTGTACCGAGTGTATTAGTGTTATTTGCGTTGATTGAAGACAATGGCTAATTACGGACCAGCGTATGGAACATTAGCGAGTAACCTAGCAAAGGTAAGAATCAGATAAGGTGAATACGTTTTGAAATTAATGTTCATCTATACCACACGTTTTGGAAGAAATCTCCTTCATGGTGATGTTGCCACTGAGATAGATACGTTTTTTTCTAATCGTCGATCTTGAAGTGGGGTACAGGTTGCTTTAAACCGTAAGAGATGAAATAACTTTTCCCAGTGAATTATTAATACAGAGAGGTTCATCTATATTCAAAATAAAGATTCGTTCGTGTGGTAAACAGAGTTTATCATCACTTTATCAAGAGAACAGCCTAGTTATTGCTAACGAAACCATTCCTTTCTCTCTCTCTCCTTTGTCATTGAAACTGTCATCATTTTGGCATACAAGTAAACGTATACATAAATACATGTCATTTATCTCTAGATGGCGATAAAACGCGATCCAGAACTCGAGAAAGAAGCACAAGCATGGATTGAAGAAGTCATTGGGGAGAAATTTCCGAAAGGAACTTATGAAGATGCACTTACAGATGGTATCATACTGTGCAAGTATGACAATTGTCTGAATACACTAATATTTCTACTCCTTGTCTTTCTCTGACATTATTTAAGATTAATGAATAAGCTCGAGCCAAACTGTATTCCTAAATATGCGACAAAGGGCACAGGGTTTATTTTGCGAGAGAATATATCATTATTTCGTAAGTTGTCATGAGACGACTCATTGAACTCTGATTGTTATGATATCTTCTTGTTTAAACCAGAGAATGCTGCTCGTGCCTACGGTTTATTGGATGTTGATTTGTTTCAAACAGTTGATCTTTACGAAAAGCGTAATATTGCTCAAGTGACACATTGCATATTTCAACTTGCTCGACAAGTAAAGTCATTTTACTAGAATTTCCATTACAGTGATATTGTTTTGTTCCATAGGCGGAAGTCAAACAGTTCCATGGTCCGATCCTACATCGAAAAACGCCCGAACCGCGTCCATTGGAAATCAGCGAACGGCAATTGTTTGCTCGTAAAAGTCTCACAGGTCTTCTCGACGATGGACTCAATATGTTTGCCAATGCAGCTCGTAATAATAGTTAACAGTATCACGTACGACACGTGTCAGAAAACTATAGGACCTTTTTACCAATCTCATCACTAATAAAATATAGAAGATTACTGTTCTTAACAACTTTGTAAAACTTAGTTACCGCATATGAATAACATGCTCATTGATACAGAGAATCCCTTCTTCATCGAACTGTCTAACTTAATTTAAATGTAATACGATCAGCTTTTGAATATCTATTTTCAATAAGCTGGCTATTTAAAAAATAGTGCGACAGCATGAAGATGAACATACCAAGTAAGATTTTCAAGAGACGATCAAGTGACAAGCTTCAAATTATCTTTAAAAACAGCTTCTCAGCTGAACATCCACTTATATACTAAACAAAAAAACTTTAAACCATCCACTGTAGTGCCGATCGATAATATTCTTTAAAAATGGATGTTTCCAATGAGACGTACTATATCACCAATCTAAACAATGCAGTTATGTATTTGAATAAGTATATTCTCATCATATTCTACGTATTGGGCAATATTGGAAATTTGTTGAGTATTTGGATATTTATGAAAAAGTCATGGAGGAAGAATGTTTGTGTATTATATTTTAAAGTTTCTCTTCTTATCAGCACATGTTATCTCAATTCAACTATCCTCGGAGCAATTTCGAATTTTGGTTTTCAAGTTTACCTGCAAAATTCAAATGTTATTATTTGTAAAATTCATTATTACTTCTCTATTCTCTTATCAGTTCTATCACCGACGATTCTTCTTCTTGCTTCAATCGATCGCTTACTTATCTCATCTCAAAATGTTGACACACGATTGTACAGTTCGAAACGTTTGGCTTATTTTTCTATAAGCATTGGTATAACCTTCTGGAGTCTATTTTTCATACACATCCTTGTTCAAATAGACATTCATCAGATTAGTCCGATGGAATTCGTCTGCAGTTATGTTTCTCCCAAATGGTATTATGATTTTGTTACTTATTCATTAGGTGTTATCAATGTCATAATTTGTCTTCTCATGATCATTCTATGCCTGTTTGCGTTTAAAAATGTTCAACGTATTCGAGCTGCTCCGCTAGGAAAACATGCGGAAATTCGATCGATGACGAAGAAAGACTTTCAAGTACTTCGCTGTTTATTTGTTCAAGATGTTATTTATATATTTTTCAGCATGGTAGTTATCATCTATTATGTTTATGCGGCCATAACAGCTGACAAACGACGAACGGCTTTGGGGTTAGCCGTTATAAATTTCGCCGATAAATTTGTCACTTTTCTTTTTAATATCTCGTATTCGACATATTTCTTCGTGTTCCTCACCGTGTCAAGAGCATTTCGAATGGAATTAAAACGTTTGATTAGAAAGAATCTCACATTGATACATGATGAAGAAAACAGACAGAATATTCCACATATAAGCGAACACGCGGAGGATGTTGTACACACAATCGAAATTCCTAAGTAATTTATTAAAAAAAATGTCTTGCGTACCGCCTTATTGTTAATCTTTTAATTGGAAAGTATTTATGTAGATTAAAAAGGAAACATCTTTTTTCAAAATAACTATGTCTGATTCGTTTTCTTTGTAAGTATTTTTTATCTCGATCATTATCAATAATCATACTCTACTTAGTCTTGTAGACATTGATAACGACAAATCCATCGTGTTTAACTATCGAGTTCACATGAAGTATTATGTACATTCAGATCCTATGTTGTCGAGTAAAAGAGTAGAAAAACTTTCCATTTTGAATAAATTGACTTTACTCTACATTGCTGTCACTTTGAATATTAGCTTTAGTTGTTACTATGGGTATGGTTGAGTAGTCTGAACCGAATGGTGATTGTAGAAGATTGTATTTCGTTGAAATTTCTTTCAGATAAATGATGTGGACGTTCGCATTGAATTTGTCGTGTTTTATCACTTGAAATTGAGTAGCAGGTAAGAGTAAAATTTCATTTTCAGCTTTGTTATATGAATGAGATTGAATTGGCTTTCCATTAGTACTTTCGATATGAAATAATGTTCGAACACCGTCCACACCAAGATACTTCTCGGACAAAAGTATATCGTGACAGTCCATGCATGAACTAAGAGAGAGGAGGTTGTGTTTATATACACATTTGACGACCGATTTCGATTACCTGAATCCCCACCAGACGAAGATTTTCTCGATTGGATACTTTTCCCTGGCATCACCTTTGACACCACGCCACACGATGCGACTCACCGATTTAAGTTTCCAAAGAGCCGTTAGCAATAATTTAAAGTAGGGATAGTATGGAACCAGTTCATCTCGATCTTCTTTTCTCAATGCAGCGTTAAGTTGCATCAACAGCGAAGGATAACCTGGTTTTCCATCCATCGTATAGAGTTGAATTGCAGCAGATTCATCGATAGTCAATTCGTCCGTAAGTTGAGTGCTTCTTTCCAGTGCAATCCAAGCATATCGCTCTATTCTACGTACGAATTTATCCAGATTTTCTACGGCAGTTGTCAGAGATAATAGTGGTACATTGTCATAACCTTCAATTCTATTATGATATTAGGAAAATAAGTGACTATAAAATGTTATTTTAGAAATATCGAACGTACGGTAACATCATAATGAGTGGTTCGGAGAGAATATCAAAGAAACGTTGATTTGCTTTATGAATTTCATTGTTTTTAATCTCAGCATCGCATTTTGTCTGAGATTCTGAACTTTTGGATTCATCTTTCGAACTAGTTTGAGCATTTTCTACAAAGAACGAAAATTCTCAGCACCTTCTTCAACACTAACGATAAAAACTAATTTGTTACCATTAAAATCCAACACAATGCTTGATGGTTCTAAATAATCAGGTTTTTCATTCCGTTTGAATGGAAATTCTTTTGTTACTGCCATGCATGATAACGGATTACCAGATGGATTTTCATTACGGCAAGGAGATACTGGCGTCGACTTAATCGATAGACTTGAGAGAGAAGATTCATCTGTATCACAATATTCATACTGGCCTTCTGGTCCAACATTCGTCTCACCATTAGAAAATACAAGATCTACGATAAAAAAAGTACGATTTCATATTCATTACGTGTGTATTTATGAAGAAGAAAAACTTTACAATTATCAACATGGTGTAAGTTCGATTGAGCAGGTTCAGAGCAAATCCGACGTTTTGGTTCAATGGACGCTGATAATGTCGATCTTATTGATAACGATAAGTCATCACGATTGCTCTCACTTTCGTACGATTCAGCGGGAATGACAATATAAGTATCTTCTTGATTAGAACCTGGAAAGTTTAGAATTCATGAAGACGTACATGAAACGGGGTTTCTCTACATACCTGAAACATTCCGTCCATCAGGAACAACAATTTCTGTGCCCTTCACCGCTAACTTCATCGCTCTATCAGCCGCAGCTTTACGTAGTTTTTCAATTATTACACTGCTTGGAATGTCCTCGACGTATTGATCATTGAGTTCAATAAGTCGATCACACTTACGTAAACCTGCGTTGAATGCTGGTGAGTGTGGTGAAACTTCTTGAATAAATACTCCAGTATCGTTATGTCCGTCGACAATGTCAAAACCAAATTTAGTTTCTTTCGTTTTTAAGTAAACGACACATGTACGTAAAGCATTTCTTGAAAACTGGACATATTCTTCTGGCATTACCTTTGGACAAGTGTGTGTCTTGAAAGCACAATGATGAATAGTTAAATTGTTCTTCTTTAAGACTTTATAGATATGTTGTTCGACAACAAGTAATTCTAATGGTTGATGCGGGTTTCGAAGTGACACAAGAAAATTAATTAGATCAATAAATTTCATGTCGGACGTCTTTCGATTGTTGACTGCAAGAACAACATCGTACATTTTCAAACCACCAACTGCTGCTGGACTGCCTGATTCGATTAAATTGATCAGATGTGGTGGTTGTGTGCATTTACTCAATTGAAAACCATAACCATTATAATTTCGCCAACTGAACAATCGACATAGTCGTACATTTGCAGATTTTATGATATCTTCACTAGTTTTCCGTTCCATTATTCATATCCATGAAATTTTAATCTAGGAGTGCGATTGTAATTAGAACAGGATCCGAGACAAGATTTTTAGACAGATGAGCAAATCTAGCTAATAAGTCTGGAAAATCTTTATATTACTAAACGTTTCAGAAATAATCGAGCATAGGGAGAGCAAAAAAAGATGTTTTGAGATTAGAAAGCATAGAAGATGAAACAATACTTTTTTCAAATACTTTCACCGAACATATGTAAGAATTCTCACGTCAAAGGCTAGTCAAATATTTTCAGTTAGTTTTTCTACTTATAAATAAGTTTTACTAGTTGATTTAGATGAAAGAAAAATACTTAGTTTACTAAGGAATACAAAATAATGAATTTTAATAGTTAATTGCTCATTTAATCTCTTTCCTAGCTACTTCACTGAAATTAAGGAAGTGTTATGCTGTGATATTTATCGTTCTGAATAATGTTTCGAAAGAAAGTCATAAAAGAATTCGTCAATATTTGCTATAAACTGTCTATCATGCTTCGTTCTTTATCATGTGATGTATAATCATTCTTTTTGGCTGAAACTATTTCATTCGAATAAAAGAAAACTGATCCATACGATCTATCATTCGTCAAATGACCGTCTATTAAAGATATTTATAGACAAAATGAGGTTGATGCTGGCGCACGATGAGTTCTTTAAAAATTGTCTACTGTAGAAAATGAAAAAGAACGAAGGTAAGTTTTATTGGAAGTGTGCGACTTGATTATACATTCACTTTGCTTTACGGTGTAATAAAATACGAAAAAATATATTTTGGATATAATAGACGATTACTGAATTCGTTTATCATGAAAACATTGACTCTTTCTTTCGGATACTTGACTCTTATCCGTCGATATCAGTCACAAGATATTTGGTAGTCTATATGCATTTATCTAATCAAAAGATAACTTTTCGACTTGATACACACAGTATTGAATAGAATTTTATCCGACCTCGTTATGAAATACACGAGAAAAAAAGTAAAGATAGATTCTTTAGATTAAACGATGTGAAGTATTTGTTTTTCTTTTCAAATATATCGAGGAAATATGTACGTTCATTGTCTGTCATCTCTCAAGCGTATCGTACACATACACGTTTATCTTGTTTCTTCATCGTTCAGCATACATTCATATTTCTAACCAACTGCAGCCAGTTGGATGTGAATGTCATTCGAGCCATCAACATATGATATGTTTGTTACATTTTGAAAACGATAAGTAACGCAAAACCATGTTGTATCAACTGTAAGATATAAATTCTCTTGATTTAGTTGTCCAAGTTGTTGTATATTCGGCTAGTTGGATCCCATCGATACATGTACACACAAAATCAAACGTTTCCTTCCCTCCTGTTCAGCAACGAGAAATCATTAGTTTTGATTTCATTAGCAAATACTATCATAATAGGTACCACGCGACCCAATGGACTATCTGCACTGTTATTGAAACTCCCGTTCGTTTATTCTATTTCGAATTCTTAACTGTAAGTTTTTATTGAACCATCATTTTCAACGGTTATAGTTTCGTCTGACATCATATCCTATGTATTTCAATTCTAGATTGAAAAGAAACGTGTGCATTATCTTATTCAAGCGTCTTCTTCATGTTAACAAAATTACTTCCCACATGAGTCGATCCGACATTTGTCCTGGAACAATAATTCGTTACTAACAATTGTACTACATCATATATTGATCTATGCGTTGCAGATTTTTCGTGGAATCAAAAGTCTAATGATCGCAAAGCATAAAGCCAAGGATATTTTTCTAAACCAGCGTTTGGATCATTTTAGATTATATACACTTTTATTTGGTAATTTAATCAAAGCCTCCTATTTTAATAATAATGATCACATCATATGTCTTATTTTGTTTTCTTTTGTCATCATGTCCAACCAAATAAAGCTTATCACGATTATGAAACAAATCTTCATCTTTTGTTATAATATATCCAACTAAATTTCCTACTAAACACTTTCGGATAAATGGTCAATTTTTTAACGCTCCTTTCTCATTATAAACGATGTTTTTAACAAAAAATTGATTCGAAGAAAAAAACATTTTCGTGATTGAGAACTCTTCACTGAATAGGACATACTTTAAAGATCATCGCCAATCTTATCGTATTCATGCTTGAGCAACCCGATGAAACAAACGAACAAATACTATTGTTGCTCGCTTTATAATCTGTTCTAAACTACCATGATGAAAATTGATTCAGTCGATAAAATCTTGAACCAGCGTTCAAGTATAACCAACAATTCGAGAAGGATGTATAATAAAGTAAAACATCGAAGTTTGTTTTTTAGATAATCAGTGTTAGTTCTGAAACATTCTGATTTACAGAATGTGCAAAATAAACACCGTATTGGTTCAATCTACAAATGGTTATTCTCCAACGAATACCTGATTGTTAATTATCCATATTTTTTCTTCTGTTTTTAGGGTTTCCTGTTAGCAGCGAGTGAGTCGTTAATGATTCGTCGAAAAAGAAACACAACTGCTTGGACACAATTATACGATGTAAGTGAGATTTTTCGATCGTTGAAATGCAAACAATGCACAAATGTCTCACCTTCATTTTCCTGTTCAAAAAAAGTATATTCAATCATCAATAGTTCTTAACCACCATGTGTTTTCGTTTTCATTGTGAAACCAAAACACATCCATCAAAGTTATTTTTCAACTAACACTTTGTTAAAATAAATAGGAAAGTGTCTTATCGAAATCGCATTAGACAATTCTATATATTTACATGTTTTTATTTGCTGCTATGTGAACTAAGATAAAAAGCCAAAACAATTGCAAGAAAAATAAAAATTTTCCTCAAAATTGGCCACATTCGAGTAGAAAATTCTTTTTTTAGACGACATATCTTGAGATGCTCTTCGAGATTTTCTCTCATACCTTTCCATCCACAATTATCGGTGCAATCAACGATTTGTTTTGGACAAGTAGACGTCATGTGATCATTAAAATTCCCTCGTTCGATATTGCTTCGTTCACATAATTCACATTGGACTAATAAGCGATTCAATTGGTTCAATACTACACGACTAATCACAGGTAAAAATTGATTTCCTTGCTGCCGGCACGACGGACAAGATGCTTGATGTGTCATCCATCTTTCAATACATTCTTGACAGTAAGTATATCCACATGATCTACAATTCACTGGTGATTGGAGTGGCTCATCACAAATGGAACATTTCAATTCCACATCGATTTGATTTTCATTTATATATCTATAAAGCATCGTCTTGTTTATCGACAAACACTTACAATTTGACTTTAAAAAGTAACGTGTACTTGTCTTGTGATAGCGTGTAGTATACAATGGGGAAAGAAGAACGAAAAAGAAAAAAAAATTTCTCTTCGCATTTCACGTAATGGCCACCACGTGCTTTGTTTTCATGCAATGTTTTGTTTTCATGTCGGACTACCTGGCAATAAAAATATTACAAAAAGAAAATTTTTTTCAAGGATATGAACGTGAAGACAAATTCTACTCCAGCATATTTTTTTCGCCATTGGCTTAGAAAATACTGATCGTTCACGCATGTGTTTATCATTCTTCCTCTCTCTGCGATTGGACACGTCCTTTTTCGTTCTGTCTGCATGTTGGAATATTCCTCGTCCATATAAAATTCAGTTCAGCAAATATGGGTGGTAACTTATCTTCATCAACAAATGACATCATCTCATCAAGTTTAATATCATCTCAATTAATACACCGTCATACACTTTCCACATGTTATGATGCCATATTTGATGTGTCATTATCCTCAACAAGCAATTCTATCCTTTTAAGTGACGACGGTAGACTTCGATTATTTCATATCGATGTAGAAAATAATGGCCAACTAATCGAGACAACGACATCAACAAATAAGGTTTTAACTCACGAACAAATTCATGATATTGCTTGGAGTACACTATTGGAGCGTTTTCTTGTTCTAACATCGAAACGTTTAACGACATACGATCACGAGAATAATTTAGTTGATTTAGATTTAGGACTCGAAAAAAGTCAGTTACATTCAAGTGAAACTTCTCTCTATACTTTCCATTCTTAGATAGTCCACCATTCTGGCGTATGACTTGTTGGTCATCTCATCTCATCGTTAATCTTGGCTTAGGCACATCGATTCGTTACCATAAATTACTTTCATCGGCATCAACAGCAATACCTTTAATTCAAACCTATACACGTTCATCTCTTGGTTATACCAATTCCGATCTGCTTTCCTTAGTTTCACTTAGTCCACAACTGATACTTGCTATCAATGTTGAACTGACGAATAACCGTCATGTTATTGATCTTTTTTCAATTGCTGATGAAAACAATTTTCAACGTCTCAAACGTATTCACACCTATGAACCTTGTGCACTTGATATAATAGCCTCATTACGTGATTATACATGGTTATGCAAATCACATTGGCCGTCAGATGATTGTCTCTGTATGATCGAATCAGATGGTGAAGTGAAAAAACTTGATTTACATGAACAGAATGGTTATATACTCAATTTAAGATTGCTTGCTAATCGTTCGCATTTAGTCATTATACGAACAGCAAGTAAATTACCAAAAGAAGTGGATGTTAATGAATTGAATGGAATCGATCAGAGTGAAGAAGAAGAGCAAGAAACAAAGCAGGGACGTAGAAGACAAATTGTAGGCAAATTACCAGGCAATCTTCTGTTGGAAATTTATAAAGTTCCAAATTTAGTCAGATAAGAAATCAAATATTTTTTGTCCTTCTTTGTGTTGGATTTTGGAGAAAATAAATAACTCAAACAACTATCGACAAGTTGAAAAGAATACAAAGTGATAATATCTTTTTTTTTTGGATCGGAAGCACAAATACGAATATTGACACTTGTAACAGATATCTCATTTCTGACATTCTTTAACGAGAGTTTTCAGTCACGTACTATTTATCTACGTATATTTCTTCTTTTCTCCCGATCTGCTATCGGACGTATATAGAATATAGAAATAAATCATGAATATTCGGACCAAATAAAGTTCTCAGTCGTATGGGATACTGAAATCAACATGTTTTCTCAATTTTACGTCTCATTCTCGATCGGAGATGCATCATATTACAAAAATTCACTTGTTAATTATACGTTGTTTCTCTGAAGCGTTTCAATCTCTCAATTAGTTTTCCTGTAGACTTTATTTATCATTAATGTAGAGCAAAGAAAAAATATTTGAATCAATAAACGTGTCTCAGAGAGAAACAATATCTGATCAGAGTATCGATAAATAGTGTACTTTTGATAATGTTCTGATGTGGCGTTCGTAAAAGAAAAAGTTTCATCGAGATATCAAACATGTTCCTAATGAACGTCTTTTGGATACAATTAATAATTGGATTTAGTATTATCGGCATTTCAAGTAAGCCTGACACGGAGTAGACCTTTTGATATGTATGACTATCAGATCACATTGATAGGAATCAAATACGGGAATATATAGTAAGCAGTTTACTTTTCTCCTACCTTCTATTGTTTTTGTCAGCTGTATTCATATTGCTACGATGAGCATAGTTCAAACAATTTACAGGAGATACATGTAGTTATTTGTATTGAAATAATGACCATTGTCTTTGATATTCAATTATTGTATTTCTTTTTTGAGTAGGCAGTGATAATTCACATTCTCTAGTCAGCTCGAATAACCATCATTCGATTTTTCTTATTACATTCGGGAACGGGTCTCGTATATGTCTCAACCACACAGTTACCAATTTTGGTTTCCAAACAGAACTTAGGCCGGAATTCAAAGGTAACTGCACACCAGGAGAGGGAAAGTATAGTTTTGTGAATGTAATTTATTCTCTCGACCAAAAATGGCACACAGGCATAACGGATCATACGGATGACCAAAACGGGTACATGTACTTAGTTAATCTACCTAAGGAAAATGGAATTATTTTCCGCTTCACTGCTACCAATCTTACTGTTGGGTTTCGTTATGAATTCTCCACTTATTTGGCAAATATTTGTTGTCAAATGCCCAAGGTGATCAAACCAAATATTCTTTTTAAAGTCGGATCGGTATCATCATACGGGTTATCTGCATTTGTCAAGGAATTGGCTACAAGGAACATATCTGAATATATTGATACGACTTGGCACAAGTACAGTCTGACATTCAAAGCAACACATTCTTCGTTGACTCTGTCAATGATTTCTGAAAAAGACCGGGGCGCGGGAAATGTTATTGCGATCGATGATATTGAATTACGTCTTATACCGCCTAACCAGTTAGATGTTTGTTCATCAGGTTAGCTATGCATTTGCTCTTAAACATAATAGAACGACCTATTCAGTGGTCATACTGTCATGAAATAATTCAGTCATCTCTGGTCTTTTGTTTCTTTTCCTCTCTATTAGAATTTAACCTATCTAATTAAAATCTAGAATGTGGTCAATAATCTACACGTCTTCGACTTCGCTTTATATAGAAAGAATAGCAAATCTTACTTGATATTAAATTGAAAGGTGTTGATCTTTGAGCTGTTAGCAATATGTTAATCTTAAAGTCGACAAATTTCGACTATCGATTAAAAACTAATGTTGTATCGTCGCTATTCTTCCAGATGTTAATGTATTTTGAATATCATTGAAAGCGTTGATTAAATGTGTTTTTTTTATTTACACGTAGAATCTGATGGATCATTCCCGATCAAGAAGGATGGTCTCGGGAAATCAGTTTTTTTAATCACTTTTGGTAATGGTTCATGCAAGTGTCTAAAAAAAGAAACAGAGAGTTTCAACTTTTCTACAAAGTTTATACGTGATGATAAGTGTGGTCAATCATTTCATGATGGCTACTTTTCCTTTCGGAACAGTATTTCCGGTTTCTCCGGATGGCATAATGGAGAATCAGACCATACAGCAGATGACAATGGATACATGTTTCTGGTCAACTTAGGTGGAATATCAGACTTTATTTTCAGACTAAATGTTACCAATATTAATATTGGATCCCGTTATGAATTTTCCACTTATTTGGCAAATATTTTCAAGCCAAGCGGCATGTCCGTAAAACCCAATGTTCGCTTTAAAGTTGAGTCAATATTACCGAACGGGGTATCTCTATTGATTGCACAATTAGTTACAGGCGATATATCTGAATGCGCTAAGATGACTTGGATCAAGTATAGTTTACCATTTACAGCAACAAGTTCTTTGGTCATTCTGACAATAATTTCCGAAAAAGTCGATATATACGGAAATGATATCGCTATTGATGACATTGAATTACGCCTGTGCTCAGCTGCTTGCTACGAAAATTGTTCTTCTAGTGAGTGCAAATATTGTCTCTCTCCTAAACATTAATACTATTGATAATCTGAGAGACCCTAACAATCGAATATTGACTTTCCTAACGACATCTGACTAGAGAAAACTTTCTCATATTGAAAATTCTATTTAAAAATGTATACGAATGAGGAATTTATGTTTAGCAGATACATACATTTTGAATCGAATGATTTATAAATGGCAACGATAGAATGGAATAGTGTCTATCATAGGTAATAGAGAACTTCACAGTACCTCCATAGTGTATAAGACGACGGACATGATCGAATGCTACTAGGTTTACTAATATATCATCTACCGTCTACTTCAATTTCTGTAATTTTTAATATATTGAACATCGTAAACTAAGATTTATGTTTACAGTGATTTTATCAACGACCGCTCCTGCGGCGTGTGCTTCGGATACCATAACTACAACAATGTCAATGAAAGACGGTATATTTATTTCACCACAAGAACACTAACATCGTTCAATAATCTACACTTTGCTTAGAATTGACAACAAGACTAACAGCAATAACAACAACGATCACGACAATGAAAACAACAGAAACTATACGTATGACAACTACTGAGTTGGTCGGTAAATACTATCCGTTCCTACACTCTTCCGAAGCATAAAGCATTGACTTCTGATCCTTAACTATAGACCGAACAACAATTCGAGCTGTCACAACAACACGAATGTCCAGTGAGCGTTGCCAAAGATTTCTATCTTGCAAATTTCGTGTTTTTTCATTTTAGGTAAACTTCCCATGTTATATTTTATTCCTGAAGCTTGTCACAATATGTCAACTATTAGTCGTAGCTGTAATATCTCTAATAGTCCATGTGAGATGATGAAACCATGTTTAAACGATGGTACGTGTACTGATGATCGCACAACGACTCTGCACTATAGATGCTCGTGTTTACTTGACTTCTCTGGGTCCCATTGTGAATTCGATAATCGAACTTGTACGAAGCATATCTGTTTAAATAATGGTAAAGAGATTCTATTTTGAACATTGTTTATACACGAAAGAAAAACTTGTTTTTGTTCAACTGACAGGCCAATGCGATGCAAGTTTGAAGAAGCCGTTCTATTGTAAATGCAAAGATGGATGGTATGGTCCTCATTGTCAGTGGATGGAACATGGTTGCAAAGAAGGACTCTGCTTAAATCGTGGCGTTTGTCAACCAATACCACGCAATTACACGTGCAGATGTTTGGAAGGTAGTTATTATGGTCGTCACTGCGAATTTGCTACAAGACGATTAACAATCTTGAGAATAGCATCGAAATCACTCGGTTACATAGCAATTATTGCAATAATGACTGTGGTATTGTTCGTCGTTATCTTGGATATCTTAAAATATTGTTTTGGTATTGATGTAACAGGTCGAGAACTAGCAAGATATCGACGAGAAAAACGACGAAAGCGTCGTGTTATTCAACGGTTTGTTTACGTCAACGCTATTCCTCAATCTACCTTAAAAACTACTGCAGAAACATCGCCTTAAATCACAACATCCCCTGCTTACTTACATGGATACGCAGCAGTTGACGATAATATTCTTCTAAACACATCTCTTTTTCTTTTTTATTTAATCGAAAAACAAAATTACACGAACAGTTTTCTTTTTCTTCATTATTTAAACTAAATAAAATCACACATAATCATTTTCTTCAAACTATATTCACGTTAATTTGAAATAAATCGAACATTCGGGCGCCAAGGAAACGGACATTTGCTCAGATCAATTTGTAAAACATACGTTCGTTGCGTTCGTTCGTTTTTTAAACTAATCGTTTCTCGATCACAATCGATCGATAACATTAGAATATCATCTGTTTGAACATCTGTTTTATATCCATCATAATTAGCCTGAATATCACCACCACGATAGACAAGATTCTTCGAGCCCCAACCGTAAAACGTGGGATTCTCATGTGGATTGTCATTGTCTAAACTATTCTTTGATATGATTCCAAAGAGAATAGAACTATTTCGACTATATTGTTCGATTTGAAATCGTAACGAACGTTCACCTCTGGAGTATTCGCCATTTTCTGGCGAATTCGAATAATCATCAGTATACTTTGTCAACTTTCGTTGATATAAACCTTCGGACGACGATTGCGGAAGCGCGTCGTTTGTTATATCATGAAGGGATATTTTTGATATGAACGGCACTGAACTTCTTTCAAAATAAAGTTGAGTGTTTTGTTGTTCTTGGAACAAGTGTTGACACTTTTGTAATCTTTCTAACCAATTTCTGATATCATCTTCGAAGTAACTACCATCTTTTTGAGCTTTATCCAGCTGTTGACTTAATTTACTTAATTGTTCTTTAAGATCATCGGTTCGTTGTCGAACAATGCCTAACACTTGATCACGAGTATCATTAGCCACTTGCCGAATCTTCGCTAGTGATTGCTGTTCCCATCGTTCGATTTGCTGAAGAAGTGATTGACACGATTGATCGTTTGTGGGACCAGTTATGTTTTGCTTTAATTGTTGATGTGAATGAATGATATGTTTCATTTGTTTTTCCAGACCTTCGCGATGTTCGTTGGTGTGACGTAAACAAAAATTCTCGGAACATCCACGACAAGTAAATATGCCAGCTGTTTGGCCACATGTGGCACACGAGGTTCGATCTGGTCTTAAAACAGACATTGAATATCTTTGTATGTTAAAAGAGAAGTGTGAATGTAAAGCACAAGGTGAATGTTATTTATCTTCGTAAGTTGATATCAAAATGAAAGAACAATAAGATTTGAAGAAAGTATCTATTTACAAGGTGACGGGACGTGAAATCTTTATTATCTATGTGAAAAATGCTAGTAAAAGTACAAGAATATAGAAGATAAATGTTGAATATCAATTTGATGGTATTTCTCTTGTAATACGAATGTTCGTGTATAAGTGAGATGATGTATTATTTGAAAATCGTGTCGGAGTTTTGGTTAAGAAAGGCTTATTGGTGATTTATGTTTAAATCAAAAATCTCTTTGTTAGTCACTTTTATGACTTTTATCATTGCAAGATTTCGAAACGAAAAAAAAAGAAAGGTAAAAAGATGATAAGATAACGAGAAGAGAATTTTGCCTGTCTCGGTTTGTGTGATTGATAAAGTGCTCCGAAGAAGCCACAGTATTTCTTAGTAGATAGATATTCTTTATTAATTATAAATGTTTGTTTTTCAACTTTAAGTACTCACAGACAAAAAACGATCACAAAGCAAAAGTCAATCACATCGAGATGTTCTTCTCTTCTTTTCGCGTCAACTTTTAATTGATTTTATTGTAAAGGCGAACACATACTTGCCAAGGAAGGGCACATTTTTCTCGATTAACACGTAATTCATGCACAGCATTCGTTCGTTGATTCTTCATACTGATCTTATCTTGGTCAGGATCGATCGTTAACACACAGATATCGTCGGACTGAAAGTCGGTCCGATAATTATCATAGTTTTCTTGCGACTGATCACCGAAATAAACACGATCTTTACTACCCCAACCGAAGAATGTCGGATTGTTGTTTTCATCTTCCGAGTCGGCTGCACTTTCGGAGATAATTCCGAACAAAATCGATGTACTATTTTGGTATCCTTCGAGTTTAAACGCATATTCCACTTTTTTGCTCTCCGCAGACTCAACATTCTGTTGTTGGTGGTTGACTTTCTCTTTCTCTGGCTGTGAATACCGTTGATAACTGGAACTAACAATCTCCCCATCATCGCTACCGTCAATATGATTCTGATGTTGTTTACGATGATGATAACTTTGAAGTTGATAATCGTTGAGAGATATCCTTGATACGAGTGGAAGCGAATGAGAATCCTCATCGATTTTCAATATTTCCTGATCAATGTATGTACGCTGCAATTCATTTAGTTTACTTGTCCATTCCTTTAAATCATTTTCGTAGTAGCCACCATCCTGTTGAGCTTTATCAAATTGCTGTTTCAATAGTTCTAGTTTCTCTTTTAAATTATCTGTACGACGTTGAACGGTTATTTCTAGTTCTTGGCGAATATCTCCTGCTAATTCACGCACTTTCTTAATTGATTCTTGTTCCCATTCGTTGATTTGTTCCACCAAAGAACTTCGGCGTTGTTCTACAGTTTGTCCGTTTATATTACGTTTTATCTGCTCATAGTCGTGAATAATGTCATTCAGTGATCTTTGTAAATGATCTCGGTGGTCTTTCGTATGAGATAAACAAAAATTTCCTGAACAACCGCGACAAGCGAAAACACCAACCATTTTCCCGCATGCCGTGCAGCCATTTTTTATTCGTTTTGTTGAAGACATCTTGTGTTTATCTGTAGTCAATGTTAGCGGTAAATATAGGCAAGAGAAGCTGAAGGTTAGATAATGGTTATCGGAATTTATGATACGCTACCTAGGTAGAAATTATTCTGTTTTACAAAGTTTTTCGTATCAGTATTTTCAGTTTGATTGAGATAAACATCTTCTCAATGTATAGAAGTAACGAAGGTTTTGTGAAGGAAGATATGATAAGTAATTCAGAATGTCAAAATCTTGCTCTGAATATCAATGACCTGACAACCTAAAATATTGTTAACTTGATACTATAATTCCTTACGGCCATTGTTTCAAACACCCACTAACTTTTGTCTATTATTCATGCGATTATAGTACAATCATTTTCTGTTTCGTTCTTATCAGTATTCGACATATTTTCTTTCTCATATACACATCTTTCATCAATGCTTGTATACGCTACCTTATCTCTTGTACGTATCTAGCTCTCTTGTTATATAGTCTACAACGCAATATAATTCGAGTACTCGTGAGATACATATATAGAATATAAACAGAACAACTTCTCTTATACGTACAGACACACACACACCCAACTTTATTTTCTTCTGAAATTCAAACACCATAAGTTCCTCCATGATTCGAACCGCGATTTTATTTGTGTTTCTTCTCGCTATCGTCTCACAATCTGCTGATGCACTGTGTAGTTGGCACGGAGTGGCTCCGTTTTGCTTCATCGGTAATTCATGTCCAGATGGATGTCTAAAGACACTCGAGAGTAACAAAGGCGATGGTATGACCTGCTGGTTTTCACACAAGAACTACTGTTGTTGTACACCAAAGATTGGTTGAAGAACAATCAAATTAACTAACAAACGCAATATTGATCGTATATACACGTGCTTACATGTAGATTATTGATTGCGATACTTTTTTGTTTTTTTTTCTATCAATAATAATCATCTCATATTAACATATATGAATAAATTGCGATATATTTCACTTATTTTCTTTAAAGTCTGTGCGGATGTGGGTGTGGCTGATGATGGATGTGAACTTAAATTAAAAACACAGACAATCTTCGACATACATCACAGCTTGTAGATTATATATTACCTCTTCGACATATTGATATGCTAAAAATGAATAATTCGACTCGCGTATTAGTGTATAGATGGTGATACGAAACAATGAATCATGTGGTAACGATTGAAATATATCAATAGAGAGAGAAGTTTTTCTTAGGATACGAATCGATACAAAAAAGACGAGACTGTTGTAAGAATAGTTCGATCTATAGGGGCTCAGTTTTATGATCCATGCCCTAAGTAAATAACATCATTGAACAAAATAATCATTAATATGAAAACATCAAACTTTCTCATGTACTTTTGACAATAGATAATTTCGAAATTTTGCGTTACTCAAATTCGCACGTGAATCAATGAGTGTTAAACAAATAGATAAAAGCAACAATTATTATTGGTGTACAAATATACAAATGAGGTGCTCGATCAGAAACGTTTCATCAGTCTTTTCTTTGACCTTAGCATTAGTAAATCTTCGCTCTGCGCTTTTAACTTTATAACATTTTCTACACGACTTTTAATTGAATTTCTCAATTCATCGTGTTAATTATTTCGAGTAATCATTATTCTTCAGGTGCAATCCATGCGATTATAGTACAATCATTTTCTGTTTCGTTCTTATCAGTATTCGACATATTTTCTTTTTCATATACACATCTTTCATCAATGCTTGTATACACTATCTTATCTCTTGTACGTATCTAACTCTTTTATTATATGGTCTACAACGCAATATAATTCGAATACTCGTGAGATACGTATAACGAACACACACCCCACTTTATTTTCTTTTGAATTTCAAACATCATGAGTTCCTCCATGATTCGAACCACGATTTTATTTGTGTTTCTTCTCGTTATCGTCTCACAATCTACTGATGCACTGTGTCAATGGCGTGGAATCGCACCATTTTGCTTCATCGGTAATTCATGTCCAGATGGGTGTCTAAAGATACTGGAGAGTAACAAAGGCGATGGTATGAGCTGCTGGTTTTCACACAAGAATTATTGTTGCTGTGCACCACGAATCGTTTAACATTCAGTAAACATTGAATCAAACAAAAAATTCCATCATTTGTATATGTTACTTAGTTCTTTATTTTTTGTTTTATTTTGTGTATGCGTATGAACAAAAAAAAGCTCGTTTCCATTTATTTTCTTTATGTTTAAAATCCGCAAGGTTTCACACATCAGCAAGATAACGAATAACTCTATTCCATTAGCTCTTTCTTCCGTACAATCACAAGTGATGTACAGTTTAACATTTCAGTTTCGTTGATACCCGTTGAATACTTTGCTCAATTTGAATTACATTCGGATGCGTCACTGGCAACAAATCTCGGTAAATATTTCCAGCTTGTTTATAATAATCCAAAGCTCGTTCGTGTTCATCGTTGCTCTCATAAACATTTCCGATATTATTCAACGTCATCGCTATATCTGGATGCTGACAGGGTAGACATTTCCGATAGATTGTCAACGACTGATGGTAGTACTGTAACGCTTGATCATAATGTTCAAGGCAAAAATGTATGTTACCACTACTTCCGTAGGATGAAGCTAAATCTGCATGATTATCAGGAAGATACTTTTTCAAAATGATCAAAGCTTTTTCTACGCAATCCAATGCCTGTTGATATTTCTTTTCATGTCGATAGACATTACTGATATTGTTCAAACATATCGCTACATGTGGATGATCTTCTCCGACAGCTTGCCTCCAAATCATTAATGCTTTTTCATATGATTCCAATGCTAGATGATAATTATTTGTCTGTTGATGAATAATCGCAATACTATTATAAAGCAGTGCGAGATTTGAATCATCGGGTTCCAATATCTGTAAGAATATTTCCAAAGATTTATTATACCAAGTTAAACTTGCTTGGTAATCACCTTTGTCATCAGCAACAAGACCTAATGCATGGTAACAAAGTGCCATGTTTGAATCGTGGAAAGAAAATCTGTCAAGTGCTCGTTGATAATATTTCTCCGCGTCATCTAACTTACCCATTTTTCGTAGTAGATGACCGAAAATTAATGTATCTGTTCGTTCATAATTGAATTCATTTTTCATGTGCTGAAAAAGTGTCTGTAGATGATGATCATCATCAGCGCATAAGACCATCCGAATATTCCAAATGCCTTCAGAATCACAGTGAATGTGATCTAAACGAAAGATTGAACCGATCATGAAGAGAACTTCGTCTTCAAGTGGAAAATAACTGAGAGAATTGATTTGACTGAAGGCTTTCATACGGTCTGCCTGTGGATTAGCATCAATTTCGAAAAAAACTCGTTCCACATCGCTGTTTTCATCGAGTGGATGCAGGAATCTTTGTGCATATTGACGACTGAGAGTAGTCGAAAGGAACGAATTCATAGAAATCAACTGACCAATGGAATTTTTCAAAATTTCGATTTCATCTCGTGACATTTGCTGTGCACGATAGACTCGTACGGGCGTTGAACATCTATAACACATCAATTGACGATCAATATCAGCGATGACAAAACGTAGAAGATATAGTAAATCAATATTTTGCACTCGCAATGCTTTGTTTATTAGTCGATAGAGAAAACATTCGCGAGTAAACCACCAGATAGCTCGATTTGATGAATAGGTTCTTTTGAATTCATCAATAATATTCAGTTCAGTCGGATTATCTTTGTAATAATGTTTGCAATACATCAGTAATTCTTCTTTGTCTTCCATCGTCGTATCCATTCGAATCAAACAATCGATTAATAGATGAAAATGAATAAATTGCCCATTAGATCCGGTTGTTGATTGTCCTTCGT